CCCCAACCCCAACCCCAACCCCAACCCCAACCCCAACCCCAACCCCAACCCCAACCCCAACCCCAACCCCAACCCCAACCCCAACCCCAACCCCAACCCCAACCCCAACCCCAACCCCAACCCCAACCCCAACCCCAACCCCAACCCCAACCCCAACCCCAACCCCAACCCCAACCCCAACCCCAACCCCAACCCCAACCCCAACCCCAACCCCAACCCCAACCCCAACCCCAACCCCAACCCCAACCCCAACCCCAACCCCAACCCCAACCCCAACCCCAACCCCAACCCCAACCCCAACCCCAACCCCAACCCCAACCCCAACCCCAACCCCAACCCCAACCCCAACCCCAACCCCAACCCCAACCCCAACCCCAACCCCAACCCCAACCCCAACCCCAACCCCAACCCCAACCCCAACCCCATTTGCAGATTAAAAATTATAATTAAAATAAAATTTTTGGAAATTACAATCATTTCTTTACAAAAAGGTATAAATTACATTTAAATTAAAAAATAGTTAAATTAGAAAATAGTTAAATTGTTTAATTATATAATTAAACGATATTGTTGAAACACAAAAAGTTTTAAGGTAATTAATCAAATGTTAATAAATAATTTATTCTAAGTTAATTTATATAGGAGTAAAACTCTATTAAAAAATCAAAGAAAGCTAATGAGTTAACACAATCAAGTATAAAAAAAAGATGTAGTATGTATAAAAAACGAGACAAAAATATAATTAGAAAATACTCGCTTTGATTTACATGACTTAAAGTAGTTTATGAGAAATCACAAAGACACTTTATAAGAAATTATAATAAAAGGCTGTTCATCCAACTATAAAAGGTTTTAGATAATCCACACTTTATTTTTAGAAGCAGATCTTCTATTAATAGACTTCACAAATTTGAATAAGCTTGAAGTAAAAGACATGTAGCCATACGAGGAGGAAAATAATTAATTGTATTAAAAAGATATGGACAGCCTTTACGACCACAGCATAAAAAATTTGATGGCAGAATTCAATATTCATTAAATGCTTCGCTAAAACTTGAATCAGGATAAATCAAAGATAGTAATAAAATAAATATGTTTTGATTCTAAACACGCTTTTTACTACTCTTTAAATGCACTTCTAAAGTATAGGGTATAAATTAAATGCGTAAGTTTCGTAAATATTTTAGATATGAAAATCAATCCAATGAAAGCTTTTTGCGAAAAAATTAGAGATTTATTCACTCTAACTGAAGTACAGTTTATTAATGTACTCTTCAGTGACTAAAACATCTTACAGATAAGGTATTTACTGAATTGGAAATAGCAATCTCTTGAAAGACTTGTTTTCAAAAGAATATAGATGAGTGAGTATTAATTAGAACTGCTCTTCTCAGCAAATAACTTTACACTATAGGACTTAACCAATTTAAAAAAATTCATATTTAAGTGCGATGAAAAACTGTAAAAATGCTAAGTTTATAAAAACTTAATAAAAAAGTATAAAGCATTTCATCAAAAAGAAACTAAGCAAGTTGAAGATAATTATAAATTATAAAAATAGGTTGAATAGCAAAGTAATATTAAAAACGAATTAGTTAAAGAAAAGGACTACATTAAATAAAAGCTATTTGAGCCAAAGCACATTATCATTCATAGCTAAAACAAGTCATCTTAGTTTTCATCTTTTTAAAAGGAATTTTAACAACCTCTTAAAATGTTACTTTTTTAGTTAAGTCAGTCAAATTTTTGCGAGGAGTTAGATATCTCAGCTTTCTCGTTAATAGGTGCTCCATAAGAAATTATTAATTATTTAATCAAAGCAGTGTGTGACTCTCTTTCACTTCATACTCTTAAAATTTAGAATTGTCAAGAGTTAATTCATCTTCTTCACGAAGGGTTTAGATAAAAAAACAATTCCCAAGATTTAGAAGTAAGGAGATTAGATGAAATTAAGAGTAAAAGTCTATTAGCTATTAAACAGAATTCGTAAATTTTTAAATAAACAGAAAAAATAAATTTTTAATTAAATTTTGTTGGTTTAAAATTTTATTTTTGATATTCGTTGAAAAAATTAATTATTAAGTTAAATAAAAATTTTTTTAATTAAAAATAAGCGAAAAATAACCATAATCAAATTAAGGTTAAGACAGCTAATTTAATTAAAAGTTGAAAAAATAATTAAGAACTCTAGATAATGACTGCAATATAAACGAGCACATATAATCTGAATAATTAAGGTCTAATGAATAATTATCTCATAGATAAAATTAAAATGAACATCAGGAATAAGCAAACTAACCATCTATGAATTCAAATAGCTTTATTAAGATAAAAAAAAGGGTAAAAAGAAAAGCTCTTAAGTAGTTTATTGTGGAAGGTAATGATCACAATATTTTTGGTTAGAGCAGCTTAAATAATATAATTTAAATGATGTATTACTCTGAGGCTCTATCTATTGATTTTAATGACTCAACGCTTACAAAGGATGGAATGAAAGGAATTTTAGATGGATTTGAGTAGCTAAAACTAAAAAATGACTACCTAGAAATTAAAAAGTTTACTATAAAAAATATGAAAGAATCAAACCAAATTGATGGCTAATCCTGGATGAAATTTGGTTAAAATTTATTTTTAGCAGTTGGAGAGTATTTAGAATCAATCGCTCTCGATGGAATAAAAGCCAAAGAATCAGTTTTTTTAGAAATTATGAGAGGTATCTTTTCTTACAAAGTAAAATAATTGAAAATTAAATTGCGTTCATTCATAATCAATTAAAAAACTGATACTCAGATGCAAATTTACCTATTTCTTAATTAAGCGTTATAATATTGGCCACTACAAGAACTACGTATTTCGAGTTAAGTAGATTCTACGCAATAAAAGAATAATATTGTTAATACAAATAACTATAATTACTTCAATAAGATCTAATCGAATTAACTTTACAGTCATAACATAAAATCGTATCACATGAGTGTCAGTTAGGCCAATTTAAATGACATGTAATCTCAAGTTTAAATTTAAAGACAAGAAATTATATTGAATTCTTGTAGCACCCTAAAAATATTACAGTTATCACACTTTAAGTAAATAGACTGGTACGTTCTTATAAAAAATATTGTAAATTGTTATCCTAAGCTAGAAGAACTTGATATATCTGATAATAACTTAAATTTAGACTTTATTTCTTTCTTGACTCTGAACAGTAATCTTTCTAATATGTAAAATTTAAAGAAGCTAAATTTAAGTAAAAATCCATTAAAATCTATGCCTTCAAACCCAAGACAAAACTAATTACAGAACTCTCAAATTTCTTTGTAAAGTGGTAACTTAGAAAACAGTACAATAAAATAAATAAATTAAATGAAATATTAGTAAACTGGTAATTAAAAGCATAAGGTAAACTTGCAACAATCTTTAGATTTAGATTAAACAGGACTCAATATAATTAAATAACATCCTTAAAATGTATTTAAATTAAATAAAGATAACGAAGTAGAACGAAATGAATATTAAAAATAAGAAAGTATTGAATTTTTAAACAATTAAGTTGAAAATCATAAATAATAGTGTAGTGAAGCATCACTAAAATCAGATGATAACATAGCTAATCTTCTAGATGCAAGTAAGAACAATATGAATTAACTTGCTCGAAAGAGGTAAAGCTCAAATTTTGAAGTCAGAAATCTTAAAGCTAAAAACACTATGACGGAAGATAAGCCTGTTAAAAAATATGAGAAAGTTATGAGTGATTTCTTTGCTTTTATATTTAAAATACAGAGCTTAGAATATTTAGATTTGTCTTCAACATAAATAACTAATACAGAAGTTGAAATGATAGAAAATTAAATTAAATTGTAAAAAGAAAGCAATTTGAGCTTTGAAAATATCAATTTGAATGGTAATAATGACATCATAAGATAAGAACTTTTTAAAAAGAAAATATAAATATTTTAAAGTTATTTTGAAAATCCAACAAAGAATCAAAAGAATTAAAATCAAGAAAAAACTGATTAATTAAAAATTTTAGTTTAGCCTAAAATTAACTATGGATCAACTATCAAAGAGTTAAATTTTTAAAACTGTGACTTAGGCAATGATTTCTATAGTAAGGTGATAGAAATATTAAAATTAAAGTAATGTTAATTTAGGACTATAAATCTAAGTGATAATTCCAATATAACTGAAGCTAAGTGGAAGGATATAATGAAGTAAATGCTTACAAGCTAAGGAAGATTCCTAGAAAATTTATATTTAACTAATTGTAAATTTAAGGATTCTCACATAATTGAGATTTGCTCAGCAATAAAAGAAGTTTGCGAAATCCAAAAAGAGGAAATTCTCAAAAAATATGAATATGGAGCTCTTCAATTAAATTTATTAGATTTAAGTTCCAACTCCTAAATTAAGGAGGGCTGGTCCAACTTAATATAAACATTGCTGGGATCTGTTTTAATTAGTTTGAGATCAATAATCCTAAGAAATTGCTCAATAAACAATATAAAAACTCAATATTTACTTGAAGGTCTTTAAGTAGCAAATTTAGAATTAAGGTAAATAAATAAATACATATTTTTTTCTATAAAAATCATTAAATTATTTATTTTTTAAAATAGAAAAAATAGCGACATTTGTCTTAGATGTCTAGAATAAATAGACTTGAAAGACAATCCAATACCACTGGGCTTACAAGTTGATCTATAAAGGAGTTTTCTTTTATCAAATATTTTGCAATCATAAATATCTTAAGTTTAGGAGTGTAATGAGGATCTTATTAAAAATCTTTAAAATCTTGAAAAAAATAAAGAATTTTTCATACATTAAATTTAAAAATGCCCAATTAAAAAATAAATCAAACCATCAGCCACCTAACTTATATTTGGTATTCAAAGCTCTGATTAACTTGACACCATTCTTCCAGAAGTCTTAAAGTCTTTTTCATATATAGACAGCTTAGTCATCCATATAAATTATGAATTTTTAGATAATCTGATTGAAGGGTTACAGAATCTAGAAATGAGAATAAAAAATTAAAATCAGGAAGAATTTGCTTAATATGAGGCTACCTCGATTTATGAAATCTAATAAGCTCAATTAAGATTTAGAAGCGTTACTTTAATATTAAATATTGAATCTTTAAAGATCAAAGAAAAAATCCCTTCGTTTTAAAATCTTTAAGCTATCCAATAAAAGAAGTCAAAGTTTAATGTAGATAAAAAAAAAAATAAAAGCAAAAAAATAATGTCGTTTGGTGAAAGCAAAAGCAGTGATGATAGCCATGATAGCTAAAGCGATGATGAAAAATATAAGGGCCATAAGAAAAAAAATAGATAAGGTAATATAATTAATGAAGAAGAAAAGATAAGAGATGACTAAAATTTACAAGAGGAGGAAGCATAAGACCTCATTTTTAACTATTAGAAGCACTTAAAAAACAAGCAGAAAAAGTAGAAATTAGAAAATGATGAATACGATCTAAATAAATACTAAACACAAGAAAATTAAATTGAGCCACAAAAATGGGAGCGTATAATTAAATGTCTATTTAATATTTCAAATTTCGAAGAACTCACAATGCAAAACTGTAAGATAGATGGAAGAGTATTAGATTAAATTTGTAAAATAACAAGCTTAGTTTCTTTAAATATAAGTGATAACCATCTTTTATACTTAGTTCCTTCTTAAAAAAAAAATATGAAGCACTCTAACCAAAATTTTTAAAAGCTAACAAAAATCAACCCATTTGAGGGATTGAATATTTTATTAAATTTTTCGAATTTGTAAGAATTAAATCTTTCAAATACAAACATAAATGCTAGATTTGTTAAAAAATTTACTGAAATCCTTAAACCTATAGATCTTGAAAGCAGGTCTAAGCCATACTGCCTTAAAAAAATAAATTTATCTCAAAATAAAATGCTTCAAAAGCAAGAGTGGTAAACTTTAATTAAAGAGTTACTTAACAACACATGCCTCGAAACTTTAATTTTAAGTGACTGTAATATTGGTAAGCACAATGTGCAAGGATTAATAAATGCACTTTTGTATGCTGTGAATACTGATTATCTTCATAATATTGATCTTTCTTACAATAAAAGCATTTATCCCGAAGATTGGGGAATTATTATAGTAAATTTGTTCAACAGATATAGAATACAGGAATTGAATGTAAGCTACTGTGCTATTTATGACTAAAAGCTCAAAAATATTTTAAAAAATCTATTTCTAAATAAAATTGAATATTTGAAGACTTTAGATTTTAGCGGTAATTACATAGAAAATCCTGAAAATTTGTTTAAATTTATGAATCTTCTGTATTAGGCTTCTAAGATTGAAGAAATAAAATTCGAAAACTGCAACTTAAATAAAAAGAACACAGAGTATTTTAATGATCAAGTTCATTTACTTTAGATTAGAACATTAAAAACTCACTCCTCACTTCAAATAGTCAATTTTTCCAATAACCCTCAAATATTAGAAAGCTACTGCCATTCTTACACATATTTCCAGACATTTTTAGAAAATTCGACTTAATATTTTTAGAAAATTTAAGAAATTTATCTTGAAAATTGCTTAATAGACCAAGCAAAGATTAATTCTTTTATTTAATGCTTTATCTCTATCAACTCTAAAGGTTTGAAAATAAACAGTCTCTTAACCCTCAATATTTCTGGAAATAGGATTCTTGGATAACAATTCTCAGAAATGTTACCTCTTATTATTTAAGTAGCAAGCTCTTTGCAAAATTTATACATAGGATTTAATACAAACAAGTGTTAATAATACCTAGAGGAATAATATCAAGAAAATATAATAGATTAATAAAATTTAGAATTTCCAAATAATGATGAACCTTAAAATGCGCCTTTGATGAATGGAATATAAGGGATTACAGCTGCCTTTAAAAAAATAAACTAGTTGAATCTTAATAAGATTTAGGTGAAAATTTATTTTCGTTTTTTATTTTTTCTTATATTGAAAGCTCATTCAGTTTTTGTATATTTTTTTAATGAAAATTTAATTTATTTTAAACAGATATCCGATGATGAGGAAGTTAGTGAATCTGACTGGACTGAATTTCTGGAGGTCTTGCTAGAAAAAACAAGCAAGTCCCTCTAACATATCATGATTTGTGGGCAAAGGAAAATGCATATAAAAGAATCTATGTTTTTCAGTAGTTTACATAAAATCCTAAGACAGAAAAGGCATTCTAACTAATTTTTAAAGGAGTATTCTAATTAAAAAGCAAAAGGCGATAAAATTGATTTATAGATTTAGAGCATTGGTTATTTTTAAGGAATGAATTAAAAGATTTATGTATTAACTGCCTCTATATGGCCTAGCTTTGTTAAAAATGGCTTTTAACCAGAACTTGAAAGTGGTAATATATTATAATTAGACAAATAGGAATATGACAAGTACTTTTGGTAAACTCCAACTTAATTTAGAAATGTCTACATTAAGCTTCACAATGATATGAGTATAATGAAGTTCGAAGGCTCTATCTAAAATGATAGTCAGTAAAATTTATCACTCAAAGCAGATTTATTTATTGCTCTGAATCAATTGAGAAAATATTTGAATTGTGAGCTAATTAGTTAAAATAAGGTTGATTCTAGAAATTAAACACAAACTGAAATACAAGCTTAGTTATTTTTAAATATCAATTACAAATACTCTAAATTGCCAATATTCTAAATCTAAAACGTTCTAAGGGCTCCCTTACAGTTTAGAGAAGTAGATTTAACTCCGATTCTTAAGGGGTATGATAACCTCACATTTGACTATCCATTTTACTTATTTTTAATTTAAACCTGTAACTTATATCCATGCGATTCTATGACTGAATTCTTTGTGAAGTTTATCAAAAGTTTATCTACTTACTACTTCTCAATTGATCAAAATATTTTTAATATGATTTAAGCATCTCCTCATTTCTTCCTTACTGAAAAAGATAGAGACAATATACAAAGATCACTAAATAAGTACAAACACCTAGATTAAGAAGAAGAGGAGCAAAAGCTAAAAAATTAAGAGTCTATGAAAAATAAAAATGTAGCTGTTAGATAAAATAACAATAAAAGTAAATAAAATACATAAATTATCTAATAAGATTATCTTGCTAAAAAGACATCAAATAATAAACAATTAAATAACTTAGGTAATTCATTCTAATCATTTAAATAGGATTATAATGGAATAGATTCATTCAACCGAAATGCCTCTAATATTTTAAGTAATAATTTTGTATCATAACTAAATGGAAACATTAATTAAAGTAAAATCATTAATGCACATGCAATTTAAAACCTTTCAAGCAATCAGCTTCAATAAGATGCTTTATCAATTAATAATAAGCTTAATGATATCAGTTAAAATCAATTAATTCCAAATAGACAACTATCAGATAAACAACCAACATAAATAATACCAAACTTAGGCAACAATTAAATCTAATATATCGGCAGTGATTTGAGATAGAGCACCTTAAAACCCTAATAAATTAAAAAACAAATTACAAAGGCTCATATTTAAAAACTGGAAGTAAATAAATTAATATTTATTTATTTATTATTTAATCAATTTTAATAAATATTCAAATTGACTTATAATTTTAAATCATTAATTAATTCTTTTTTTAAATTAGTAATAGAAAAAGTTTTGGACGGTTTTGTGTCCTTATTATTTTTAATCAGAGAGTATGGACGGAGTTGAGGAAATATAGATTATACACAGAATATAAAAAATGCCTCCTAGTGAGTTAGAGTTAAAAGGAATGTCAATTAGTGCTATTAAGACAATTTATGCCTTTTGTTTCTAAAATCCTTACTTTACTGCTTGTTAAATGGATTACAATCACTCTGTATTTGTAAATACAAGTTTGGCATGGAGTTTAAGGGAAAAAATATACCGTCATTACTGCAACTACAAAAGAAACCCAATTAAAAATAAATTACAAAGTATTTTTTTTTAGATTCTTAGATTGATGATCAGAGAAAACGTATTTTATAAGTATGATAACTCGGCTATTTTGCTAGATTAATATTACTCTAAAAAGAATTTAACTCTTTATTTAATGATGTTTTTAATTATCTTTTTTCATATACTCACAATTCTAGTTCCTTTTATTTTCTCGAATCAAGAAGGTGCAACTTGGGATTCGCATTTCATATATGCAGGATTTTCAATCATAACTTTCGTTTTTGAGCTTTACCTAGTGAAAGATATTTTAAATAAAATCCTTCACTTAACACCAGGATTTTATGTTGTTGGAAAATCTTCTACATATATGTAGGCGTGCTTTCAGCGATTTAAAAAAGCTTTGGTTGAGCAATCAATAATTAATTATAAGTATTTAATTTTCTTGTGGTATCTCATAACAAGTTAGTTTAGCAGATTTAACACGTATAGTGATTTTTGCTTTTTAGTGTTATGCTGGAGAAAGAATTCTATAACAATCTTCTACTTTTCAACATTTATCCTTTTACTTAACAAAGCTATTTGCTTTTACAGATTTGTAAACATAATACTCAAAGATGAACTAAAAAGGAAGCTGCCTGGCAACAATATAACAAAATTCTATGAAACTTCAATTTAATTAGATTTTATAGCATTTTCAGAAGTATTAGATATAGTTAGTCCATACAATGTAACTCGTATTCCTAATAATTGGCTTACAAAGCTCATTATACCCAAAATCAGTGGCTAATCAATGAATTAAAGAATCTATTATTAGTTGCTGAGAATTTTGTTTGAGGACGTACCTTAAATAATTATATAGATTATTTATCTCATAGGACAAATCAACATTTATGTAATCCTTTCAATCATTTATCCAATTCATATTTTATCATAATTTAATTTAAATCTTCATAAAATCATTTATCATTCATTTTTAAACTTCTAAAAGGCATTTTTTTATTGATTCAAAAATTTTTTTTTTATTAAATAGGCATACATTTCTTTGATTATGAGTTTTATAAGCTTTAGCTTGGCTTTTTATAAAATTTTAAGCATTAGGCCTTCTATCATATCATAATTAGATTTTGATGAACTGAAGATTTAAAAGCAAACAGACCAAGAAAAGGTACTTAAAGAATTTGAAGAAAAATAAAATTAAATGCTAATATAACTATTTTAGTTGGCTGAAACTTAAAAAAAAAGCATAATCTAATAACCACAGTATAAATTAAAACCTTCATATTAATAAAATTCTCCGTCAAAGCTTCAACAAACTTATTTTTGAATTTTAGGCAAAATTATTATTAGGAAGTGTATATTTTTCATCAAAAATTTATATTGTTTTAGTTTTATAAAAAAATATATTTTATAATAAAATTTACTAAAATAAGTTTTTTAAATCAAAAAATAAAAAAAGAGAAAGTCTTGTAGTTTATGAATTAAGACTATAATTATTGAGGTTAACCACTCACATTTTATAATTAAAGCTAAATTAATTTAATTAAGTAAAAAAATTCTAAATTCTCAAAAAAAAAATGGATTTTAATGAATTATAAAAACAATAAACGTAAATTGAAATTCCTGATTTCGAATTAGTATTTCCTAATCTGATTTCATAAATTTAATAAATTATTTCATCATAAATATCTTTTATGACTAAACTGTTTGGATAGTATCCTAAATAATTTAAAAAGGTTTGTAAGTAGATAGAAGATAAAATAATTTAATGGACCTGGTTAAAAAAATAATCTAATAATAAAGTTGTTTATCATGTTTATAAAATGCTTTTTTCATTAGTAAATGATGAAGAATTTAAAAACCTTTCATAAGTTGATTAAAACATTTTACTGTGGGCTACTCTTTTGCATGATATATGTAAGATTGGTGAGCCTACTATTAAGGGTAAAGACCATTGTCATCCTTTTAAAAGTGGCTATGAAACCTTAAAGATTTTCAATTAATTAAATTTTGTTAATCTAACCAAAAACTAATTGTAGGAATGGGAAGCTATATTTAGTTAAGGTTATCATCCTTGCAAAGAAGAAAAAGGAAAATTTCTCCATAACAATTAGATAGTAATTTAAGTCAAATAATTTTTAGACAGTGTCTATGGAAATAGTCAGATAAATCCTCAAAAAGAAGTCATTCTTTTAATATTCCTTCATCAAAGTCTAAGCTTGATAAAAGAATATCCACCAAAGACACCTCTAGAAGATAATTATTACAAACTACTCCTTAGCGATAGATTTTTAGATTTGTTTTATTTTGTAGCAGTACATGATAGTAGATCTTATAAAATGTGTAAACCTATAAATTTTACCTTTAAATTTAGTAATTTATAAAAAGAAGTCAAAGCAAGTATTTAAAATTTAAAATAATTAATCAATTAAAAATGATTTTATTGCTTATCTTTGAAGAATTTAAAGTATAAAAGATAAAAATAAAGGACAAACATTAAAATTTTTTTGTTTACTTAATATAGAAATAAGTAATAAACAAACACAATAATTTCATTAGAATTTACCAAAAATTAATTTCAAATTGTTTCCTTCTACATTTATTTCAAATAAAGTGAGATTAAGGCTAAATGTTAATAAATAATAAAGAATGTAAAAAGTAAATGATAATTAAAACTTTTATAAATATTAAAAGAAAAATAATACTAAATAAGAATATATTATTTATATACTTTGTTGATATTTAATTGATATAGAATTTAAAATAATTAAAAAAGTCAGTAAAGAAACAAATAAGAATTAAAACTTTCTACATATTTTAAAAATATATGTTGTAATTTATATTAAAGATATTTAATAAGAATATATTATATTTTATTTTAGAGTGTTAATTGAAATAGAATTTAAAATAGTCAGTAAAGAAACAAATAATAATTAAAACTTTTTGAAAGATTTTAATAATATATGCAGTAAATTTATATAAAAGATATTTAATAAGGATATATTATAATTTATTTTACAGATTTAATTGAAATAGAATTTAAAATAATTAAAATAATCAGTAAAGAAACAAATAATAATTAAAACTTTGAAAGATTTTATAATTTAAAGAAAAAAAATATTTAATTAAATTAGAATTTAAATTAATAAAAAAAGTCAGTAAAGAAACAAATAATAATTAAAACTTTCGAAAGATTTTAATAATATATGCTGTAAATTTATATAAAAGATACTCATTCGAATATATTATTTATATATTTATTTTATAGATGTTTAATTGAAATAGAATTATTTTTATTTAAAATAAATAAATAAAAAAGTCAATAACTTTTATCTTGGTTGTTATTTTAAGGACTATTGACAGATCCAAAATAGTTTATCTGCTTTTCGTTATTCTTATTCAAATTTCTTACTTTACTTATTATGTCCATCAGATAAATTTGATCAGTCCTATTTATTTATTAGTTTATAAGTTAAGATATCCTTCTTTTATAAAATAATAAATTAGTTACCTTTTATATAAATCTTTTTGTGTCTTTCTCTATACAACACCTGCTATTTGTAGTATGAAATTGAGGGCATCAGTCATAAATTTAATGTTTTTTCTAGAGTTTTCACCTAAATGATAACATTTTTTAAATAAAAGTCAAAAAAAAAAATTTTTCATACTTATTGTCATTAGACTCAGGACTCCGTTTTCAATGTTATCAATCAGCAAGAATACTGACCCTTGCTTCTTTTCGATGTCAAATGAAATAGAATTCTTTCTGCAGAGTTAGAAAAAATCTCTGTATCCCATAGTATTGAAACCTCTGTGGAAAATATATGGGATATACATGAAAGATCTCTCTTCAAACTCATCTATGATATTTGATTTTTCTGAATCTTCATTTTCTTATTCATTTTCCTCTGGTAGTATTTTCTCTGGTATATTTCCTCCTAAATAATATCTTCCTGTTATTTTATCTATTTTTCCTATTATATAAAAAATAATTTAAGCAAATTTGATTTTGGAGATATTTTACCTTTAGATAAGAAATCAAAAATAAAAAAAGCTGAAGAGTAATCATTTAGATAGCAGTCAAGACCTATGAGCCAGAAAAGAGGATGATTTAACTTATTTGAGGGATCTGGGAAAGCTATCATATCTACACTGATATAGCCGTAAATACCTTTCTGGTAGAGCTTTTCTCCAAGAGAACTGCACAATTATTTTAAATTCAAAGAGGGAAGAGATTATTAAGGGAAAATGTTACCAAAGTTAACAAAATCTTAACCTTAGATTTTATCATATGAAGCTAAAACTTGAGTTTATCCGTCCGGATCTAAACGGAAAAATACAGACGGTGAAGCTACTTCTTCCATAGAACATAATGGAGATGCTTCAATAATACCCTTATGCTCTAAGAAATAGTAAAGAAATTCCTGATAATTTTAGAATAATGTTGGGATAGCAATTTATGTTTTACTAGGAAGTAACGAAGAAACTATTTCTCTAATTTTAGAAACTTAGCTCTCATCTATTTCTTTCTTTTACTTTCTAATATCACTCAGTACTCTAATTGACTCAAGAGAGAAAAAGGCAATACCTCTACCTTTAAACTCTCCATCTATTTTAAAAACCCATGTATTGACATTTGAATATTTAGCAATTAAAATAGTAAGTTTATTGATTAAATCTTCTTCATCAAATATATTTTCAGCACCTGGTGCTGTTGGAAACTTGCATTCTTCAAACAGCTGTTTAGCCTAACTCTTTTTGCAAAGGTTATTAACAATATCATAATTTCCACAAAAAATAGGAATTTTTAATGTCATGCCAACTAAATTATCTTCTTTGCAAGGAACTCCCTATCATGTTTATTAAAAAAGGTTAAAGCTATTTATCTTAAAATCTAAATAAAGTTTATACAGGAACTATGTAAGCATTCTTATTTTAAATGATGTCTTTTATTTTTTTTAAAGCTAAAGGGGAATAGTATAAAAGTTTAACAGTTGAGAATTTTGGAAATAAGTGAGCATTTTCTGGAAATATAAAATGAATCCTTTCTTTATAGTCAATAATGTCTCCTAATTCGCATATTTTATAATAATAAGATATTATTTCGTGAGGCAGTTCATAAGGTAAAACTATGATAACTTCTATCTATTCATTAATATATTCAATTATTTATGTTTTCATTCATTTTTGATAGTTTTTAAAAATTTAATAATTGGCTTTATGAATAAAAATAATTTACATTTGGATCCTTTATAGAAAATATTCTAGTAAGCTAAATGCTTTCTCTTTAATCAAAATGCTCTGTTGTATTCCTCTTGAATTCCTATTTGTTAGTAAGTGTTTTTTCTAAAATATTTTCTCTTGGATTCAAAATGCTTACATCATATGATAAACTGTTTATGTGAATTTCGATTCTTTTAGACTGCATTATATATGAATAGTTTTATTTGAAAGATTCTTGCAGGGCATAATATGTTGAAAGTTTTCCATTTTATATTGATTTTATTCTTCTCTATGTTATCATGTATCTTAACCAGAACATTACTTTCCATTTCTTTTCTGCATTTTAGTTTTGTTTTTCTCTCATTTTTTTTAATTCTTTAATTGCCTTTTTCATCTTAAAACTGCATAGAATTTTAATTGTTGCCCATGCTTTTCCTCTGAAACTAGTCATGTTTTCGGCAGGAATTATTTTTTTAATCATATCTTTATTTATAACACATTCTACTAAATCATCAAGTCTTGTTCTTGTTAAATCATTCACAATTTCTAGCAGCTTTTTTATTAAATATATTAGAATTATAGACAAATTTTTCTAATTAATTACTTTCATTCCATCAATATGTAAAAGCTTAATATCATATTTTTTGCTTAGATCCTCAAGTTTTTTTATCAGACTATTTACACTTCCCCACTATTCTGTGTAGTGTGTTTTCATAACTTTGTAATCTTAAGCTCCTTTTATGATATATCCATTTTTTATTGTTAAATAAAAACGCCTCTGTACAACTATTTCCTTGTGCACTATTTATTTTGGCTACTCTGGCTAGTTTTATAATAAATACTATGCTTTTTTTTAAAAAAAAATATTTAACATAATTTATGTTCTTTTTAAGAAAACTTACCAGTGTTGAATTTAAAGTTTGATTTTCTTTTTTTCATTTGATTCTAGCTTTGTATTTATTTTGATTGAGTATTAGTATCTGTAATAAAAATGTTAGTTTCGTGATTCTAAATTAGATTCATATTTTGCTAAGAAATTGAATAATGCAAATTTGATTGAGGTAATATAGAACTTGCATTATTTATGTTATAGTCAAGCTTATACTTTTCTGGAAACTCTCTTTCTGGAAAGTTAACTTTTTAAAGCTTGTAGTCTGGAGATATTTATCTAATATTTAAAAGATAATATGTTAATTAAGTATCTCATTTAATATAAAATTCACACATTTTTTTTGTTGCTTCAAGGATTGGAGCACCTTAATTAAAAGCTGGTAGCAAATCTAAATCTTTAGGAATTAATCCTATATTAACTAAATTAAACAAACCCTTTTAAAGATCCTTTTCTGAAATAGGAGGAAGATCAGCAAATGGATTTTTCCTAATATGTTTTGGTAGTATATCTGTATTAGAAATTCTTCCAGGTTTTGCTAATGAGTTTTTAGTTTAATAAAAACTTCTTTAAGTGTTGCTATTTAACTCAGATTGTCCACTTATCCTAAAGTTCGTTTGGCTAGAATCAATATGAAACACAATTAGATCAAATGAAAAATAAATTAACTTTACCTTTAGGCTTTTTGCAAGGAACGATTAGTTTAGCTCATAGAATATGAAAATGCTGTTTTACTCAAAAAACCTTTTGATGCGCTCATAAGATCTTTTGCTGACTAAATAAATTATATTTTAAAGACTTTATAAATAAACATATCTCATTATTTGACTTTTTTATTTACTGAGTATTAAGAGAAATGCATAGGATTGGTTTCATTGAAAGATTTCTATCTTTCATACTTTTATAGCTCTCCTTTCATCTTTGTTGCTGCGTTTTAAATGCCCTCATTAGTGTTTAAATTAAATCCTCCAGTTTAACTCAACTTTTATGAAAAATCAAATTCTACTAAAAGAATATCTTTTTAATAAATGGTAAAATACTGTTTTAGAAAACGCATTGCTTTGATTTTTAATATCCATCTCCAGTTATTTTACTTAATACTAAAGTCTTCCGTACAATAATTAAAGATCTTCATTGTCTTTATCTAATATATTATTAAATAAACTATTTATTTATGTAATACATCTTAGAAATGTTTGCATACTTTCTTTCTAGCTCATAATTTAAACATGTCCTTTAATTGAATTTAAATTGCCTGTTGTTATATTCATATGCTTCTAAATTTCTTTAAGCTAGTTATTACTCATTTTAACTTTTATAAAACAATGAAACCTTTTAAAATTTAAATAAAGTACCAAAAATTATTATTAATTTTAATAAATTTTTGATATCTAAATAATAATGATTATGATTATAATATATATCAGTTTTTTTTCTAAGGTATATGCACTTACTTACATAAATACATGCTTTCTTGCTTAGCAGGTAATCAAATCACATTCAAAAAATAGTAATGATATCCATATATACTTTAAATAAAAAGATTCTACTTTTACGAAATTCAATTTAAGTTCTATATTAAATGATTAGCTATATAATTATGCTAAACGATTAAAAGTAATAAACTTATTTAAGTAAAATAGTCATTATGTATGTGCTTGCTGTGTATTAAATAGGCAAACAACTTTTCTTCCACAAATTGAACAAGTTAAGGAAATAAATTATTTACTCACTATTGTTTTTAGCATAAATTTTGCTGATAAACTATAAAAATTTTCTTACTAAATTTAGGATTTTACAAATACAATATATGAATTAAAACGAAATAATTAATTTCAGTAGAAATCTGAATTATTTTGCATGCCGCTTATTATGTAGTCGAGTAGCTTTTCTTCGGAAATTTCAGGATATTTAGGCAAAGAAATAATTTGTTTGGTATTACTTTTAGCAGTATTTTTACTGATAAATTGTAGAATACTTCTAGCAAGTATTTATCCTTTAAAAGGAATAGGCTTATTTTGCATATATAAATATAAAGTGTTAGGTTTTATTTAAGATAGATAGTTTGTTATTGAGGCTTATTCTGATTCTTCAAGCTCTTATTTAATGCAATAATAGAACTGGATAATATTACTTCCATATAGCTGCTATATTCTAATGCTAACTTAATTTATTTCTCTCAATTAAGTTTCATTTATTTTTCCTTCAACAAGACTTTCAAGATCTAAATAATAAAGTAAAATGTACTAAGACGCTTCATATTGAACGATCTTTGAAATAAAAGCTTTCTCCTTTAGCTAAGTAAAAGAAGTTAAAATATTATTTACTTTTTGATACTTTATTTTTTACTCATAATTCATATATTTCTTTTGCACATCCATTAAGGGCAATGTTAAGTAGTCGTTGATAAACTCAAACAAATTTTAAAAATTAATCTCCAAATTAGAAGGAAAAATAACTTTAGTGTGGTAATCTATTCTGAAAAAAGCTATCTATGGGAGCTTGGCCTTGGTTGGAATTCCTAGCATTTTTCTTTTCTCAGGATTTAAATTTCCCTCTACCCATGTAATATGTAATTTGTGGACAAATTATTTTGCCAAACTTTCAAGAATACTTATGACTTTTTTTGATTGGGTAACATCTAAAATGGAATCAACTACAGCTACTAATATTTATTTTTTTTTATCTTGCTAATAATATTCATAATTTTCTAGTGTAAATTCATCAACAAGCCTTAAGGACTTAGAGATTATCTCTGCTTTTAAGTTTTTCATATCAACTATAACATCGCTTAAATCAATGATGTCATATATTCCTATACTTCTTTAGATAATGATTGAGTTGAGTGAAACTCCTTCAAACCACTTATCTTGGTATTTATTTTTGGCTGCTTTAATTTCATTTTTATTCGTTATGATGCAAAAATATAGCTCTGATCTACTTAATAAATCTTTAGCAACCTCTATAAAATATTGTATTTCCTAAACCATCTCCTCTTCATCATAAAATAAACCAATAACTTTAACACTTTCAATAGAATTTTTATCCGAATCATATTCAATAGTGTTTATATATTGATCTAGTTTTTAGAATGTATTGAATTTCTAGAGTGGATTATATATTCTTTTTAAAAATCTATTAATTCTATTTACATCTAATAACTCTTAATAAATGTGGTGATTTCCTTTACCATCAAAGTATATCACAAAAGGAAATCTTTTTATCTATTTAAATTGCTATTAGAAGTTTTTATTTTATGTAAGTTCTATACGGGCTATTTTTATTTTTTGAAATTATCTGCTATTAGTTAAACTTTTTTTTATTTGATCAAATAAAATTTCATGTTCACAACAGCTTCTACATGTTTTAAGAGATGCTATCAATAAAATTTCTTGATTATTAATGATAGATGTGTAATTATTGTCTCCTAGATAAACGTCTCCAACACTATAGTAAGCAAAATTTTTTTGGCAATTATCTATAAGAAATTCAGCAGGTAATTAAATTGCATGGATTAACAAAAATGTCGATAAAAATATAATGAAGCAATAAATTATTTAACTCATGTTAACGATTGTTTGAATTAATTAATTTGATTTATTATTTAAATTTTAATTAAAAAAAGTAAGATATTTTTTATTTATTTTTCAAAAATTATTTATCTTTTCTACTGATTCTAAAAATTTTTATTTTATGTTATTAATAATATAAAATTCTATTGCTATTACCCAAAAATTTTTTTAAAAAAATAAATTTAATAGTCTATTCTATAAATCAATCATACTGAGATTTCTTTCTTTTTTTTTTCTAGAAAAAGAAAAATATTCAAATTAATGTATTTTAATTTTACTTACATCTCAAATAAATAAAAGAATCAATCATTGAAACAATTTCAAATCATATGAAATCCGATGGGTTTAGTTTTTAGCAAGATGAAGTATTTTATACCCAAAAATTTAATTATTATTTTAGCTATGAAAAGAAAATTTATTAACTTAACTTTTAAAAAGGATAGATTTTCAAACACGTTAACATCTGCATCTTTCTCTTTATTTTTTATCAGGGTAGTACTAATTAGATTGTTTTGCAATAACAATTGTTACTTAATTAATTTTCATAATGCATCAAGAGTAATTATATGGATGATCATAATTTAAATATATATCGCTTCATTGATAAATGTATTAAAAAATTTAGTTTAAGTTAAGCTCTTTTAATTTAAGAGGAAATTAAAGATATTTTCATATAATTTAATTTACAATTTACCTATAATTAGCAGAAGGCAACACTCAAAATATTTAAAACGAAAATACTAGCAAATTTTTTTAGCATATAATAAATGATTACAATAAAAGCTTCTGTTGCTAAATTTTGTATTTCGATTGCATGAAATAAAAAGTAATACAAAAATTTTACTGATTTAAATCCAAAATAAATTTTTATTAATTTATTAGCAGTCCTAATTAGATAAACAGTAAACTATTACATCATCCAAGTTACAAATAATTGCATATTTTAAAGCAAGAAATGAGGTAGAATACCACTATATTAAAGTAATTATTTGCCTTTTAATGCTTAATAAAATAAATTTCTAAAAATATAACTTTGGTGCAAAATAATCTTATAAGAAATCTTAAAAGATAATTGATTTTTTTGGCTTATAATTCTAATTCTTTTACTTATTTAAATATATCAAGATAGATAAATAAATAATAATATAAAATGATGATATATGCAGGTGCAAAATATAGCCTCAAGATAATTAAATTATGGATTAATCTTCTATTTATTTTTAGAAAAATTCAGAAAACATAAACAGAAAAAGGATGTTTGTTTGTTTGTTTGTTTGTTTGTTTGAATGTTTTTTAAAGGTTTAAATGAATTGGATTGGGGAAATGAAAGTGATATTTAGTACTAATAATAATAAAAAAGATTAACGCTGCTATAAGGAAATCTTTATTTATATCATTTTTAGAAGGATAAAAAAAAATATAATAATTAAAAATTTAAAAAGCAAAAAGCAAAAATAACTTGCATATTTTTTGAGAAAGATAAAAAATCAAAAAAGTAAAATCTTTCTAAGGGAGAAGCTTCGTTGATAATACAGCCTAGCCACAGTTCACTAAGGAATCATAAAATTGAAAACAAACAAGTCCAAAATCTATATCAATTCTAAAAACAAAACATAATTATCAAAAAAATGAGCAAAATTAATCCTAATGTTGACAATATCTAAAATATGGGCGCACATATCATGCTCGATTTCCACAATGTCGAAAAAATCGATTTGAGTGATGCTAAAAAAATCTAAGGCATTTTCGAAGCAGCTCTCAAATTGACTGATTGCAACGTTTGTGACAAAAGAGTTAAAGTATTCCCTGACGGATAAGTATCTCTTATTTTCTTATTGAGTGAATCTCATATGAGTTTCCACTCATGGCCCTCTGAGAAATGTGCAACTGTTGATTTCTACAATTGTGGTTAAAACAGTCGCTTTAATTGCAGAACTGTTGAAGAATAGCTCTGCAATGCTTTCGGCTGGGAATGTTGCACATCCAACATTATTATGAACCGTGGTACTGAAGCTAAGCTTATTACTAATGATTACTCTCATAAGACAGATATTTTCAAAGGCTTAAGAGCAATCACCAGAGTAAGATCTAGATTCTAAGACATCCGTGTCTACGATTCTAAGTACTTAGGAAGAGTCCTCGTCATCGATGGCTAAGTTTAAATGTGCAATGGTTTACCTGATAACTATTCTAATGATATGACTGAAACAATCTTTAACAAGGACACTGAGTACGATAACGTTTTAATCATCGGTGGTGGAGATCTCAAAATTGCTCATAAGCTCTACAACGAATACCCTAAGATCAAAAAAATCACTCTCTGCGAAATTGATCCCATCGTAATTTAAAATAATTCATTTATTAAGATTATCATAAGAAATATATAATTATTTTTATACAGATGCATAAATAAATCTGAATCTATTTTGATTTGGAAATAGATCAATCAATCAATATCTTTAAATTATTCTTTTAAAAATATTAAATAAAAACAAAGAATATTTCTTATCTTAAATATTGTTTGCACTAATACCTTCTTGCATAGTTTTCAAGATTCCAAATTAATCAGAATTATTTATTTTTTTATTTTTTTAAAATTAACTAATGAACTAAATTTATAAAATGTAATTAGGTTATGGAAATCACTGAATAGTATTTCCCTGAATTGTAGCTTACAGAAGAAATGAAGTAAAAGATTGAAATCATTAATGTTGATGGTAGTGAATTCCTTAAGTAAAGTGGGGATTTGAAATACGATGGTGTTATCGTTGATTGTTCTGATGTTTGTGGAGATGATTCTTTGTCTTGCTCCCTCTTCACAAACGACTTCTACAAGAGACTTTTGGGTGCTTTGAAGCCTGGTGCTTCCTTCTCTTAAATGTTAACTATTGATGAAGTTAAGCCTCAATTCATTTCTATGATTGAAAACAGTGGCTTTGAATGCAATATTGACTTCGTCATCACCCAAACTCCTGAATATGGAAGTTGCACCCCTATTGGTGTCGTCACCCTCCCTAAAACTTTAAGAAGCCAAAGAAATTGAGTTCCACGGATTTTCTTAAATCTGTGAAACTCCTAATCTTATTTTACATCAAAAATAATTTGATGCTAAAGTTATTTAAGGTGATTAGTTTAGTAGAAAAGAAATACTGCAAGAAAGCAAGCTATAGTCTAGATTATATAAATAGAGCAAATAGCAAAAAAACATTAGAAAATATGAATTTAGTTCAGCAGCAAAAAGAGTAAATAGCTTTTCTTTAATTGATGAAGAGAAATTAAATAAAGCTTTGGAAAGAACATTTAAATGAAATAGAAGAGAAAAGAAGAAAAATTTGTTAATCTAAAAATAAAAATCATAAATAAAATTAGTTTGAGCAGGCTTGCAATTTCCCTACCTACCAAAGTAATCACCTAAGCACTTAAATAAATAAATATAATTACATTAAAAAATAAATGTAAAGATTATATAAAAAAAAAATTATAAAAAATTATAATATATTTTAATAGTATTTTTATTATCTTCATATATAAATAACATTTTCATTGAGAAATATCTTTTAATATCAATTCATTTTTAATAGATTATTTATTTATTTAAATGATGCTTAAATGCATTATGTCTAGTCTTTTTCAAAAAGAATTTTAGATAAAAATTATTTTATATTCTTTGTGTAATCAAATTGAATTTAGACCAAAAAAAACTGGAAGCACTATTAGTATTTTCTTGCTATAACTAATTCTAATCATATAGATGTAAAGCTATTGTTTGTTAAATAGAACCAAATAAAATTGTAAAAGTAAATAGATTGAGATCTTTAGCGAAAGAACCTTTTAATTAAAAGAAAATTCTTATTATTCATTAATCATTCGCTTTATTTTACAAATCCAGATTAAATTTAAGATGATCATTTCGTTATTAATTAGAAATTACAAAGAAAAATAGAAGAATAAATGTGTTTTTATTTGTCAAGAAGAAAACAAAATTAATTAGAAATTATGAAGTTAAAATTAATCTTTTAAATATTTTTGTAAATATTAATTTACCTTTATTTGTTTTACCTTTTTGTTTTTTTTATTTATGAATCCATTTTTCTATTATCAATTTATGTTTTATAAAAATTCACATGAAATCTGGCTGAGTGAGTTTTAAGTATTCTTGTGCTTTTAAGCTATTTAAGTCGAATATATTTTATATTACGATTACAGCTTAACATATCAAATAATTATATTTGTGAGGTCCTTTCAAAATAATTTGAATAACCAAGATTTCTGAATACATTTATATGGCTAAATCTAAAAAGAATTCATCAAAAAATTTTTTGATAAAGCTAATTTTTCTAATGTTAAATTTGACTAAATTTATTAATTATGAATTTCCTATAAATTCATTCTTTATAAAATTAATTATGTACTAAAACTAAAATAATCTGATACATTTAAGAATATACCAACTTATATTATTTATAAATTATAATCATAAATTTCATAGCAAAGTTTTTAAAAAAATGTTTATGATAAAAAATTGCTAAAAATATCTTTAATTCTTTCTTCTATTTAATGAAAATTAAAGCATTAATATTTTGAAATCTACATGCTCTCAATAATTAGCCATTTAACTAAAAAAATAAAGCATTAGATAATAAAAAATAAATTATTGATTGAATGAATTATTATATAAAGAAAGTGGATTAAAGTAAGAATAAATAAATATTTAATTTATTTATTTAAATGGAACCAGAATTTGTAATTAATGAATGAATGAATTAACTACTAAAATATATAAATTTTATTATAGCAACTTAATATATACAAAATATTTATTTTTAAAGTAAAGACAAAATAGTTTATAATAAGCATAAAATTTTTATTTGAATTATTTATTTATATATTCATTAATGCATTTCTTTTCATAAGTAACTCGCATACTAGCTTGTTAATATTCAAGTAAATATTTTAAAAAATATTTTATTATTTATTTATTCACTCAATCAATCATAAAATACTTTTTTTAGCTTATTAGAAGTAGTTAAACTCTAGCCTACTCTGTAGGGGCTTTTCGAAGCTGTTTATTTTCTATAACTATTATCCAATATATATGATTAGTTCTAATTTATATTAATATTTGATGAAACCATATTTGCAGAGTTTGAAGAGTTGTAGTAATCTATTTCATCAGAGCCAATTTGTTTCCAAATTTAAGAGTTAAAAGCCAATATTCGCTTCTTACCAAAGTAACAATGGTCAGGAGATTTATCCATAATTATATTTTGCAAGCTAAAAATTACTCCTCCAAGGACAATAGGGTTTTGCCAAAATGTACCTGCTCTAGGCAAAGGTTTTAATAAGATCACATCACATTCTTCGCTATACATTCTGATTAAAAATACGTTCTACAGCTTATTACTATGATTAGATCCTCCTAGCAAAATTATTTCATCTTTATTTACTTAGCAAGATCCACAGAAACTTGGTAACTTCATAGTTATATGATTAGGAATTATATTAAAAGGTATTATTTTCCATTCATTTAACTAAATATCATATCTCTCTATAGTATTGCTTAATGTAAATATGTCAGTATTTCCACCAAATTTAAATAAAAATCTATTAGAGAATTAGCTCAGAGAGCAGCCACTACATTTTTAATTTAAGCTGCTTATTTACTCCCACCTTCCTATTTCTACATCAAATCTAATATTAAATATTTTTTTTAATCAACTTATTTTGATTTAAAAATTTTTAAATTTAACTCTTTAAATTTACAAATATTTTCTTAAAAATTATTTTTATTTACCTTTCGCATTTATCTAAGCAAGTATTATCCTGATTTGTAGAGCCTCCACAAACATAAATATAACCTTCACAAAATGCAATACCATGATTGGATCTAGGATAATACATGGAACTGATAGGTTCAAGTGTAGCTTATCTATAGTTTAACTTATAACATGTATTAAGTACGTAACTTTTTTAATTAACATCTACACCTCCAGTAATATAAGTATCCCCAAATGGTGTCATAACACTTCTATGGTACATAGGAATTTTGAATTAAATATTTAAAATTTATTGTTAAAATTGCTGTGTTTAAGAATCTTTGCTAAGAGTTTCAAGATCTAAATAATGAAATATTTTAGAATTATCTTGGAAGAAATGAAGAAATTTTCTTGAAGTTTAAGGTGAGAAGTAGTCTGCTTATTCTAATAGTATTTATGGATAGCTCATAAGCTAGCTATTTTCTATATTTTGAGATTATGAAATTCGCTCATCTCCATGCTGCGAAACAGATGGTCTTTAGCTTGAGGGATTTGAAGTAGTATAGGGGGTATATTTTTCTTCTGTTATTTTTTTAAATAAATAAATAAAAATTTTTTTAAAAGTAAACTTAATTTACGAGAATTGCTAGAGACAAAATTTCTTTAAGGTTCTTAGTAAATGTTTTATGGATTTTATAAACTTCTTATTATATGGTTGTTCTTACGCATAGAATTGACTGAATTGGAATTATTTATTGATTATTATTATTATTATTACTATGATATTTCTCTATCTGTTTATTATCCAAACGTTGTTACTTCATTAAATGTATACATTTTTTTCTATTATCCTTCATATTGTATGTTGCTTGAAATTGATCTAGAACCTCTAAGTCCAACTTAATCTTAAGCTTTTACGCTATTTCTATTCGGACTTGAATCTCTGCTTAAATTCAAACTTGGCTGATTTGAAGAAATGTATGGCTGTCTAGATTAAATTTATTCTTCTCTTAGATTTCCATTTTACATTTACTATTGCTATTAGCGTTAACTTTTAGGTAAATGCATAAATTAATCTAGACCAATATTACTTGATTTGGATATTTATGAATTGCTAAGAGCTTAATTTATACTTTTTTATAATTACTATGATTAGGGTGGTCTTTAGGAAATTAATGTTTTTGGTTTATTTAAATCATTTAACGATTCTATATTCTAGAGAGATTATCTGTTTATATTTTCATTAGCTTGTGAGACATGGTTTCCAACTTACAAAAATGATTAAGAATTTAACTTTTAGTTAGAAGAAAAATTATTTCTTTGTTAATGACTGACAATAGTTGATAGAACAGTTTAGTTATGCTTTTTTAAAGGCGATTAGTGTTTACTTTAAAAAACATCAGCCTTACTTATCTCCAAAGTTTTATTGATCACTCCATCCATGTTATGAGGTTTTAAAAAGATCAATTTTTATATTTCAATATTCAAAGAGTACATTTTTGATTCATCAAATTCTACTTCAAATAATTCTGATCCGCTTTTTTCAACAACTTCATTGATTTCTTGCTAAATTTTTTCATAATTGTGGTCATACTCACCTGATAATATCTATTTTATTATTTTAAATGAAAAATAAATTAATATTCCATAATAAGCTTATTCAATCAGAATAACAAATTTAATTAATTTATTAATTGATTGATTGATCTATTTCTTACTTAGATTATTGCTTTTATGAAATCTTCAGAGTTTAATAAATCTTCCATCTTTGCTATATCTTAAATTATTGACTGTAATTTTAATTCTAAGTTTTTCTATTTATCAACTGTTGTGCTCTGTTTTGAATAAACTATTTTTTATTGCACATGTTCTTAAATATCTTTAAAGTATTGCTCCACTACAAAAAGGACTTTTTCTTTTGCTATTTAAATTTTCTCTAAAGATTATTTTAATAAATTGTCTCTTGTAGAATCTCCAATTTATCCGAGCACTTGAATTTCTTGGCTGAAGAGATTAGTTTACTCTTTCAGTATTTCAATACACTAATCTCTTTTATTAAATATTGTGTCAATATTAGAAGATGTTCCTTCATTATTGTGAAGCTATGTATGGACTCGAATGCATTCAGCACAAAGTGGCTCTAAGCAACCTTCTGCCGTGCACATGTTAGATATGTCAAATTCCTAATGTGCAGGGCATGGTATTTTATGATTTCTTTTCTTCTGGCCTTGAGATAAAGTTGATTTGCTAGGCGATAGGGCATTCAATTGTTTATGAGTAAGCGGAGATATATCCCTGACTTATGTAAATGGTGTAGATTATATTGATTATGCTGATTGAGAGAGCTATGCTATTTTTGCACTTTAAAAAATAGTTGAATTATTTGCTTAAGTCTAAATTGGTCTCATTTCTGGAGATGGAACTGCAGTATCTCCTATTTTTTAAATACTTTAAACTTAATTCATCTTCATTTTCAAATTTTAATAATCTATGAATTATTAAAAACAAATTTAAGTTTCTTTCTTTACTATTTGTTAACTTTAAAATTTTGATTATTAATTTCTTTCGAAAATCTGTTGCTATGATTGATTGATTTATTAACTCTATAATCTTAATCATTTCAGCATAAATAAACTCTGAGTTAAAAATTTTAACGTATATATTGATTCCTAATTTAATGGTTGCAATATCTTGGTATGATTTTACAATATCTAAATATCTATCTATCTAGATATCAATTTATCTAAAATAATTCATTTATTTTTAATGAATTTTGAGAAAATAATTTTAATAAAAAAATAGCAAAATAAAAATATTATATAAATAAAATCCATTAATATAATTTTAGAAAATGATGAAATAAAATTGCTAATAACTAATATATAACACAAATATAATTTGAGGGAGAATTTATATAATTGCGATAATAACTTTAACTAATTTCAGAAATTCTTTTTTTCCATTACTCTCATCTCCATCATATACAAGGTAACACAACTTGTAATGCATAAACCGACTAAAAATTAGAAAACTCCAGTAATGCTTGAGAAAGATTTTTGCAAGAACAAGATTAGTGTTTAGTAGCCAGTACCGAAACCGATGAGATTGGTAAAGATTAAAAAGATAATATAGGAACCTCCACAGAAAGCACAAATATACTTCCAATAGAAAGTTCTGGTATATTTGTAGAATCTTGGCTTCTTAACCAATTGCTTTACTCCTATTTCTGGGATTAAACAGAGGCAGATTCCCCAAGCCCAGAGGATTAAATTGATATTCAAATCATGCCATATAGCAACATATGTGAATACAATCCAGATGTTCCAGTGCTTTGTTTTTGAACCACCGCAAGGTAAATAAATATATCTATTATTTAAATAAAATCCAACTTAATAAGTGCTTGCTTTTTATTAAATAATTTTTACCTAATTAACCATTAGTTGAATCCTCTGTGCCATGATCTCCAAAATCCTTCAAAACAATAATTATTATTCACGCATCTATTCATATTTTCAGGAACTTCAATGTCATCCCAGAGAGCCCAGCATCTTGAGTATTTCCATAAACAGTTAAACTTTTACCAAATAAACATCAAGGTGTTGAATCCTAAATAATAAAACAAACAAAAGGATTTTAATTTAATTAAAAAAGTAAATGTTTATTTTTTTGTATTACCACACATAAATAGCTCCATAGAGTCCATTTTTCTCCAAATTTTTTCGTTTTCACTTCTTGTGGCCAAAGCAAATCCAAAGTTAATATGAATCCAGATTTCGAAAACAACATAGATAAAAATGGTTCTTAAGGTGTATTTTAGCTTATCTTTGAATGTGTGAGTCTACTGAGGACTCTTAATTTAGCTATAGAAAGCATTGAAAGTGATTGGTGGACCTTAAATCAAAACTGGTAAATAAAGCATGTAACTATAAAGTGTAAGCAAATTATATTCATCAATTTCATGGAATTGTTCTTATCTTTCCTTAAGGCAAATTATCTTATTTTAGCATTAGGTGCATTCAGCAAAATGCTTGTCTTTCTTCAATGACCTAAATTGTAACTTAGCCCAATGCTTTATTTTTTTAAAAAACATATGGTCAAATTTATTTCAATTTTAATTACAGTTTAATTTTTTTAAGGGAAACTTTAACGAGTCATTTTTTGTAAACTTAAAAAAATTTATTAAAGCCTTTGATTAAAGGATTAATTTATAATTTAGTAACTTTAAAAATCAAAATTTCAAAAGAATGATCAATCTAAGTTATTAGTTCTTCTTTTTTAATAAGAAATACCAAATTTAATTCATATTCTTTTGTTTGCAATCTTGAAGTTTTAAATAAATTTTATAAAAATTACCATATCCATGCAAAAAGAAATGACTCTCAACATGGTCATATTATACATAATATGCCAAGATACTACTTGATCTTTTCTTGAATCTTCTAATCCTTGCAATAAATCAGTATGGAAAAAGTGAACAAGATTGAATCCATGGTACTTGTCATTTAAGAAGATTAAAGCTATGTTGAAACCCCATAAAAGAGCAGGGAATATCTTTTGTCCTGAAAACAACTTACCTAATGTAAAGTTTATAAAGGTAAAGAAGAGCCAGAATAGGAAGCCACCTCTAAACATGTAAATAAACATAGAAGCACCCATAGTTATGTTGAAAACCATAAGGGCAGTCTTCGATTTTTAGGTAGTACAGAACATTTTAACGCCCTTTGATAAGATAAGAAAAACGATTGTTGCTGAAAGCAAAATATGGAAATTCTCTATAAAGGATCTCCATTATGCATCAGACTTATCTTGGTAATAACCTAAAGGGCCCATTTCTACTCCTAAAATAGGGGTTTGTAGATTTTACTCTACAGTCTTTAAGCCGAACTTAATCAGCCAAAAAGACCATGCTGATGCACCAATAAGGACCATGAGTTTTTCAATTTTGTTTGTCTAAAAATACTTAATGTCATCATCTATTGCCTACTTTGCTGCATCTTGTTTAGCTTTTTGATCAGCCTTGTTGTCAATCAAAGCAGCTGATTCAATAGGATCGTTTCTTTGTGAACCTTTTACTATCATATTTATAATTTAATTATCAAAAATATGTAATTTAATTAAATATAATTTTTTGATAAATCCTTCACTTATTATATCAGCACAATTGAATTAATTTGACTAGCTAGTTTGCTGTTTAGACAAAATAATCAAGAAATTATACATTAAGATAAGATATAACTAATATATCGCATAAGCTAAATAATTGTATAGAACAATCGTGTGATCAAAACATCAATATATACATAAATTTTAAATAAAGAATATAGCTTCATTATTACATTCACTGAAAAGATTACTCCTTTTATTTACAGTTTTAACCTAATTTATCTCAACTAAATTATAATATTGTCTTCCCTAAGTGTTTTTTTTTGCATAGCTAAACTATGCTTTAATGTAATAATGAAGCCCATCTAAGAAGCCGTTTGAGCATTTATTGATGTTGCAGTTTGTAGTTGAGAGAATATTGATTAATTGTAATATTAAGAAAATAAATTTTTTTTATTCCCCCGTCATCAATAACAAAATATACAAATAAGTATTAATTAATTGTGATGTAAAAATTAAATTAGTACGATATAATTTTTATCTCTTGAAGTGAACACTAAATTTTTTAATAATTAATTATGTTTACTATTTGTTTCGAACATGTTAATTATATTACTAACTAATATTTTTGTAATTTCAAGATCTGAAATACTTTAAAAAGTGTAATCAAGTTAAATAAATTTTTAGTATTTAATAAATTAAATAATTAATTTTTTATTTTATATAAAAATACTTTCTAAACATGTTTTATTTTAAATAATAAATAATTCAATTTTTTTATAATTTTTTGCGCTCATTCAAACGAGCTAAGGCTTATTTTTTTTTCTCTTCTATTTCTTATATTCTATCTTACTTCTCTTTTTATATTTCTTCATCTGTTTTTTTCTTCTAAATTATTTCTTATTTATTTTGATTCTAATCTAATCCCGCTAATCTTTTAGCATTTACATTCTTTATCATGGGTATATACGGCGAAACCCAAAAGGGATCTATCTATGAAACGTATCTCATAACTCCTCTAACTTGATTCGTACCACCCAGTTCTGTAAAAATTACATGAGGAGGATAATTTTAAGTTATTGAATAAACTGATTGAGGGTCTATATCAACAACATTTCCTTCTGGATATATAAGCAAATAACTATCAGTGCTATTTTAAACTTTTCTAGCACTATTATAATAAAAGCCGCTAGCTAAGGCTAACCTAAAGATATCAGATTGAGTCAAGACAGGATTTTATTATTTTTAATTTTTTTGATCAAATTTTTCATTATATTTATCTTCCTTTTTTTAAGAGTTACTTTTGCTTTTAGAATCTGAATCTTTTTTTTCTCTATTTTCTTTATAATATAAATACATAGAATCTTCTTTATAGAATTTTTTTAAAACATCTTTATCAATATTCTTTATTAAGTCATTTATTTATATTTTGATATTCTCTCCTTATTTCAAGGCTCTTATGTTAAAGAAGTTTGATTTAGCATACCCATCTGAGCACTTATTTCTCTTCCATGAATAGTAAATATTTAATAGACTAAAGTGATCTCCGTCTGGATCAGCAAATCTTTTTAAACATTCTTCAAACCTTTCATAATCTTATGCTCTAACTCTTGATGGTTTACTCCAAATTTGCTCAGATGAGAGCAAAGCAACTAAAGTTATCATTTCATCTTCGCAACGGAGCATATAGCTAGTAAGAAGAGACTTAGCATAGGATGGCTCTAAAGGAAATTTATTCATTTCTTTACCCAAATCTGTAATTCTTCCATCTTGTTCTATAGCCTGTAGAAAATAAAGTTATTTCAATGCTTGAAGCAACTGCTCTCTATCAGGGTGTTCCATATAATCAAAATTAATTACATCATGTATTCCCATACTCTAATAAATTAAATAAAAATAATTATTAAACTTATCCAACCAATAAATAAAATATTTTAAAAATATTTATTTATTTACCTTTAATGTTAAGACAACACTATTCAATGAAACTCTTTTTATTTCTGGCACTGTATGTGGTTTCATGTCTTCATCATAAAATTTTTTACTGTAAAGTCTAAAACAAAGACCTTCTTATGTTCTACCAGCTCTACCAGTTCTTTACACTGCTTGAACTTATGAAATAGGAACTACTATCAAAGCATCCATACCTGTCCTTGGGTTATAGCACTTTTATTTTACATATCCACAATCTATTACAAATCCTATGTTATCAATAGTAAGAGATGTTTCTGCTATGTTTGTTGAAAACACTACTTTTCTGCAATTTTCAGGAGTTTTCATAAATATTTATTGCTAGTCTTCTGAACCTAATGATCCATAAAGTGAAAATATCATCATGCCTGCTAACTCAACTCCATTCTCTAAATCTTTTTATAACCTCTCTATACATTAATTCTTTGCTATTTCACATTCTTCTGATCCAGTTAAGAAAACTAATATATCGCCAGGACCTTCATTTAAATGAATTTTCATTATAATGTTTATACTTTCCTCAATCCTCAAATTCATTAAAATAGGCTTGTATCTAACTTCCACATTATAAAGCTTTCCTTTCATAGAAAGTACAGGGCAATTATCAAAAAACTTTGAAAATTAATCAGTGTTTAGAGTGGCAGATGTGACAATTAACTTTAAGGAACCTTATCTTTTTTTTACAGCCTATTTGATTAAAGCAAAAAGAACATCAGTATACAGACTTCTTTCGTGAGCCTCATCCAATATAACAACATTATATTTACTGAGAGTATCATCTTGCAGACATTCTCTGACAAGGATACCATCAGTCATATATTTTAAATGAGTCTTTGAAGAAGTTTTATCATCAAATCTAATAGTATATCCTACATCATCTCCTAAGCTTACATTTCTCTCATAACATATTCTTTTAGCCATCGATATAGCTGCAACTCTTCTAGGCTATGTAATTACTACACTCACTTTGTTATCTTCATGCAAATGGTTAAGCTTAGACTTTTTATTGTTTTACAAATCATATTTTTTCTAATTTTCTTTAAGCACATCTAAAATCTCCTATGAATCTAAAATATATTGAGGTAGCTGAGTAGATTTACCAGAACCAGTATCACCAGTAATAACACAAAATAAATTATTCTTTACTATTTCAATAATCTTTTGTTTATGTTCAGTAATTGGTAAACTATTCCTAAAATCTTCTATACTTTAGGAAGGGTCCATTTTATCAATACCAATAATAAATACAATAATTACCAATTAATTTGTTTATTAATTATATTAACTCTTTGTCTAGATATTATAGTTTCTTCTAATGCATATCATAGCAATAACACAATGAAATTTTAAAATAATATTTTTTCAAATTAAAATAATTTAACAAAAAAATTATTTTGAATTATTTATTTATTTATTTAATTCATTTTAGAAATTTTTATATTTAATTTTGGTAACATTTGAGTTTAAAGTTTATTAATAATTTATAATTCGAGTATATTATTTATAAGAGTTCCAAACATGTTTCATTAAAATAAAATATTTATTAATATAATTTAGAAAATTGGTAAATTATTACGAAAATACCTAACACATATAAATTTTATTTCTTATAAAAATGTTTATTATAATATTTAAATTAATTAATTGAGATATAATTTTTATTGTATTGAATTTTTAACTCAGCAGCATTATGCTGATTTTTATTATTATTTTTAAATAGTAGCACCACCAGGCTTAAGATGAGATTTTTATTTTTATGTTTCAAATTAAATTTATTTGTTTTATTTTATATATTACTAAATGAGGTCTTGACTCAATTAAATAAAGCATTGATCTACATTTTATTTTGATTTAGCAGAAGTTTCAATATATTACATATCTAGTTCCTAAGCGAGATTACATGCTTCTTCATAAGTCACTGCTCTTTATTCTTCCAGATCAGCTTTATTACCTACTAAAATTAATTTAACTTCATTTTTGGCATTTTGTTTACACTTATCAAACCACTTATAAACATCTTGGAATGTTTGACGATCTGTTAAATCAAATACAATTAAACATGCATGTATTCCCTTGTAATAAGCCTTAATTATAGCATCAAATCTTTCTTAACCAGCTGTATCCCAAATATTAAGCTTTACTATTTTGTTGTCTACAGTAAATGAACGAATTTTAAAGTCAACGCCAATAGTAGGAATGAGTACTACATTAAATACATCGTCTGTAAATCTCATCATCAAAGAACTTTTACCGACTGATGAGCTTCCAGTAATAGCAATTTTAAATGCATAATCGTAATCTTGTTAAAGAGACATTTTTTTGATTTTTTTTTTTAGTATAAAATTTATTTATGGGTTTGAGTTTATGATAATTTATCTTGGCCTTAATGTCGATATAAAATACCATTCTATTTGTTAAAATCTGATTGATTTTTTATTTGAAAATGTGAGAATTTACAAAAATATAGATTATAGATTTAATCAGATTATTAACTCCAATATATTTCTTTATTAAAATTTTGAAAATTTATCTGACAGAAAGTGAAATAATAAGCCAAAGTCCAAAATTTTAATTACCTCGTCTATCAGCCTATCTAGTTTAATTTAATAAATTATAAGATCCTTCAAATTTTTATACATTTTATGAAGAAATATTAACACAAATACCATTTAATGGTTTTCTATTTTATATTTTGTTGAATAAACTTAATGTAATAGAAAACTAATGGTTAAATTTTAATATAGAACGCTAATATATTTTTTAGTAATTAAAGTAGAAATAATCAACTTATTGAAAAGGATAAAATGAAAGTTACAAATATATAAAAGTAGATTATAAATTTAAACAATTTAATAGTAAAAAAGATCAACAAATAATATCCATCTAATGCTAACTAGATAGTTATCTAAAAATGGCAATATAATTTTAACTTTCATTAACTATTTTATTTTATTTTTAAGCTTTATCAATAAGTTTTTTTAATAATAATATCAATAATTTGATTTGAATTTGGACAAAAATAATCAAATTATTATCTCAAGTTTCAATCTATTGTATAGAGTCTACTTTAATTTAAAGCAAAGTATATAATATATATATGTTATGAATTTCTTTTAATGAAACAAAAAAATAGGATTAAATCTTATTATTTTTTAAAGATAGAATGAAAATAAAATAATAAACTTAACAAACGAATCATCAATATTTAATATAATTAATTTCAAATATATTAATCAAAAATTGGCATTCATTTTCGGTAATCTTCGCAAATATTATCCTAATTTTAATATCAAGTTTTAAAAATGATTGAATGACAATTGAGACAACTAAAAGAAAGCTAAATTATACAATTTTCATTAATTTTACTAAAAAGATTTTTATTTATACAATATTTTAAAAATAAAATAAATAAAGTTTTTTTGATTCTCTTTTATTGCCTAAAAACATTTCATTATATTACTAAGTTTCTTAAAATTTGTTAGATAAGCATTAAAGTTTATAAACAATGAGTTTTTCTATAATTTTAATAATCCTAAATGAAATAAAAAATAATGAAAACCCTCATATAAGCCGTCATGATAATTGAGTAAAATTATTTAAAATAAAATAAATAAATGTCACATGCTACAAAGTTTTTCAAATTAAATAAATTATTTCATTATATAAAATATAAAATAAATACATTATTTTTTAAATATTTAAATGAATTAATTATGAGTAAGTAATTTAGAATTTTTTTTGAATTTTCTTCGTTTTGATACACTCACATATAACGAGTAATATACTTAAATTAATTTTTATAAATATAATAATCCCATACAGGTGAATAAGTATATTATTAATTTTTATTTGAATAATTTTAAGTAAGTTAAAAAAAAATAATTTTTTTAAATTAAAAGAAAATGAATGAGTAATTATACACTAATTTTTGTATATATAAAGTATATTATTTTCAAAATGAATTTTTACCTATATTCTCAATACATTTTTTTGTTACCAATCAATCTTGTGGTTTTTGTAATTTTATTAATTTTTTAAGTTCTTAATAAATTCATTAATTAAAATAATAGAGTTTACAATACACAAGAAAAAAGACAGACTATTTCTACTTTTACTTTACCAAAGGAAAAAATAAAAATATTGTTGCATTTAGATTAACCTAATCAGAGGAAATAAAAATGCTAGAAGCAATCAAACTACTTAAAGGTTAATCTTCATTTTCTGTAAAGAGTTAGGTTGTTGGATAATTAGATTCACCAAAAAATTAAACTAATAAGGTAGTAGCTAATAATAAATTTTCAGCAAGAAATATATTTGTAAATGCAAGACTAAAAATAAGAGTGGCTAAGCTGCTTAGTGCTCTAGCTACACGAAGATTCAATAACTTTACACCTTATTTATTTTAAAAAATTAATGATAAAGCATTTTATAACACTCATACAAATAAAGTACAGGAATTAATAAAAATCTAAGTAGAAGATGAATATTAATCAAACCTTCTGCACAAACAACTATTAGCAAACAGAAGAAACTCTAAGTTGAGTAAAGATAAGCATTTTTGCTCTTATCTAATTTAGCGCATATAGTTCATCTTGGAAAATATTCCTATAATTAATCCAAACTCTCTGCCTAAATTGCTTTGGGATTCTCTTTTAAGTTTTGTAATTGTTGTGATGTTGACAGTGGTTCCAGTTAAATTGGCAGTTTAAGATTATTTTCTATCCTACTACTTAGGAACAGAGCTTGTTTTAATACTTATTATAATTCTAACCATTATTGATATTATAATAAATTTAAATACCGCTTTTTTTAGAAATGGAAAAATTGTAGTTAAAAGGTCATAAATTGTAGTGAATTATTTAAATTAAGTAGGAATATATGATTTTTTGATAATGTAAGCTCTTGTATATGAATTAGGATAATCTTACTCAAACAATGCTGTGATAAGTCTATCATAGGACCTGAAAAAGAACTGGTTTTATCAAGCTTAATAAATTCTCCTTTTACTCTTATTTTATGTGAAATCATAAAAGTTAAATAAATTCTTCTACAAAGTAGAAGAGATGCTGAGCTTTAAAAGAAGAACGACGAACTTTCTTTCATTAGTAAAGCTTTTATTCTTTATTTTAAAAGTAGGACACATTTTTGCATGCTTATGGCTTTTTGTGGGGAGAGAAGACAAAGATAATTCTTGGCTGAAAAATTTATCAGATGATTGGAAAGAATAATATATAAAATCTTTCTATTTTATTGCAGTTACAATGACTACTATCGGATACGGAGACATTGTTCCAACTAATTTGACTGAAACTATCATAAGCATATTCAGTATGATCATTGCAGCTGGTGTTTTTGGCTATACTATAAATAGCATAGGTACTATATTTTTATAATTAAAAAAAGAAGATGAGCAAATCCAAGAAAATCTTTTTACTATTAACCGTTACATGAGCGAAAAAAATATTACTAGAGAATTGTAGCAATCTATTCGTGAATATTTAGAATATTATTGGAGTTAATGGAAAGATGACAACTCCTAAGAGGAGTAAAAAATAATTTAATAACTTTCAGAAGAGATGAAAATGTCTTTATTAATGCAGGCAAATAAAATCATATTAAATGATTGCTAATTCTTACAGAAAAATTTTACTTAGGAAGCTCTATAAAATTGTGTCAAATTAATCAAAGAAAAAAAACTCACACCAAACGAGTTTTTAATAAATTCAATGGAAGATAACAGTAAGAATGGTATTTTATTTTTTGTAGAGAGAGGAGAAATAGATATTTATTAGGAGTTCTCACTCACCTAAATTTCAACATTAAATTAAAGTGATTAACCATTTACGAATCCATTATAGAATATTTCAAACTATTTAAATATAAGTTAAAATTTACAAGGTTAAATGTCACAGCAATAACAACAAGTAAAAATGCAAAATGAATAAAGTAACTTAATAATTAATGAGACATCACACTCAGAAAGTAACAAGGCAAAGATGCATGTTTGCACTATAAAAAAAGGATAATACTTTGGAGAGAATTCATTTTTTACTAATTTTAATAACAGGTTTATAGCTAAATCTAGAGGGTTTTCAAAAGTTCTCTATATCGAGAGAGATTAATTTATAGAGTATCTTAAAGCTAACCATTTTAATGATGACTATGAAAAATTTTGCCATCTAAGAGATAGCATAATTTAAAATGACTTATAAAACTTACATTAAAAATGTAGTATATGTAAGAATTTAGAACATAATCCTTTGCAGTGTTCTTATGTTCATCACCAACCTTTAAAACTAATTGTACTAAAAAGATACAACTGCAGCAAGGATATAAAAATTAGAGAGAAATATAATAGAAGGAAAGTTAAACAAAAAAACTGTTTGTCACATCTTGATGAAATTTATGAATAATTTGAAAAATTTATTCAAAAAAATGAAAATTATATTGAAGAAAACATAAAATTAGTAGATTATACAATCTCAGATTTATCAGACGATTTTGATGAAAGTGAACAAAGCAGTAGCAATTAAGAAAGCTAATCAACAATTCAATAAGAATAAAATAACTTAAGTAATTAGTTAAGCTAATTTTAGTAATTATAAAATGAGAATAATAAAGTTGAAGAAGATTTACATTCTTTCTAAGAGGTAGAAGCAGATGACAACACTAGCCTGTTTAAGCATACTACATAAACCAAAAAATTAAAGTAATAAGAGAATAAATTTAGATGTAACTAGGCGTTACCAAACAAATTTAAATAATCTTAGAGAGCTAATTATTTAAGATCGAGAACAGATTTAAGAGCATTAACTATGAAGGTAGTAGAAAACTAATCAGATAGTTCTCATAGTTCAGAGAAAGAAAGCTAAAAGTAAGTTGAATAAAAATCGCATGAGAACATTATAAGTTAAAAAAAAATAGAGCTTAAGATAAGCAGTAATGGAATTTCTAAAATAGTAAATTAAAATAGTGGAAAAAATATAATTCCTAGCATATCTTCTTTTAAAAGGATTATGTTTTAAGATGAATAACCTAAAAGTTATGTAAAGTAACTTTCTCAAAAAAACATTGACAAGCAACCTCAGCAAAGTGCAAACACCTAGCACTAACGTTAATCCCTCAATCCATTTAATAGAATGAAATCGATAAAAGCTGGCATAATTTAAAGAACTGCTTAGAGACAAAGCAACTTTTTAGAATCTTTGCATTTCTAAAATTAAATTCAGTACGAAACAAATAACGAGAATAAAAAGAGCAGTAATTTACTAGAGAAAAAGTAGAAAGAAGAAAATATTTCATTAAAGAAATAAAGGAGAGTATAAATATTTACCACTTAAGATTATGCTGCATAAGATTATACAAATTTTCATTTATTTTAATCTGATTTTGCTTTTGTTTCTTCATTCGAAGTAATGAAGAACTACAAATTCTATTACCCGAAATTCAACTCTGATAAAATAATCAGTAAATTAAGGAGAAAGAGAATTTAAGGTAATAATATTCTTAAATTGACACTTCAAGCTAAATCAAAAATAAACCAAGTAAGAAGGGAGAGTATATTCTAAATATTTTAAACTTAATTAAATGTCATAAAAAACAAAAGACTCTCAGATAAGTTTAGAACTTAGGAGCCCTCATCTATTTAATTAAATGAAAAAAATAATCAATAAATCTAATAATATGAATAAAGTGCCAAAGTATAATAAATTTAAGAAGAACCAAAGGATACGTTTACTGATCATATAACAGAGAAGAAATTAATTGATAAAGCTGAACCATTAAAAGTTGAACAAAAATCTAATAATAGTAGCAGCAAAAATTTCTTTAAAAATATTAAATTAAATTTATCTAAGAAACCTTTGTCTCCTCAATAAACGATGCTGATAAACATAAAAAAGAACTCGATTTCAGATGAGAATAACCTGAATTTAGATGATGAAGATTTTAATTTTGATAAAAGTCTAACTGGAAGTGGGTATAATAGATTAAAATTAAGTAGGACTCCCTCCAATTTCACTAAATTAAATTTCATAAAAAATGACAGCTAATAAATAGATGATAATTAAACTGACATCTATCAGTCAAATTTGTGATCATTTTTATTATTTAATTAAAATAATTGTTAATATTATACAATGTAAATATATAAATTTTGAAATTAAATTTATTTTTCTTATTTAAACTCAGTTATAGAAATAATATTTTATCAGTAAAAAATTGAGATTTCTTTAAAAAAAAAAAATTGCAAAAATCTTTTTTAATTAATTTATTTTGAGTAATATTTATTATAAAAATTGATTTTTAATTTCTAAAGTTTTAATGAGTTATTAGTGCTAAATAGGTGAATAAGGTAGTTGTAGGTTTAAAATTAATGACATATAGTCACAGTATGTTTGTTTATCTCCTCTTTGTCTCTAAAGATTAAAAATAATGTGCGATTAATGCAGCTCTTCCTAGCTACATTAAAATCATATAGTAGTAAAAATTGAATCTATTTTTTAGCAAAGGTAGTTAATGATTAACAATGAAATAAAGTATTATGCTCTAAATATATTTTAACTATTAGACTTGAAGTAGCGATAAAGCGATAAATTGTAAAGCTTTATTGATACCATTTAAGATTATAAAAAAGAAATGATTGAATCAATCGATAAATAAATAAATATTCAAACATAACTGGTATAGGAAATGTATAGATTGGAATCTATTACGAGTAACTACTATAATGAATAACTCTAGCTCTCTGTAAAATTAGTAGAAATTTAAATTTAAAAATTGCTGAGCCAAACGCAAATAAGTCCTAAATTTTAAATCACTAACCTAATTTAATTAGCATAAAATGATTTTCAATAATTTTCTTCAAGATTAAACAAGAAAGACGAGCTAGAGGAAATACATGCTTGCATTACAAAAAATTTCAAGCATAAGGATTTTGAAACAAAGTAAAATGAAGATTTATTAGATAGATTAAAGTTAATAACAAACTTTGATTAATATGAATATTTGTAAAATGATATATAAGAAAATAAGAGTGCAATAAGTATGAGATATTCACCCTAGTATAAATAATTATAGAGTTAATTATCTAGTTTTTCTGATAGCTTAATTCCTTATATAAAATATGCTAATGATACTGCCCTATTTGATCAGCTTTTACCCTCTAAGATGTTTTATGAAAATAATTTCAGAGTAATAATGAATAAATACTTCTCTTCTGGAGAATCGCTTGTGAATTTATAATTTAGATAGACTGATGAAAGATTCTTTAAAAAACCTCCCTTTTTATAAGAATTTTAATTCAAAAATCTACTGAGTTTAAGTGTCAATGTAGACTCACTGGATTTCAAAAATTTGATTATTTTTGTTCAAAATCATCCATAGCTTTAGAGTTTAGATATCCTTTTAAATGTAGATTAGTAATTAATTGCAACAAGTAATCTGCGTTCGCTATTCTCAAGCCAAATTTTACCAAATATATAAAAGTTGAAGATTGACATTGCAAGATTGAATTTCTCTAACTCAGTTCAAATAAATGATATATATGGCTTTTTCCAACCAATCTAGCTCTTTTTAAATTAAAAAAGAAACTCTATTTAAAACTTTGAGATTGATGGGCTAATAGAATTTAACAACAGTATTGAAGAGTTTTAATCTCTTTTTTTCAATTAGCAAAACCAAATCATGTCACACTTAAGGAAACTAACATTCTTAGTAGCAGATATTGACTTCTAATACAATTAGTAAAAAATCATGCTTAAAGACTTGCACTAGAATATATTCTCTTAAATGCCTATCCTCTAACAAATTAAACTATATAAATCAACTGAATATCTGGATATACAAAGATTTTTTTAAATGTTAAACTAGTAGTTAAAGATTAAGACTTATCTCATAAAGCTATTAATGCTTATAAAAAGTCGTCTTAAATTTTTCCGCAAAGAAATAATATACTCAATTATTGAAGATTATATAAGAACGATTTCAAACATGATCAAAATAAATACTTTTTGAATATAAATTTTCTACTTAGACTTTTTAACATAGCATTGAAAAAACAAAAATAAATACTGATTTTAACAAAAAGAAAAAAATAATAACATTTTAATCATTATTCAAATTCTAAATTTTTAAGCTTTCCTTTCTTTTCTACAGCTTTATCGTAGTCATCTACAAACTTATCAAATGCTGCTTAATCGACTGCATATAACTTAGAAAAAGCAAAGATCCATTCATCTATATTAACCTATTTGTATTATATTTATTTTTGTTTATGCTATTTTTATGTAAATTAATAAATAAATATTTTATTTACTGTTTCTTTATTGCAAACTGCACATGCTTTTATAAAGTCTTTGGCATCTTTTTCAATTCCACCATCATTAATTTACTCATCAATATATTTATTAAACCTTTTGGACTTGCTTAAATCTATTTACTTCTATCCATCAGAATCAACGTCATAAAATATTTCCAAAATTTTAGCTTTTTATGCTGGAGGTAAAATATTAAATGCCTTTTCCTCGCATACTATATTATTCAAGAGCATCTTAGCTTCCATGTTTCCTTCACCAGGCTTTTGTCCAGATTTATTTTTAATTTCTACTGAAGCTCCATTTGTAACTAAAAAAAATATGCATTCTTTATCCCCCTTCTCACATGCTAAGTGGAGAGCAGTTTTTCCATCGTTATTTAAGACATCCAAAGGAATAGAATTACTTACTAAAAATCTTAAAACCTCAACTTTTCCATTCATAGCTCCATAATGTAACCCATTATTTCCTTTATAAATTATTTTATAATACAAAATAATCATTATCTATTTCAGCAAAATTTAGGCAATATCGCATTAAAAATAAATATTTTAATTAATTCTAAATATATTTTATGCAACAAAAATGGAAGATAATTACCATCTTAATCTTAATAATCTACACTTGCACCATTAGAGATTGACTTTTTAGCTTCATCTACACTGCCTAATTCATATTAATAAAACAATTTATCTCATGAAAATGAATGTATCTATAGTAGTTATATTATCTCAGAAATGGTTTAATAGTAAATATATACCATTTTAGCAGGCAGAAATAAGATTTTCATTATGGAATGAATTCATAACTATGCTTTAAAATTTAAGGTTCCTTAATTTGAATACTACTGCTACTGATAAGAAACGTTTATGTTTGCCTACTTGCTTATATCTTTATTTAAATAAATTAAGATTTTTATTTAATTATTTATTATTTTATATAATTAAAATATAATTTACGACGATGTATCTAAAAATCAACCAATCCAAATCATCTATCAGTATTATCAATATTTTATACAGAAAAATCAAACAATATTAATTTATATGAATATTTCACCATAAAAACTTACTTATTTTTGAAGTCAAAAAAAGTTGCAAAAAAAAAAACTGATAAACTCTTGGCTTATTTTTTTATAGTTAAATTAAATTTTAATATTTTTTTGAATTAGTTTAATTTATTTTAATAATCTAAAATTACAAGAATAAAATAATACATTTTATTTAATACATTAATCATTTTTTTATTTAAAAAATGTATTAGCATTCTCTAAAAATGAAAATAGAGATGATTTTATTTTTTTAAAAACTGAGCAAGATCAAACTTAAATGACGTTTACACAGCAATCACTAGAGCAAGTAAAAATTTTTGTCTTCTTCCAAACTAATCCCTCAATTCCTCCCATGTGAATTTTTTCTGAATATTTAAATTACTTTTCAAGTAAGTCGTAAATAAAGAAATATCCATTTTAAGAGCCTATAGCCACTCTTGTTCCACCCTTATTATTTTAAATTATACATATTAATAGGATATTATTTATAGATTATAAACTTAATTTACATCTTCCAAAGCTAGATATGTCAAAGTATGCCATTCTCTTACGAAAGAAGTACTGAATTCATGGATAAGTTCAAAATTATTTAATGGGTTGTATACTCTAATTGTTTAATCATCAGAACAAGAAATAAATACTTCTCCCAAAGCTTCATTCATTTTCTAATAATTTTAAATAGTATATTTATTTATTTTACAACTTTTATTAAATTAAATGAGTTATTATTATTTTTTTTACTTTCCAGTCAACTGAGGTAACTGCAAGTGTATGTCCTTTTAATTCATGAGTTTGCAAAGGTTGTTTGTGTTTAAGATCAAATATATGAACTGTTTGATCTTCACTGCAAGTAGCAATTTAGTTTGAATTGTTACAATTCCATATACAAGACCATATTTCTGCAAAAATATCTAATGATCCAAATCTATCTGAAGAATCTTATGGCATATGACCATAGAATACAGTTTTTGTAATCATGTTTTATCCAAAGTTATCTTGGAAAATAGCAAATTGACCTTCAGTAGTTGCTGCAAGTAAATACTAATTTTCATTATCTTCTGTTAAAAAATAATTAGATATAAAACTAACAAATTAATAAAATAAAGAATACGCTTAAAACGCAGGCTGGTAATTGAACCTTTAAGATTTGCAATAAGTTATGGCTAAGTTGTATAATCTTAAAAATACCATCTATAGATGGAGCCTTCCATAGTACCTATTGCAATAGACATTCCACTATCATCCCAATCAAGAGATCTTATTCCACTTAGCACACTTGTCTAGAATAGAGCATCATTATCAACACAGATATAGGCAGGATAAATATAAACATTACCTAAAAAATCTCCAACTGCTACCATTTACTCTGTTGGATTTGTTGCCAACCCACAGCAAGTTATATTCATTCCTGAAATTGTGCGACAATCTTTTAAATTCTGTAAATTTTATTAAATAAAGCCACCTTCATTTGAAGCAAACAAAAAATTGTTAAATAATTTAATATAGTAATTTTCTGGATGAGCAGCGCGAGATTTAAGTACCTGCACTGAATATCCATCAAATTAACCTTCCTTATTGCCAATTAGTTCATTAGGTAACTCTTTCTCTTGCAATCTATTGCAATCGATATAGAGTAAATAATTGCTTGCAGGTGATAAAAGTAGAGTGCTTTTATCTGTATATGTCAAAGTCATAATACTACCTTTACCTCCTCCTATGTTGGTGAAGGTTAGGATCTTAAGTGACTGTAAATCTATGATGATTAAATGTCTGTCTTAATATAAATATGATCCTGTTGAATTTCCATTACTAGTTCCAGAAATTAAATCACAAACATAAGGGCAACTTTGTTAAAGAGTCTGTTGCTTTGTATTTAAATCAAACTAAATCAAATCATAAAATCTACGATGATGTTTTGAAACATGTTTTTTCCCTTTTTTTTGCTTTTTAGCTTGATCTTATCCTTCGTCTTGCATTTTCTACTAATTTTCATTTTATTCTTTATTTGGCTCATTTAGAACAAGCTTTTCTAAAAATGTAACCAACAGCCCATTTTCAGTGAGAGTACCAAAGCGATAGCGTCCGACTATTTCAAGATGAATAAATTTCTCAGTATCTTAAGTAGGGCTATTCATCAATTCTTCAAAAAGGTAAACTAAGGTTATACCTTTCTAATCTTTATACTCTTCACAAGAAATACTTAAATATTAGTTGTTGACACTAGCGTGACGGACTATTCTACCTTTTGTTTGGAACTTTCTGAGGACATTTAATCCTTTTCTGTCAAGAATACTAACTTAGCCACTATAAGAGATACTTATGATGTACATTCCGCATTCAAGTAAAACAAAAATAGAGTCATTATTTGTTTGCACTAACCCAATTCTTCTACCTCTTTTTATATCCCATTTTGCCATGCATACACCTGCTGGAATTAAGGCTTCATCCTCACTTAGCAAGATAATATTATCATATCTAACTCCACCAAACCCAAATGTGTGAATGTTAACAGGAATACTTTCAGGGTGGGGCTAGTATTTCCCACTTGACATGTTATTTTCTATATCCATATTTCAATAATAAATAAATTTCAAAAATATACTTTTTAATTTTTTTTAATTCTTAATAAAATTTTATTTTTACTGATAATTTTTTTAAAGAAGATTTTTTGTTAAAAATCATTAGATTGTTTATCAGATCCCACTATTTCTGACTATATGCTTATTATTTATACGTCTATATCATAAAATATCTTTTCAGATTTATATAGTTCTGATCTAAATAAAATCAAATATGAAATAAACTTTTTATGAAATTATTCATCTGGTAGATTTTTTAAATTTTTTAAATACATTTTTGTTAAAAATATCCTTACAAAAATAAATAATTTTAAAATAAAAACTATGTTTAAATGTAAATATGTAAATAAAATAAAAGTATGATTTGAGAATTCAAGCCGAGAGGTAAATGAATTTTAAAGAAATATGTACAACATACAGATGGATGGATATATTTATAATTTGTTTAATAAAATCAAAATGAAGAATAGAAATCAAATAAAAATATTTCTTGATTTTTTTAATTGAATACAAAAAAAATCAAATCTAGCGGTAGTTACAAGTTTTATCGTTTTATAGAGAAGAATCGGTCATTTTATCCACATCATCAGAGCAGTTTTAATCAATAAACTTTTCTTTGAATATCTCTGCTTGCAGTGTATATTAAATATTTTCATGAGGAAACTACTGATTAAGCTCTGGAAATGTATATAATTGTGGACTTTAAGATTACTGTTCTCTTAGTGACAAAATTTATTTTATTGATGAAATGGAAACATCTAAAATCATCACCCTTGCATAAAAGTCCAAAGGGTTATTACGATCTACATAGAAATCACTCATTTTGAATGTTTCAATAGAGACATCAGCATAAAAGCATATATCGTCAAAAGTAATGAGCCTCAATTACTTATCTAATTTTTTCCTATTCTACTTTTTAGGAGGAGTTCCTGTTCTAAATCTTTATATTGTGTCTAACCATTCATCTAAAAATGTCTTTCCCAAAAATATTTCACTTTCAAAATCAAAAATTTCATAATAGCCATTCTTAGAGTAAATGTATTATAATTCTTCAAGAGATTTACCTAGAAGAAAACCTAATGACTCGCTGAATATAGCTCTATGAAATATATAATCAAATGTAGCAAAATCAGGGCCAGAATGCACTGCAAAATAAATAGCTCCTTCTTAGGTTAGCTAAGTATAAATACCTTGCATATATTAATCGAATAAATCTCTTAAGTAGAAGTATTATCTTTACATCATTGGCTAAGTTACTAGTTATGTGAAGTACTGAGTTAAGTAATCACCAATCCACTAGTTTTGATTACTAACTCTCTCTATATTTTCCATTAGAGAGTGAATAGATTAGTCAGGGTAAGACTTATATCTTTATATTTGAAGTCCTATTGTTTTATCACTTGAAGAAGGCAGAATTTGTTATTCTAATTTTAACATCAAAGTTTTTGAGTTTTTATACACAATTGAAATAGGCCAAATTTTGCAATAATTCCATAAAGAGTATCTATCTTCAAAAAAATCTGAATTCTTTTTCTAAAAATCAATTAAAATGTCTCCGTGCATATAAAATAGTTCACTACTTTTAATGAGCTTGGGGTTTGGTATATTCATGTATGAGTAAGCTACTTCCTTTTTCTTCTTTTTCTTCTTCTTTTTTTAGATGATTTATTTAACATCTGAATTGTCGTTTCTAAAACTTGGCGATACTTAAATTGCATCTTACTGATTTTATGTAAAATAATTTTGAATATCATCTTCTATCTAAATTATTTAATTCTATGCAGGATAAATCTAATTATTAAAATCGTTCTAGTTATTGCTAACTTAGATTGTTTAATAGGCTCTCATTGTTGATATTTTATAAATAAATTCTTTTTGCTAATATTAATTTAATTAATTAATTAGATGGAAATTAATTTTATGTTTAATTAATTTCTAAGTATTTCTAAATTATTGAATGTCTTGTTATTTTATTTGGGTTACTACCACCATTGAAATGCCTTAACTTTATTAAGCACCAAATAAAATCTGTTCTTATTTATGAATCACTTTTCTCTTTATTTGAGTTTATCATGTAATCTATAAATTTAACTAAAGTAATTGAATTTTTTTTAATTTATGTTTTTTCATTTTTTAAGGCATAAAATTTTTTTAATTTGAAATAATTGGCATTAAAAAAAGCCTATTTATTCTTATTTTTACATTTTTTTTTAGCAAATAATGAAAGAGCAATTTATACATGTTTTTTGTGTTTTGAGTTTTGAAAATGGTATAATTTATGGTAAAATTAATCAAGAAAACTCCTTCTTTTAAACAACGATTATTTTTAATTGTTAATATTTTCAATCGAATTAAAACATTTTTCATCATAAATAGTCATAAGATTATTTTCATATTTTTTATAATTTCTAACCTTAGAATTTTTTTGATTACTTCTTTACTTTTATTATATTTTTTTGAATAATTTAGTTTCTTTAAATTACAAATATCTTATCTCTGAGCTAAAAAAGAATTTATTGCTTTATTTTTACTAATTTTCAAATCAATTTTAATTAAAAAATTTGCGGTTCATGAAGCTTGATCTTATTTATTTTGAATATTTATTACTAAATTTTAATTAAATTAGGAGTTAAAATAATAATATAGTTTTGAATTTGAAATTAGTTGAAAATGAATACCGTATTTACTTCAGATCTTACTATTAATCAAGAAATGGTCACATAATATTTCTCAACTTAGCTCATATTAAAAGAGAGGATAAACTATTTATAAAGTTATGGAGATAAGATTCTTTCTATAAAAATTGGATAGCAATTTTATATTTATACAAATATTGATAATTTATAAAATTCGCTTAAAAAAACAATAAATGCAAATGAGCTTTTAATCTAAATGTTTAAAAGTAATGAAGGCTGTATTTTGTTGTAGGAGGTTTGCTAAGCTTCAAAAAATTTAAAAATTATTGAAATCTAAGAACTGAATTTTTTAAGCAATGATCTAGTAGATTTGCTTAAAAATTAAGATTAATTACAATCACTCGATTTATAATTTGCAGTTCATAGCCAAGAAATGAAAAAATAGGTGTAAGACTTTAAATATCTCTGCGATAGCTTGCCTGATTTTAAAAATTTGTAAACTCTTAAAATCACAATTTAAAATGTAGATGCCTCTAGCTTTTTCGATTCATTTAAAAAGATATCGCAATTAAAAGAATTGCAATTGATCTTTGAAGAACAAAAAATAGTTTAAAAAAGATTTAAATAATTGCAAGATAATATTGTTTCTTAAAATCAATTAAAATCTCTCATGCTATCTTTTATAGGATGCACAATACCTGAAGAGTCTGCTTATGGATTTTTTACAGCAATTAAGAAAGCTGGTTTTAATTTACTGCAATTTGGCTTTGCTGCTTCTTTTAAAGCTGATGAAAAATTATTTTCTTTAATCTAGTAATTTATTTCTTCACAAAAGGAATTAAATATACTTGAGATTTCAGGATTTTTATTTAAAGATAAATTGCTTGAATCTTTTAGTAAGCTATTAACAACTCGTAAAACTTTATAGAACCTCACAGTAGACTATTATGGTAACAACTTAAGGAATATCTCATTAAGTTAATTGGCAACATCTCTTTCAAAGTTAAAAGAAATTAGGAATCTTAAAATCTTATTTGATGAAAGTACATTTTCAGGTGAGTCAACCATAGAATTTGGAGAAGCCTTAAAAAGTTTGCCAGAGCTTAAAGATTTGAGATTAGAATTTCCAGGCAGGCTAAGAGAGGACTCTGTTTATGATTTTTCGAATCTGATTGCAAAGTGCTAGTAATTAAGTTATCTTTATATTTATTTTTCTAGATATGGACAAACCAACTTTGTTGAAATTGTTTCAGAAATTGCAGGATAGACCATTTTCAACAATAAAAAATTGAAAATAAGGTCAACACAATGCAGTAATGTCACATTTTCTTCGGGATTTTACAATTATTACTTGGTTCAGCTAGTGATTGGTTATCATTTCCATAATATTGAGTATTTGTAAATAAAATAAATACCCTGCCACAAATCAGATTTAGACTTTTAGTAAAAAGTAAAAAATTAGTTATAATTATTGATAGAAAAATGCAATTCCTTAAAAGCAATTATTTATTCAACTAGTTCATACTAGTGTATTGATGAAAAAATATATAATTTGATATAAAACAATATTAAAACTTTAGAAATTGTTGAGCTTTATCATCATATTGATGATAAACTATTTAAAATATTGACAAATTAGCCAAATTTATTGGTATTAAAATTTGTGCCTCTCTTCTATCTATCAGTCAACTTAGATCTCTATTTTAAGGCATTTCCAAAGTTGTTATCTATTTCTACCAACACTGTTTAATTAGAAATAGATTTTAATTAAGCTCTCTCTTATTTTTAAAGTGATGCTTTGTTAGAAAATATTAGTGACACATCAGCAAAAAAAAATGATTTAAATGCTTTAGTGTATGAATATACAATATTTAGAAAGAGGACATAATTATCAATAAATACATACATAAAATATATTAAATAGCATTTAATTTATAAATAAGATTTGTCTCATTTTGATTTATGGTGTGATCTTTGAATTTTAAATAAATTTTACATTAAAATTAATATGTTTTCTCAATTTTTATTTTTTTATTGCATATGTAAAACAAACAACTAAAATAATAATATTAATATCATTTCAATATCAAAAATATTTCGTTTATGTTTTCATAGAACATTTATTTATTAAAAATATATTTTTTATGAATGAACTCTCAAAATCTTTTCAAAATGAAAAATTAGAAATATACTTCAATAGTTCTTTTTATTCTTTTGGTATATTTTAAAAATTTTTATTAGAATAAAAACATTTTAGAATAGTTGTACGTATTTTAAAATAATACTTTTGTTTATAAATATCATTAAACATGCTTATTTTTTTGAAAAATGTTTTATTTTAATTATATTAAAAGAATAAACATTATTTAAATGAAATATACAAAAGATGGCTTTTATTATGATTTTACTATTCTAAATATTAAAAAACAAAAAAATATTATATTCAAAAGTTTAAAATATATTTATAAAATAGTAGTCACTCGGAGTACTTAGTTTATAATTTTGAGACTTCATCCTTCTCTTGTTTTCCATCTCTAAATAAAAAATTTTTTAATAAATTGCTTTGAGTTAGAAGATATATTTTACTATCAGAAAAATAAGTATTTTTAATTTGCTAAAATAATAATAAAATGAAAATTCAGAAATATTTTTATTAGAGTTGAAAGTATAGGCAGATTGCAAAAATTTAGGAAATTTTTACCTATGTTTGGTAAAATAGCAAACCAAGTTAGCAAAAATAAAATTCATTATAAAAACATCTTTGATTTTGTAAAGGTTAAAAAATTGAAGAATAAATTAAATACTTAACAAAATGTTGGCCAGTATGATTTTGAAGAAAATAGATTATTATCAACGAATGTAAACAAGATTTTAAAAATTGATTGGCTTTTCTTTAAATTTTTTGGTAGTATTTTTATTATTGATACTCTTGTAAAAAGAAATAAAAATCTAATTAAATTGAAAAAACTGAATTTAGTAATGCATGAACAGAGAGAATTTTATTTGTTAGATTATTTAAATGATTTAATGAGTTTAGAACAATATTTAAAAATATATTTGGAAAATCTTTGATAAATAAATAATACATATTTATTTATTTATAATTTTTCGCTTTCTATTTTATTTATTTTACTTCTTTTTTCAAATTAATAATTCCAATACAATTTTCAATTCATTCCAAAATATTTTTTTTCTAAGAAAGATTATAAAGTAGAGATGATTTCGTATGAATCATTTCAAGAAATATTAATTGACAGTAATAGATTAAAGACTTTGGAATTAAGAAGTAACTTGGTATTATCGCTGATCAAAATTAATTTTTTATTGATCAGCGCTATTACTCTAAATCAAACTAACAGATTAATTTAAGTTGTTAATAATATATCTGATATAAATAAGTAAACCTTTTTTAAACAATTCTACCTTCATCGATATTATTTAGGTGATTTGATGAGGATTGGAAATGAAAATTTAGATCTTGTGATACAATTTATTGATATGATAGCACAAAGATGTTGAAAATAATTTAAATTAATGAAAAATACAATTAACAAGTATTAATAAAATAAATATAGATAAATTTTTAATATGAGCTTTTAATTAATATTTAGTTTTTCTTATTTATTTTGTTTTCTAAAATTAATAATCAACTTCTAAGAAAAATCAATCTTGCTAATTAATTAATTATTTTTGAGAAAGACATTTGCATATCAAACAAAGCATTCTTTGATAATTAATATTACGAAAAAAATTAGGATTTGATCTTTTCTTTTCAAAACTCACCAATTAAAGCAAGCTAAATATATCAAAATGCTAAATCATAATTTATCAGAAACAAATTATGATTTATCTTTATAATCTTAATAACTAAGATACCAAATTTAATTACTACCAACTAATACTTTTCTAATTTTATATTTTAAGTTCATACTCATAATAATTTATAAAGTTTTACGATGAGCGTTGACTAAAATATCTCTTTTTAAAGAACCAATTTATTTTGATCTCCAGATTTCTTTAATTATTAATTATGATGGCCTAATATTTTTAGTGATATATTATTTTTAAATTGCATACAAATGATGATAATTTTACCAATCAATAATAAATTATTTAGTACATACCAACTCAATAAATGATTATGAAAATTGCATAAAAATCCATGCCTTTTTGCAAAGGTTTTCTTTTTTAATAATTTAAGGCCAGTCAAGCTATATTTATCTATCAAATGAAAACTCTCCCACACATATAAATTGAATATTTTAGTGATATTTCATCTGAATCCTCAAACAAATATATACCAGTCGTTTATATATAAAAGAAAGCAAGCTAAATTAATTAATAAATAAATAAAAGCTGAATTTATTGATTATGTTTTTTTTATTATTTTATTTGATATAATTTAAATCGAAAGGTAAATAAAATGATTAATCAAATTTCAATTTTACTTTTTTGTTAGTATAAAAAATAATTTTTTGACAGGCCCTCTTTTAAAAAGTGTTTTAGAAAATAAATGGTTTTTAATTTAGATTAATTTATTTTTAAAAATAATTAATTGAGATTGAAAATTTTCAATCTTGATTATATTTCAACCAGCTCTAATGCTCTAATAGAACTATCGACATTAAGCCAAATATCATATATAGTAACAAATAGTTGGGTCTATTAAAAATCAAGCAGAACAAAATTCACTTCCACTTTTCAAAACGAGGAAATAAAATTTAAGTATTGTTTAGTATGAAGAAGCTTAATAGTTTATTTTTTTTTGCATTAAAACTTTAAAATTTTGTATTTTTGAAAAAAAATTAATATAGAAAGTCGAGTATTTAAAGAAAGATACTAAGTTTTTGACTTATTAATTAGCTTTACTGAAATAATTGGAGTATTTTACAAATAGAAAATTAGATTTTTTCTTTTACTAATTTATTTGATTTCAAAAATAATTACAAGATCATAATTTGCAATACTTCCCGCAAATTTACAAGCGAAATAAGTAAGTCTAAATAAATAGCAGAATAATTGGCAAGTAAGATTTTTTGCTAAACTGAAAAATCTTAAATTCAAGCAAATTGTAAGAATCTAAATATTTATCTCGATTTATTTATTCAACAATAGCAAAAAATTTCTTAAACCTTTTTATTGGAGTTTGAAGAGCGTTCTAATTCAATTTCACTAAAATAGTCTCTAATATTTAAATTTTTGTGAGGGCTTTTTTTAATTTCTTATATTCATTATTTTTCTAGATGGAAATATACTATATCATTGTAATCTCTAGCAAGCATGATTATAATGACTATTTTTGATCATTTTTGATATCAAGTCAGCATAAATAATATTTAATACATAGTACTTAGGATTTAAAATAGAAATTTAAATTTTAAAAGTAATCGCTATAATAATGAAAGCACAAATTTTTGATTATTTTAAAAAATAAGCTACAAATTTTGTTATTGAGTGATTTATTTATTTAATTTGTAGAGGCTCACTGGCTAAATATTGAAAGTGTTTAAATATTATCAAACTAGAAAAGAAAATCAGAAGGAAGGTTTTTGAATGTATTTTGAAAATTAATTAGTGAGAGAATGAGTAAATGCGAAAGATTGTGTAAGAAAGGCATAATAGGGTTAGAGCTTTAATACTTCTTTAACTTACCCTTACAAAACAAAATTAATTAATTGTGAGTCTTAAAACTTAATAATGAGTTTATAAGATGACAAAAAACTCGACTAGTAAGGATTAATAAGCAAGTTTTCTGCTCTATCTTTTTAATTAAAAAATAGAGAAATGTAAGTAAGTATTCTTTCTTTTTGGGGATTATTAAATAAATGAATAAATATCTTCTTTTAAAAGTACCAATTCAGTGTTTAATTATTTTTTATATTAATTAAATCAATCAAAAAAGATAATAAAATCAAATATTTATCTCAAAACAAAAAAATAACAATTTAAATTATTTCTAAATACTTCACACACACTCAGACATATAATTAACTTCAACCAATCCTTTGTTAAAATGAAGATCTCATCCCTTTCTAGTATCAGAAATTTCTAATCTTAAAACAGTATGAGCTCTATGGATACGATAGACTCTCCTATCTAAATTATTGAAAAGAAGCACAGCAACATTAAGAAAGTTTCTTCCCGTCCTTTAATTAACAGTATCATTTCAAAGGAAGACCTCAGATAGGTCATTGCTAATGAAAGCTATTCTTGTAAAAACTCTCTCCGTCGCTTAAACAGCTAAAATTTGAGTGACAACAATAGCTCAGCTGGTGTTGCCATAAAGAGTGAACGTAACATTGCTGTCCCAGTCAGAGTTATTTCTTAATAACATTTATAAAAGCACAGCTACTAAAACTAAGCTGCTCCTTTAGAAGTTTTTCTTGATTCTTCTGCTGATGAAGACAATCACCCTCATGTCATGGCTCCTTAAAATTATCACCTTTCACAATATGCTAATTAACAATCTAACTATTACGTTGTTAATCAAGATAACGAAAGTGAATGCGATAGTGATAGCGATGAACACAATATTTGGGATAATTCTGAAGCTTAAAATATGGGAATCAATATCGAGAATTCCGAGGTTCCTTATGAATTTTGCCAACTCTTCTACATTCGTTCATAATTATATCAAGCTAACAGAATAAGCAAAACAAACATTCTTGATGAGGTTTAGGTCATTTCTAACATGTGCAAAAAGTAAATGAATGTCCTCAAATCAAGTAAACTCATAGATTAATTAGAAATGAATCACCATATCAGTCTTAGAAAGAATTAAATGCAACTCTCTAAGCTTAAACTTCAAAAAGAGTCTTTATCAAAGCCAATTGCTAGCTAAGAAATGTCTTAAAGCTAAAAACAAACCCCCAAAGCTTTCAGAATCTCTCAAAATAATTTATTCCACACCCCAAATAAACCCTCTAAATAATGTTCTATTCCAAACATCCCTGAAGATATGACATCACCAATTTATCACTAAGGACGTCATAATTTGACAAAATCAACAATGAATTTAAAAATGGCCTCCTGTGAAACACTCCCAATGAAAATTTCTTCACCAAACAACAATAGCAATAACATCAGTAAAATTAATACACCCACTACAGTAAGAAAAATTAACTTAAAATTGAACATTTCAAAAAACCAAAGACCTGCTTCAAAATTAGGCCAAGAAAGATATGCTGCTATCAGCAAACATACAATCTACAATTGCTTAAGTAAAGCTTTTAGTCACTCTAAATTCCATCCCTTATAAAATGAAATCAACGTTTGAAAAAAAGAAGCAAATTTTTTTGTATGAAAGCTAGACAAAAAACTAAATAATAATTAACTACCAATTACTAACTAACAAACTAACAATTTTTGAAAGCAACAAGTCTCTAAAATAAAATCTCTACTAATTAAAAAATACTAATTTATTTTTAAAAAAACTCTACTAACCATTTAAAATAAAACAAATTAAATTAACTCTCTCTCACCCACCTACCCATTTATAAATAAATAAACAAAAAAATAATTAAAAAACAATCGCACATACAATATAAAACTCAAGTTTTCAAAAATATATTACAAAAACCCTCTAAAATTATATTAGTTATTTGCAATTAAATTTGTATAAAATACTCTTGATTTATATTAGTTTACAAAAATATTAATCTTCAAAACGATTATTTCAATATTTCACTCAAATCTTTTATTAATTTTATTTTTAATAATGATTAATTAATAAACTAATTATTTAGATTTTTATTTATCAGTATTTATTATAATTTTAACTGATTTACTTGACAAATTTTTTTTTCTTATTTTGTATAAAATATCCTGTAAACCATTTATCATCTTTCAAAACACAATTTGAAAATATATAAAAATCTTTAAATTGGTTCAACATGATATAAAGTAATTCGCTATGTTAGATTTTGTTGATCTCATACTATCTTGCATTGATTTTAAGGTGTAGCAATTTTTATTCTTACAAAGATGAGAAATTCAGAATAAATTATTGCTTAGAGAATTTAAATTTTTAGAATCTTAAATTATAAAGTGGTAAAATACTGTTTGAAAGTTAAGCACTCTCAATTAAATGAATAAATAAATTAATTAAATAATAATATCTGTTAAAAAAGCCTTTTTTAGTTTACAGTAAATATGTATTATGAATTTTTATATTTTTTGCATAATATATGATTTACTGATTATAAAACTATGAATTTCTTAAATTTTTTTTCTTTATATTTTTAGTCAGTAAATAATGTTCTGTTAACTTTCTCATAAATATCTCAGTACATTTTCTCTAATTTATATTACTTTGCATATTCAATAAAAATCCATTTAAAGATATTAAGTAATACAATAAATTATACCTTTTCATTTTTTTGTAAGCTATGTTAAAACATACTTACACAAATTTATACAGAATATTTCAAATCAAATATCTTAAAATAATTTACTATCCAACTTGTTTAGTATGATAAAAATCATTTTTATTCCCTTAAATCTTAAAGAATATGAAGCTTATTTTAATAATTAAAAAAAAAAAAACAGGATTTTATTTAAATATTGTTTTTTTCTAAGCAATTTTGATTTCTCACTCAAATTTATGATGAATTTATAATGTAATTGCATTTTATTTATATCAAATAAAAAAATATGCATTGTTAAATTAGATTTAAATTTTATTTTTATATTAATAATAATAAATAGAAATAATTAAAAATGAAGGAAAAGATGTGAAAAATAGGATTTATTTGTAAAAAATGTTAAATGATTCTTTAGAAAAGAGCTTTAATGCTTGATTATAATTTTATTGATTTATACTTACTAGTTTTTATATCTTAATTTTAATTTATCTTTTTAATATTTATTTTGTTAATATAAATTTTGTCATGTAGAGTTAAGACTATGATATTAGTACTAATTGGATTGTGATTAATTAAATGATCACAAATTAAGAAAATGCCTCAGTAGGAAATTTGTTCTTAGGCAATATTTGGTCAGCTAAAAGCCTTTAAACATTAAATAAATGTAATATTAAGACAGTGTTAAGTATTTGCGATTTTTGTGATATTAATTATGATGAAAAAAATTAAATTAAACACTTTATTATTGAAGCAAAAGACGAACCCAATTATGATCTATAACCTGATATTGATAAATGCTTAGATTTAATTGATATTTTTTTATAAACTACTAATATACTTGTTCATTGCTAGATGGGCAAGTCGAGAAGTGCTTCAATAATTATTGCTTATTTTATGAAAAAGTACTAATTAAATTTTGATTCTGCCTATAAATAGGTCTTAAAATTGAAACCTGACATAAATCCTAACAAAGGATTTATTTAATTACTAAAAAAAATGGATAATTTATAATAAATAAAAAGAAATGAATTTAAAAAAATGTGATAAAATTGTTTTAAATATTGAAACAAAAGAATATTTGTATGAACTACTTTCAAAAAAATTCTATTAATATTTGAGAAAAAACAGTTTTTAACCAGATATTTCTATACAATTATTCAATTAAACTTTTTTTACTTCGATAAAATGTTTAAAAAGCTTGGCTATAAAATTAACATAAATTATTTTGATCATTTTATTATGTGTAGAAAATAATCAAATATCTTCTTGCACAAACATTTTTTACCGTTTCTTAATCAAAAGTATATCTAACAGTTTTTAAAAAAATAATGCAAAATATTCTGCAATAGCAAAAAATATAGTATTATAAAAATTTAAGTGATAATTGAGCTATTTTAGTATATTTAATTGAAATAGAAATTGTTTTAACAATTTTAAACTTAATAAAACAATTATTAAAATAATTAAATTTTGTAAATTAAGCAAAGCTAAAAATATTGATTAATAAATTAACTAAAACAAATTCTAACTTCATAAAAAAATGTTTTTTTTAAATTTAAAATTTGGAAAATTAATTTTATGATTATAATTTATTAAATGCTTGTCTTTTTAATATTAACTTTTTCGTAATCAAAATAAATTTCGCCATTTTTATTAATTTTAAAAAAATCATTTTTTTTAGGTTAAAATGATATAATTTTACTAAAATTATTATAAAAAGATAAAGTTTTATTTAAAAAAGTTATTATTCTTAATTTATTTTATCTAAATATTCTATTTGTTTTTATAAAAAAATACTTTTATATTTTTATAAATCTCCTTATAATTTTTAGATATACTTGAAAAATAAATGACTTTGTAACTTTGAATCAAATAACAATAATTAGTTTAACTTTAACAAAATTAAAAAATGAAATTAAATATTTAAAGAAATTTAAATTTGTTATTTTTAAAAGATATAATTACTTCATAATAATGTGGAAAATTTATTTTAATTAAATTTATATTTTTTCAAATAATTTTTTATTAAATAAATTTTACTAAGATTGTTAGTTGTTTTTTATCATTTTGATTAAATTAAAATAACATAATTTTACAAAAAATATAACAAATATAAACATTTTTATTTAAGAAAGAGGTTTCTCTAAATTTACTAGCCCTAGGTTTTGAAATATTATATTTAATAAGAAGTAACTTTTTTTGACAATCTTATATTTAACTCCTCATTGATTTAATAAATAATATATTTTAAAATTTAATTTAGTTTTTCAATATCTCAAAAAGCTAAGTGAGTTCTTTCTTATCTTTAGTTTTGTTTTCATTTAAATGAATTTATTAATGATTTTTTAGATTTACAAGAGATTTAAAGAGATTTTGCAATATCTTTGTTCTTTTTATAACGAAATAAAGGAAATAACACATTTTACTAAGGATAAATCTCTTAAACTATGCTATTTTATTTGTAAAATTAAAAAATTATTTTGTATTTTATTAAATAAAATAAAAATGTAAACATAGAGATGCTTATTTTTTATAAATTTTAATTAGTTAGGAAAAAGCTTAATATAAAATTAGAATATAAACTTTTTATTTTTATTTATATTTAAATATCTATTTCATTTTAAGTATAATAATAGGTTAATTTATATATAAAAATAATAGTTTTTTTAATGTATTCAAATGTGAATGAATGAAAGCAATAGATATATTTTTTGTATTCAATTTGAATAAATAAAAATTGTATGTAACAGCAAGGGATACTTTTTAATAAATCTATGAATTTTATAAATCTCAATCCATTCAGATTGGTTATTAAATAAAATAATAACCAAACAAACATCTAATTGATTAATTTGCATTTTATTTTTTAGAAATAGTAAAACATTAGTGAAAGAAATAGTTAATTAGTAATTATTTTAATTAAGAAATAAAAAATTAAGGAGAGAAGAAAGTTAGAATAAACTACCTATCAGCTAGGAAAAGATAACAAAATAAAATATACTATATTCAAAAGAAATGTTTTACGGGTAATGAATTTTACAATTTTATGATGATTAGTTGATTAATATAACATTATTATTTGTTAAAATAGTGGTGGCCTTTGGGGTTATTTTAACCAATCTTGCTTAGATAATTTATTTAGCAAGAGTGATTTTACTGTTGAGATGCTCTTAGACGAAGATAATATTATAAACGACGTAAAGATGAATCAGAACAAATTTGCAGATTTGTAAAATATATTTTATACATTAAATAAAATTGAGTAATTGATGATTATTATTTAATTAAATAGCATGATTTCGCATCCTAAGTATTTGTAAGATATGATAAAGTATGCTATTACTATGCCAAGTGAAGATGATGATGATAAAAAAAAGCATAAGTAATTATAAAAAATTATTTTAGAAAACTTTACAAGCCTATTTTCTTTATTATGGGTTAAATTCTCTTTCTTGCACTTTATTTCATAAATAAGCCACCATAAAACTGCAATTTCCTTTCAGTTATCTATTAAAATGGCTATTTTTACAAAGAAAAATTAAATTTATAACAAATTTTTCTATTCTTTTTTTTTTTAGAATCATCAATATTTGAAAAATCAGCTAGTTTTTTATTTCTTTACTGGAGAAATAAAGAATGAATGAAATATTTAGATCCACTTTCTGTCTAAAAAGTGGATTAAAATTTTGTATTTTAATGTATAAAAAATAAAACTAGATATCCCTTCATCTCAAGTGAGCTTCTTGGTATTTAAATACAAAAATTATAGGAATTCCTCTTTTCCTAGAATTAATTGCACGATGATCAAAGCGAATACTCTGATGTCCCTACTGACGATAATAAAAGCTTAGATAAATCCGTAGAGGAAAAAAAATCATAAGAAACAGATGAGATAAAAGATGACTCTCATTCAAATGATTAGGAATCAACTAACGATAGCGTTAAAAAGCAAGAAGAAGCAAGCAACGAAGAAAAAGTAGAAGGCGAAAAAGAATAAGACAAAAATTAAGAAGCATGTCCTAAAGAAGAGTAAAAGGATGAAAATAGAGGTTCAGAAAATCACGAGGAAGTTAAAGAAGTAAAAGAAGATGGTAGCACTGAAGAATAAAATTAGTTAAAGGGAGCTATTGAAGAACATGTTATGGAAGATACTCCTGAAAATACTAAAAGTAGCAATGATGAGAATAAGTAACCAGAATCTAAATAGATAAAAGGAAAGGATTTACTTAACTTGCTATTTTCGTTCTTAGAAACTGATGAAGATATTGATAGTACTTCCGCTGGTTATTTCAACAAAATAGTTATGCATTTAATTAGTTCAAGAGAAGGATACGTAAGATAATTTTTATTAGAATAATTTGACTTAATTCATACAAAAAAATTAACTAACTCTCAAAAAAATAGTTTTGGAAATACTTAGAGCCCAACCCAAAAATTATTGATAATATGATGAAGCATTTCTATTTAAAAAGCATTTCTAAAATTATATTTTTCTTGATAGCTTCTGATGGCATAGATCTTGATCCTGATATCTTTATTGTAATTCATAAATTTTAATTTTATTAGAAGTGATGTAAAAAATATTCAATAAATTAATAGAAACAAAGAGTTCAAGTCATCAAATAGCTTTATCAAAAGTTTTAAGAATCTAATGATCATGAAGTTCTTTTGAACATTTAGGAAATCCTAGTTTAAATTAATTCAACCTCTCTCAGACCTTAGAGCTTCGAAGTCAAGCGTTAATTGTATAATTAAGAGCATATAGATGTATTAATTGAGTCAATAACAAATGTAAAGATTCTTTTAAATTTTTTTATCAGTCTTAATTATTTAAATTTAAAATAGCATAAGGCATCATTTTCTCAAGCTTCTTTAATCCTCTCTAGCTTCTTAGATCATTACCGTTAGACAATGTTCAATGACGTAAATATATATTTTTATAAGATTTCGCTCATTAAAAAATATTAAATGATACTTTTTAATTTTACAAGAATTCTAATGAAGACACTGAAAATTATTGCAGTGATGGCCTTAACTTTGGCAGAAAGAACGATGAAACCATTTCTAAGGAATTCCCACTTGAATATATTTAAACAAAAACTGGTTTATTGATAAAGGCTCTAATGGAAGAAAACTTCAACATTGAAGTTCCTAAGCATGAAACACAATATGGCACTGAAGTTTAACCTTTTGGTCTTAATAGAGTCAAGCTATTGCATTTGATTCTATGTTTACTAAAAACAGAGAACTAAGTTGTTAATGATGCTATTGTTTAGAATGGATTCTTCGAATATTTGCTTGTAATTAAATTAATTTTTAAATAAACCTTTTTCTAAATTTAAATATTTAAACTAGAAATTGATTATTAAGCATGAGTGGAACAATATTTTGCATAACTAAATCGAATAAATTTTTAACGAAAGCTTTAAGATAGCAATGAAAGACGAAAAAGTTAGAGCAGAGATTATTTCAGGTGCTAAATTTTTAGATTTTATTGTGTAAAATGGTAAAGACTTTAAGACTTAGCCAGGGTAAAAAATTCACCTAACAGCTTCAAAATAAAAAGCATATTATTTTAATACAAAAAATTAGAACTAGCAAGAAGTAAATAAACAAAGGTTATGTTTGCATGATTGTTAACTTTGCCAATCAAATTGAAGAACAAAAAGAGAAATTTTAATGGTTGTAAGATGCAGTAGACAGAAGTAATATAAAAATAAGCAATAATTTAATTTAATAAATAATGAAACTATTTAAAAAGCTGAAGGATGGGCCAATTTCGTGAATGGGTCACTAAAAGAAACTAATGAACTTCATAAAAGAGATTTAGGTAATGATGATCCTAGAAAACGTAAAGAATCTGAAGACTCCATTCCCAATACTGATATTTCTATTAAGGAAATTTATATGGTAAAATATTATCAAGATTCATAAAAAAAAAAAACTAAATTGATTTTATTTAGAAATTCATCAGTATGTATCAAAATAAAACTGAAGATGAGCCAAAATTTAATAACGACGATGATAATGATGAATAAGATAATAAGAACTCAAATTCATCTGAATCTCCCGAAAGCAAACCAGAAAATGAGTAGACTGACAAGTAAACATTTTTCATTTAATACATATTATAATATTTTTAACTAAAAATTTAGTGGATTAGACACAATAAACTTCTGGAAATTGAATTTGAATTATAATGTAGACACCTTAATGAAAGAACTATGAATCTTAGTTTTACTAATCATAATTGGTTCAACAGTAGAATATGGAGTAAATCTACTGTTTTGAAAAGAGATTTTCCAGTTAAAAAACTTATATCAAACTTATTAATTCAAATAACAAGTATAATAAATAAAATAAGAGTTGAATCACATACTCACTCACTTACCATCATTTTTTTGTTCAATAAAATTAAATTTAAAACTAAAAATCTCTCTTCAAAGTTTCTCAATAAAGGCATCACACCAATTATGAATATTTTAAAATAAATTTATAACGAATATTTCTCTACAACCTAAATATATTAAGAATTCTAAAAGTTTTTGAAGAAAAAAACACTTCATTGTTATTGCAATAATTTAACACTCTAATCCTATCTATCTCAGTCAATAAGGCGTAATATACATTGCAACATAAGCATAAAAAATAGCTTATGCAAGAGATCAATAATCTTTTGATACTTCTTTAGATGTTTACTCATTCAAAAACTTTATTATAAATATATATATTTATATAAATATAATTTACTATATAAAAAATATAATTTTGGACACAAACTTTTCAGTTTAGTGAAAGAACGTTATATTCAAACAAAAATCAAATATTTGGAACATTATTGATCGCTTATGATAATAATTTTTTTATGTCATGTGTCAATTATTCCTCAGCTTTATATAATAAACAAATAACCTAAAAATAATAGTAAACAGCCATAAATTAGCTTGGTTTCTAATTGCAATTTTAACTTGTTCTTTGCTTTCTCGGGTAAGAAAAATTATTTGTTTTTTATTATAAATTATTAAATATTTTATAATTAATAAAAAGTTGAAGCAAAATAGAAAATTAATTGATCATAAAAACCGAGCATAAGAATGAGAGCTTTTACTACCTATTCAAAGATGCATAAATAAAATAATAATTATATAAAAATATTGATTTGAACTTCTTTCGCATTTACACAAACAACATTTTCTTAGAAAATAAATTTCTAAAGTGAATAAAGTTCAAAAACAAAAGCAGTTAAATTTATATTTAGAATATTTGTGATGCTTTGAGCTGTTAATTAAATAAACAATACATTTTTAAATTTTAAAGACCAAATATATTTTTTAATGTAGTTTTTTAAATATTTTAAGTAATTCTAAGTTCGTTCTCTTTTTTTTTTTAAAAAAATTTTAAATTAGAGGAACATAGAAAATTAAGAAAAAGATCAGAAATTGATAATCAAAATTCTCACTATTCTTTTAAGTAAAAAGAATAAAAGAATATTCGAATATTTTTTAAATTTCAAAATGAATTAATAGATTATAAAATTTGGAACAATGGTTAATTCTAAAAAAAAAAACAACAAAAAACATTGAAAAGCAATACATAAATAATTAAGCGGCTATCTAATCCCGCAGAAAATTGAAAAATATAAAAAAAATTAAGAAAAATGTGTTAAAAGAATAATTGTTCAAACAATTGCAAATGCATGATGAACTACTTTTTTTACTAATGTTTTTGAAAAACTTTAATAATTTAAGATATGCAAATTAATTAATTGCTTTGGCTGAGAAAAATTATTTATTTATTTATAAATAAATTTCGCAAAAAATTTTACCTATTTCGCAGAAAAAAAATTATAAAGCAAAAAACTAAATTATTATAAAAACTAAGCAAAAATGGTTGACGCCGCCAAATAGCATTCATACACTCAAAGATTGTTATAAAAGCAATTAGACAGTAAATTACTAACAATTTAAATTTAAAAAAGAAGTTTTTTAAGAACATTTCAACTAAATTCAACCATCAGAAAGTGTTTTCATGTAATTTTTTTTAATTTTCCAAATTAGTGGTCAATAAGAACAGCGACTTAAATGTATCAGTTGGACTTGAAAAAAGTAATCTCTTTGAATGGAATATTTGCTTTGAAGGTCCTTAAGACTCTCTTTATGAGGTACTTTAAAAAAATACACATTCTCATCTTACTCTAAATACATTTTCCTTTTAAAAAATAAATTTACTTTTTTTAATAATTATTTTTATATCATATTAAAGGGTGGATTTTTCTAAGCAGTTTTATCTTTCCCTGATAACTATCCTGATATGCCTCCTAAAATGAAGTTCGTTACTGAAATGTGGCATCCTAATAGTAATTAATACTTTTTGCATTAACTTTTAAAAATTTTTCTATTTTGATAAAATAAATAATTTTTTATGTGGAAGCATAGAAATTTAATTTAAAAATCTACTTATTTTAAATAGTTTATCCTGATGGTACAGTTTGCATTTCTATTTTGCACTCACCAGGTGTCGATCAATTTAACTAATAAGAAAAAGAAACAGAAAGGTTAATATTTAATTTCTTAAAACTGCTTTTATTCTCGCGGAACAATAACGCATGAATTATTTTTAAATGAACTATTTTCTTAAAAAAAACTAAAGAATTAAAAACTTTAAATAATATATTTTTTTCTAAATAAAAATTGTTGGCTTGCAATTTAACTTACTTAAATTTTGAAATATAAAGATGGAGACCTGTTTTAACAGCTGAAGATATAATAATTAGTGTTATTTCCATGTTAATGGACCCAAATACAGAGTCACCTGCTAACATTGACGCTTCTGTAAATTAATAAAGTTATTTAAACAATCAAAAACAATAATAAAAAATAAAAATAGGTCTAATTTAGAGATGATAGAGAAAATTACAAGAAAAAAGTAAGAGCATTAACTAGAAAATCAATTGGAGATTTATGAAAACAATATATAATAGCAAAAAACTATGAAAAACAGGTTTTAAATATACAATCAATCAGCACAAGCTTATGAAAAATTCATTTTATTGAAAACTTATTTAATAACATAATTAGAAAATTTTAAATGTTTTTAGTTATAGATTTAAAATGGATATATTTTTTCTTAGTTATTAAATTATTCGTATTTTATCCACCCATCTATATATACATATAATATATATCTCTTATAGTTAAATAAATAATTTTCAATTCGCGTACTTATTCAATAAATGTCTTTTTTAAAAACTTAATGAATTTCTTTTTAAAAAATAAAAAAAGTACTTTAATAATTATTAATATGTCTTTTTAAAGAGAAAAGTAGAAATTTAAGAAATTAAAAATTAGAGGAAAGATTGTTTTTAATTGAGGCTAAGAACTAGAACTAAAAGAATTTACAACCAATTAATTTAAATTAAACTCGATAGTAAAAAATTTAAATAAAATGACTAACTATCTATCATTTATTTTAAGAATTAATTTAATTTTTATTCGAAAAAACTAATTCTAATTCTATTTTTTAAATCTTTATTTTAATTTTTAATAATAAGAGCTATCATTTATCTCTTTTTTAACAAAAAATTAAAATAATATTTGATGAATATATACATCAACCTTCATAAACATCTACAAACATAATCTCCTAATCAATTTAAATTAATTATTTAATATTTTTATTTGATTTGTTTAAAGCTTATAAATTATTTCTATTTTGGATTAACTTAAAGAAAAGAGGAATGGAATATAACTTATTATTAAAATAAATATCAAGTTCATAAATACAAACTCATAATATTAACTTTATATTAAATGAAATTATAAAAATATTTCATTATACTAATAAAAAAGAGTTGGTTAGTGAATAATTATTTTATTGATTGAATGTTGTAATACTTACTTAATAACATTTTAGTTCTATATAAGAAATTTTTAGATAAATGAATGTAAGATTTTAGTTTTATAGTTTTAGAATGAAGACTATGATGCAGTAGAGAAATGACTTATTCAATTCAAATTAGAACGAACGAACGATAGATAAATAAAATTCTTCAATAATAATTTTCGTATATATAATTTATAATCAAATCAGGGAAGTCTCCTATTATTGTGTAGGCTTGTATTGCCAAGTCTACAGGAATTCCCATAGCCACCACACTAGCGATTGTAGGGTTTAATAATGGATCTTCTTAAGCTACAGGTGCATTTGCCTAACTCTATTTTATGGCTTCTTGCAGTTCTAAATCTTCAAGTTCTTTTACTTAGGTCTATTCATATTTTATATTTATATCGTCTGTTTGCTGCTTCTCTTATTACTCATTGTGCATCAATGTTTCTTTTTTAACTTGCTCAATAATTAATTTTTCTTCTTCAGCTTCCATAAAAGCATCTATAGAGCTTTTTATCGCTATGTCTACAAATTATTACTCGTTATTAGCCTTCTCACTTTCTTCAAACAGCTGTAATGATTCTTCAAGGGCTCTCTCCATGTCTCTTTTTCCTATAATTTCAAATTCTTTTCTGGAGTTTTGAATTGCTTCTGCTACTTCAGCATTTGATTCAGGAGATCTTTAGTGACGAGAATGTGAATTTTTCAGTGCTTCAGCTTCTTGTTTTCCCTGGTCGCTAATTTGCAGATATCCAAGGTTTAAAAAGCCATTTTTCTTCACAGAGTTGTAGTGACATTTACCATGATAACTCAAACGAATAGGCTCATTGTTATTAAAATTTGTTTCATGGAAAGTTCTCATAGGCTAACTAGAATACGCATAAACTTCTATGGGGCGATTATATATTTCAGATAATGCTTCTAATTCAATATCATCTCCCCATTCACCATCTTGTCTTTTTCTATTTATATAATCTTCAAACTCTTCATGTATGTAGTTTTCAAAGAAAGCTCTTTCAATCTAGATATAATCCATACATACTGAACGAATTTCTTTGTGAAATTCTTCTGTACCATACATTTAATCGCTTACAGCACGGAAGAGACAATTTCCATCTGTACCTACTACTTTTATACATAAATTCTTCTTTTAGTGAAGTTCTTGCATGAAATTTCTTTCTCTTTTTATAATATATTCTTATAGACGCTTTGTAAAATGCAAAGGATTTCTAGCCTAAGTTCTAGCTGCTCCGAATGCTTAAGAATGGGTTCCTACTTCCTAAACTCTTCTTTCATCATCTAGATTAACAACTTCATCATATTTGCTATGGTATCCATTATAATGAATTTTTATTTTAGTTCCTTCTTCGTTTTAAATTTCCTTAACAATTGCTTCTAGCCACTGACCACTCTCTTCATGATAGACATCAAGTCTATTATTTACAGAAATGGGTATTTACTTTACTTATGAATTTGAGCGATGCCATTATTTTAAAATACGACTGCTATCAACGCTAATCCATTCATCATATTTTTATGACCAACCACTGTAATGAACTCTAATTTCGTTTGGGTTATGGCGCAGCGAAACAATTTCTGCATTTAACCACTTATTAACTGTATCACAGCAATCAATATTCTCACCAATATAAAATCGTTTTTTAAGTTCAGAATTAATTCCAATCCCCTCTTTCTCTTAACTAAAATCTTATTTTGCTTCTTCTTCTTCCTCATCATCTTGCTTTTAATTTAATGCACTTGCATTTAACTAAGAATCTTGATTGTGGTTAAACTTAGAAACATCATTATTCTATTTATCCTCCCAATTTAAACCATCAATCTTGTAATTCTAATTCATATTAAAATCTTAAGCATCCACTTAATGACTGATGTTGTTTTCCTATTCCTCATCTAGCTCTACTTCAACGACATTGCAATCTGAATCAGAATTTTATTCACCGCTGCTAGGGTTATCATCTTCATCATCACTTACAATTTAATTTTTCTCTGATTTTAATACCATTTTGCTTTTATCTCTATATTCTAAAATTAATTTTTTTACTAATTATTTTTAATAATTCTATGTAAGAATATCTGTTCTGTTCTTATCAAACTTAATGTTGGCTATTGTTCTATTTTACTAGAAAGCATTTTTACAACTACATAATCATGAGTGTTTTTAATTATTTTAATAATACTGAATTCAGGGTTTATTTCTTATACACTTACTGCTATTAATTTTTTCAACATATATCCTTTTTTAAAAAGCTAAAAAGTCAATTTATATTATAATATACTTAGAAAATGACAAAATCTACAAAGTAAAATTGAAAAATCTTTTAACTAAAATATTTTTTTATAAAAAAATTATTTGATTTCTTTTATCCTCTAAATAAATAAATAATTTCAATAATATAGATATTGAGAATATCTTATGATATTAATTAATTAAATTAATCTTAGTTAGTTAAATATTATTCTACCATGAAGTCAATTAAATTTTGATTTTAATAATTTTTAAATTTAAAATTCTTTTCTTTTAGATTTTTTAATACATTTTATTTATGAAAAAAATAAGCTTAAAAAAAAGTAAGATATAAATTAAAAATATAATAAATTATTAACAAAATGATATATATAAAAATCCGACAATTATTATCAATTTTAAATTAAAGCTTTTTATTTAAATTTTTATTAAATTAAAAGGTTCAAAAAGTAATCAAACATTTTTTTTAATAAAATAAAATTAATTTTTCATTCAATTAATTGAAAAATTAAAAATAAGATAAATAAATAAAGAAAAATAACAATTCCCTCCATATATTTAATAAATTCTTCATATTTTAATAAATTTATTTTCTTTTTTGAGTTTTTATAATTATTAAAAATTATAAAAATATTCATCCAGCTCTTTTTTGATTTTTAAAAAATAATTAAGAAAATTTTGTTATTTTAATTATCCTCTGTCTCTTTATTAACTGTTAAAATGTAATTATCGTTTCAGATTATTTTACTATAAATTGTAAATATAATTAAAAAAAAATTAAAAATTCATGATTTGTTAATTATTATAAAAAACTGTTTATTGCAGGATTACATTGATTAATAAATTTTTAAGTTTTTTGATAAAGTTTAGACATTATTTAAGATAATTAAGTTAATTTTTAAAAAACAAAGTATCAAATCAGTAGAGTATTTAATTGATTCTAACTTATAATGATATTTATGTATTTCTTTTTGAAGGAATTCATAAAAATTTGAAAGCGCTTAATTGATTTCATTAGGTAAATTTAAGGATCAATAATTCTAATGAAATGTAAATTTCATTCCATAATTTAGTTTATTTTTTAATTTGAAGTAATCTTTAATAAATATATGATGAATTTTAATAATTTTTTAATTTAATTACTTTGAAGTCTGATAAATTATTACAAATTTTACATCACAAATTTTTCAAAGCAAGTCAAATAATTTTAAAAAGCCTACAATATTTTGCATCATTAAGTACTTTGTTAATTGTTATGAATAAAAATGTAAATAAGTATATGCAAGTTTCTTGTTTATTTCTTAAATTTTTATTCAAAAGAATTTACCAAAATAAATTGAATTCACTGAAGAACTGAAGTTAAAATGGACTTCTTTATTTAATCTCTGTTTTAAAATTTTTTGTTGTTTTTTTGTAAAAAATATATTATCTTTCTTTCAAAAATAAATAAATATTAATTTTACTAAATAATATGTTTAGTATTTTTTAATAGTATTTATTTATTTATTTAATATTTATGTATGATCAAAGTTATTTAGAGATGGAAATTGTAATTAACTATTGCCTTCTCTAACTTGGCTATTATGAATTGTAATCTATTTTTTGCGGAAATCATTATTTTAATTATTTTGCTTTATCATATTTAAAACCTTAGAACAAATTAAATTTTTTATAGATTAACAGAAATTCGGATAATAAATTTATTAAAAATTTATAAAAAAAAACTTAATTATAAACAAAAGCGAAATGATAGGTTTTGATTTTTTTGCAAGCTAAATATAGCTAAGATTTCAAGGTAACAGGGCTTATAGAACTCCAATTGGTTAATTTTTCACATTTCTGATTATCTCCATTGTTACTGCGAGGCTAATTGTAATGGTAAATACAATTTATAATAGGACTGAGCCAGTTGTACTTTATAAAGAAAGATAAATTGAATCTCCCAGATAATTTACTATGAACAACAAAACTCTACCTTTTGCTTTTGGGATGGAAGATGGAATAACTTTTTAAAATTTTATTGATCCTTCAATATATACAGTTGTTGCATATTAGCAAACAAAAAATACAATTGTTAATTCATAAGGAGTTTCTTAAGAAGTATGGACAAGAGTTAACGCTACAGTCCAAAGATGCACAGAACAAAACTTTTAAAACCCATTAACTAAAAATGGATTTCTCAAACTACCAATAAATGATTTATATTGCATCTAACCTCAGCTTGAATAAGTTATTGAAGGAGATTTTATTTAAGAAACATTTTCTTAATTTATAATAGAAGTTTATCCATGCTAAGGATAAGGCTGCGGTGATGTGAAAAAGCTAGGAAAAGGATATTTTACTATATACTTTTAAGATATTGTGGTTGATCCTGAAGATGACTAGAATCCATTTAAATTCTTTAACAGAGATTTATTTTGGACAACATCAATAGAATTTACACAACAAGCTATTATGTATTTTCGAAACAACTACATTTACAGTGATTATGGATGGATCTTTTAAGACATTAAAAAATAAAGTTATATAAGTTACAGTTCTTAGGAAGTATCAGTATAAAATTAATAATTTTTTTCTATTAACTAAAAAATAAGTATTTTTATATTTTTAAAAGCTCACTTTTGGAACTCCATATTTTTTATAACTTGTTATGAGGTTTGAAAAGCAGAAAGAAAGCGTTTATACGAGATCTTACCTAAAATTGAATGATATTTTTTCTTAAATGGGAGGTTTCTTTTAAACAATGATGGCTATTGGCTTTATTTTATGTGGTCAAATATCTAACCTTATGCTTAACAAATCAATTATAAACCAAGCATTTAATTTTTAGCTTTTTAATAACCCAAAAATTTCTTCATAAAATAATAATTAATGCAATAATTTAAACAATAAATAAAACGAAAGCAATGAAGAAATATCCAAATTTGATAAAATATAGCAAAATAGCTATAGTATAAATCCTATTTTGTAATCACCAAATTTTCAGTAAAAAAATTCATAGAACCTGTTATAAGATTAACTTTAAAAACAATAAAAGAGCTTAATTCTTTAAAATTAGAGTAGTTAAATGAAAGATTAACAAGAAAAAAATCCAGACATGACTCTAATTAACTAGAAAAATGAATCTTTTATTCATTCTCAAAACTAATCACCAATGCGTTATTAAAAAAGCAATAACTAAATCTTTTTAAGCTAAATTATTCAGCGAAAAAAAGCAAATTTGAATAAAGAAGCATCTCAAGGGATAATTAATGATAATAAAAATGTGAACTAAGATTAATCTATAACAAAAGCTAGAAAAAGTGAAATTAAATAAGACGATTTACCAGAAAGTATAACGAATAAAAAATTTAAATAGCTATTTCAATAAGAGACAAATAGCATGTAACTTAATATCTGGGAATACATAAAATACTTCTTTTGGCCTTTTGGATAAATTAAAAAGAAGAAGCAGATTATAGATTACAGTATTTAAAAGCTATATTACCATATAGATTTAATTTATTTAGTTAAGAAATTGATAGAAATTGAAAAGCTCAAATAGCTTTTAATGGATAGCAATTAAATTAAGCTCTTTGAATACCTTCCCAAGCCAACAATTAAAGATGATGATGTCTTTAAGATTAAAAAAGGCAACAAAGAAGATTAAGATTAATCATAATAAGAGTATAATATACTCTACTAAGACGATAGATCAGAAATCGAAAAACTGTAAGATGCATATTAAGCTTACTTAAATATCTAAAAGAGAGGCTAAAAAAATTAATTAGATTAAAAATTACTTTCCAATTTAGATCCTCAACTTTTAAATTTATTCAACTATAAAAATGATTAGGAGGAAGAAATTTAGGAAAAATAGAACCATTAAAAATAAGGATATGAAACTAAATAGCAAAAGCAAATACCATAAAGGGATAGGAGTGAAAGTAAGCTAAAATTCACAAATAAATAAAAATATTTAGAGGACGAAAAATTTATAGAAATGTTTTCTAATTGTTCAACAAAGAATAAAAAATTGATAAATAAAATAAACGAAGATAAATAATTTGATGATCTTGATACTGAAGTTAGAATTCCTATGGAAGCAATAAATTAAAATAAAATATTTAAAGATTATTTCCAAAAAAAATACTTGAACTCATTATATTGATGAAATCTTTATAAAATTTAAAATTAATGATATTTATCTAAAAATGTTAAGATTATTTCTAAATTTACCACAAATAAATTCATAATATTGTATGTATATTAATTTGTAAAATAAAAATCATCTTCCATTTTTAATATTTTATTCTATCTTTTAAAATTATTACTTTTTCAAAATTATTTATTGTTTTTTCAGTAGGAATATTTTTAACTTATAAAATTTTTTTTTTTTGGATATGAATGACGACTGCAAACATATTGAACTAACTATCATTAAAAATACAAAGTTTTATTAAGAAATAGATTCGTGAGTAACAGACATAGTTTTTTATTTTTACTATAAGATTTTTAGTTAATAAACAAAAATTATTAAATTCTATGAATTATTTTTTAAATAGAAAATTTCATTTTTTCTGTTTATTTTTTGTAAAATTTAAAGCTAATATTTGAAAAATTATTTGAATGTGCATTAATTCATAATTATTTATTAAGAAAATGACTGTATTTATGTTTGTTGGCTTTTTGTTAATAAGTAAATAGATATGTAGATAGCTCAAAAATAAATACTGTTTTGTTTGTTTGCTTTTTTTTGATTGAATTGAATTATTTATTTTAAGATATATTTATTTATTTTGAATGGTAAAAAATTAATAATGAATGAATGCAATATTTAGTTGTATTTTATAAGATCATTTTATTTTTTTTAAAATATCTGTCTAATAACTAATGAATAAGTTCAATTTTAATATATAAATAATGTTAATCCTATTTTTAGATGCAAAAATAAATTCAGACAGAGATTATATTGATACTTTGCTTTCTTTGCATATTTAAATAGTTATTTTATGTTTTCACTTAGATTGTTGAGATACTTCAACTTCTTATTCTCCTTAAACATCTTCAATAATAGGTTCATATTAGATTCCTAATAATTTACTTTCAAGTTTTTGCATAGCTTGAATAATATTTTATCCATTATCTTATTTAACTTCCCAGTGATTTTATTATTCTAAATAAGCCTATGGAATTTAAACAACATTTCTATTTGCGTTTTCAACCTTAGAACCTCTAAAATCAGTTCTTTTAACCTAAAAGTAAAAAAATTTAGTTTTTATTTTTTCTTTTTTTTAAATTAACTTACCTTTTAAACAGTTTGTTTATAAACCTAAAAGTTTGTTGGAGCTGGGTTGTTAACTGCTCTTTCAGGATAGAGTTCAGGATGGTAAACAAATGGAGGAGGAGGACGATTATATTAATTTCTTACTTAGCCAGGTTCAACATGAACAGTGACAACCTTTCTGTTAGTATCAGTGTATTTTTTTTCAAATCTAACATGACCCTTTCATATTTAAAATAGTATTAATTTTATTATTGGAATTAGCTAGCAAACGAATAAATTTATGTAGAGGAATTTAAAGATATTCTTTATTTATTTATTTGCTCTTAAAAACATTATTCTTTGTAATCTATCAATATAAACCAAATTAAAAAGTATATTCTACTTCGACTTTAGAGTGAATTGTGTGGTCCTTACCAACATAGGTATTTTGACCTGCGTGCCATTTAAAACCTCTTTATCTAGCAAGAATATCATCGGGGAATACTTCTTCACCACCAAACTTTTTGATACCTAATTAAATTGATTGATTAGATATTAATTGAATCAGCTATTATTTATTAAATATTTTATTTTATTACCTAATCTTCTACCAATTGAGTCTCTACCATTTTATGTAGAACTAGCTTGCATCTTTGTAGCAAAATACTATTTTTAATTTATTTAAGAATAAGATATTAATTATCATCATACTCCATTTATCATTTAAAATCAATAAAATATGAATTAATCTAAAATAGAATATTCAAGATTCTTAAACTGCTATCTTTGCTAAAATTATTTCTTCATGAAAAATGGATGATAGTTATTTACTTATTGCTTATTGAACAATGAGGAATTCATCTTCAAAGTCAAATTATTTAAACCCTAAAATGCTTTAACAATATTTGAAGTCATAGTAGCTATTCTTTGAAAATTTTTTTCTTCTTATTTAATTATTACTTCTTCTAAATTACAAGGAAATTCAATTTACTTGTTAAAAATAACTAATATATCTTGCTTTTTTCTATTCAAACTATATATTAAAGAAAATTGCTTTAGAATCTTTACATTAAACTGATTTTTCAATAATAATTTTTTCTGGCTTTAACCTGGATACAAACAAACTATCAAGCATTAAATTTATTTAAATTAATTATGGATAAATTTTCATTTACAAAAAGTAGAATATTTGTTTGGCATTATTTAATTTTCATTCTACATCAATAATTCTCTTTAAAATAAAAATTAATATTTTTATTATTGAAATTGTAGTAAAAATATGTGAACTTTTCTATTAAATTTTTTTTTTTAGCTTTAATAAAAAAAATTAGTAGATTTTTTAATTTATTTTCAATTTTAATTAAATACTTTTTTTATAATAAATTTATATTTTTTAATTAAATTCAAAACAAAAAAATTAAATATTTTATGATAAATTTTTTTGAGAGAAAAGATAAAAAAGAAGAGCCACTTGGCGGGATTGAACCGCCGACCTTTCGCTTACTAGGCGAATGCTCTAACCACTGAGCTAAAGCGGCGAACTTGAAAGTAATTTTCTAAACTGTTTGATTTTCTAAATGTTTTCTTTTCTTCATAAATTACAAAAATATTAAAAAGAGAGCCACTTGGCGGGATTGAACCGCCGACCTTTCGCTTACTAGGCGAATGCTCTAACCACTGAGCTAAAGCGGCGAACTCAGAAGTACTAGGGTCTACTATCAAAATTTTGATAATTTTTTAAAAATATTGAATTTAAAAAGTATCAAGAACAAATATTAATTAATAACTTTTAGTTCAAAATTAAAAAACAAAAAAATCTAATTTTAATTCTAAAAATAATTTTTATTTCAACTAAATTAAAAATTTTTAAAGTAATATCTTAAAATTATATAAAATTTTCTTAAAATAATAAAAAGAGCCACTTGGCGGGATTGAACCGCCGACCTTTCGCTTACTAGGCGAATGCTCTAACCACTGAGCTAAAGCGGCGAACTTAGAAGTATAATAACTGAGTAGTCAAAATTTTTAAAAATTATCTTAAAAAATGAATAAATGCAATTTAATTTATAAAAGAAAAGTACCCTTAGTCAACATTAAACAAAAAATTCAGAAAATGAAATGCTAAAAAGGTTTATAAACTGCTTAAATAGCATTATAAATAAATATTCAAATTATTTTTCAAATTAAAAACATTTCAAATAAAAATTTTTTAAAATTGGTAAAAAGAGCCACTTGGCGGGATTGAACCGCCGACCTTTCGCTTACTAGGCGAATGCTCTAACCACTGAGCTAAAGCGGCCGACCTGAGATTTATTATATTAGTTCGCATTATTTGTTTAATTTTTAACTCTAATTAGGCTAAAGAAATGTTTGAAAAATCAACTAATTAAAAATTTTAGTTAATCAATTTTTAATTGCTTCTTTTTTATGTTTATTATGAAAAAAATAAAAAGAGAGCCACTTGGCGGGATTGAACCGCCGACCTTTCGCTTACTAGGCGAATGCTCTAACCACTGAGCTAAAGCGGCCAGCACAACTATTAAGGAATAAGTAAGGAAAACAATTAAAAAATATTTTCACAATTAAAATTTCAATTACAAAATCTACAAAAATTTTAATTTAAAAATGAAATTAGAATGATAAAATTAATTAATATTTTTAAAGGTAAAATTTAACTAACAACATATAAATATCTATGTAAATAATTGTACTTACAATTTTCACTTCGCTTGTGATTAATTTAATTTTTCTTTTTCACCTTGGTCATCAATGTAGTCAATTAAATCTTAAGTTTTTTCATTAATTTTGTTTAACTTCTATTCAAAGTTAATCAAGCTTTGACTTTCTGCAGAATCTTTTGGAAGTTTAATGTTGAATGCTAACATTATGTATTCTTTATATAATGTTTCTAAATCTTTTTTAACCATATTTAATGCTCGTTTTTCTCTTCTTGTGTGAACAATTTATACCTCACTGTGGTTAAATTGATAATTATTATTTGGACTGCTACCTTGATTACTACTATTATGCTAAGGAGTGCTCCCTTTACTAAAGTTGCTTCCAAAAGATTTATTACGTTAACGTTCATAGCTTTCCATGGTGTTCATTTGCATTTCCTCACCTTATGATTTTTGATGGTTAACAGCTTTTTACAGTAATTCAGTAATCTCATTCATTTTATTTGGATTTTATTGGGATTGCTTCATTACATCAATTTAAATACTAAGCTTTTTTATTTCTTACAAAGCATTTTCTCTTTTTGCTTTTAATTATTAAACAGCATCAAGGCTTTCTTTTAATTAATCTTCCAGCTCTCTTATTTTTGACTAAGATCCTGAAATATCATTTTTAAGTTAGGAGTTTTCATGTTCAATATTTTAAATTTTCAAGGTGAGATTTGATATTTTTAGTTCTTTGTCATATTAAACTTTTTAAACCTCCTCATTTGTAAGAATGTTGGATTGCTTAAATTTGCCGATTTCTTTTTTCAAATCCTCAATTTCTTGATCCTTTTAATCTGCCTCTTTTAAATGCTAATTCTCAGAATCAATTACTGATTAATTTAAGTGATTGATTCTTTCTTTATATTCTTTTAGTTTCTTTTTGTCTGCAATTCTTTTAGTAGTTAATACTTAGATAGCAGTTTTATCTTTTTCAGATGCTTCAGCCATATTAAGCAGATCCTTTTTGCATTCATTAAACTTCTCTTCTTATTTAGATAGATCTTTTTTAGTTTATTCATGCTTTAGTCTTTCTTAAATAAGCTTATTCTCTAACTCTTTACGTTTAATAAAGTTACTCTCTTCTGATTCTTTTAGAGTATCTTTAGCATCTGCAAGCTCTTTTTCAATTTATGTAATTTTTTATATAAGCTTATTGTTTTCGTTTTGCGAATTTTCTTATGTTGAATTTAAAATTGTTGTTAACTTATCAAAAGAACTTTTGAGTTATTATTTTTCATCCTTTAGATTTTATAAGTCTTTTTCCAATTATTTCTTTTCATCACTCCATTTTTTTGAGCTATCTTCAAGCTTTTTTTTCAATTCTTCAGTAGCTGTTTTATTTTGATTCTTCATTTCATTGTTCAATTTATTTTATTTATCAATTTAATCATTCAAATCTTTAATTTTAGATTGAGACTCCTCTTAAATTTTTTATAATTATTTAGTTGTTTTATCTTGCTAGCTTTATAAATCAGTAAGCTTTGTTTGGGATTCTTTAGTGTACTGCTCATATTATTGCTAAGTTTGTTATAATTTAGTTGTAATTTCTTTTATTTAAGTTGATGATTCTTTTTACTACTTTTCTAAATCTTCTTTTAATTTTTAGTTTTAAATAACAAGCTCTTATATCTTGTTATTAGAATCTTCCTTCTACTTCAATTATGATTTCTAGTTCTATTCGATTTCTTAAATGTAATTTTAAATTTTAACTTATGATTAATCTATTTATTACTAATATTCAATTTTTTAAGTTTCCAAGTTTTATTTTAAATCTTTAATTTAATCTTCATGTGTCTTTTGGTTTTGACTTTATTCTGATTTTAATTACAAAATTTATTCTTCCAGTTGTTTATTCTTAATATTATACTATTCAGCAGAATCTTTATCGGCCTTAGTAGCCTATTCTAATTGATTCTACAATTATTTTAATTTTTATTCATATTCTTCAAATAGCTATTATTTTTATTAATTTAGTTAGCTTATCTCATTGTTCAGATTACCAACTTATACTAAATGTTGTTCTATTTATTATTAATGAGTTTATTTAATATTGTTAATTTCTTCATTTTATGCTTGCATTTATTTAATTGAATCATTCTATTAGCCTTCATATTCTTTCTAAATATTTTCAATCTTTTATTTTTATTCAGCAATATAAGTATCAAATTCATTTTATTTTAATTCAAGATCCTTTTAAAGCAAAGCAATTTTTTCTTGGCTTTTATTCTAAATGTCTTAAATTTCTTATGTTTTTTCATTTAAATCTTACTTTAGAACTTGCAAGGCACTTTCTCTCTTTTGCAATTCGCTGCTGATTTAATCAATTTTTTACTTTTAAACATCTAATTCTTATTAAAGTGTCTAAATCTACTGCAAGTATTCAGCTTATTTTTTTTATAAATTTTCATTCTCAACTTGTAAATTCTTAATTTAATTTTAACACTCCTCTAAGGATTTCTCACTTAATATTTTTTATTCATTAAGTTTCTTGTTTAATTTTGTTATTTCTTCTATCTACTAACTAATTTCATCAGCTTACTTATTCAACTTTTGATTTAAATCTTCAATTTAATCTTAATATTCTTTTGTCTTCTATTTATTTGATTTTTCATCTTAAGAAATTTGTTATTGCAATAAAGTATTTTGTTAATTTAAATCTTAAATCTACTTTTTAGCTTCATCTTACTACTTTTAGATTTATTCGTTCAGTAATTATATTTGCTAATTGCAATCCTTTAATTTAGCAGAAGCCTCTTCATACAGCTTTTCAGATATGGATGATAGTTTTTATTGTTAAGAGTTGTCTTCTTAAGTCTTTGTGTCAATGTGATTTTTAAAATCGATTAGAGATTTCTCATACTATTCTTTTATATCAGAAATACTTTTTTCACACTATAATTTGACTTCTTTTAATGTATTTTCATTTTACTCCTTTATTTCATTTATTTCTTTTTCTTTAGATTGCTGAATAGATAAAATATTTTTTTCATTTTCTTCCTAAATTTAATCGTGCTTTTATTAATTCAAAACATTTAAACTTTGTATTTGTTAGTCGTATTTTTTTGAAAGTTCATTCAATTATTTTTCATACTAACATTTTGCATCTTATAATTTTTAATCATTTTCTTCTATTAAAGAATTTATTTTTTATTAATTTTATTTCTAAATGTCAGCAATCTATCCTTAATGGGAGGAGATAGTTTCATTTATTTTTTACTATGATTCATTTTCCATTTGTTTAATTTTATTAATGTGTTATTCCTTAATTTCTTCCATTTCTTTCTATAATTGTTAAATAGCAATTTGTTTTTCCTAAACCATTTCGTTCATTTTTTTCTCATATTAATCCTTTAGCTGGTTAAATTACTCACTGCTTTACTAACTCTGGTCATTTTTTAATTATTATATTTTTTGTTCTAATTCTTGTACAGTCTACTAATTATTTTTTTTCAAATCCTCTATTTACTATGCAAAATGTTAAGTTTCTTAAATTTTATATTATTCATATTCGATTTTCATCTAGTTAAGTGCGTTTAAGTGTTACTCTTAAAGCTATTTAATATCATTTTCCCTTTTTTACTCATGCTCTTATATTTATAAGTTAATTTTATTGTTCATTTCCAAAATCTGAGCTTCTTTTTTTTCTACTAGATCTTTAATTTAAAGGTCATATTATTCTTTAGATTCTGAAATTAATTTTTGTGTCAAAGTTTCTATCTCTTATAAGTGTTGATTTTATGAGTTTTTAAATATTACTTCTTGCTCACTTTTTAAATTCTATATTTCTTATTACTATTTCTCTTTAAGCTCTTGTACATTATTCTCAAATTATGTTTTTAACTATGAAATTTCTTAATCGTAATTATTTTTGATATTACTAATTTCTTACTGATGCTAAGATAATTGCTATTCGATCTATTATTATAAATCAGATATTATTTTCTCTTAGGATTACTTTAGTTCTTATACACTGTTATTAGAAGACATCACTTCTTAAATCTATGTTTCTTACTGCTGCTTGATTTCTTATATATTTTTTTCATGAAGTTTGAGTAACTCACTTATCTATAGCTCGTAATTATTTGTTGTCTCATTAAGTTTAGCTTCATATTTTTGCTTTTGTTCTAACACTAACTATTCACTTTAACTTATTTACTATGCTAAAGCTTTATCTTGCTTGCTTTGAAGATCTTAAAATTGCTATTGTTATTCCTTTAAAGTTTTGCTGTTTTTATCATTTATCTCACTTATTGTCTTTTCGTACTAAGCCTTAATTTAATTGATGGCATTTTAATTCTATTCTTTCAATTAATTATTTTCTTACTCGTGCTTTTAATTAAGTTCTAATATTGCTTTTTCTTTTTGTGCCTTTACTTCATTGATGCTTTTTTACATTTAAGCCATTTCTAAAGTAACCTTAGACAAATCTTAAGAATGCTCTTCACTTAATTCTAACAATTTATGCTTGTCAGCTTTTTCTTATTCTAAATTTTATTATAATTTTTTAATAAGCTCTTATAGCTCATTAACTTCGCTGTTGCTTGATTTGCCAATAACATTTTTATTTCTCTAAAAATCTTCAATACGACTTTTAATTTTTGATAATAGATCATTCATTTTTTCCCATGTATCTCCTATCTTCTTCAGTATTTCTTTATCTTCTTTAAATAAAGCTTCTTTTTTTGAATTGTCATTGTTAACTTAAATTTAAATATTTTATTAATCTAAGTTATCCTCATTAGAATGCTACTTAACTACTATAATATCTTTATTTTTGTTACTACCTTCTATTTCCTATTAAACTTCATCTTCATTTAATAGAATTTCATTTACATATTCATCCAATTTTTCTTCTTTAACTAAGTCATCAGAATACTTTTATAATAAAACCTATCTTCCATTAAGAATTTCACCAGATTTCTTTAAAATCTAAATTAAATCACTATCTCTAGAAAACTCAATAATAGCATAACCCTTATTCTATGTTTAAAATAAAAAGGCTTGTAAAAAAAACACAAATAAAAATAAAAATGTACGCCCCCGTTCTAGTCTAGTGGTAAATTTACATCTTCAACTTAAAATCCTTTAAAGAACTAAGTAATTTGATCTTCATCAATATTAGATGAAAGATTACTAGCATAAACAATAATTTAATCTTCATCAAATAGCTTTTTATGCTTATCTAGCTTAATTTAGAATTCCTCAATTTGTTCATGATTTTCTGTTTTTTATCTCCTCTAATCTCTTTTCTCAGTCTATTCAATTTGTTTATTTAATAATAGAATGGTTTTCTCATACATGTCTCTTAGCTTTTATAGTTCTTCTTCAGAAACAAACAACATTAACTCGCTATCGGGATTCATATTAATTTTGGTTACTTTAACAATTTAGTTATTTTATTTTTTTCCTTCTTCTTGATCATTGTCACCTCTTTTTAATGCATCATTTAGTTCATTTACCAAGCTAGAATCAAGTTATTCACCAGCTAAGCTAACAAGCACTTCTTTTTCATTTTCTTAAGTATGACTAGCCTATTCCAAATCCTTAATTTTATTTTTAAAGCTCACAATTTAATTATGACAAAGATCTATCTCCTATTATAACTTCATTGAATTAGTTAGTTCTTTATTTAAAAGCTACTAAATGCTTAATAATTATTGCTAGAGTTCTTCTCTCTCATCTGCTAAACGATTTCTTTCTTCAATCATCGCTGTAAACTTAGTTTTATAAATATCTCTATCTTCTTCAGCCTTTTTTAATTCTTTTTTCAAATTAGCACCATATGATTCATACTTCTTTACTGCTTCTCCTAATTCAGTAGAATTAAGCTTCCAAACATCCTTCAGCTCTATTTTATACTAATCCTACAGTATTTCTTCCCATATATTTTTATATTCTTTTGGACCTTAAGGATCCTTTTTTTTATCTCCACCTAATAGTTTTTTAAACATTTATATTCTGAAAGGTAAAAATAAAGTAATTATAAAGTTTGTTATTATTATTATTAAATTTAATGCTTGCTAATAGAATATGATATTTTATTTTATTTGGTAATCTTAACATATAAATCAATTATTTATTTATTTGTTTGTTTGTTTTTTTGCTTGTATTTTTATTTATTAATTTGAGATACAGCAAAAATTATTATTATATTTTTAAAATATATTTTCGTTATGTAAAATTAAATTTTTTTTTGAACATAAATTATTAATAAATTTTGATTGATTTCATTTTTACTTTAGATTTAATTAAATAAATATTTTTATTTAAAATAATTTAAAATCTTAAAAGTGATAATTTTCTTTGAAATATATCATTTTAACTTTTAAATTTAGGTATTTTATCATTAAATTTTATTTACAATTATAAAAATTTGAATAAATTTTGTTATTATATTTCAACAAAATACGATAATCTACCCTAATACTCAATCAACCAATTGGTTTTAATTTAAAAAATTTATCAATTTTAAAATAATTTAAAAGGATTAGATATTTTTGATTATAAATTGCTTAGATATGTTAGATTAATCATATTAATAAAAATTATTATTTTTACATATAAAATAACTCATATTAATGCTTATCTAAGATTATTTTTTAATAGCTACAATTTAAGCAAAAATATCAAAATCAAGTTACTACTTTTCCCATTCCCATTAGAATAATATGTCCTGTTTAGGAAAAATACTACAGTCAAAAAAAATATCTCGTTAACTAATAGTAAAATCTAGCTCATGTTAATGTGAAAGAAATTTCTTTTTTGATAGATATAGATAAATTTTGAATGCTTATCCAGTTTCTTTTTATAGTTAATATTTTCAAACACTTCCTTTTCATCTTTTTAAATGCAAGATAAGCAAGAGTAAAATTAGCATTAAGAACAATATCATAATAAAAATAAGTTTGATTTGCCACAAATATTGCATCTTTATAGTCTAATAACTATAAAATTTGTTTATAAATTTTAGTTAATGCTCATGATAGGTGATAATTATTTTTTTGTAAATTTGAAATAGCTTTCATATAAATTTATTTTAATTTTATTATTCTCATATACTTTAGTAATTAAGTTTATGATTTTGATTAAAGTATTAGTTTCTGTTTATTTAATGCTAAATTCTTTTTGATATTTTTCTTTAAATTGATTTAATTGAATTTTTTAATTTATTGTTTGATTTGTATTCATTAATTTATTTGGTATGGAACTTAAAATATTTTTAGTAATTATTCTGCTAATAAATCGAGTAAGCAAGTCTAAATTCTCTTTTAGAAATATTAGAATATATTTATTGTAAATAATAAACTTATTTAATGTTTAATATTTTAATTAAAATATATTGTTAATTAATGTAAATAAAGAGCTATTTTAGATTTAAATATTATTTTTTTTAAACAGATTAAAGGTGAAATATTTAATTTTTTTGTCTTTTTAATATTTGATAAAAAAATAAATGAATGAAATAGTGTTTAAAATTTAGATCTAATATGTGATTAATAATATTAATGAATAAAAAATTATTATTCTCAAGAATTTATTTATTTTTTATTAGAAATCATGCATATATATTCGTTTAAATTTTTAACACTGAGTAGAGTTTGGCGGAGTTGTTTGAATAATTAAGATTTCAATTTAAGAAATATCAATTATAATTAATAAAGTTTCTTTAATTCTTTTTTAATAACATCATAATTTGGATAAACTTATTGATTATTAAAGTAATTATTTATTTATTTAGTATTAATAATTGATATTTGCATAAGAATAAAGATTTAATTTTGATTTATTTATTAAACAAGCAAACATAGGTGTACTAAGTAAACATAATTGATATACTAAAATGTAGTAAAATTCGCAAAACACAAATGTTACAACATAAAACCCATCTACTAATTTAACCCCTTAGCAAGCTAATTAGCGAATCAATACTGAAAATTAAAAATAGTAAGTTGAAACAAAATGGAATATTTAATTAGACCAAAATGAAAAAGAATACATAATAGTGATTGGGCATATGAATTTTCCTACTTTACTAGATTATTCAAAATTAAATTTAGCTAATAAGAAGATATAACACCTTATTATTTCAGACATGTATTTTTAATTTCAAGAAAAGCAAATTAAGATAACATTTAGCAAAGCGGGTTTGGGAGATTTGAATCCATATAAAGTGCTTTATAATATTTATGAAAAAATATATTGTCACTTTGAAAATATATAGAAAGGACGCTCTGATTTTACTAAAAACCTAGATATTTATCCATAGGTTGTTCATTATTTGGGAACTCCAATATCTTTTGAGATATTTTTTAGATTCAACTCTTATAAATATGCCAACGATAATAAACTTAAAGAAGAATGGATAAGGTAAAAAATATATTTTTAATCAATAGTTTCTTTAGAAGAAGTCTAAAAATGTTTGTTTGTTTTGTTATTTAGAGTTAAATTGATGGTTTCTAAAATGTTAAATGCTAAAATAAAAGTGAAAGTGGAATTAATTAATTACAAATTACTTATTATTTTTTACTAGACATTAATAAAAAATCTAAAATTCATTTTTCATTTTTTACTAAAAATATAATTAGAGTATCTAATATATTGTCTTATGATATTTACGATGAAGTAAGACACGATTATGAAGGTAATACTTAAGGTTATGACATATAGTAGCAAACTCATTCAGAATCAGATTTGGTATTAATTTAACTTTTATAAAACAATAAATTATTATGAAGTGTTAATATGAGATAGTTATTTATATATTTTTTAACAAAATAAATAAATAGGATTCTTACATGAAATTCTAGCATATGTTTAAGAAAAATTTGTTTTATGGATTATTTAGTCATTTTAAATTAGAATAGATATATCATGCTCTAGAAGTATAATATGTGCCGTACTTCATCATATAGAAAATATTTCTTTAGTTAGAGGATTTTTATATGACACAATATTAACTTACTGTCTAAGAAATTTAGCCACTACGAAAAATGGTTGATGATATCACAATGTTTCCTTCTTTTTAATGCATATTATTTACTCCTCATAATACATAGAAAAAGCAAAGATCAAATAATGATAAATTTATGGCTGAAAAATTAGAATCTAGATCTTTTATGCAAATACGTTTTGATCTATGCCCTAATTGTTAAAAATTCATAAAGGAGACTACTCGAAGGTGCCTAGACCTGAAAGAAGACTATTTAAAAGCCCTGCAAAATTTATAAAGTACCGACCCCACTAATGCTTAAAAATAAAAATTATTATATGATAAACTCTAAGATAGTCTGTCATAGCTTAAAGTTGCATGTAAAAATACAAACCTTCCACATTAGTACTGGCTAAAAATATCTTTCTGCGATTTGTTTTATTATTTTCACTAACAATAGAGAGGGTAAGATTTTGCTTACGGTATAGATAAACGCGGATAAATTTAAGAGTGCTTGCTTCGTTCTTTTGATGTTTTTGAAAAAGTATTTGCAAAATATAAAAATTCAGAAGAGTAATTGAGATTTAATCATGAAAAATAGTAAATTTCATTCTGCTATATAAATCAAGTAGAATTAGAGCTCTCTTTGCTTACTTTCTTATCTCTTGTTTATTAGCTGCACTTCATCTATTAGTATTATTACTTCTTTTCTTAAAGACTCACAAATTAATAATAAGTGGAAATTAAATATCATGAAACAAACTTAAAGTAAGGGAATATAATTATGGTAATTTCGTAACAAAATAGCCCATTTGAACTGTAGCTCTATGTAGAATATGAGAAATAGGGTCTTGTTGTATTCAACACTCACATAAGGAGTATAGAAAATAGAAATTCTCATTCATAGACATATATCTAATTATAAAGTTGGATGTACAGAATTTTTTGCATGACTTCTTATATGAAAGCAGAAGTCGCCTACACTTTTTTAAATAAAGGAAATAGATTAATTTCTTGGTTACAAAGAGATGAAAATAAATCAAGAAAAATTATCAGTCTCTATCAAGATCTTTTGTCTTTGAATCTATCGATTTTTAACATAGATTTGACAAGCTATGATGAAGAAGATTAAAATATGAAAGATTATGTTAGAAATTCTAATGCTTCAGAAGACATGTTTAAAAAATTATTAGAAATTAATTTCGATATTGATAAAAAAAATCAGTTAGTTATTTATAAGGAAGGTTAATATGCTTTCTTTTTTTATTAAACTGATTCGAGCAACTAAAGAATTTTATAAAACAAAGAATACAATCCTAGCTTAAACATTTTCAGTGACAGTGCTTAATCAATTCTGTAATTCTTAAGAAGCGTAGTTTGAATAAAGAAATTAATTAAAACTTCCTTGTTTGCAAAAAAAAATCATATGAAAAAATAATTTCATTTAAATTTCTTGCTTAAAAATTTTAAGAAACCAATCAATCAATAAATCAACAAACAAACTAACCACTTTAACTAAAATATTGACAAATTAGATAATTCAATTTCTTAATTGCCTTTTTAATAAATATTTAATTTATAATTAATTTAAATCTTTCATTTTTTATAAATCCTTATTGTTTATTTTATCTGTTTAATACATTTTTTAATTTTAAAAAGTATGAAATATTTATAAAAACTTAAAATTTATTCATCATGGTAAACTATTCTGAAAAATTGGAAAATATGATTGTCTAAGAAAATAATTCTTACTTCTTAGAATATTTAATCTTATATAATTTTAATTAATATTTCTATTAAAGAAGATATTAACATTAGAATTAAAAATATTAAGAAAAAAAGATAAAAAGTAAAAATAAATAATGGATTTCAATTTTACAGATTATTCACTTTAACAAATACAATCAGAACCTAATAAAAATATTTTTAGTAATGAGTAAATGAAGAATGACGATAATATTTAGGAAAATAAGATAGTTGATAAAAAAAAAACTAACATTATAGCTGATTAAAGAAATAAGATGCATAACATGTTATAAGATTTCAAATTAACTGTATAGCATTTCGTGTTGTTCATAGTATTTATGCATGGAATGCAATAAAAAAATCTAATAATGTCCATTATGTAAGTAAAAATATGAGATATTCAATAATAAAAGTGTGTTAAGGATATTAGATTATATCACATGCGAATGTTCAAACGAATAATGTAATTACAAGTCTTAATTTCTAGAGGTATTAAAACATTAAGAAACTTGTGAATTTTAGAAACGCACCTGCAAAGTATGCCATGAAATTTATTTATAGAAAGATATTTATGACCATATGATCAATAATCATAAAAAAGATATTATGTAACAATTAACATATAGGACTGACCAGATTTGATGAAATATCTCCTAAGCTGATCAATGGCTAAGATTTTACTATTTAAATCGCTATTCATATATCCTTCTTAATTTTTAATATAATATGAATTATATTGTTTTTAACTTTTTTTCATCATTTTAGTAAAAATATCAAATATTCCAAATTTATATTGTAAATAATTTTTTTAAACAATTGAAAATAACTTTAAGTATTTTATTCAAATAAATAAAAAAATTAGTTTTATTTAACAAACAAAATAAATAAATAAATAAAAAATACATAAACTCCTAAAATTGGAGAAGGATGAAGAATAAAGATTGAAATGGGATAAAGCAAATATAAAATATGTGGTAAGATAATATTTTTTAGGAATGTTTAGAATATGCTATTAATTTAGGAAATTAATTTTCCTAATTTTTATTAAATTAAGCACTTTCCTATTTATTAAGAATTCTAACTTATTTAAGTATTTTATTTTACTTTATTATTTAAATAGCTTATATTTTAAGAATATTATTTTGATTATACACTTGAATTTTATTAAACAATTATTACTTGTAAACTCTCTATTAGTAAGACCCTCCCTCCCCATTTAGAAAAAAGGGGGTCATAACACCATAATCTATAAAAAAAATTTAAGAAAATATACCTTAATTAATGAGCATTTACAGTATAGTTATTATAATTCTCTATCTATTCAAGACCAAAAAGTTTTATAAGTTGAGCTAAATATAAATTAGATGATTTTTAAAACTGCAACAGAGCTAAATCGTTTATTTAAATCTTAAAAATATATTGAAAATTTAAAAAATTTTTTAAATTAATTAAGTCATGTTTTATTTTTTTGATTTCTAAATTATTTATTTTTTTTGATTGCTCTACTAATTATTTTCTGTCCTTTTATTTTAGTTAATGAAACTAATTTTTTTAGTAATTTTTATTTATTATCTTCGTAATGTAATATAACTTAGAATCTTCTTAAAACTTTATTCATTTTCATATTTTAATATCTTTCTTTATAATTAAAACCTATATTTTATATTAGTTTAGATTAAAAAATGAATATAGATTATTTATATAAAAATAAACCAAAATTAGTTCAGCTAAAAGGAAAGATTAATACCATACAATTTGAAGCAGATTAAATAAATTTTATTTAAAAAATGAGATATCTATTTTAATATGAGGCATTTAACAAACTTTCTAAAATTTTTTTCAATTTTATCATGCATGAAATTTTAGATTTAAAATTTAAGTATTAATAATTTTTGAATTTGCAAAGCCAACGTAACAATAATATTTATTAAATTATTAAAATATCTTGATTTAGGAAAATAAATTTAAAAAGCAAAGGTGTCTGTGCGATATACAAAAAAATGTTTAAATATTCAAATTAGGAATACTAAAAAAAAACTTTAGCCACAGGAGACATAGATCCTTATAATTACAATAGGGCTGCAGGAGATGGTTATTCTTAAAATTAGTCTTATAATCATTTACCAACTTAAGGAAATTTACACAACTAAAGTGTTTAATATGCAACATCTAATGCCTACTTTTGTGAAGAACACAATGACCCAGTGACAAATTACTGTGCTAATTTAGACTGTTTGAGACCACTATGTCCTGATTGTATAGATGCACACTACAAATACCATCTTTAATCATCAACTATTCCATAAATTGAATCAATAAAAAATATGAAGATTAATTGTTCAAAAAAAGTCGATGCAGCTATTCAATCACTCTAAAAAGAAATGAACGACTGTGAACTTAAATATCTAATTGATCCTGAACAAGTTATCAATGAAGGAGTAGCAAAGATAAATCATACTAAAGAAAAAGTTCTTCTAATGGTAAATTGCTTTGTTTTCATTCTCTTTTGATAGTTATATTTAATGAATATAAATTTTAAATTAAAATAATAACTAATTATTTTAAAATAAATTTTTATTAGGTCCGCAAGTTTTTTGAGATGCAAGAAGATATTTATATTAAAAGAGTGAATGAAAATCTACTTCGCTCAGGTGACTTTACTTCAATTTTTGAAAAAATAAATACATTAATTAACGAACTGGATTAATTGAGATATTCTCTTGAAGGCAATAGCTTCCTCTCTTCAATAAATAGAATATGTCGCTTAGATTTGATATCGTTGAGAGATAAATTTAAATCAGATATTCATAAAATAGTGTAATAGAGAGATTTAGAGCCTGTTTAAGTTCTCATCGATGACCAGAAAGTTATGTAAATTAAATAAGATCTTGACTAAACAGTTATAATGGCAAAGTAAAGTGACTAGTAAAATCGCTTTAGTAACTAGTAAAACATACTTGCAAAGCAATCAAATGTATTTTAACAAGGTAACAATTAATGAAATTTATAAAAAATTATAGTATATTCATCCTATATTAACAATATTTATAGTGTATTTGCTTGTTTTTATATAAAGAACTGTTTATTTCTTTTATATTACAAACTCTTTTCTTAGATTCTATCTCACTCTTCTCTTTCATAAAATTAATTAGTAAATGATATTCATAATCAAAGTTATAGAATTGCCAATGATCTTGCTGGAATTAGCCCATTGAAAGGCACCAATTCCAATTTCAACTCTACTGCTCCACCCTTAGCTGGAAAAGGTCCTAGAGAAACTATAGAAATTCATACTGCAGATTACTTCGATGAGAGTTGTAAAAGAAAAAATTTACATTTTTTCATCTACGATCAAGATAACAAAAGTTGCAAGCTAATTTATCTTGATTTGAATGGAAATAAATAGTTCTAAATAATTAATATTGATGTAGATTTCCCACTACCTGCTTTCCATAAATCAATATCTCTTCCTGATGGTGAGATATATCTGATTGGAGGTACAAAGCCTGATAAAACAAAGTCTAATGCCATATATCGCTATGATCCTTCAAATAAGAAATTAGTTAAAGAAAGTGATGGTATGAAGGAAGGAAGAAGTAGTTTCGGAGTATGTATATTGAGAAATTGCATTTATGTGATTGGTGGTATAGGAAATAATGGTTAATACTTAAATTCATGTGAAAGATATAATCTTAAGTCAAAAAAATGGGAAACAGTCAGTTAAGTAAACTAAGCAAGTGCATCATTTTCTTGCACATCTTTTAACAACAGGTTTATTTATAAATTTGGAGGAAATCGTGAAGATAAATCACTCTTAAGAACAATTGAAAAATACGACGTTATGTAAAATAAATGGTATATCATCAATATACAAAATTAAAACACCGTTCCTTAATTCTTAACTAATTCTTCCTGTGTTTAAATCAATTAAAATGAGATATTTGTATTTGGTGGTTACGATGATTAAAACAGTCCTTCTAATGCTTCATTTATTTTGTAAATAGTTGAGACTAAGGATCCATAATAGTCAGGAGCAATAACCAAAGAAGAAAATTATGTTTACACAATTCAAAAAATTAATGCATAACCTCTTCCAATCCCAGAAGGATTTACCAACCCCTAATCAATTATTTTAAATAACACTATTTATGCAATTTAAGATTTCCCAAGCAGCAATTCAAATGAGCTTGATGATAATAAAAGATAGATTTTATAATTTAATGGAAAACAATGGACTCTAATAAGAGATTCATGATATTTTTTTATTTAAAAAAATCCTATTTTATTTTATTCATTTATAATTAATTAAATTATTGTACATTTTCAAGTTATTTTTTTTAGTAAAATAAAAAATATAAAATTTATTCTAAAATATCAATAAATAATTTAGCAAAATTTTTTAATAGAATTAAATAAATGATAAATTATAAATCTTGCAAAAAGTTTACTTTCGCTTTAAATAATAAAAACAGTAAAAAATAATGTTTATAAAAGCTAAATTTTTAATAGTTGTGCAAATACATATGTTGCATTTTAGGTAAATAAATTATCAAGGGGAGGCAGCAGAAAATACTTAAGCTAATATTTAGATTGTTGGAAAATCAATAAGAAGGATAAATGACTAAATATTGAGTAATTTAAAAATTATTTTATATATTATAAGTATGGAAGCGAAAAAATATTTTCATATAATGTAATTTTATTAAAATAAATACGTCTTCTTTTTAAATAAAATGTTTTTAATGAAACTTATATTTTTTGAAAAATTAATAGCTCAAGCTTTTTAAGGTTAGGTGCAAGCCAAAAAATAATACCTTGAGCTAAAAAGCATGTTAATATTTGTATTTATTTACAGCATTAATATAAAATTGATAGAAATTAAAGATGAATGAATAAAATTAATTATAAATATTTAGAGGAAGTGCAATATTAAACATTTTATTATCAAATATTAATTAATAAATAAATAAAGAAAGATGAAAGAATTTAAAATTATATTTAGAAGTATTTTAATTTATTTATTAAAATGAATTTTATAATTAATATTTTTTATTAAAATAAATAAATTTATATTTATTTAGCGTGTTTTTTTATTTCACTTTGCTTTTATTCTTCTATTTTCATTGCTTAGGAAATTAAATACATAAGGATTTTCAATTAGAGAATCTATTGGAAGGAGAGTAAATAGAAAAGTAGTATTATAGATTGTGCTGCCTAGACTCTTTATGAATTAAGTACCAATAATTAAAAAAATAAACGTAATAACTACAAGACTCTCAATAAAGATAATTAATTAAATTGTGGTGAGATAATTAAAGTAATCCTAACTTATGTTAACTACGAATTTATCTAATAAATCTATTGAATCTCTTAAGTAATAGTATGCTATATCCAAATCTTGAAGATTATTTTAGCTAACCCATTTCAAATACATTCCTAAGTAAAATTAAAGGTTTTACTATGGTGTTCTTCCAACATCATTTAAACTTGAAATAGTATCAAACATTTGCTTTATAGTAATTATTAGCCCTTATTTTAATTTTCCTTAAAATATTTCTCCACATTTATCAGGGTTTACTAATTTGTTAAATTGGAATTCTGAGTTTTTGTTATCTTATAATATTTGACAGGCATCGTTTTTCAAAGCCGTTAAGAAGACAGATTTGTATTTGTCTATTTGATATCTATCTGATTAAAAATTATTATCTATGTTGTAAAAATCATTTAGTCTATCTTTATTATTTTAGACTAATGAATCCATAAATCTGTAAAGCTTATTTCTATTTTCAAGCCCAAACCCATATATAGGGAAATTTATCAAAAAGTAAGATGACAAATAGTTGAGACTAACATAGGACTTGGTTAAAAGAATAAGACTATATTCTTGAATGTTATGGGTAAAACTATCAAAGAATCCCCTCATTAGTAAGACATTTAGCACAGGATTGAGTGAAAGTAAAATAAAAACAAAAAATGTTATTACTGATATTTTTAAAGAAAATCTCTAGAGACTATTTGTTTATGAGATTGTTCTCTTCTTTTTTTCTGTAATTGGCAGAAATTTCATAGTATTTTAATTTGAAGAGACAGCTTACGAGTTACGACGAACAACGAGCAATTTTTCAACATCATCATGCAAAAATAATTTATTCAGCTATGCTGATCTATACTTAGCTATCTATGTAGCAATTAGTTGTGGATTAAATGTGCATATTAGTTTAAGTATTTCTTCTTTTCTTCCTTAAATAGTATAATATACAGGAAACACAACAAGAACTATAATCGAGCTAATAACCTCAACCAAAACTACACTAAAAATCAAAAGTGATTTTGTTTATGAAAGAATAGTATTTGCATTATCCTAAGACATAGTTGAAACTTAAACAAGAGAATCGACATACACTTAATAATTTTAATAAGTAAATGCTTAACTGTAAATATCATTTAATTTTTAAAAGTTGATGCAATTCTTTGGATTCTAATACTCTTAAGAAGCTTTGTAATAGTAGCTGAGATAGTAAGGAAGATAAACCAGAGATTAGCTATATAAAAGTATTAAATTAGGTAAATAAAATTTAAATGATTAAAATATATAAGTTACCCTCTGGTTGCATTCATGTATGTAAAATGGGAACCGTCTTAATATCTTTAATTAAGAAGCATAAGCTAAGTCTCTTACTGCTAATCGAAAAAGAAGTCTTAAAACTAAGATTAGGATAAAAGTTATCTAAAAATGATATCAATACTTTTCGTATTTTATGTTGTGCTATTTGCACCATCTTACTAAATGGCTGCTCTATAAGTGCTTGGAAGAATCTGTGCTTTAGTGAGACACATAATCACAAACGGTGTAAAGCTTAGTTCATAATTTCTCAATACCTGCGAATATTCCTCTATAGCATTTGGACCTTTGAGTTAAAAAAAATATATTAACAAAACTTATTTTTTTTAATAAAGAAAAGAAAATTAATTTTTACCTATTTTAAGATTTGTGAAGTTTAACCAAACTGTATCAAAATTACTTTTTAGCCACAAATATAGCACAAATGTCAAAACAATTAAGATAAAAAATGAAGCAAAACCGGTTGCTTTAATATAGAAAATCTCAGCAGGTTCTCTCTTGTTTATAATTATATCGAATATGTTGACTTTCTTAGAATAAAATTAGCTTTCTCCTGTTCTTACAGAAGAGTCATCTCTCAAAATATCTTTTTATTTTTTCTTTAAGTAATCGCTATCTTCAGATTAATTGTTTTATAATGCTAAATTATTAAATTAGTCTTCTTGATTATTTGAGCCGTTGATATCTTTTAAAGAGTATTAATTAAAAAGTTAGCCTTACTACTTTTCATCATCTTCATCATCCTCTATCGCATCAACATTAATGTTAGTTAGATTTTTATTTACATTACGCCTAGCTAGTCTTTTAATTTTTGTGTCAGAAGCTCCTTTTAATTTAATTAATTTTTTTTTTTATTACCACCCATTCAAATAACTAATAGAGTTTTATATTTAAGATTCGTCAGCATTCTGAAAGATATTTCTTACATAAATTAAGTAAAAAAAATTTAATTAAGGAAATTAATAATTTCTAAATACTTATTCAATGCTCCTCTTTTATTGGGTCTTCTTAATTCTGGTGAGAGCAAACTATTTGTCATAGTAAACGACTCTATTCTCATATTATTATTCTATCAAATATTAAATTTTAAATTAGCATTGAAAATTGATTTGTACTTATTATTAAGTATATTTAATGTGCATTTATCAAAAATAATTGGTTACTTGAGATGAGCTCTACTGAATTTTTTCATCAAGCTCTTGAATAGATTGCTATGCTTATTGATTTAATGTACTGCTTAAAATATCATGAGGAATTTTCGATTGTTAAATTTATGTCTAATTTAACAAGTAATTTAAATAATATTCTTCGCGAGCATTATTATCTTATATTGAAACGTCTCTGACACTGTTTTGAAAAGTTGTTTCTGAGTTATGATGACCATTTAATGCTACATTTTCAGATCTTGGACTAAAGAAATTATTTTATGAACCTTGTATTTACTATTATGTAAAAATATTTATGTTGCTGTACTAATTTAGAGTATTATTTGGTTCATAACCATTCAAGTGCTAGGTGTTTTAAATTTTAGCTTACTGCTTGCCTCCTTCTATATGACTCATATTAATGAAGCTTTATGTTATTTATCTGGGGGATTGTCCATCACTATCTTGTTTGCTTTGCTAGTTCTGTAAAATGGTTGCAGCTAATGTACTCACTTTATTTTTTGAGTTTATAGCCATGTCTCCTTCTTCAATGTAATCATATCTTCTTCTTTCTGCAGACTATAATGAAGCATTAATTAAATTGAATTTGTTAAAATAAAAGAAGATTTTGAAAAAGTACTTACTTCTTCTAAATTCTCTTAATTGTCTGAATTATTTGTTTATGAATTTTATTGTTTTAAATCATTTCTGCTTGAATCTTATTAGATATAATAACTTTATTGATTTTCTAGCTGAAGCAAGTAGGTTGGTTCTTTCTAAGGATGAAAATAAAAGATCGATGTCTTTAAAAGCGGTATTTGTATAGGAGATTAATACAATTTGGTAAGATTTTCATTCAAACCAATGATATATTCATTAATTTCTTATTGTTTTCTAAATTTGCGTATCTAAGCTATTTCTACATAATACAAATATTTTTCTGGTTCAAAATAACTTTTTTGTCTTAAAACACTAAAACTTATTTCTAAGAATTGAAGAGAATCAGAAGGGTAGGTGGTAAAAAATTTATCAATTTCGTAAGCATCAAGTCTTACCTATTATCCCAATTAGGAAATTTGCTTAGCATTAACAGGAATAGCAAGTATAGATGTATTATTATTCAAATTTCTTCTTTGCTAATCCTTAAAGCCAAGCACATCATTATAATCTTATAAATCGTTTATGTCTTCATATTACTCAATGCACATTAAATACGGAATTAAATTTCGAACATTAAACTGCCTCAATAATTCTAATAAATAAATTATTTTTTAAATTAAATTCCATTCATAAAAATTAAGTTTAAAAATATTTTAAATGAAAGTTAATTTAAGTTAAAAATTGAAAAATTGTTTTCTTATTGATCAAAAAGTAGCAAAATTATTTTTAAATTTGATTTAAAAATGAGAAAATTAATTACTGAAAAATAATTAAATCAACATAAAATAATTTGTTACTTTTTAGTAGATAATTTTTTGTGGCATTTTTTTCAGCTAAGGATGACTACCTTACTATTCCTTATATCATTTTTGAAAGTATTCTCGTAATATTTTTAGTGGAATCAAGATATTAAAAGTTTTAGTCACAGATTATATATTCCTTTTTTTTATTACTTGGCTACAAATAGAGTGTCAACCCAAAATCATTTCCATCAACTATATCCAACTTTGATCTAATGATCACTGGAACTGTATATCCCTTTGCGTTTTTTATAAACGAAAAATGTTCCCCGAGCTAAATCCATAGCATATCTCCTTCTTCGCTGAGGGCTTGCAAATACTTATTAGTATGTTTTACTAAAAAATCAGGAATCAGATTGTTAAATGATTTATTTAAAATATCATTTATTTAGCACGAAAACATCTTTGCAGCTGAAAAGGTGGATTTAGTTATCAAACTCGATCTAAAAGATATAAACAAGGCAGATGACTTTATTCCTTGCAAATCAACTCTCCTGTCAGTTTTTCTCAACAAGTAATTCATAGCTTTTTTTGACCTGGAAACAAAGTTTCTTATTCTCCTTTTTTTGAAATCAAAATACTCTATATACAAATCTGCAATAATAAAAGTTTTTGGGTGAGTTGGACATATGTCAAAGAGCCTGATCAGCTGCTATTCTATAATTTCTTTTTACAGAATACATGTTTCGCTTTAGCGTACAAGTTCGTTTAAATTAATGAAATCTTAGTAAAGATATTCATAGTAGCTTTATTTCTTTTATAGTCCCTCCAGCATAGACTTCTTTAACTACTTTATAAGATAATCAAACTCTATCACTTGGGTGAGAGCTAAGCGCTAGTTTTAATAATCAGGAGTGCAAAAGAAATGGTAAAATGATTCAAATGTATCATAAATCAAACTTTATACGATGTATTTTCCTTGGAGAGATGTTAAATCCTTAAGGACAGATTCTCTCAACTCAAATACCTATGTAAAGGCTTTGGCAGGTGCCTTTGCTATTTACATAAGGTAGTAAACATAAATTGCTCTAATTTATATTGCCCCTGAATTTAAATACTCTTTATTAAGCTTTCTATTTCCTCTAATTAAAGCATTGATGCTGCTCATTTTCTTTACTGAGGTTGTTGTCCCAACATTCGTATGACTCCCGCCATTTATGTATTGAAGAGAAGTTTCCTTCTAATATTGCTAGTAATTAAATTTGAATGCAGAATTATTACTTAAATTAAAAAATTTATCGAATAAGTTATTGAGATAATCTATTATGAACTATCTTCTAAATTCATATCCATGCATTTCTAAAATAGATAATCCATTAAAAAAAACTTAATTAGATGATTTCGCACCTAAATTTTTCTTAATTTAGGATTATCCCTCCTTTTCTTAAGGAAAATTTCTTTCATACTTGATACAGAAGCAAGAGTCATCTTCGCAATTAATAACATGATTTGTATAAAGAGTTTCAAAGCAAACGCCTTCACCTTTTTCTTAGTTTGCATATACTTCATAGCTCAATTGTGTGAGACCTATGAGCTTTCTTATGTATCTGTTTGCTATGTTGAGATTTGAGACTTTCATTTCCTTCTGCATAAAAGGAAGAAGCTCCTCATCCTTTTTCCTAATGAGCATCAGGGAAATTTTATAAGAGACAGGAAGCGAAATGAGAAAGAGCAAAGAAAAATCTGATTTATTTATCTAAGCAGCCACTACAGAAAGTAGTGAATTAATAACTATAAAGCAAATTGAGAGCATTTCTGCTTGTTGCGCAAAATTAAAAAAATATGGAAAGTCCTTATAGAAAACTATCATTCTCAGGAGTTAAAAAATTAAGTAAATGTAAGTTTGAGTAATACCTGCCAACGAGCTGTATCTTAATCCAATATATATGATGGTAATTAATAAATGTAAATATTGATAAAAATTATGTCGCTATGCTAGAGAATCGTTTTCTATGATCGAATAATCAAAATCATTAACAAGAATTAATAGCCATAAAATTATTGTTGTAATTAAAATTACGAGACCAAATGATTTGGTTACAGGATCTGCGTAAACATTAAATAAAGCACTCACCTCAGAATAAAGGACTCTAATAGAAAAGTCACAAAAAGTGATAGCAAAGACCTAAATATAGCATTAAAAAATACGAGAAATAAGATTATTTGATATTTTCCATTGTGAATTTTATCTCTACTAAATAATTGTAGTAACTGTAGAGTAGTTACTGCCAGTTAGAATGTTATTTTCTTACTCGCTTACAAAATCAGAGTATTCTATAAAAACCCAAAAAATGTATCTAATAAGGATAAAGGAGATAATGAAGAGATTAAATACCATGCAAAAAAGACCAAAATAGTAGTAAATATTCTATATTTGTTGAGTATCATCAGGACTACAAATTATATCTAATAAAAGAATATAAACTCTAAAATATTTAGCATATTGTGTGATAAGAAATTCTCTTGTATCTCTTATATCTAAGCTTTTATTTTCTTTTTCAGTATTTATTTCCATAGACTAAATAACTTTCTCTGAAAATAGCAGGCTAACAATTTGCATACATTAAATAAATATAAGTATTCCGCCAAGTAGCCTACCTCTGTTATATGATTTCAGTAATGGGCGTACAACTTTTGAATAAAACGCTATTGTCCTCTATCGTATATCTATTTATTGTGCTGCTTGCGACTTCATTCTTTTACTCATTATAAACATTTTATCTATATGATTATTCGCTTTTTATCCACCCATCTTGTTTAAATTGTATGGCTTTATCTTCTGTATAAATGCTGCAATTTTATATGTTTTTAAAAATCAAATTCGAAATTTGAGTCTCGTAGTCTTTGCGATGAATTCCTAGCTTAAGCTTTTAAGTAAGTAAACTATCAGCCCCTATTTAGAATTTTATGGTAATACTAAAAATATAATTAAATAATTTGATTGAAATATTGTTAAATATAAAAAATTAAATATATATTTGGTATTGCTTCTTTCTAATCTAAAAAATTTTTTAGTGGTGTACTACGATTGGAATTAATTAAATTTTCATAATTAATAGTTAATGCTTTCTTACTCCTAGCAGAGTTGCCATGAGTCTATTGAATTTGGTGTAATAAATTGTATAAAAAATAGAAGTAAATATCTCATAACTAAATCAAAATCATTTTTCAAATTCATTTGATTTCTTACTTCAGTTAAACCAAAGTTGCATTTTTAATTTATTTCTTGCTTAAGTAAGATAAAAAAAATGTAAAATAAAACAAAAAATTCTAAAAATAATTAAAAATTAAGTGAGTGCTGAATATGATGTATTATAGTTATATATTTTTAATTGCTATAGATTTGTATTTTCCTAAAAGTAAAAGCAGAAATTTTAATACGCCAGTATATTAATAAATGGTTAAATAAATTAAATATTAAACTGGAATTGTATTTTTAAGAGAGCAAAAAAATAGATTTTTTATACTTTTAAAAGCTTTACTAAAACACTATTTTAGTAAAAATCCTCTCTGACTATGCTACTGATTTCTTATTAAATTATGTTATAATTTTTTATTTTTTATAAAAATTTAATGATTAATAATTTAATTTACAATAATTTATCTTTCAATTTGCTTCCTTCCATTAAATTTTGATTTACATATTGATCGTTTATTTTTATATAAACAAAAAATATCAATATTATTTATTTTTTTTCAAATTCTAACTTTATTAAATAAAAATGTTTTTAGAGTGATTTATTTAAATTTTAGAATGAGATCATTAAAAAATTCTACGTTAAACGTTTTTTTTGGAAAATCTCCTTTTTTTTTCACTTGAATTTTTACTAAGTAACTATTTATTAACTACGCAAAGTAAAAACAATTTAAAATAATTTTGTTTTTTAATATAACATTAGTAATAAAAATTTAAATATTTATAACAAGAAAATTAAAAATTTGAATAAATTTCAATTCACTGTCAATTTAAAATAAATGCAAAGAAAAGTATGTTTTAATTCAAATTTTAGATAAGGATAAATAAAAAAAATATACTTTTTAATTATTACTATTACCTAAATTTATAATGAATAAAAAATTTATTATAAAGTTTATAAATAAATTAAAAAACATTTAAATAAACAAATTAGAGTGAATGATAAATTATAAGTGTAAAGAATTAATTATTATTTTTAATACTTTTACTATTATCTTTGATTTCAATTTTATTAAATTATTTCAAAATCAAACCTTTATGGTCTTTAAAAATTAATAAATAGTACTATTTTATTTACTTTCTATTACAAAAAAATAATGAAAATTAAAAATCGTTTTTATTAAATAATAATTATACATGCATTCAGATATTCAATATTTATTTTTCTATGTTTTTAAAAAGGAATATATTTTTCAAACATCAAAGTATTAAAGGTAAAGTATTATTCCCATAAAGGAAGAAATCTTTTTCAAAAACCCTGATTAGCACTTTCAGAAAATAAAATACTGTATATCCTCCTATATTCTCACCCACTTAAAAATTCACCCATAAAAATTTATTTGACTCATATGTATATACCAATAGCGGGTTCGACTTGCAGCGAGGGTGGGTGAAATTCTAAGATGATATACAGTAACACTTTTACTTAATAATTAAATATTATAATTCTCATAAAATAAAAAATATTAAGTTAAAATTTAAGAAAAACTAGTTTGAAATTTCATATAATAGAAAAAAATTATTGTTAAAATTTCTAATAAAAAAACTAAAAAGTGTATTAAAGCCAAAATAAAATTATTAAAATCTAAAATATTATTGCTTTGATAAAAAATAAACCAAAAATAGTCTTAGAAAATAATCTTTATTACCTTATTTATAGCTAAACAACTATTTAAGGATCAATCTCAAATATATAAATCATGCAAGCACTTAATTAAAAAATCAAGTATTTATAATGAATTAAAATAATATTTAAATTTGTTTTAAAAGTAGAAATAAATTAAATATTTTATTTTATTTTTAGTGGATAAAACAAATTTTGAATTGTTAGGTCAAATATAAATAGGTAAATTTAAAAATTATTAACAAAAGCTAAATTTATAATAAGGCAACCTTAATTAATTTATTTATTACAATCCAACAAATTAGTAATTTTGGAGATTAAATAAACTGATTATAAGGGTAAATTTAATTTGGATAAATTAAATATTTTCAACAAATAAGTAATAAATAAAGATAATTTTACAATTTTATATCAAAATTTCTAATAAAATAAAATTAAAATTGTTTGAAGGATAAATTTAAATAGATAATTAAAAAATTATATTCATTCAAAAACCATCTTGTTACTTCATGATTCATCAAGCAACAAAACAAATTTAAATCAAAAAGTGACTTAGTGATATTTTATTATGATACATTTATTTTATTTTTTTTCGTTTGTAGTGGATGTGTAATAATAAAATTTTAAGAAATAAAATGTATTACAATTTAAAAAGTGATTTCTTTTAAAAAATTGCTCAGAATAGTGATAAAAATTACAGCACTTTAATTACAAATACTTTTTTAACATTTGATTTCTTGTATTTTTAGTAAGCAGGGAATAAGTAAATTGGCAATTTAATTTGTGGATTTTTAATGCGAAGTAGTTCTAGATAATTTTAAAAAGAGTATCTTTTAATTTAATATATATATGGAAAATCAAGTACAGAAGGTTCCTCTATAACAATTAATTTTTATTAATTTTATTGATTAATTTATTGAATTCGTATGGTGGAATGATTTATGAGCTTTTCAAATTAATTAATCAGGCAAATAAAATTTAATACTTTAAAATATAATGTATAAAGTAAATCAATCTACCTTTTATTGTTTCTATGATTTACAATAAAAGATTGTGTAATCTAAAAAATTATGCTTAACAAAATTTTTTGGTGATTATTTCAAGATATGAATAAATGTATTAAATTTCATACAAATTTAATTGATAAAAGAATTTTTAAAATACCAAAATACGAAATAATATCTTTTTGATCAATAAATACCATCAAGTTTAAATATATGTTGATTCTTGAGGATATTACATTTTTAAATTACTTCTTTTCTTAATTATTTTAGTTTATAAAATATCTACTTTAGAAAAAATAGTGATCGGTCATTTTTAAAGAAAAAAACAAATTTATTTCAGTAAACAAAGTTGTTCAAATTAAAGTTAAGCTATTTTAGGAAATTTTATTCAACAAAATGATTTATCTATTTTATTTTTTTTTAACTCTCATGATTTTGTCTTTGTGTGTAAATTTTGTTAGGAAGTCTTTCAAAAGTAAAGGAAGTTGTTTAGTAGTAAAAGTCAAAGTTAGTTTTTTTTTCTTCTTTGATTATTAGACAGGTTTTGAATTATTTATTTTGAATTTTTTACTATACTTATTACTTAGTAAAAATATATAATTCTTTTATTATAAGAGCTTAATCATTGTCCATTTTAAATTATATCAAAAAGATTATAAAAGTTATATTTTAAATAGCTATAAAATATTTTATAAATATTTTGTTTTTTTTGAATATATTTTGTTATTATTTTATATAAAGAATTGTTTGTAAAATAAGGAATATTAGAAAGACTTTTTCATTATAATTTTTATAATTAGTATCGTGATTTTTGTATATAGAGAAAGCCTAAAACTCTGAACAGATGAGCTAAATTGAAGAAAATTCAACAACAGTTTAAAAAGATCCTACAGAATTTACACCAACTTCCTTTAAAGTTATTGGAAAGAGGGAAGATATTCCTGTGCTTAAAGAAATAGGATAAAAGATTGATGAATCAAAAAGATTAAAAGAGGAAGGCAATTAGTTTTTTAAGCAAAAAGATTATAAAAAAGCTCTTTCTTCCTACAACAAGGCTATTTTATATGTAATCGGTTTAGTAGGTGAAAATGATGAACACTATTAATATGGAAATGCTAGCTCGAAGCTGAACGAAGAACAAGACTTAATAGTAAAAGAGCTTAAATCTAGCTTATATTTAAATATTTCCTAAATTGACCTATTTAACAAAAACTATGCAAAATGTATTGAAAGAGCAACAAAATCTCTTGACATTAAATAGACAGCAAAGGGATACTACAGAAGAGCTATCGCTTATATGGAGCTAAACGATTTCTAGCGCTCATAATAAGACTTTTAAAAAAGCCTTTAATTGGACTAAACACTAGAAAAAGATATACAACAAAAAATTTAGATATTAAAGCAAAAAGAAAAGCAAGAAGACAAAAAATCTTAAGCTTTCTATTCAAAAATGTTTAATTGAAAAAATATGCTAATTATTAATTCAATTATTCTCTCTATTAGTAATAGTTATGTATTTATAAATCATGTTTTGTTTTTAATTGCATCATAAAACTTTAGTTGTACCTCATTTATGCTATTTTATAAGTATTACTTTTTGAATCCATATCTAATTAGCTTGCTTTCATTATTTGTTATTCAATTAAATTAAAAATATTTCTCTCCATCGCTATATCTTTATCACATCCTATTCTTAAGATTACTCTTTACCTTAACCTATGTTCAGATAATCTTAAAAACTTTCCTTATTTAAATCTGATCAATTTTAATTTATAAATCATTAAGTAAGTAAGGGGGATGGGGAAAAAATTTAATCTTCACAAGGTATTAATTTAATATCAACAAAAAAAAGAAGATCAATTAAATTTTTACGTCATAAGCAATAAAGGTAACAAATTTATGAATACAAATTTAATACCTTCAATATAATTCGCAAACATTTGATCACTATTTTTTATAAATTTATATTGTAATTTATGTTGTTCATCAAGATGATTTAGTTTTATTTTTCTTTAAAATTATTTTCATTCATCAGATAATAAACTATAAAAAAATAAAGTTGTATTGATATTAAACTTTTTTAAAATTATTTTTATATGACTAGCTTTAGCAATTAATTTTAACTTTCAATTTATGCAATTAAAAATTTTTCCTTTTATGGATTGTAATAAAATACGTCTTATTTCTAAAAATTATATTTTGTTCATAGTACGCAGTTTAATATTTTGAAACAACAATATTCGATCTTTTACTTTCTTCAAAACAGTTTGAAAAAGTTCTCTATTCTAAAAAGTTTCCTTAAATAGAATTTATTTATTAGAATGCCCTTATGCTAAAAAATATAAAAAAAATAATTTTTATCTTGTTATATAATGTACTTTTAATTTATTTAAAAAACTATTAAGAATATTAATTTTTCTTCAAAAACATTTGCTTTTATTAAAATACATCAAATAGCTTTATCAAAAGAAACTAATTATCAATTACCTTATCTTTAATACCTCAAATATGTATATTTCTATCAATTTTCCACAATCCTTCTTTTTCTTGATTTAAAATAGCCTCAAAAAGCAAACTTAAATCTTAAAAATAATTAATTAATTTCATAAAAAATAAAAAAAAGTAAATTAAAAATAATAAAAATGAATAAAGCCATCCTTTTACTCGCTTTCTTAGCTGTTTCTATCAACGCTACTAATGATGTCTTCAACGTCACCCTTACTAGCAGCCTTAAATTAAAGCCCATCCTTTTAGATAATACTACTTATGCTGATTACTGTTCTTACAATTCTACAGTTACTTTGATCCCCACTGCAAAAGCCGATAACAAAACTTTATTCACTGGTTTCAATGTTACTGGATAAGCCTTCGCAAATTACACTGGTTGCCCTACTTACTATTTAACTTTCGTCACCTCTGCAACTAATAATACTGCTATTACAGTTAACACCACTGCTGACTTAAACAGTGCTTATGTTATGGAAAGCGTTAATTAAAATATCTTCAAACTTATTTACAAATACGAAATTGGTAGCGACAACAAGACTAATGCTACTGCATATCTTCCCGCTTACTAACTTTTGGCAAACGGTCAAGTTTCAACTGAAAAAATAGCTTATTAAAGTCTCAGCGTTGTTATGACTTCTGCTTTAAAATTAGCAGCTGTTGCATTTTCTGCATTATTTGCTTTATTATTCTGAGTATGATATTATTATTGAATGTAAATATAGTTCATATTTGTATGTGTTCTGGTGTTTACTTTAATAACTTTTAAATTAAAACTTTTTTAAATTAAACTTAAATAAATATTTTAAAACCTAAAATATAACAAACAATAAAAAGAAATTAAAGAAATTTAAAATTTAAAAACAAAAATATAAATTTTTTTTTGAATTTTTTTAATACTGAATTTTATACTTTAATTAGTTATCCTTTAAATTTACATTTAAATTAATGAATCATTTCTTAGAAACATAATTTCGCATAAAAACAATACAACAAAATTAAAAATATAAATATTAAAAAATAAATATAATCTTTATTTTTAGAAATTTTTCTTAACTTAATTATCAAACTTTCTTAAATTTACCTATATAAATATTAAAGTTCTAAAAGATTTCTTTGTAAATATATTAGAAAAGTGTAATTTGGATATACATAAATAATATGCCCTAAACTTTAATATATTTATATCTCTCAAAAGCAAATAATTAACAAATCATTAATTAATTCATAATAATCCAAATTTAAAATCTTAGAAGAATCTACAATGTGAAAAATTTCACGAAATATTTTTCATTATGAATGGTGCATTACATATTTTTGTATTTGATTAAAACATAGTATTAGAAATAACTAATTAATAAGAATAAAATTAAGATATCCATAAACTCAGTTTAGTATTTAGCATCTTTAAAATTAAAAAGTCTTATTGAAATTTATTTATTCTAACACAAAATATAAGAAGTTAAAATATTAAAGTTAAGAATAAATTTTAATATAAAAATAAAAAAATAATATCAATATTATTCTCTATAATTAAAGTGATTTTTATTAGTTTGTATCAAAATTCTACTTTCTTCTCTTATTTTGAATTATTTTATTTCTATTTCAAATTGACTGAAAAAAAAAATCTTATTTTCTTTAATAATATTTCTTTCTTCGTTATTTTATTAAATACACGAGTCTTTATCATCATTATTTATTTTTGCTAAATAATTTGCAAGTTATTTATATTTAGCTAAACTCCATTAAATTTCTAATTTAAAATTATTTTTTAAAAATTTTTAATCTTTATACAAACTGTGCTAATAAATAAATACTTAATCCTCAATTAAAATAATATCTTTCTTAGAAATCATGTGTTGTGTTGGACATTACTTATTGATGATATTTGATATAGTTTAGAAATGTAGTAAGTCAGTCACCTATTATAATTTTTAAATTGTATAAGATAGTCTAAGTATACGTATTTGCTCCTAAAACAGTCTCTAGAAATGAAGCACTTTAAAATCAAACCCTGTCCTTTTATGTTTTGATATTTTAGCTTTTTTAAAGAAATAAATACTAACAATTTTATGAACAAACATATACTTATATTTTCACTTTATTTAATGAAAAGAAATTTAATTTAAAGAAGACATATTTGATAGAGACTTTTTTAATATTCTTTTAGTTCATATCTCCATATTAATTAATTAAAATTTAGCTCTGATTTATGCATTTTCTTGCGAAAACGAGTTTCCACTCTATTTTAAGACTTTTGTTTGAAAGTAAATTTTTTTAATTTTAGATTGAAATTTAATTTTTTTTCTATATTAATAAAGAGATAAATAAGGAAACATTCAAAATTATTGAATAATTTTAGATGAGTTAAATATGTTACTGAATAATATCTAATTATTTAGATATTTGAAAAATGATATAAAGAGAGCAATTTTAAAAATTTTAGATTGAAATTTTATTTTTTTGGAATAATAAAGACAAAAATTTGAGAAATATTAACATTTATAAAATAATGATTCAATAATCTTATTGACTATATAAATAGTATGGATATTTGATATTTAGAGAATAATTTTATAAAATTAATTTATTATTAGCTAAATATGATACAAATAATATCAACAATATGGATATTTAGTGTTTGATGTATATAGATATTAATTTTATAAAATTAATGTATAATAGTTTAATATCCTATCTATTGAATGAGATTAAAGATATGGATTTGATAAATATAGAATAGTTCTATAAAAAATCTATGAATAGTCAAATATCGTATTTAATGAATAGTGTGCTAGCTTAAACTTTTAATTTTTTATTGCAAAATACAATATTTTGGAACAAAAATTTTAATTTTTATCTTGTTATATTAAGTATTATGAATTTATTTAATTTAAAACTATTAACAATATTAAATTATTTTCAAAAACATTTACTTTTAAATAGTAAAATACATCAAATACCTTTTATTAAAAAGAATAAATTTTGGATTAATTTATCTTTAATATGTTTCTATAAATTTAAACAATCTTTATTGGTTAAAAAAACAAATTTAATTCTTAAAAATAATTACTTAATTAATTTAATTAGATAAAATACTAAAAACAATAAAAATGAATAAAGCCATCCTTTTACTCACTTTCTTAGCTGTTTCTATCAATGCTTAAGATATCTTCAACATCACCCTTAACAGGAGCTTTGAATTAAAGCCATACCCATTATATGGTGATTATCCTGATTATTGTTCTTACAATTCTACAGTCACTTTGACCCCCACTACAAGCGCCAATAACAATACTTTATTCACTGGTTTTAATGTTACAGGATAAGCTTACGCAAATTTTACTGGCTGCCCTGCTTACTATTTAACTTTCGTCACCTCTATATATGATAAAACTCCTATTACATATAACAACACCCAAAATATTGCCTTAGATAATATTTATGTTATGGATAACATTACTTAAATTCCTTACAAACTTATTTCCTAAGTTTCTACTAACATAATTAACAACTACATCAATGCTACTGCATAACTTCCTGCTTTCTAGATTTCTGCTTCAGATATAATTAAAAATATTTTTTCCAAATAAAGTCTCTTCTTTGTTATTCCTACTGATTTCAAAATAGCATCTGTTTCTGTTTTTACTTTAATTCCTTTATCATTCTGAAAAAGATATTATTATTGAATGTAAATTTTGTTCATATTGTATGTATCCTAGTGTTTACTTTTAAATGAATCTTTTTTTAAATAAACTTAAATGAGTATTTTAAAAATCTATTATTCAATATGGCAAAGAATAAAAAGAAATTGAAAATTTATTCATTAAAAAAAAATTTTTCTATGTATTTTTTAATACTGAATTTTTTTTAATTGATAATAAATTAAATTTATATTTTTATTAATTAATTTTTACCCAGAAAAGCAATTTCACATTAAAGGAATACTAAAAAAAATTAAAAATATGAATATTAAAGGCAAATAAGATGTTCATTAAAAAAAATATTCTAGACTTAATTATTAAATTTCTTAAATTTATCTATTAAGATATAATAGTTCTAAATGAATTGTATAAAAATATATTTGAAAAGTGTAAGTTAGGTATATTATGAATATAAGCCCTCTATTTTAATTTATTTATTTATGCACCTTAAAGTAAATAATTAATAAATCATTAATGTAAATTTTATAAAATAATTTTTTTAAATGTCTTAATAATTTTACACTACTCCAAAAATTAGACCCTAATAATTAGAGTTTAGTTATAATAAATATCTTAAAATAAAAAACTGTGGAACAATAACTTACCCCAAATATAAGAACATTTGAATCTTATGAGAATATTTGTATTTTAATAAAACATTTTTTATCTAAATTAAATTTAAAGGAAAAAGAAAAGTTAAAAACAATACTTCGAAAAATAAAAGGGATAACTAAAGAAATTTGTTAGAATCTATATAACAATTTTTTAAACTGTATATAAATTTTCAAATAAGTAAAAAGGTCTTTAATTAATAATATAAGTCTAGTAGTAGGATTTGATAGATCTAAAATAGTTTTTATGCAAATTTTATTATAAAAAGGATAAATAAATAAAGTATTAATTCATAACAAATGGTGTCCTATTTATTGTTAATCGTTAATAAAGTATTATATGAAGATTTGATACATTAATTAGCAAATTCTTAATCTAGATAATGCCAAGCTTTCAGAAAAAACTCTATTGTCTATTTTCAATTATTTTATTAAAAATATTCTTTTTAAATTATTTTTTTATAATTTGCTCATACAAACTTTATTTAGTTGATACCAAGGTTTCTAATCTATAAAATCTAAGTTTTATTATAATTTAATTAATTTTCTTATGAAGTATGGCTTCTGAATCCATCTTTCATCTTTGAGAAAAAAAACCATCTTTTTCGAAAATAAAATAGATAATATTTGAATATAATCAAGTTATGTAAACTAACTATCTACATTCAAAACATAAGAATAAAGCTCAGATATTAGTTATAATAACTTAAGCTCTTTCATTCCTTAAAAAAATAATCATTAATAGGAACCAAATCTCTAATTCTGAGGTGATTTTAGAATATATTTTATTACAATTGCTACACCCAATTTAATTTTATGATTATAATATTTATTCTCTTTTTATTGATTTTATTCTCTCACAATTAAATTAATTATAAATTTAAATTTATTTTTTTATTATTTTTGATAATTTTTTTTTAAAGAGACGAAATAAATTTATCTGATATAATATCATAAGGGAAAGAATGAACATCCAAAAATTCATAATTAGATCTCAATAATTTATAAAACATTGTTGATTTACTTTATTTCTTCTTTTTTAAATTATAGAAAAAATTTTTATATTTAGGAATTGTAGTGAATACATATAAAAAATTGAAAATTAAATTTATCAAAATTTGTAGATAATCAATTTGTCATTGTTGTGTTTAAATATTTTTTAAATTAACTTTTTTTTATTAATTTTTTTGCCAAAAATCAGAGTTTATCGTAGCAAGATTTAGAGGGTAAATTTATCATGGAAAAAAAGTAATTTTTTGAATTTTCCCTTATCACTAAAATTAATTTCAATACTTGTATTTTTTTATTAGGAAATTTTTTTATTTAATTAAATTAGTAAATAATTGATGAAAGTTATTTATTAAATATTATTATGTATTATTTTGTAAGTTTTGCTTAAGCTTAATTAAAAATAATTAAAAATAAAAAATGTAATAAAATAAATAAATTAATAAAATAAATAAATACTTTTTAATAATAATTTTAAATTAATTATTTGAAAATTTTGGAAATATATTATAATAATTATTAATTAATTAATTCATATTCATACATTATAAGTTTTATAATTATTTAAATAAAAGAATCATTTATTTATTTATTTAGTTTGTTTGTTTGTTTGCTTGTTTATTTGTTAGTTAATTAGTTCCTTTAATTATTTTTTGAAATTTTTTTATATCTCATTTAATGTATGTTAGTAAGATATTCTGTAAAAATAAATAAATCAATAATCAAGCTCACTACTTTCATCATCTCTACTGTGCTTGTCTTAATATTTTTTATTTCTAAACTTATTTGCATCTCCATTATTGCTATTGTTATTGTTGTTGTTATTATGAGGATTCGAATAATTTCTTTCATTTTTATCATAGTAGAATGGGCGATCTTAATTATATCTATTATTGTTGTTGTTGTTATTATTATTATTATTTAGATTGTTGAAATTTTTTCTATTTTCAAAATTGTTATAGCGATTACGATTGTTTTTGCTACTTATACTTTGAGGTAAGATTTTATCTATTAAATAATCTAGGAATTCATTAGGATCTGATTGAAAAACTTCTATATACCTTTGAAAAATTCTCTCTCCATGAAGTTTTTACTTAGCTTCTCTTACTTAATCTTTATTTTTTAATATTATAAAGCTTTCTCCTGTTTGCTTTTATTCTTAATAATTATAAACTCTTTTAACACCATCTTGTACAATTTCAAAATCTTTAAAGAATTCATAAATTTCCTTCGTCTTACATGAATAAGGTAATCCTCTTATACGAAGTATTCCATATTATTATAGAACTCTTTTGCTTTTAAAATCAATAGGCTTATTTGCTGATGAAGATCTGCGATCAAATTAGCTGCTACTTCTGCTTCTTCTACTAGCACTTCTACTTCTATCATATCGATTGTGCTTTTGATATTTGTTTTGAATATTTTAATATTAATTGCTGCTGCTATTACTTAATTTATTATTATTGTTGTTGTTGTTGTTACTGCTAGAATTTATATTGTTATTATTGTTATTGTTATTTTACTCTTTAACTTCTAAATATTTATTTTACTAATTGTTGTTTGCAGTAGTGTTTTATTTGGCTTAGCTTGGACTTTTGCTAATTTTATTGCTATTATCATTGATATTTTCTTATTAGCTTTTATTGTTGGTACTATCATTTTTGTTCGTGTTTTCTTCCTAATCCTTTTATCTTTCTTAGGGCTTTTATTTATCAGAAGCTTCTGATTTATTTGAAGAGGAGGAAGACGATGAGGAGGAGGAAGACGAAGATGATGATGAAGAGGAAGAAGATGCATTTTGTGCCTCCTTTCTTTTTGAGGAAGATTTAGTACGATTTTAAGATTTATCTCTGCTATTATTTTATTTCAATTTATCTTAATTTTAATATGAATTATGTTGCTAAGTGTTGGACTAGTATTTATTCTAAGTGCCTTAATATCTGTTTGGCGAATTGCTATTTGAACTTACACTCTCATGGAATATATTTTTTCTTTTAAAGCTATCATGTGAACTCTTATCTATTGAAATTTTTTTGAGATCAAACTCCTTTCCGCTTAAATACTACAAATCATTTGCATCTCTTTCTTTTTCTAAGCGAATGTAGGCCTCTCCACTAAAATTATCATATTTGTCAGCTAACAAGAAAATATTTTCTTTGTACACTCTAACATTTGAATTATTTTTTATGAAATTGTATAAGTCTTGCTTGCTGCAATTAGGAAGGTCTTTGAATTTGAGGTAGTAGTAATATTAATTGTATTTAGACTATGAGTTGTAAGGATTTTAAGATTGTTGGTTTCCTCCATACATATTGTTGTTGTTCTACCTTTAAATGCTGCCTCTTCCTGCAGAGTGACTTTTAGATACAGAAGCTCGTTTATTTAGTGTAGATGGTGGATATCTTTCTCTACTATCACCTTTCCTATTATAATTACTGCTGCCGTACTCACCATCTGGCCCATTGTTGTAAGATCTATTGTTTTAATAGTGATCATGTCGATAATTTTAGTACCTACCATATTGGTATCCTCCTCTTTCGTTGCTTTAGCTATTTCTTCTCTTGTAGTTGTCATACTTTTTAAAATGTTTATTCTTGTTGTAATAATTATTATTGTTGCCTCCCTTATAAAAATCTCTTTTATTTTGTTGAGATGGAGATTTACTGCCATTTCCCTTTCTATAGTTAAATCTGTTTTATTCTACTCTACTGCTTATGCTGCTGCTAGTTTTACTTCTACTACTACGGCTGCGACTACGACTATGGCTATGACTACGACTTCTGCTGTTGCTTTTGCTAGAACTTGATGCACTTTTTTGGTTATAATTCTTACGATTATTGTAGGCATTATAAGGAATGTAGCCTTTTCTGTTCTTATAATAGGGATTATTGTTTTCGTTTCTACTTTTAGGATTGTACAAACTAGCTTAATTAGAAGATTAGTTGTGCTATCTGCGAATTGATGAACTTGGCGAGCGTTAAGAAGAGTAGCTACTTCTTCTCTTTTTGTTCATTTCTTATTAATGACTGCTGCTGTTATCTCTTGAATTACTCTTTCGCCTACTAGAGTAGCGATATCTGCTTTTGCTGTGGCTTTTTTCTTCTTTTTTATTATACTGTTTTGATTTAGAGCGGGATTTATCCTTTTCAATTGCTTGACTATTATGTGATGAGTTATTCTGTTAATTTTATACAGCCGATGAATTTCCTACACCATTTGATTATGTATTAGTGAGAGAGGCATTAATTACTTATGATGAGTTTAGATTGGAATTTTATCCACTGCTCTTTAATCCCTCCATCAAAGAACCTAAATTAGATGCATTTTATGTTGCAGCTTACTGAGATAAAGTATTTTAATTTGTCTACTAAGAGTGAGATTAGGAAGATTAACTGAAAGGTGTTATTTCTTTTATTTATTCCTTATGCTAGCCTTTTACTTCTTCTTACAAAGAGGGATCTGAGCTCAGGTCAATTATATTTGTGCTTGAACCAGTATTTCCCTGCTATACAAGATTAAATTATTGCTGATTGTTGCCATAAGGATTAGGGTAATTACTAATATCTATGCTCTTACGATTACTAGTTCCTCCCAGCGGCAGTATAAGGGAATGACTATACGACTGCTATTGAGTTTGATTGGAGGTATTATTTTAAGTTGAATTATTTGGTGGAGGAACACTTTTCGTAGAGCCAACAAAAAAATTACCTCCTGTCTAATAGATGTGATTAGAAGCAGCCTGCTAGGAGAAATTATTTGAATACATATTTTATGCTGCACCAAAGCCCGTAGAAAGGGAGGCTCCTGAATTAAGAAAATTATATGAATGATTATTGCCTTTGAAGGAGTGAATGTTTTGAGGATTAACCTAAGGTGGAGTATTTTATGAAGAAGATGTATAACCCAAAGCTAATTTATTATTACGTAAAGGCTAACTGGTAAATTTATGATCAGCAGCTAGAATGAGAGTAAGTAGCTTAGACATGCATTTAAATAAACTCTTGGTGGAAACATTATCCTGTTTCTCTCTTAATGATAAATATTGCATGATAGAGCCTATTGAAGTAAATTCTTAAGGTTTAACATTAAAAACATCACTGCATTCTTTTTATAAAAAATAATAATATTCAAAAAATCCTTTTGAAGAGACTTTGCTTTCTTCAATCAAACGTGGCAATATATTAGGGTTCATAGTTTCACTGTTTAAAACTGTAACAAATTTTAATTATTTTGAAGTAATCTCTTTATCTATAAAATCTATTAATGTGTTTAGAGCATTAGCCACGGAAGTGTAGAGGGGGCTGAGAGGATTCGGCTTTTTCCCGCTTTTTCCACTAGAGCTTAGAGCAGAAGGGGATTTTTCTAACTTTTAGTTTGAATTCCTTCTTCCAGGAAGTGCTGAAGCAGGTATAACTCCAACATCTTCGATTTGTTAGGTGGCAGCAGCTGCACTAGATGTAAATGAATCAGATGATTATACGATAGCTTTATTGTCTAGATTGGAAAAATCATAATATTAATCTTTAATAAGTCTCCTTTCTTTCACGCTGTATACTCCCCAATGCATATCACGAATAATATTTTGTGAACAACTAATTACATTATTTAAATTATTATTGTTATTGCTTTAGGAAGAATTGGGCTAAGCATTAAGACTATTCAGATTAGATGTATTTTAAGCAGAGGGTGAAACAGCATCTTCAATACGCATTTGAGAACCAGATTAAGGCTAATCATCAAAGCCACATTCAATTATTATAAAATGATCGTAAATAGGATATTAAATAATCTAAGGAGGTTAAGAAATTTAATTATTCATTGCAGATTGAGTGTTAATGATGCCATTTAGAGTAAGACTCAAATTTTGATTAAGCATATTTGCTTATGTTGAATTTATATTTGAGATGCCTTACAATCCTGATGGATGTATATATCCTGAATTATTTTAATAAAAAGGGGGTTATGTTTGGCCGAGTATTGATTATGAGCCCATATAATGAGATTAAGTATTTGAAGTCAAGCCATTATGGTAAAAATTATTTTATTGAGGATTTTAATTCCCTAAAGACATAAAATTTCCTGTATTGTTGGTGCTACTATGAGAGTTATATGTCACATTCATTTACCTTTATTCACTTCGCTATTTATTGCTCTGATCAATTAAATAATAAATTATATTGTTTTTCTTTTTAATTTTCTTTGATCTTAATTAATATTTTTTATAATCATATATGTCTTTATATTTATCCTGAAAACAAACACTCAAATTTTCTTTTTTTTCTTAATCAAATAAATTTCTTGTTAGTAACATACATTTCAAATCTTGCAGATTGATTAAGTCATTGCAATCAGCAAAATAAATCTTGGAATGAATGAAAATTTGTGCCAACTCTATATATTATAATTGTTTCAAATATTTTTTCCTCGCTTTTTACCTACAAAATAAATAGCTCTCATCTTCTTTCTATTAATACTTGGTTTTGTTTATGATTAATTTTTTATTAAATTGCAATAACATTTATTATTAAAAATGCGGAAAACATCCTAAGCCATTTTTTCAAACATTTTTAAAAATAAAGTAATTGCAAAATTTTAAAAAGAGAAAATATTTTTATTTTCAAATGATTTGAATTTCTCTTTTTTTATTACTTACATATGTGATATTCCTATTACTTAATTCATTTAACTTTTAATATTCCTTTTTAATGGCAGATTTTTTATAAATTTTTGCAATATGCTTTCAAATTTATGCAAATTTGCATTTTTTTATTAAATAATTCAAATAAAATGTTACAAATCTATTGACAACATAAAAAAGTTTAATAGCTAAGTTTTAATTTAAAAAAAAAAAATTCAAATTGATTTGATTAGAAATTTAAATTAATTGCAAAAATTTCAAAAAAAAATAAATAGTACATGCTCTAATATAGTGAGTTAGTGATTAAATTTAAAATTTAAAACTAAAAAAATAGATTTGAAAACATCTGATTAATCAAAATTTAAACAAATATATTTGAAACATAAATGAATATTGTTTTCTTATCTACTTTCATCAAAAATGAATATTTTATATCAGGTAGAAATAAATTTATAATTTGTTTATGATTTTAATTTTTTTACATACAAAAAAATTGAATTAGTGAAATAAATTGATTGAATTGAATATTTGATGCATGTACATAATTTTGAATACTGCTATAAAAAGAATATACATACAATCAAAGCGATTAAGTAAATAATAAGTAAATGTCGTCGTTTTCTTTTATAATCAAAAATAAATTGGAAAAATGATTTAATTAATTTGTTTATTTTTAATTTTAAAATGAATAATAATGAAGTTAATATAAAAATATAAGTTTTTATGAATAAATGGATCGAAAATAAGGTAAGGCACACATATATTAAAAAGAAGGGTTATTATTATTTTATGTAGATTGAAAAATTAATTAGAGATAAGAGTTATCATCGAAGAAAATGAAAGCATAATTAATTATTTATTTATTTATTAATACTCGATATTTAGACTCCAAGATAAATCAAAAAATGGAAGATCAGTTGATATGCATATGACAACCAAGAATTTCTATTTATTTATTTATATTTGTATGTTTGCTATTTGTTTATTTATTTACTTTTTTTGCTTGCTAATTTGTTTTACCTCTTAAACCAATCAATCTAAGTTTGATATCTTTTTTTTTTATAAAGTAGTTAAGCTTGCTTTATTATACTATATTAATAAGTTTTAAAAACCAACCAAATACCTTTTGATCATCTCTTTGATTAATCAATAGTAATTTCTTCTATTTGCGGATTTGCCATTTACTGATAGTATTATTGGTAGTAAAGCTATTGCTAGTAGTATTGTTACATAAGCATCTGCTATTGTTAATAATGCTATTAAAGTTACTATGGATCTTGTCCCATCATCTATTATGGCTGCATGCCTTAATAATAATTTTATTGAGAATGTTCGTTTCTGTTACGATCATCACCTCTCTCGCTACTTCCATGACCACCATTAGGGTCTCTCTGGCCATTGGGAAGGTAGTTGCTGTTGTTATTGTTGTAACCTTGCATGGCGGCACCGCCTCCAAATTATCCCTAATGTGTGCTTTTTAATTGATCTAATAAATTCTAAGCTAAGTGGATGGCGTTTTGAATCTGTTGTGCGTTTCCGACGATTTCGAACAACTTGTTTCCTCTAACAGTTTCATTATTGTTGTTCATTATCAAACGGGCACCACTAGATTTATTTATATTTTGTATGTTGCATCCGCTCTTTCCAATAAAACCTCCAACTAATTCAACTGGTACTTCAAAGATTTCTTTCTTTGAATTTGATTTGTAAGATTCTATATAATCAAAAATTAATTTTTATGCCTTTTCACACTATTCCTAAGTACCAAAAACTGTAAAATTCTTATATTCCTCTCCTTAAACTTAGTTAGAATCCATTTATATGTAGCTTGCTCCACATTGAGTCTTAATGGAGCGAATAGTTTCACCACCCTTGCCGAGGATTAATCCAACGAAATTCTGTGGAACCCTAACGACAAGTCTGTTTTATTATACTGAGTTATTCATATCTGCTACTTCCTTAAGCTACTCGCTTTTAATCTTATTTCTTGTTTCTTCATCACTGAAAAGAATACGCTCTATTTCGCAACAAGCTTCTGCTACGTCTTTTTCTGAAGAACCTGCTATTTAAACATGAGGAGGTATTTAATCTGACTTTATAATAATCCTGCAGCGTGTTTTTTCCTAAATGCGTTTTTGATTAGATCCCTTAGGTCCAAGTATCAGACCTACATAGTTGAAATTATTATCTTGTGGGATATCTATATTTCTGACAATAGTCTAGGCTGCAGTGACTGGTTTAGGAGTTGTGTTAATACCTACGCCATTCACTATAGATAAGCCTGGAATGGAAAGACCACCTAAAAGATCTGACCCAGCAGCAAAGTCTTAGATTGGCCTGTCCTGAGGAACCTTGCCAAATGCTTCATTTAACTAAGCAGTACGCTTGGCCTACTCAATCAATGTTTGGATGTCTGTGGGACCTTCTTCTTTATTAGGTGAATATTACTAATTTTATTATTACCATGATGAATTTGCGCCACCAGATCCGTTGCCACTAAAACTGCTGGAGAACTTGTTGCTAAATGCTGTTGAATCATTGAGGGGAACATCAGAAAATCTACTCCTCTTTTTTGCTTCCTTCTCTTTGCGCTCGAGTTCCTTTTGCTTTTCGCGGTCACGAGTGGATGAAGAGTGGGATGAATGCTTATCCTTCTTTTTATCTTTACTTCTGCTTCTGCTCCTAGAACGACTTCTTCTGCCCATTTTAAATTACAATTGAGTTAAACACTGTTTGTTATTATTATATAAAATGAGAGTATATTACTTCTTATTAGAGTAGTGTTTTTTATTATTTTCTTTCTTTCTAGTCACTATTTATTATATTAATTTGATTTTGTTTTACTTTCCTTTCTTAAAATCATATATTTTAGTTTTACCTTCTTCTCAAAGACTTTTTCTTTTTTAATATATAATCTTCTTCCTCCTTATCTATCCCCTTTCCATTTCACTGCTATATACACACATAAAGACATATATAAATACATAAACAAATAATATTTACCTCCTAACTCTTTTTTTTTAAGAGTATTTCATCATTTAAAATTTATAAATTTATCATTAAATTTTTCATTAAAATATCATCAATAACGATTGATACCCATCAATTATATAAGCATAATAATGCTGATCAAATCAATTAATATTTTTTGTCATCTTTTAGTCAAATATTTTCTAATTACATTAAATTATTCTGATTAATTAACTAAATCGTGTTTCAAAATTAATATATCAGGTGAAACTATTTTAATGCACTATTTTTTAAAAAATAATTATATTTCTTTAAATTCAATGCCTAACAGCTAAAAAGTATTAAAATTTCTGTTAAAACGATGCGATTAAGCAACTAATGATTAGTATATAATTAATGTTAGCTACGAATGAAAATATTAGCTCTTGTATATATACAATTTAGAAAAATCAAATGTATTAAACAAAACTTCTATCTTAAAAAATATGGTAAAATTTTTTTTAATATATTTGAAAAAAATATTTTTTGATGCTCTATTTATTTAATTCAAATATTTTTAATTATTAAAATACTTTTATGATTTGGATGATCAGAAAATTTATTAAAAAATCTATTTAGAATTTTAATTATTAAAATAATAATTTAGTTATTTTATCTCAAATTCTGATGAAGCTTTTAATAGCAATTTATTTTTTAATAATATTTTATCTCATATTTAATTGAAAGATCCACAAATTATTAATAAGTCTATTTCACCACCAAAAAAAAAGAATAATGCTTTTTAAAAAATTAATAAATTTAAAAGAAAAAAGCAAAATTATTAAATATCCTATAATCAATAATAAGTAAAAAAATTAGTTAATTTTCCAAAAATTTTTTTTATTAACAAAAAATGAATCCTGAAAAATTATCAGTTCCTAAAGTTCTTAGAAATCTTGAAGAATTCTCACAATGTTAAGATCTTTAAGACCATTCTTACTTTTATTTTGATCAAAATTCAATCAATCCTTACAAGGAAATAGAACCTAACTGGGATGAAACAAGAAGAATTAGTGACCCTATTCACTAATTCATAGAACTACCCAAATCAATTTGGCGTATAGTAGATACTGAAGAATACTAGAGATTAAGATACATAAAGTAACTAGGCATGACCGGATTTGTATTTAATGGAGCTAATCACACAAGATTTGAGCACTGTTTAGGTGTTGCTCATTTATCTTGGACCTATTTAGACAAAATAGCAATGAATCACTAGTATAAGTTTGAGCAAATGGGACTTAAAGACGCAGACCATTTTGATTAGATAAAGTTATTAGTTACAATTGCAGGACTTTGTCATGATTTAGGACATGGCCCCTTTTCTCATATGTTTGATAATATTCTCCTCCCTCGTTTAGGAGAAAAAAAATGGAAACATGAGGAAGGTAGCTGCATGATGCTTAGATCCATTCTACTAAGTGAAGAAAAAGATTTTATGACCAACTTAGTTACTTACAAAAATGCAAAATTAAATCCAAAAGAAGATATTGAAGTCATTTTAGATATGATCGAAGGTAATTTATTTACAATTATTATTTATATTAAGATCAAAGGACTTATCATTTTTCAATATCAACAAAGGATTAACTTTAAGCCAATGGAAAGATAAATATGAAGAAAAAAAGTAATATCCAAAATGGGTATTTGATATTGTATCAAATAAAACCACCTCGATTGATGTGGATAAGCTTGACTATTTGAAAAGAGATCCTTCATGCTTGAATGTTAAGCACGAGTTCGACTATAATATTCTATTTAATGAAACTCGTATTATAGATGGAGAAATATGTTACAATAGCAAAATTCATGACACAATATATGATATTTTCCATATTAGATATAAACTTTTTAAGCATATTTATTTACATAGAGTGACTTAGGCTATAGAGCTTATGCTTTGTGATGCCCTTGAAAAAGCAAACCCAGTATTTAACTTTTTAGAAACCATTAAATCACCATAAAGATACTTAAGACTTACAGATTCTATCATAGAAATAATTTTGGGTTCAGAAGATTGTAAGTTTTTCATTATTTTTTATGATTTTGAAATCATTTCATTTATTTGAAAAGTGTTTATTGATATTTTAAAAACAATTTTGATTTAATCTATAAAAGCATTTAATTATTTATCTTTTATTTGCCTTAACTTTAAATTTTATAAAATTAAATTTAAATCCAATCTATGTCTTTATTAATTTTAATTTTTAAATCATTCAATAGGTGAATTAGCTGAATCATAATAACTCTTGAAAAGAATATTCACAAGAAAGATTTACAAATTCGTTGGTGAAATAGTTATTGACTAATAAAAAGATTTGACTGAATCTCAAGTTTTAGATGGCATTTCTAGAAACAATTAATATAGACCATCATTTTCTTGTTCAAGTACAAAACTCAATGACTTCGAAAGAAAAAATACTATAGTGACTTTTTCTAAAATCAATTATTGTATGAAAGACTAAGATCCTGTTAATAATTGCTACTTCTTTAAATCTTCATAGCCATTTGAGAAAAAAAAATTACCAGCTTAAAATTCCTCTTTGTTAAGACCACAGAAGTTTGGAGAATAAATCATTAGAGTCTTTGTTAAAGAAAATGATGAAGTTTTAATAAATAAAGTAAAGAATGGATTTGCACTTTATACACAAAAAGAACTTCATACCGAAACTGGTGCTTACGATAAAAAAGATCATTAAAAAACACCTAATAAATCAGAGCCTTAAAAAAAATTCAAGTTGAGTAGTCCTTAATATGAAAACAATGAAAATACCAACCAAAAGTAAATGAATATTATAATTAATGACGGCTCTTAATATTAATTAAATACTAAAACATTATTTTAAAATGATGATTGAATGAATAAACAAACAAACAAATAAATAAATAAATTAGTTTAATTAATTGTAAATATTAAGTTAAATGTATGATTTTACCATATAAAAATAAAAATAAATTGGAATTAAAATAAATATAAAAAACTTTTATTTAAATTATAGATTTTTGTACACTTATTGTAAATCTAATTTATTATAAAATAAAATAATTGTTTAATTATTTATTTATTAATGACATTAGTATATTTATTTGTTTTTATATAAAACATATTTTATTGTTAAATATCTTTTGATATTACTCACTTTTAATTTGTTGCATTAATCTATGCAATACTTTGTTTTATTACGCATTATGCTTAAATTAAAAAGTTGAGTTTTAATTATATGTATAAAGACACAAATACCATAAGTTTTGTTCCTAAGTTTTAATGTAATAATATTTCTAAGTATATTATTTAGTAATTAGTACTTTCTTTTAGAAAATTAGCAGAAATTTCCTAATTAATCTCTTTTTTCAGCCAAGCAATATGACAAACTAAGCAAGCAGCAATCAACTAGCCCCGGCTTTAGGATACCAAAAAATACCAGTCTAATAGTAACATATCAAGAAACTGACAGTAGATTTATTAGCAGGAATGATTACAGGTAACATTTTTAAATAATCATATATTTATCCATAGGGATTTTACTATTGCAGTTAAAAAATAATTAGAACAAACTTATGACAAAAATTAAAATTATTTTATTGAATTTTTGTTTATGCCTTGTTTATTACTTTAAATTTAGGATGGGTTTCTGTAATAACCTTGCAACCTCTAGATATGATCAAAACAACCATGCAAACAAGCTCCAACAAACAAAGCATATTAGGTTGTGCAAAAGAAATATACTAAAAGTCAAAAATGAAAGGTTTTTATAAGGGTAAATTAAAATTTAATATAGTATGAGAAATCTTAATCTTTCTTATCAATAAAGGTATGCTCTTTCCTTTGATAGGCTCTAGCTTTTTTTCTGCCATTTACTACGGTTCTAATGAATAGATGAAAAAATTAATATGCGTAATATAAAATAATATTTTTTATATGGATTATTAAAGCACACTTTCTTTAAATTAGCTTACTTATTTTATGATTTTTAATTTTATATTATAAATTTTACAGTTTTTATCGAATCACAAGTATGATAGAACTAGCTTGCCATTATAATATGTTTTCTTTTCAGGATCTTTTGCTGGTTTAACTACTTCATGTGTTTCTATTCCTATAGAGCATGTAAAAATAAGACTATAAGTAGACCTTTATTAAATTTAATTTAATTAAGTTAAATAAACCTATTTAAATAAAATATTTAGACATAAAAAAACCAATAATATACTGGCTCAATTGATTGCTTTAAAAAGATATTAAGAAATCATGGTGTAGTAGGACTTTACAAATCATCTATCCTTTAATTATCAAGAGATTTTATAGGCTGTGGTAAGATAAATTTTTTTGGTTATGAATTCAAATCATTTTTAATTGTTTAGGAAGCTTTTTTGTAATGTATGATATAACAAAGAGATACTTCAAAAAGTAAAATAATGGAGAATTAGATAAATTAAGATTGTTTTTAAGTGGGTGTGTAGCTGGAATGTCATATTGGCCTCTCTGCTTCCCACTAGATGTAATTAAAACAAAAATGCAGAGTGATTCATTCGTTAAACCCTAATTTTAAAATATAAAAGACTGTGCTCTTCAAATTTATAGATATGAAAATAGGGGATTTTTAAATTTTTATAAAGGATTTTTAATAAGTAATATAAGATCTATTCCTAACTCAGCTATTGCACTTTTTACCTTTGAAAATGTTTTAGGATTTCTTTCTAAATTATTTGGAATTCAAAAACCCAAGCATTGAATTAAAGTGCTGCTAAAATATTATTTAATTTATGCTTTTCGTGTTTAATAAAAATAATTTATTTATTTTTTATAAATAATCATCATTTAATTAGAATTAAGATAAAGGCCATATGGCTTAAAATAAATTAACTTAATTTGTATTCATGATAAGTTAATTAATTTGACCAAACATTGAAACTACACTAATCAATATTTATCTAAAAATTTGTTAGATGATATTTAATATTTGAATTATTACGTTCTTCATCTAATAGAAATATTTTAAAATAATTGTCAAATAGTTTCTACTAATTATATTTGCCACTATCTATTAATTCTAAAGCCATAATTTAGTTAAATTTACTAAATTTTAGACTCAATATTCAAACATTTTACATTTATTTTAGAATCGCTATTTAATTAATTAGCTTTTATTTGAATAAAATAAAAAAGAGTTTATAAAATTTTGATACTTTTTCAGAAGGAATTTTGTTTTTTGTTTGGTATAATTATGTCTAAAATAATTTGGAATAAACATTTTTAAATTTATTAGCAAAATACATAAAAATTAAAATATATTTTTCATAATTTTTTAATTAAAATTAAATACAAATTAATACAATTTATCTATCTAATTTATAGATTATAAATAAGCAATAGCTAATATTGTTTTGTTTTGAATTGATTTAATATTCATCACTTATTCAATTTAAAAATTGATTTTATAACATAAAATAAATTAAGCTGAATAAGCTTTACTGTTAAATATTAAATTTGAAATGTTGAAATGATGATGATGGTGAATTGATAGTTATTTTTAAAAAATTTAAGTTAAGTACTAAGATATATGACACGTAATACTTGAATAAATTAGTGTAAGAGTAAAGTATATCAGAGAACGGGACCAGCATTAATGACTTCCTTAGTGGCCTTATCTTGATACTTCTTGAAGTTCTTTTGGAACATACCAGCGAGCTTTCTTAATTCAGCATCGTAAGCAGCCTTATCAGTCCAGGTATTCTTGGGCATTAAGATAGAAGAGTCAACACCAGTAATTTGCTTGGGAACCTTGAAGTTGAATAATTCTAAGTTAGTGTATTCAGCCTTTTCTAATTCACCACTGTGGATGGCATCGATAATCTTTCTGGTAACCTTGAGACTCATTCTCTTACCAACACCGTACTTACCACCAGACCAGCTTTTTTATTAAATTATTACATAAATAAATATTTGATTTTTATATTAAATCTTACCCAGTGTTAACAATCCAGACGTGAGTGTTGTGCTTTTGAATCTTCTTGGCGAGCATATCAGCATAGAAAGTGGGGTGGAGGGGCAAGAAAGCTTCACCGAAGCAAGCGGAGAAGGTAGCTTGGGGTTCAACAATACCAACTTCAGTACCAGCAACCTTAGCAGTGTAACCAGAGATGAAGTGATACATAGCTTGTTCAGGGGTCAACTTAGCAACGGGAGGTAAAACACCGTAGGCATCACAAGTTAAGAAAATGATGTTGTTAGGATGGCCACCAACAGAGGGGAACTTAGCGTTGGGAATGTGTTCTAAGGGATAGCAAGCTCTAGTATTTTCGGTGATAGAGATATCAGTGTAGTTGACTTCTCTAGTACTCTTATCAAGGAATTTAACGTTTTCTAAGACAGCACCAAATCTGATAGCATCGAAGATTTCAGGTTCTTTTTCTCTGCTGAGATCAATAGCCTATTAATAAAGATTAAAGATAAATAAATTTTTTATTAATTTTTTTATTAAAATTGTTCTAGATATTAGTTATATATATCTATTTATCTTTCTAATCTAAACTTTATCTGATTTGAATAAATTTTAAATCGTTAATGTTGGGGATTATTACTTACTAACTAAATAAATAACTAGCTAATTAATTATCAATCGATTTCTGATACTAATCCAGAAATCAAAAAAATTTTATTTTAATTTTCTATTTATTTTTTGCTAATTATTTCTAAATTTTAAGTGTTTGGTTTATTCTAAAGCTATCAATTTGTGTTTGGCTTTAATTTGCTTTTTTTTTAGTAAGTATATATTGAAAAAAGTTATTTGTAATTACCTTAGCGTAGCAACCACCTTCGATGTTGAAGACACCATCATCACTTTTATATAAAAAAATATATCAATAAGTTGCTTAGTCATCATTATATAATTATAGTCAGCAATTATAATAGTAAAATTTAAGATTACCTCCAGCAGTGTTCATCATCACCCAATAATTTTCTGTTGGGATCAGCAGAAAGAGTGGTCTTACCAGTACCAGAAAGACCGAAGAAAAGAGTAATATCACCCTTAGCACCTTCAGTAGCAGAGGAGTGGAGAGAGAGAATACCCTTTTGAGGCATCTTGTAGTGCATAACACCGAAAACACCCTTTTTCATTTCACCAGCGTATTAAGTACCTAAGATAACGATTTCGTTACTCTTGAAGTTGACTTAAACGGTGGTTTCACTGGTAAGATCCTTAATGGGGACGGGGGCCTTCATTTCACCAGCGTTGAAGATGTGGAAATCGATGTTCTTGTCATCGGAGAAGTCTCTAGCTAATTCTTCAGCGGTAGGTCTAATTAACATATTCTTCATGAAAAGAGCGTGGTAAGATCTACTGCAGACAACTCTAACTTTTAATCTGTACTTAGGATCCCAACCAGCATAACCATCGATAATGTAAACCTATTTATTAGAATTATGAAAGTGTTCAATAGAAGATCTCCAAGTTAAAATGCTTTCAAGAGAAGCAATCTTGAACAAATAAATAAAATAATTACTCTCTTCTTTTGGTTGAGGTACTTGAGGGTCAAATCTCTGCAGAATTAGTGAGATTCTTCACAAACAGGGATGTTGACATCACCCCACCAGATGGTGTCCTTTGAGGCTTCGTTGAGGACGATTCTCTTCTCCTTGGGGGTACGACTATATATTGATAAAAAGAAAATATTAGATTGATTTTTAAAATTTTTGGAACACAACTAAGAATATTTTTTTCATATCCAAAATGGAATGTTCCTAATATCAAAAATAAAATGAAGGTTACCCAGTTCTTTGACCAGAGTAGGCGACGAGAGCACCAGTGGAACCTAATTTATGATTGGAAAATGTATTATAAATATGTTTATGAACATAATGTCAATTAATTTAAGAGAATCAGCATTTTTTGTATCTATTGAAAGGAATTAGAACAAGTATGTTCTTTAGATAAGCAATATGGTGATATCTCCTAAATGAATTTTTTAAATTGTGAGCGTACTGATTTGGTTGGTGGCAGTCCAGGGATCAGAGGGAGGAATGCAAGAAGTGGCAATTTCGTATAATTAGGCAACACTATTATTAGTAAAAAGTAGGATGAGAATTAAGCATTTTTAAATGTAGAGATTAATTTATGAAACTTAACGTTGTCATTATGGCAAAAAGTTTGAACAAAAAAGACGAAGCAAGGGTAAATGTAAATTTTAAGTACCTGGGGTTGTAGAGGATGTTCTTATTGACGATACCGAATCTATCAAGACCGTAGTATTTACCAGTACCTTGAAGAGTAGCACCGTTGAACTTAAGAAGTTTGCTAAGCATTTTTAGAATTTGTCTAAGATTTTATTTTTTTATTAAATTTTTTATTTATTTAATTATCTAATGATCTTTGTTTTTAAGCCATAGCACTAGGGAGATAGATCTATGTTTGCTTAATTTAAAAAACCTGTTTAAATAATCTGTCATTTGTGCACAGATTATTTACTTTATGACGAAAGCTTATCAGCAAGTTTTACCAATAAAAACTAGCAAAATCCCCCCACCTTGCAGCTTTAAACCTAGGTAACTCTGTTATACATTACAATGCAATAGTGCTAGAATAGTTAAAAAAAGAAAATTTTATATTTCTTACCTTATATGAATGAAATTCTCATACTAAATATTTGTGTCAGAAATAATGCATCAATTAAAATACTTAATCTATCATTAATTGATAAAGAGTGAATATTTGATAACAATAATCAAATTGGTAAAAAGGTAATTGATATCTATTTATTTATTTTTTATATTTATTTTGAAGTTAATCTCTTGATTAAAAGTACGTCAGTATTGAAAAATTCCGCATTAATAATATTGTCAAGCATACCCATTTTTGAAATTTCTTATACACTTTAACATGAAAGATATATAGAATCATACTATTTAATGTGTACGCTTTAAAATTCACAAATATCAAAGCTAAAATAAATAAGGTAAAGCATATCTTTATTTTAGCGATTACAATTTATAGATAAAAAAAGACAAATACTTTCAATAGTATCTCACAATTCTATCTATTTTAAAACTCAATTTCCAATCTTATAATTTTAATATATTAAAATATGTATTTTTTTCCTATATTTTGCTAGCTATTGACGAAGTTATCTTTGAATTTTCAAACCAATTATTCTATAAAAAAGATAGTGAATAAAATATTAATTTAAGTGAAATTAGGAAATTAATTCTATCAGCAGCTCTTTATATATTTGGATATAACAAATATATCCTCAAGGAATGAATAATACTCATATATTTTTAAAAGATAAATAAAAATTGTTTTTTTCAAAAGAGAATAAATAAAATAAAGATAATCAAAATTAGGATATCAAAGTATTAGCTAATATCTCAATTTTATACGTATTTATTCCATTAATGTGAATTAAATTAGAAATAATGCTAAAAGAATGATTCACATGCATTAAATAGATATTTAAATTGAAATGAAATAGAATCAAGAAGATGATAAAATATTTCTATACAGAATTCTTTTAAAATTGTTCATTTGGTATTACTATTTTATATTTATCAGAAAGTAAGTTAATAATGCAACGTGCTTTTAATCAAAATAAATAAACAAATCTATTTTACCTCTTAAAAAATTTAGATTGCAAATATTCATACATTAACAAATAAAATTCATTTAATGAAATTAAATTATTTTATTCCATTTGTGCTTGGTTATTTTAAAAGATTTTTCAATAAATTTTACTATTTTAAATTTTAATTCCAACAATTTCAACAATTTTGATGCTATTTATAAATTCCATTTTTAATGATTGCCCCATTTTATACCAGTAAAAATAAATAAATAAAATAAAAATTCAAAATAAAAGATACTAAGTTAAGAATAAATAAATCTTTTATAATTACCCACTTTTATATTTTTTATAATAATAGTTTTCTTTAATCTTTTAACATAACTAAGGATTTTCTTTTAATTTTTAAAATTACTAAAATGCACACTCGCTCTCATCAACTTTACACAAATATAATTATTATATTTATTTGAATTTAAATTATTTTAATTTTTAAATAAAAATATACTGAAATATTGAAAAATTAAATGGGTTTCTTTACATTCATTTCTATAATTTTAATGATTTATTGTAAATAAATATAAATATTTTTTCTAAATCTTTTGCATTTTTTTAAGCTTGCATTTAAACTAAGCATACAAATTTTATTAAAAATAAATATGTACTTTAATCCTTATTAATAAACTTTTAAAGTGTAAATTTAAAATTTAATTAATTAATTATTATTATATGTAATCATGAGAAAATTAGTAATTTATTTTTTGAGGCTGCTATTTGAATTGTTTCTATTTCTTATTTCAGTTCTGGCTATTTCTCTTCTATTTGTTCAGCATTTACTTCATTATTTTCTTTTACGGTTTTTTAGGGTATAATTTTAGGTTGATTTGAACCTTATGGCAATATATAAAAGGAAATTTTATATTTTGTATTGATATTTTTAAAATATCAAAATATCTTTTTAATTTAAAAAAAAAAATGAAAATCTAAATAAAATTAAATCAAAGATGTATATAAATGTAAATTAATTAATTATAGCTTACAAATGAAATAAAATATATAAAATTAACTTATTATATTAAAATATATAAACATATTTCTATTTTTAGTTTGTAGATTTGTTAATTTATTTTTTTGAGATAATTTAACTTATTTTTTCTTAGAATTTACTATTTTATCATTTAAAAAAAACAAACTTTACGAGTCTCTTCAACTTTAAATATTTTCTTTTTATGTTTTGAATTTCTCCCCTTATTAAAAAAAATATAAAAAAACTTCTAATTAAATTTAATAAAATATTTATTTACTATGCCAATATAATTAAACTAAGAAGATGAGGTAAATGGGAAGTAGCTTTATAAAGTCCATTTTCAACAAAATCTCCAATATCACAATACCTTTATTTATTTTTATTTTATTAAAGGGAAAAAATGTATTTATTGAAAATAAATACTTCATTGATATAAATAATTCTTTGAGGTTTTTGCATTTTGAGATCTCCTAACTCAGTTTAAGGGCACCTTGTTTTTTAATTGAGCTAAAACTTTTAATTTAGAAATTTTAACTAAAAATTAATTTTATTAATCTAAAAAATAAAACTTTGATTAAATGTAGAGTGTTTTAAGATTTTAACAACTAGAAATTCCTTCAGATATTTTAATTACTCCATTGACATCAATTTAGAGTTTACTTTTAATAAATAAGTTTGGTGAATCTAATTTTAATTTTGTAAAATACCTCATAAACATTTTTAATGCAGAGAGATTATGGTAATTTTTTAAATTATCATGCATCAACTTTAAAAATTTCTGATCTACCTACTTTTCACTAAATTTAATTAGCTAAAAATTTACATTTTTACAATATTTACATATGTTGCATGGTAAGAGATGTTAAGTATTTATAAGCTTATACTGGTAAATTTTGTAATCCTATTTATCCATTTAAACTAATTTTGAGATAATATTATTAAGTATTAATATTACACAATATTAAAATTTTATACGATATCGATATCTCTAAGCTTTCAAATGTGCTTATTTCGTTCAATCCTAGACATAAATACTACAGACCTATATCTCCAACATTTGTATATCTGAATTAAACATTAATTAAAATACAATGAATATAAAAAAAATAATCAACTCAAGCTAAAGATTTAATTTTTTTAGTTTCCTGCATTTAGAAATTTATTTTGCAAAATTTGCAATTCCTTCATCCCCAAATTAATTTTCTCTATTGATAGGAATATGATTAAGTAATCTTCAAAGTTTAAATTAATATACTTAAAAGATAAGTAAAGCTATTCAAGTTCCAAACATTTGCTAATCTACTCAGTTAAAATTACTAAACCTTCAATGTTTAATTAGTTAGAGCTAAGATTTATTTAGAAATATTTTTAATAAGTTTGGTTCTAATTTTAACTACCTAAAACTGAAGGTTAAGCTGTTTAATTCACTGAAACTTCTAACCATTACTCCCATATGCTCAATTGTTTCATTATCTATTTGATTACCTCTAGAAAATACATGTTATTTTTGCAGAAAATTAAATTTTATAAATCAAAAAAATAAATTGAAATAAAATAATAAAATATAAAAAGGAAAAAACAAACATTTTTTACCCAATATTAATATCTAAATTATTAATGAATTGAAACTTTTTCAATGTTTAACACAGCAATTTTATTCCTTCTTACTAAACTTCTGTGTAGCTAAAAAAATAAAAAAATTTTATTTTTTGTTAATTTATCAATAATTTACTTTAAATTAAGAGAAATCTGTTAAAGCTGAAGACAGTTTTTTATTCCTTAGCAAAAAATTGAAAGTCCTTAATCTTTGATCTTAAATGTACTTAAAATATTTTAATTTTTTATAAATTTAAATGGTTTTATAAGCTGACTACCTGAGATCGAAGTTAAAAGAAATAAGATTTTCTACATTTACCATTTTATTAAAAATACTAAATAAATAGTAAAGACTCACTTCATTTATTTAATTGAATCTAATTTTATTTTAATCTTAATTTTTAGAATTTTAAAATAACTTTGAAAATACTTAAAGCTTATGTGCAAAATATTCGGGTTTCTTTAGACGAACTTGCTGATTTCTTCTATTTCTGGTTATTCTATTATTTATTATCTTTTTTTTTGCGATAAAATTATTTTAAATAAACTTTAATCGTGATTAAATTTAAATTTTAAGAAGATACTTGCATTAGCTTAGATCAAAATTAACTGTTGAGAGGTTTGAAATTTCCAAATTATTTAACTTTTGATAATAAATAAAATAAATTTATATGAAATCTGAAATCATTAAAATACTTTTGAGATGCTCCTGATTATCATTATATAAAATAGTTTTATTTTGTTTTTTTTTATCTTTTTGTATATTTTTTTTTTATTAAACTTTGAAAATTAAATAGAATTTTTACTTTTATAAGAATTTGAGATATTAAAATAGATTTTATCTGATTCATTAAACTAATTAATTTTTTAATGAAGAATAGAGAAAGTTTATCTATGTTTTTATCATTTAATATTAAAAGATGAATTTGAATTCTAGTATGCTAAAAAAAAATCAAAACATATTTCCTTCACATGTTATTATTAAATTTGATTAATTTTAGTTTAAAAGTTATAAAATAAATTTAAAAATTATTCATAATATCAGATGAAAACTTAGTGAGTTTATAAAGATCTTTTATTTTTTTGAAAATAAAAACTATTTTAATTTTTATAAAATTCTTACTTTTTATCTTTAAATATTATCAAATAAATTTGAATTAATTTTATGATAATTTTTATGTTTTATATAAAAAATGAGGATATAAATTTTTAGTTAAAATATATTTAAGCTTATTTAATTTTATTGTTTCATATTTGTAATTGATTTTGTTATTAACTAATTTTTATAAAATTTATGAATTAACTAAAAAATTGTATTTATGACTTAGTGAGATAAATTTATTTTTGATGTTTTTTTCTTTTAAATTTTGAATAAAAAAAATAAAACTCAGCTATAACATTTATCAAAAAAAAAAGTTAATTTTATATTTTTAATAGTTAAATTATTAATTTTAATAACAATTTAGATTTAATGACTAGTGATTGATCTAAAATTAACTTCATAAAAAGTTACTATTATTTTTTTTTGAAATATAAAATTGTTATTTATTTGAGTTTAATTTTACTGTACGAAAACAGAATAACTCATTTTAGTAGAAATAAAAATTTTCATTATTAATTAATTAATAAAGAATTTTTTGATCTAAAGTAGGATCTGATGAATTTCAAGAAATAAAAATTTAATTTGATTCTAGCTTTCCTTAAATTTACTTTAATTAAAATAATAAATTGATAGGAATTTTTGTTTAATAATTTAGGTGATATCAGTAAGATATAAAAAAATAAGATATCACGAGTATTTTAATTTAATATTTAATTGTGAGACACACGTTTACTAAGCACAAAAATAAATATATATTTATATAGCGGATATCAAAGTGGGAAAAGGAGATATAATAGAGCTAAAATACCAAATATAAAGTACAATTTCAAAATATTTATAAGTATCTTATGGAGCAATGAATGATATTAGCTACATAGTAAATGAAGTTTAAATCGCATTTTTGGTGTTTGCAGAGTGGTATATGAAAGCAATTCTTGTATGTAGAATCATAATGGAGTATGTAGAATTTATAATTAATTCTAGTAGAAGGCTCTAATTTCTCCTTTCATTAAGATTTGCTTTTCTTTCAATTTTTTTCTCTTAAGATAGCGGGGGAAATTAGCGTTTATTAAATTTTGGTGTTTTAACACAATAAAAAATAAATATAATATTAGTAGTAAATGGATTTTAAGTATTATACTTTTGTTTTTACCCTAATCCTTGTAGATACCGCTAAAATTGTTTTTATTATAGCCTTTGGAGTTTTGTATTTTTTTAACTGCTAAATATTTATCATAGTTTATTTTTGATTTACTCTTTTTTACAAAAAAATTTTTAAAAATAAATGATATTCTTTCATAAATGTCAAATTGCTATAATTTAAAAAGCTGTCAATCGAATTAAAGAGAAGCAAGATAGCAGTTTAGAGTGAGCTTAAAATGGATTTGATACGTTTTATATGAATAAAAATACAATTTATGTTGCTTTTATTAGAAGTGATATCAATTTTTTTACTGAAATTTTTATTTTTAGGCATTTTATTTAGGAGGATATAAAGATTATGTAAAATTCTATCTAAATTTAATGACTTAGGCGATGATTAAAGTAGAGGAAATTATCAGGTGAAAAAAGATTAACAAAATTAGTGATATGAAATAAGAGAAATAGCAAATAAATAATATATAATAATAAATGAATAAGAAGTTGAGTGCTTAGCTATTAATAAAAAAGTGGGTAGGAGCTAAGTAGGAGGAAGAAAGGAAGGAAGTAAAAAAGATAGAAGATTTGGGGAAAATTAAATTAAATAATTTATTTATTTAAAATGAATGAAATTAAATAAATAAATAAAAATATAACTCAAGTAGGACCTACCTACTTATCTAATTATTTATCAATTTTATAATTTCTCCTTTTAATTTTATATGAAAATAGATAAAACAAACAAGCAATTTTTTAAATTTTGAATTTGAACTTAAGTTTTTTATGGCTGAAATAGCAACTCGCCATTTATTTTTATTTTCATTTATGTCTCTTGTAAGGCATGATTTGAGAAATAAAGGCAGTATATTTTATAATTAATGGAATTATAAAGAGTGATTAAGCTTGTTCGCTCGCTTGTCTTTCAAGTGAAGAGCAAAGTAGAAATTAGTGATTGAAGAGCAGAAATAAAATTTCTATTTAAGAATTAAAGTGAAAAAATAAACACTTTTAAATTTGGGTCATTGAAAAATCAATAAGATCCAGCAAATCTTAAATCAAAATTCTAAATTTGTATTAAGTTAATTTAAATTATTATAAGACTTTCTTCACTGAACATCTTTTTTTTTAAATTTTTAAAGTTTTGCTATTATAAATTTTTGTAAGTACTTATTATCAGTTATGACTTTTAAAAAATATCAAGGGAAAGTTAAGAAAAATATTCTGTTTTATCCTAAGTGTATTGCGATTAATGAGAATCAAAGAAGTCGCAATTAGAATATTTACCAGTTTGAAATTAAAATACTTGCATTTACTGTATATTTGTATCAAATAAAAGCTAAAAAAACATAGTTGCATGTTACTAATTCAACAAATTATGAATTTTAGATAGAGCTAATAATCATTCAAATATTTGAAATATTTTTGTTATTTTCTGTGTATTTTTTCCTCTTTATTATTTTCTGAAAATAGAAGTAAGAAAGGTAAGCTGAGGCGTATAGTAAAGTATTTACAAAAGAATTGTTAGCTTATTGAAAAAGAAAATTGTTATTGAGAATTAATATATATTTTTTATTAATGCATCGGATGAGGTGGGGAGTTAGATAAAAAATAGAATCTATTTTTTTTGATTTGTTTCAAAGAGAAGAGAGTTATAAAACAAGCTTTATTTGCTATATAAAATCAAAGAGGTAGACTTAATGCTCATACAAATTATTAAAGAACGAACATATGGAAAAATATTACAGACATTTAGCAGTGCTAAATATTGATTTATTAGATTTGTTGCTGATAAGAAGAATTTAATAATAATAAATAAATCACAGCTCTCCTTAAGAAAATAAAATAAGGAATAATTTATTTGCTAACTAGCTAACTAACAAACTATCAATCTATTTATTTATTTTTATATTAACTGGTTGACTGATTGATGATCAATTTATGAAGGATAGGAAAGTAGGAAAAACAAAAATAATACGACAAAGGAGGAGTATCTTAATAATAGATACTTAAAAATATTAAACCACATATTTATTAGATGAGGAAAAATCAAAAAAATAAATAATTAAATAAATAAAATAACAAATCTCTAATACCTTCGTTCTGCTTGCTTGCTACTCTTCATTTAGAATACTTAATTGTATTTTACCTTTTAATATTAATTTAACTATGTTAGACTGATAGGATTTATTGATATATAGATGTAATGAAAGAAGGATAGGTAGGAAGAGGGGAAATAAAAAAGAAAGAAAAATTGAAAGAATCCAACAAAAAATAAAAAAATTTCCACATATTTAAAAAATATAGTAAGAAAGAAAAAAAAAATCAATATTAGTATATATCTTTAAAAAAATAGAGCAATAAAACAAAGAAAAACACAAAATAAATAACAAAAAAAAAGAAAACATAATAGTGCCTTTTTGGCAATAGAAAAGAGAAAGGAAATCAAAAAAAATATATTTTGCATCAATACCAAAAAATGAGTTTAGTGATGCAACCTCTCGTTATCAAAGATGAGGTTAAACAAGAAAATGTCATCATCGAATAGCCTAATCCTGTCAAGATTCCTATTCCAGTCGATACTCAACTTGTTTCTTAAGCTAAACAAATCGCCTAAACTTTATCTGCAGCTGCTACCTCTACTTCTTCTGCTTCTTCTTTAACTTAGCAAAATACTTCTTAGTAGGGTTCTTCTGCTTCTATTTCCAATTAATAGACTACTATTTCTGCTCCTACCTAAAATACACAACAGACCATTAAAGCAAGCATAATTTAATCAACTTCTGCTACTACTCCTACTCTCAAAACCTAGAAATCTTTCAACCCAACTGAGAGCTACTTGTCTAACTTTACTGCACCTCCCGTTAATCCTACTTAAGGTAAAAATTACTTCTATTTATTTTAAAATTAATTCATCATTAGTAGCATTTCAATCTAATTTCTAAAATTTCAAAAATAAAATAGGAAACACAAATGTCATCGTAGGTTCATCCAGTAGTCGTATAGGATAGAATGGGATTGGATCATCCTCTATTTTCTCTTCACTTGCAACTACATTTAAGCCCTCTTAGAATACTACTACACAGGCTATAATCGCTCCTTCAAATAATACCTCTACCTCTTCAGGTGTTTAAGCAAATAATTTAGGAGACTCCGCTGATGTAGCAAATTTCACTAACCACATTTTCTCTTAGCCTTACTTATTCTACTAGAGCAATAATATGAATATCCCTCAATTAGAGGCATCCATGGATGATTTGTATACCGTCTTTACCTTCATCGTTCCAAACAAACCATACCCAAATAACTCTACAAACTCCTAGTTACAAAAAAATAATAGTAGCAGTAGTAATAATAATAACAACAGCAATAATCCTAGCTCTTCAGCAAATGGTAGCTCAACTAGCACAAACGCAGCTACTGGAAATGTAAATACAACACCATTGATTAACAATAGCACTAAAGCTAATGGTGCCTATACAAGCTATAACTCATCCAACAATTTAAGTTCCTTATCAAGTAACTCTAATACACCTATAATTTAGCACTCTTCACTTTTAAATGCCTCCTCTAACTTAGCAAACTCAAATAATACAACAACCAGCAGCATATCACCAAAAGGATTCTAAAAGAGCGTCGATGGATCTAGTAAGTCACACAGAAATAGCTTTAGCAGCGCAACCACTACCCCTAAAGTTCCTCACTTCGGACTCTCTGGGTAGAATAAAGAAGAAAGAAAGTCAAGCGCAAAAGGCTAGAGTCTAGTTGATATTATTAAGCAGCAATGCACTGAAGACGAAAGTAAATTAATTATTTTATCAAATAGATCCAAAATCCTATCAAAATCTTCCCTTTCACTAATAATACCCCCAGAATATATAATGCTTCATAACTTGATTCGAAATTACTATTTTGATTTTTAATTCTATTAATACTCTTCTTCACTTTTTTCTTTCTACTTTTGATTCGCTCACTCACTCAATCAATCAATCACTCACTAATTCATTCCTCCCTTTTTAAAGGCGCTTAGAAACAATTTAAAAGTTGAGTTTCTTTTTTTATTTTTTATTTTTTTTCCCTTATTTTTTCAGTCACTTTTTTTTGTTTTTTCAATCATTCATCGTCATTATCTCCATCTTAAAAATAACTTGCCACTCATAAAAATTTTGTCACTTAAAAAGGATAATTTTATAAAAAGACCCTACCAACTGCTTGCTTTTACCATTATTAGTTCCACAAATTTTTCTTCACCATTTTATAAATCTTTAAAATTTTTTCATCTGCTTAAAAAATCAGAAATATATTTTGAAAGGGGATTCATCATAATTTTTCATTAAATTTGTTTCCATCTATTCTAAATTTTTTTTTTTTTTCAATAAATAGAAAGAAAGAAATCTGATTCCATTCCAACATTTAATAACTTGGGATCTGGCTTCAAAAGTAACTTCAATTCATCGAGTAACTTAGGCAGTTTGACCCAACTTCCAATTGGTGGATTAAGTTAAACATCTATCACCAGTTTACTCAACTTATCATTGAATCAATTAAATAATAATGCTACTAACAACCCAAGCGGATTTAATCCAGTTAATTCTACTAATTTTGGTTTAAATAATTCTAGTTAAAATAATAATGATATTATGGAAAGTGAAGAAGCTGCCGCTATCGCATTTTTACAGTAATAAATTAAGCAAGAATAGCAATAGTAAGCTGTAAAGCAAGAACTTCAAATACAAGAGAGTTAATCATAGCTAAATGCCATGGCTGATGAAGAGGAAGAAAAAGTAGTCATGCCCGATTCTAATGATGATGACGATGAAGAATGCGAAGAAGAAGCTGAAGATGATGACAAAAAATCTGGAGAAGATTCAGGTAATGACGAAGATGAAGAAGCTCGTTTGATCCGTGAAATTAAGGAAATGAAAAAGAAAAAAGCTGGAGGATAGTCTATGTTTGCAAAGAATTTCAAAAAAGATGGTAGTTTCCTCTTTGGTGGCGAAGGTTAAGATGGTGATATCTTTGATTTTTGTGAAGAAAAGCTTGGTGGCGGAAGCAAAAAGTAAAAGAAAAACGGCAGTGGAGGACATAAAAATAAATTTGATACTAAAAACTTAGTTAAAAATTTCCTTAACTCCTTCATTTCTTTTGCTCATCACCCTGATGAGGAAGCTGCTATCATAGATGTTTTAGGCTTTGAAAGTAGTCCTTAACTCAATGACTTCCGCAGCAATCTCCGTAATTTTTTCAAAGGAAAAAAATTCAACCGTGTTCTCTTAAAAGAATTTATCTTTGAAGATTTATTTAGACCTCTCTTCCTCTTCTTCCTTGAAAACAGAGCACTTAATTGGATTGAAAGTGGAAGAATGAAAGATAAGGCCTCTCATTTACGTGCACTTAAAAATTTCATATTCGTCTGCTAGCATTACGATTAAATTAAATCATGGCGCTTTAGATACAATTTTGTATAAAACTGATAAACTTAAAAAATAGTTTTCTTTGCTTTTGAAAATTGATTTATTTTAGTTAGTTAGATATTTCGATTTGAAATATCTATAGATCGATCTATCTATCTATCTATGCTAGAAAAAAAATGCTTTAATCATTTAATAAATCATCCTTTAAATTAATAAATTCAAAGCACATTTTGAAAATTAATAAAAGTAATATCAAACCACACATTTTACTACAAATACTTTTTGAAATCTAAAGTATTTTCAATATCGATGGATTTAAATTAATTACTCACACTTTTAATTAGGATCAAATCAAATTTTGAATTTTAATAACAAAAAATTATAAAATTAACCTTCCTCTATTTATAAAACTCAAATAACAATTCCTTCAGAAAAAGATATCTATTACATTTTCAATTAAAACTGAACAAAAATGAAACCCTCAAACTTGAGAAAGAACCAACCAATCCCTGTTTCCTACAAAAATGATCTGCAATAGAAAGATGACTAGCTGATTGACTAACTTATAAATTTTGAAAAGAATTTTAATCTCTGTAATCAAATATTTATCATCTTAGGAGAATCAAAACATTTTGTTTATAAGTAGAAAGAAAATTTTCAAATAAATAAATAAAGTAAACAACTTAAAATATCCACATAAATAAATAAATAAAATAAAATATCAAAATCCTCATTTTAAATTTTAAATAAAAACCTTCCAACATCTTTGATCTCTAAATTAACAACAAATAAACTACTTATAATTCCAAAAAAAATTTTCATTTATTGTAAAAAATATAATCTAAAATTAGAAGATAAATCCATCACTTATGTAATAAAATTAAATTCATTATATTATCTCGTAAATCATTTAAATTTATTCATATATATCATATTGTAAAAACTTCTTAAATTTAATTTCACCCAAGCTTATCAATTGATTTACATTCAATAATTATTCAAAACTTGCTATTGTTGTGATTGTTTATGTCTAATTATAAAACTTAATTATCAATTTAAAATCTGCTTTTTTAATTTTTGAATTTATTTATTCTTTATTCCTACACAATTTATTCTTTATTCCTACACAATTTATTTTTAAAAATAAGAAATCAAAGAATAGATTTGAATTTTTTCACCTCGCTATTTAAATAATAAATATAATTAATTACAAAAATTATTTATTATAGATTTTTTAAAAACAAATATGCAATTTTTAAATTTAAAATTAATCTTATTTATAGCAAGATCAAAAAGTAATTACTTTTTTTTCAAGAAATTTTATTTAAGGCTAATTTTAAAAAATTTTTCATGTTTTGTTAAATATTATTTAAATCTTAAAATGTAGGACTCTCTTTAATAGAGTCTTTACCAAAGAATTATAATTAAATAAGTACATATTTTTAACAAATCCTTTTAAATTTTGTTAACATAATTTTAATCTAATATATTTTGTAATACAAACCATCTCAAAATAATTTGAAATAATTCTTAAATTTCTAATTTTGGTTTGGTTTTAAAAATAAATATTTAATCAACATTTTTTGTAAAATATTTATCTATTTGGATGCTTTTACAGTCTTATTTTTAAATAAGGAAAATAATAAAAAATAAATAATGAATGCATATAAATTATTCAATTAATCTATTTTATGATTTAGCAGAAAATATTAATTATTAAATGTTTCTACAAAAATAACTCATAATAATTCAATTATTATTTTCACACAATGGAAGCATTAATTTATTTATTAATAGATAATTCAAAATATTGCATAGTTAGAGAATAAATTCTTAATTACTATATTAGTAGTTATTTAGTAGCAATCATTTCAAAGTAAATTTTTTATTTAATTAATAGTAAGTAGAAAGTTTGATAGTTAGTTAGTTATTTAGTTATTTAGTAAGTTAGCTAGTTTCGATACAATCAGTTATTTATTTTTTTTGAGATTACAACAAACTGAAATATGAATTCAGACGCTTAAGGTTTGAAAATTGCATAAAAGTATTAAGTAGGTTAATAATTTGGTTAGGGTTCCTTTGGTTCTATCCATTTAGGTAAATTTAACATCTTTTAACAAACCATTGAACAAATATTTAAAAATTATTATTTTTAAAATATATAGCTACTAATATAGAAACAGGAGAAATAGTAGCTGTCAAAATGGTAATATTGATATAAATTTAAATGTTTATTTACTATTTAGGTTATTGCCAAGTTGAAAGACTAAAAAAATAGCAATCCATTTATAAAATACTTTAAATTTTACAACTCTACTTCTAAATAAATATGAATTTCTTTGAATTAAAATCTGAATAAAAATAATAGGAAGACAGCAAAACTAAGCATCCTTAACTTACATTTGAAGCTAAAATATTTAAAGTGTTACAAGGCAAAGGTATACTAATATTTTCATACAGCTTTAGGTTCATTATTATATTCTTCTAATTTATTAAATTAAGCTGGTATTCCTACTCTTTATCATTGTGGTTAAGAAGGTGGCAAAAATGTTATGGTAATTGATTTGTTAGGGCCTTCATTAGAAGATCTTTTCAATTTGTGCTAAAGAAAGCTCTCTTTAAAGACTGTACTGATGATTGTGGACTAAATGGTATTTATAATATATAAAAAGTTCAATATAAACATTTATTAATGAATTAATTTTAAATAACAAATAAAAAAAGCTACTTAGAATAGAAACTTTTCACAGTTCTGGCTTTATACATAGAGATATTAAACCAGATAACTTCTTGATAGGACTTGGTAAAAAATCTAATTTGCTTTACATAATTGATTATGGTTTGGGTAAACGTTACCTTGATTCTAAAACTAAGTAGCATATTCCTTATAGAGAAAATAAGAATTTGACAGGTACAGCAAGATACGCTAGTATAAATGCCCACTTAGGTATTGAGTAATCAAGAAGAGATGATATGGAGGCTATTGGTTATGTCATAGTGTATCTTTTAAGAGGATCACTACCTTGGTAAGGTATAAAAGCATAAAATAAACAAGAAAAATACAATAAAATTATGGAAAAGAAAATGTCAACACCAGTAGAAATGCTTTGCAAAGGATTACCAAGTAACTTTATTGATTTATTTTGTTCGATAAACTAATTAAATTATAATAAAATAGTTGAGTTTTCTACTTACTTAAATTATTGCAGATCATTAAGGTTTGACGATAAAATTGATTACCTTCATATTAGAAAGATGTTTAAAGAGCTTTTTTATAGAGAAAAGTATGACTGGGATTATTTATTTGACTGGTGTCTTCCAATAGATGTAAAACTATTTTAATAAATCAAGTTAATCAATGTTTTTCTATATTATTAGTAATAAGTTAAATCATCTTGGAAAAATAACAAGATTACTATCAATGTTAGTTCTTAATAGCTAGAAAGGGCAAACAATCAAGATAAACTCAATGCAGAAGATAATGACTAAATACATTTGACCACAAATAGTTAATTCATTTATTTTTATTGAAAAATTAGATCTAATTAATGTTTAATTATTAAAAAATAAGATGATAATGATAAAATGAATGAAGAAGGCAAACCAATTAAGTCAGATTACCTTCAAAACAACGAAGATGCCCAAAAGGTTGTTTATCTTTCTGGTTAAGATAATAAATATGATGAGAATATAAATGATTCACATATAGCTGATGCAAATTAAATTCAAGAATTTTAGAATAATGTTTATTTGCCTGTTGATATTAAACCTGAAGAACTTTCAAGCGGATAAAATTATAATTATAATTACAATTATGATATGTATGCTACTCCTGCAGGAAATTATATGACTCCTGGAAACGGTTTACTTGATTTATCTGCTTCTAACTAATATGATCCAAACCAAATTCAACAGATGATAGGCTAAGTTTCAAACAGATCTGATGGCAAAAATAATTCTATGAATTAAAATCTAGATAATACACCTGAAGGTTACAAGCCTGGTCCTGTCCAACTAGAAGATATAAAAAGCTAGAATATCTAAAATCACGATGAAAAAAATAATAGCAATACTGTAGACAAAAGTGGATAAGAGGCTGTTTTCAACATGAATGACTGACCAAATATACTAATTAATTAAATAAATAATAATTTGTGTTTTTTTGTAAATTTACATTTTTCTTATTAGCCCATTTAACTCATTTTGTTATCTCATATTTCATTAAATTATTTGAGTTTAAAATTACTTCACTTTTTATTGGTTATTTGTATTGAATTAAATTATATGTGAGCGAGCATGAGTAGACAAATCAATTTATATTAAAAGTAGATACTACCAATTTTTAATTGAAATTTTATAAAAAAAAGCATAGTAATAAAATTAGAAAATGAATCACTAATAGATTTTAGATAAGCAGAAAGTTAGGACAAGAGATAAATACTTACTGAAAGAAAAATATGAAATATAGCCAACTAAAAAGGTGAAAAAGGAAAGACCTAAAAAATTCACTGATTTGGAATAAAAGTTGCATGATATTTAAGAATAAAATATGCCAAATGTGGATCCAAATAAGTTGTTTGATACTCTCAAAACTGCAGATTTCTCAGAATTTTTGAAGGAAGATAGTTAAAGATAAGAATGCCCTAATTGCAAAAAAAAGAGTAAAATTTATTGCGCTGATTGTTTAACTGTCTTATGCGAGCCCAGTTAGATTCCAAAGGTTTAACTTCCTTTCAGACTAACAATTGTTCATCACGATTAAGAAAAAACAAAAAAAAGTAGTGCTCTACCAGTCAAGTTATTGATAGAAAACAACGAAGAAAATTGCAAAATAATTCATTACCCATCTCATGAAATACCTGAGTTTGATCCTGACACTACTTTAATTTTGTATCCCCATAAAGACTCAACTAGAACTTTAGATTTAGATTTAGAAACAATGAAGCAAATAAAAAATGTAGTTGCTATTGATTGCACTTGGAACCAAACTAATAGCATATTAAACAATTTCACTAATCCAAAGTACAAGTATGTTAGATTAGAAGAGTATAATACCACATTTTGGAGATACTAATTCCACTAACCTAACTGCTTGGCAACAATAGAAGCTATTTACTACTTTTTCAAAGAATTTGATTGCAATTTCTCTTCAAAATAAATCAGCTAAAACTATGTATACGATGGCAAATATGATAATTTAATGTTTTTTTATCATTGGTAATATGAAATGATTTAAAACCATTATAAGTATAAAACAAGTAATACCTTTAGGAAAATTAAAGATTATATTAAGTACAATGAAAATGAACAAAAATAGGAAGTATAAAATGAATAAAACATTGAATAAAATTAGTAACAGTAAAATAACGAAAATAGTAATACAGAAGGGAAAGACAACGAATGAAGAATTAAATTGTTGATCAATATGTAAAACGTATGAATCCATAAAAAATATATTATCAAAATCAATATATTATATTATTTTATTGTTTGTTAGTTTGTGCTTGTTAGAATAAGAGGTTTAAAAAAATTAAAGTCAATATTTTACTTCAAAAATTATAATATTTTTGATTGAAAATCATCTTAAAGTTTCTTAAATTAATTCTAAATTCAATAAAAAACTCTGTGACATTCATCATCAAATTTTACCTAAAATATTTTTTTAATTTTTGACAATCGAAAATTAAGAATTGTTTCTTTGCAATTTTTTTTTTTTGCAGGTATTTTCTCAGATTTTATATCATATTTTATAAATAAAAAATACTTGTCAATCCTTAATAGATTTTAAGGAATTTATTTGATGCTAATTAGCAAAACTTTACTAAATTAATAATATTTTTGAGTAAATTAATTAATAATCTTTATAAGACCGTTAAATTGACTATCCTAGCTAAAGCTAATTTTGAATTACATTTAACTTAAATAGAGGTAGTTTCTAGAAATATAAGAACAAGAGTTTTTTTGATTGAGGGTATTTTTAAAGATATTATTAAATAAGAGGTTGATTATTCATTCTAACAAAGTCTACAAATTTAAAAGCAATTATTCGAGGAAACCAGACAACAAACTAACAAAGAAATACAAATATACTAAAATAATTAAAATATTAGTAGGAATTTTATAATATTTTTCAATTCCTTCAAATAAATAAATAGATAAATAAATAAAAGTTCTTGATTTCACTCATGTTAAATTTAATAATATACTCTGATCTTAGATTATTTTATTTCTATATTACTTCTATTATTAACAGTTAAAAATAAATAATTTTATTCATATCCTACCTTCATTTAAAATAAATTATTTAAGTTAAATTAATAATATTTAAATTTTTCTATTTTAAAGTCTACAAAAAACGTGAGCTGAGGATATTCAAAAATCACATTTTTTGATAAAAAATAATTAATTAATTAACAAGTAAAATAAAGAGAATTTTAAAATTGCTATGGATTTCAGCTGTCTTTATAAATAAAAAGAGGTAAAATGTTAGATTATTTCAACATTTTAAAGTAAAAGTCATGACGTATTAACAAATGAATTCGATTATAAAGGTATCTATAAAGATATAAGTGGTATCAGTAATCTTTTGACTACTTTATAACTGATAGTGTGTAATCCTGTTAGTTTAGATAAGCATGACAGCTAAAATAAAAATAAAGTTGCGGAGACTCTGTCTAAATTTTTTAATATGGAGGGATCTTAAGGTAGTATTATTTACTTTAATGGTCATGGAAACAATAATGGTGATTGGATTTTAAGCAACAAAGAAGATAGAGACGATTTAGATTCACTATATGATACAGATCAAGTGATGGAATTTAATGAACTATATAACTTATACTGGAAATAAAGAAAAAATGCTGAATAAAATGATCATTTATTTTTAATTATTGACTGCTGTTCTGCTAACAAATGGGTTGAAAAAGCTAGGAAGTTCTAAGATATATCAATCATTACAGCTCAATAACAAATATATTAAGATAAATATGTAGCAAAAATTTAAAGAAATATTGGCTCATATTTTACAATCTATTTCTGTAATACATTTAATCCAGTATAGGAAAATCAATAAAAGCTGAAAGATTGTATTTCAAAGAAATTCTTAAAAAGTATATGCCCAAAAGCATCAAAAAAATGCCATTAATAATTATTTTGCAAACATAATCCAATGGAAATTTACTGTCATATGCCTTAGCCATAAATTCTGAAGAGTAAATTTAATTTTTAAATAGATGCATAACTTAAAGAATGGTCAGAACTAGATACAATCAGAAAAAATCTTATAAATCAATACCATGATAATTCTACTGAATATTTAGAAAATATATTTAGCTTATACAGAGGTAAGAATAGAGTATCAGTGTTAGAAGAACTAGGATATGACTAAGATGAATGTATTAATCCCTATTCTGTCCACTTCGTAAATATTATCCTTTATTTAGATGAAAGGAGCTTTAAAGATTTAAGTACTTATTCTGAAAATCAGAAATAACAAAGCAGAAAAATAACATTTTAATTTGATGATCTATATGATTAGGCTAAATAAGATTATTTTAAAAAAATGATAGGACTAATATCAAAAAGAGATCATGTTTCTATTGATATGCGCTACTGCTAAATTAACGATGACTAATTTAAAGTAATAATTGATAGCATAGTTTAAAATTCAAAGGGTAACTTAAAAACGCTTGACTTAAATGTTTCATTCAATTAGATTACTTAAAAATCAATCAAATACTTGTTCTAAAAAATTTCAGATGTAAAATTTTAGAATTTAGAGAATCTAATTTTGAATTTTGCTTGGAATTAAATAAATGATAATGATATTACTGAAGAAGAAGTTAAAATTCCAGAATTAAATCAATTAAAATCTCTTTGCATTTCTTTTAATTAAAATACATTTTAAAACTGTAATTTAGTAAATTAAATATTCTCAAAAAATCTATTAAATATTAAAACATTGCAATTGCTACACATTTGCTTAGAAAATTGTGGTATAGAAGATAAATTTATTTATACTTTAAAATCATTTATTTTAAAAAATAAAACACTAAAATTTTTTTATTGCAACTTGAGGTAAAATAAGATTACTGCTGAGGGTGGCAATACTATATAATAAGTATATCGTTTAGCTTAAATTAAGGGTAGATATCATATTTAATTATATGGAAATAAGTACCTGGCAGAATAAGGATAGTAAAGTATCAAAGCAGTAAATATTAAGGAATAGGATAGCTTTTTAGAATTATTTCGTAGTATAAAATATTATAATAAATGACTTTATTTTTTTATATTTTATTTTAAGTTTTTTAATTTTGCACATAGTTGTTTGTTTGTTTGTTTGTTTTTTCGTTTAGTAATGGTTTAAACTGTTTTTATTAGATTGTGTTAGAAAGTTTAGGAGTTTAGATTTGTGGTAAAAATATCCAAAAAAAACTATTATTTAATAGCTTAATAAAAATATCTCATTCATTTATTTAATCACTCAAATTAATCAACAAAATAAATAATTAATAATATTCTAAACTTTTTAATCATTAAAAAAATGATCTAAAGCTATTACAAGTATCTAAATCAAAATGATAGGTAAAGCTAGCAATATGAACTAGCGAAATCAAAATATTTAATTGTAGCTGCATCTAAAGACGCGTCTATTAATTAGAAAGGATAACATGATTTTGACTATAAGGCATCCTAAAATGATACAGATGAAATGGGGCTATTATTTAAGATAAAAAAGATTAAATCTCCTAAATAAATAATAAATTTCAATAAACTTTCTTTTGAGACAATTTAAAATCTCTGTAGAAGTCTAATTGGGCTATTTAATTAGCCTGATTGCTGCGGTAGTCTCGTATATTATAATGGACATGGAGACAAAGAGGGAAATTGGTTACTCTAATGCATGAATGATTAAACTTAAAAAATTGAATTAGTCAGGTTCACATTAAGTGATTTATTGACTCTTTGGGAAAAGCGTGCTTCAAATATGAAACACCTATTCCTGATTATGGATAGTTGCTATGCTGGCAAATGGGTAGAAAGTTTAAAAAACTAAAAAAATACTTCTGTTTCTATTTTATCTGCTTGCAATTCTACAGAGCCAACCTTTTTAATTGATGGATTTGGTTCTTATTTTACAAACTATTTGGTTTGGACATTTGTTGAGTCGTTTGCTAGTAAGCAGAAGTATTTGCTACCTCACAAAAACTTGCATCCTTGCTCATATAGTTATGATTATTCCATATTAAAATCAGTATTTAATTTTGAAATTAGCAAGGATATAACAGGCTGGTAAGATTTTGATTAAATACATTAATTTATTATTGAAGCTCCAAAAAAAAAAACTCAAGGCGAGTTGCAGAGCTTACTATAACGAATAGGATTCCCTGAAGACTGCTTCATAAAATAAGAAGAGTTAGAAGAAGATCATATTAATCCATTTTAAGAATAATACTTGGTGCTAAATATACCTATAAGCTTAGACTTTTGCTAAAAAATGTTAGCATTTTCGCAATAAAGATCTCTATTTTAACAAAAGTTGTCTTTTAAGATTGATATGGAGAAATCAAAAGATCCAATTGCACTATAAACAATATTAAAACAGATTTCGCATTTAGAATATATATCTATAAATGTCTCAAGTTGCTAGATTGACTAAAAATTAGCTGCTACAATAGCTAACTGTGTTGTTTAATATTAAAATGCAATAAGTTTTGATATAGATTTGAGTTAAAACGAGCTTAAAGGAGAAATATTTTAAGTTTTTTGCATTATTTTTACAAAATTATGTAAGACCCTTAAAGAGTTATTTATAAATTTTAATTGGAATTACATCTAAAATGATAATATTTTGCCTCTAATTAATGTTTTTTAAAGCTAGAAGACTTTAGAATGTCTTTCTTTAGGTTTATCATAAAATGATATTGGAGATTAAAGTATGGCTAATGTTTTTTCAGAAATTCGCTAAATGGTTAAATTAAATTAGCTGGTACTTCATATTTCAAATACCTAAATTGGAAATTAATCTCTAAAGTCATTAGCAGAATCACTAAAAAGCCTTAAAAACATTGAAGGTGTTAAATTGATTGCAAAATGGAACCAATAAATATCAAGTGAAGGTGTTATGTATTTAGTATCTGCAATAAAAGGCATTACAAATCTTAAAGAATTAATTTTAGATTTTGAGTTCAATAGCATAGATGATTAAGGGGCCAAATAAATCATAGATATGCTAGATTCTTTAAAAAATATAGAAAATTGTGAAATTAATGCTGAGGCAAATCAAATTTCAGAGTAGCTTTTACAAGAAATTAAAAATCGTCTAAAATAAAAAAACTACTAACAAAAAAAAATATGACCAGATTAAAATGAATAAATCAATAAATAAATATATTGTAAAAAAAAAAATCTTATAATTTTATCACAGAATTTAGATAGATTATTAGTTCGAACATTTTTTAATGTAAAAGAGAAGAAATCTCTATATCTTTAAATATTGCTCTAATTGCTTCGTTAAGTATATTTTTAGAATTTTTTTTAATTACCATGTAAATAATACTTATTTTTTGAAAAATTAAAAATAGTCCATACCATACCACACCACTCAGAAGTTTTTTAAAGTGAAAATCAATCTTTTTGATTACTAATTTCAGACTAGAAAAGAAGATTAAATTTTATTAGAATATCTTTATTATTATTTAATAAAGTAGAACTGAATTATATAACAAATTTTAATTTAATCATTATAATTACATTAATTCTTGATTAATTTGTAAATTTTTAAGGTTAAGAATAGAGAAATATTTTGTGCTTGGTAATATTTATCGAGCATCTGATTTGTTGAAAATTAAAATATTTGACATATTTTAAGATCCAAGGTTGATTTTATATATCCATACAATTTTAATTAATATGAAAAATTACGCTTCTTATTCAATAATTGAAAAATTTTGTGGTAGCTCAATAATAATTATAAGGTAAATCAAATAAAAATAAATAAATTTAATTCTTAATACGTAGATTTGGGCAATTTTCCAAATGATTTTAACTAAATCAAATTAAGAGTTAATAAATTACTTTTTTACAAATAAAAACAAAATTAGAACAATAATTTTATCTTAAAAAACTATTCAGTGGCACTGGATTTATTACGCAATTTATAAAATACAATTTCATATATGTAAACCAATTTTAAATATTTGGAATAGTGCAAGAAAATGGTTATAAAATTTAAAAAGTGAGTAAGCCAATAAAAATTTTAATTAAAAATAAGGGGAAAACCCTAGTTTATTTATTTACTTATCTATCTATCTGTATATGTTGATCAATTTTAACAATCTCACTAAATGAGATAGAAATTAAAAAATTAAGTGCTAATACTGTAATGATTATTATGGAAAATTTTGCAAAAAAAAAAAATAAAAGCTCCTAATTTCATTAGAAACTAAGAAATAAATAATTGTTAATAGATAGGATAACAAAATATTGTCAAGTAGGCAGCAGTAGATAGAAATAATTAAAAAAATTAATTATCGAATAGGTTGAATAAGATATTTAAAAACTTATTGTTTAACCTTTCAAAAAAGAAGTAAGAAAAAATTAAAAACCAAACAAAACACATATATACATTCTTTAAATTAAAGATTTCAGCAAACAATTAAGAAAATAAATAGGCTTTAATAATTGAAAGGCAGCTCATAAAAGTAAATTAAATGGAAAGCGGATAACAAACTAAATAAGAAATTATTAATCATGAGCTCTTTAAGACAGCAACATTTTTCGATCCAGATGTCTAAAAAGAATCTGTCTAACAAAATTAGCATGATGTATCCTCCAAAAAAAGCTTGCATCAACGTCATCCAGCCAATCCCTAAATTTCTTCTGCCAACATTTTTAAATCATATGATTAATCTGTTAATTCTGCTTTACTTCAAAATAGTTTGTAAGGAAATAGTACAATGACTAATAAAAATCCACTCATTTCTATATAAGATAATGTTAATGAAGAGTTATAACACGATCAGCAGCCAGTAGTACCTCAAATGCAAAGCTTTTAGTAGAGTATGCACTCTTCTTCAAATCGCAAAAGACCTCTATTAGCTTTCAAGTTAAGTCCTAGTAGTACAAGATCTTATCAACAGTCTACTAATTTAGAAGACGTAAAAATAGTTTATTTTTGTTTAAATACTTTACTTAAATCCTAGATTTAGGAGTTTATAATAAAAAATAGCCAAAAAATTTATATAAATTTGATGTTTTTGTTGATATTTATGAATAAAATATTCATTTTTAACTTAAAAATTAGAAATAATTGGACACAGAATTTGATTTCATTCAATCCGTTTAAGATGCAGAGTTTTGGAATAAAGTGAATATGATTATATCTGAAAAGGATGAAAACAAGGGTAAGTCTCAAGGTAGACTCATTTCACTTCCATCTATCCACTAAAAAGGAAGTGAATATACTAGAAAATAAGAGAAAACGATTAGTAAAAGTTCAATAAATAACTAATATCTGCAAGGATGGGAAATGAGCTCATCTTGCTCTACAAGAGATTCATTGCGCTAAAACTAATAATAACTAAATCCTCCTCTCAGCCAGTAAAATTAGCAAATATAAAATAAGTAACTCAATCAAAGATAGCCTCTATAAAAGCCAATTCTGCAATTCTCTTAGTCTTCTGTTGCTCTTAAAATGAGTCCTTAAGCATCTTCTTTTGGCGGTCATTTAAATTCCGTTGATTATTAAAAAAGTTTATTAAGCACACCTTCAGTTAATTTAAAGAATTTGATATCTTCACCTTAAAATCAATAAAATTAACATTCCTTTTAACTAGAATCTTTAAGGACTGAAGAGTCTTCTCATATTCTTTCTCCTGAATCTAATGCTTATCCATCTCCTATCATGGATTCATTTAATCCTAGCAGTAATTACTCAGATTAGCTTTCTACAAATCCTAATACAAATTCAACAGTATCATAGTCTCACAGTATGTTTAATTCCTAGTTTTCTTAGAATTCTGCAGGATAGCCTTACATTCAGAACAATTTACTTATGAGATAAAAATCTCCATAGAGCGAAAAGTTTACTTTTTCAGCTCATGTTTTCTAAAATGCAAAGCAATAAAAACCAGAAAATTAATAAATTGGGACTACTATTTCTAATAGTTAGTATACTTATGCGCAAATATAATCAGAGAGAATACCTACAAGGGAAGATGTTTCCTACCCAAGTATAATTTCAAAGAACAACTAAGCAATACCTCCACCCCTAAAATTAGGAAATTTACAATAATAAAGAATCAAGAGAGACAACCATATGTCTCTAAATTAGAGTAATCAAAACGATTTTTAAATTTTGGCTTCTTCAAAAAGAAGTTAAGCTATGCAATCATATAAATCACAGTAAGTATTCAAAAACGAAGAAAAAAGCAATTAGCTTAATCAGGTAAATACTTGTTTTTTCTATAATATTTGGCTGAAAATTTCGTTCGAGTATAATTTAATTCAATAATAATCTATTTATAGATATTTTTATTAATATTTAGCAGATTAAACAAAAATAAACAAATTAATTAATTAATAGATAAGTAAGAAACACTAAAAAAGCAAAATTCAGTGAAAAATTTTTATTTAATTATTGCTCCATTCCAAAATTTACTGAACAATTAATTAAATAAATTTTTATTTCTCTTAAATATCTTTTCACTCTATTTATATCTTGATGAAATTATTTGGCTTTTTTTATTTATTTATTTGTTTCTTCATCTCTTCTTTGATTTATTTTACTCATCTAGATTAATTTTAAATAGGATATAAAAAGGAAGAATGAATTCAAATAAAATATTCTCTTGAAAGACAATAACATGAGCAGCGTTAGCACTTTCTTTAAAAGAAATATTTAGCTTGAGCAACTTACTTCTCCAAGGCAAAGAACTGATTCAAATACATTATAGAATTAAAACTATGATATTTTTGACAACTATCAATTTTTAAAGTGCAACGAAGACATATCCCATCCACTTTATCTAAACAATGACAACTATACACCTAATAGCAAATAATTATAAACAGATTAATTCAATCAAGTCCCATTTGGGAAAATAAACAAATTAGCATAATCAAATAATAAAGCAGAAGATCCTTTAAGAAGAAGCCTTTTCAATAATGGTTAATAATTAAAAAACGATTTTAGTTTCTGCGAAGATGGTTCCAATAATTTATTAAAAATATCTCAATCAGCTCAAGGCTATAGAGAACAAGCTAAAAAAATAAATCTTAGAAGCAAGCAGCAAGAAAACCTAGTAAAAAAATTATTTAAAATCGAAGAAAAATCATAAAATTTAACTAAAAACAATTACTTAAATAACTCCAACTAATAAAAGTAGTAATAGGGCTAACAAGATCAAAGTCATTAATGAGTAAAATCAAAAAGAACCAAACATTATTTCAATCATTTATACAAAACATATAAGTATAGGGCAACTAACTAACTAACTAACTTAATAACAAACTAACCAAATAAATAACTAAAAAAACCAAAAAGTAAATAAATAAATAAATAAATCAATCAATAAATTCCAAAACATGAATAATTAATATAAAATGCTGAATAGTAATATAGTAAAATAAAATATTATCTATCTAATTTAACTAAAATAATAATTAAATACGAAATAAACTTCACTCTAAAATTAGGTTTAAATAATAAAATACCTTAAATATATATAATAATTATTAAATTTTTAAATATTTAGAAAAATGATACTATTCTAAAAATAAAGATTTTAGTCATTTAAATAAATATAATAAAACTTAAACTTATTATTTATTATACCACTTTATTTATTTAGCTATATATATTAAAATTATTAGTTTTCTCAATCAATACTTTTTAATTATTAATTTATTAAAAATTTATTTTTTTTTAGATAAATTTTTATATTTTACAAAGTTACATATCTGCTTTTAATATTTTTACATTTGCTTACACCAAAGACTGATTATAATCTTAATTTTCTTCGACAAATCTTTAAAATAACTTTTTTGACAAATCCTTAATCAATTTATGAATAATTTTTGGATGTAAATTAATTAATTACTTTACTTTAATCATAAACTCCGTAAGCATGGATATTTTTATCTTATCTTTAATAAATGAATTCTTACCGAATATATTTTAGATAAAGAATGTGAAATTAAATTTTATAACACTTCTATAAAATAGTTTCTTAAAAATTACTTTTAAAGGTTAAGGATTTATAAATGGGTTTTATTTAATAGAGTAAATTAAATTTTTAAGAGAATAAAAATAATGCATTTTGATTCCTAAATATTGTTTAGTAAAGTAAACACTTTTATATGTAATTTTATTTAGATAAAAATAACCAATAACAAATTATCAATATGTTTAACAATCACCATCTAATTTTATTTATTATTTATTATTTAATAAACAAACCATAGAAAATTAATTCTGCAAAAAAATACTTCTTTGTAATAATTAACACAACAAAATGTAATTTTTTATAATTAATAATTTGGTATAATTAATTATTATTGTACAATATTTTAAATGAAAACTTCTTTTTTCTCAATTCTTTAAAGCCCTAGAAAAACAGTTTAAAGTAAATTTGACCATAATAAACAGTAATAGATGCTTTTATAGTCATTTGAGTTATATACTATTGAGAGAGAAGTGCTTAAAGAGCTTGATTCTTTGTCTAAAAAGCATAGCATTTAGTTTTTTCCATCTTAGCCTGGCTCTAAATCTAAAATAAAAAATGGAAATAATTTTAAAATATCCTTTCCTGTTAAAAATAATAATTTAATACTCTCTCCTAAAGAGATAAAGTAGACCCAAGAAAATGAGTAGAAACCAAGTAGATTTAATCATTTTGATGCTTTTCAAAGCACATTAAAAGAATAAAACAATATCTAACAAGATAAAATCAGTATAAATAGGGATTTTAATGAGAACAATTAAAAAAAAAGAATAGTTATTCAAAAGAAAAGCTGGGTTTCTCCAATTGTATAAAAATAGAATTAATTAAAGCGCTAATAACAACTACTACATTAAAGGTAAATATAATCTATTTCTACTAATAGATCATAAGATGTTTCTTTTCAAGTTGAAGCTACTTCCTCTTCAATTTATTCATTAGGAGATAAAAAGAAGTGCATAGAGCAAGTAAAAAAATAAAGTCACTCATTTTACGGTGAAGCAAAAGCAAAATCAAATGATAATAATAAAAATATGTCTCAATTAGCACCAACTTAATTGAGTAATTTATGCCATCTACCCAGCTTTAATAGTTCATTTAGGGTATAAAAAATGAATAAACATTCTTTCTGTTCATCTAACAGGAACATAGATAGATAGAGGAGTCTTTCAAACACAAGCTACAGCTTATTAGAACCTTGGGTTAAGTAAGAGCTTTATAAGACAATTACAGAACCTAAAAATAAAAATAATAATTCGTTTGATTTTTACTTTTATGATGATAACATAGGAGTAAATGTAAAAACTGATGTGTCATTTTACAAAAAATCAATTGACTTAAAAAAGTGAATTAGAATTAAAATGTTTAGATCAATATTAATAATAAAAAAATAGTTAGTTAGGTAATTGATTAATTGGATAGCATTCACTAAAATAAAAAATCTAATTAAAATATTAAATTAATGAAATATGCAAAGAGATAAATAAACCTGATATAATTAAATAATATAAAATAATTATTTATTCATTTTAATTACAAATGATTTAAATAGTTCTAAAAAGTGAAAAAATAACCCAATTAATTTATGATTAACTTAATAAAAAAAAGTAAATTATCAAAAATCTAAATTTAACAAAATATATAAAATAAATTATCATAAGTATTTCAAATAAATAAGTAGGGGCAAACTATTCTTTTGGCGTTAGTCATAATAAATTAATTTTAACAAATGTAGAGTAATTATTTTAGTTTTAATTGTATTTTTTATACAGTAATATTAAAATCCTAAATTCATAAATTTAAAAATTTATTTTTATTTGACTAATTTTAATTTATTCAAAATAAAGTTTCAATTTATTGTAGTTTTTATATTATTGCTTTAAATTAATTTTATAAAATTATTTAGTAAATAAACTTTCATAATTATTGATTGAAATAAACTTACTTAATTTCTTAATATCAAATAATAATACTAAATAAAATCTGATTCTATTTTACAAAAACAAACTGTTAAAGAATAAAAACTTAGAGAATGAAATTTTACAAATAAAATAATCTAACATTAACTTTAAAATAGAAAAAAATTCTAAAAATATTAAATTTAACAAAGAAGTTACGAAGAAATATTTCTTAGTCTTCCATTTTGAAAGCAAATCAGCTCATAAGACTATTATATTGTTAAATAGTTCATTATTTTAAATTTTTTTATTTAAAATATTGTTTAATTGTCATGATTTATTCATATTTTATATAAAAAATTTGATTAAAATATTTAATTTTTTTTATTTTCTTTCTTTAAATTTTTATTTAAAAGAATATTTTTTATTGTTGCTAAAAAATTTATTGGCTAGGATAAAAAAATAAAATTAATTGATTAATTTTTAAGATTTTTTTAACTAGTGTAAATTTATTTGTTTTTATTTTCTTCCTTTTTTAGAATAATTTATTAAAAGCAGAAAAAAATAAGATTATTTTTATTTTAAAATACTTTTTAATGAGAGTTAAATAAAAATAAAAAAATGAAAGATATTCTAAGGCCTACTAGTACAAATCAAATAGAAGTTGAAGTGCACTGCGAACCTTTGATAATTTATTTATCGCTCTTATTCATTTATGAATACATAATTAAGTTTTCACAATTAATTTGAATTTGAGCGATATTATTTCTTTTAACTAAAAAGTAATTAACTTTACTTATTTTATTTTAAAAATAAGATAAGCTTTACTAATTGTACCTTTTTCTTATTATGGGTTTCTTTTAAGTGAGTTTTATTTTTATGCAAGGCAGACAGAAAGAATAACTTCAAATGAATAAATAAAAAATGAATATTTATTTTCCAATAAAATAAAAATATTTTTTTCTATGAAAATTAGAATGTTTTGAAATAACATTTTATATAGAATTTAAATTTAAATATTTCTATTTTTAAACTGATTTGAATAAATCAAAGGTAAAATTTTAAAGTTGAAATATGTATTTTAATTATAAAATTTAAGAATATCTACATAAAAGATAATTAGGGATCATAAAATTTGTGCTTTGTTGGAGTAAAATAGTTTTTCTATATAATAAAGTATCCACATATTTAGTAAAAATCAGGATTAAAATAGAAACAATGGTTTTCTGGTATGATTTAGGTAGTGATTCATATTTGAAAATTTGTAAAAATATAGTATCCTTTAATTTATATTAGATATACAATATTGGTCTATCAATTTTTGTAGTAATATATGAATATTTATCTGTATTTATGCATGTAAATTTTTCACAAATTTTTAATCTGTTTATTTTCCCTAAAAATGTTTGCAGTGACATAAAATTTGCGAATTTCATTAAACTAATCTTGATGAAAAATATTTTTAAAATAACCTACTTCATCTTTATTTGTTTTATTCATAAAAATATATAAATTTTAGCCAATGTTTTGAGAATTTCTGAGTAATATTTTTGCACAATTAAACCTATAATATTTCAATTTTATTTATGTTGAACGCTAACTATAAATTAGTATGATTATGATAAAAGACTACGAATATATTAATTAACGTACTTATACAACAATAATTCCTAATTGCTATATTATTTAATGCCTATTTAGTAATTTTAAAACCTATAAGGAGATTAAAGATGAATGCTAATTGAAAATTGCTTTCTGTAATAATTTAATATCTCCTTAAATTTGCTAACTAATTTAATCCAAATCACTTGGTAAGCTTTTCCTTATGGAGATTCTTGGGGAAGGAAGCAATATCGACTAAAGGTCTAGAGGATTCTTCTTGAGGATAGAGTAAACCAGCGAAGAAACCATTTCTCTAGTTGTATAATTGTTATGTTCTTCTGTTGTATTCTTATGAAGTAGTCCATCTAGGAAGAGCGTCATTAAGATCCAAAACATTAATACCAATACGAGATTCCAAAGTATCAAGCAAGTATTCCTTTTCGTTTTCTAACTTTCTGTAGAAAGGACTGAAATTCAACCAAGCCAACCATGAAGCAGCGACGGTGGCAATTTTGAAACAGTGCCATTCAATAGCGGGTCTAGTTAACAAAATTCTTTGAGCAAAACCGAGCTTGAAGATAGATTAGTTAAATAAAGGTAAGGCAATCAAAGGGAATACCCAAGTGGAAACATTATTAATTCTATTGGCACGAAGGAATGAAGGTAAATCTTCACTTTTTAAAATACGCTTTTCGTATGCACTGAAGATAGCATGAGATCTTTCTTCATCGGTCCAGTGGAACCAAGGCTTCAATCTTAAATTATTAGTGCTCATTTATATTTCTTTTTGCTTTTTCTTTAATACCTTCTTTTGTTAAAAGATTAATCTTTTTCGTTTGTAATAATTTTTTATTTTTTAATTCCCTTAGTATATCTTAAGAAATTCATATTGAATAAAAGAAGACATAAGTATTCATATTTCATTTTATTAGTATGTGCTTATTTAATAATTTTTCCTCTATTGATCTTTCTCTTTCTTCTTTAATAAACATGCATTCATGATCAATTGATCTCCTTTTATATTTATTTTAAAGATAAATAAATGGATAAGATATTTATTTGCAAAACAACTATAATAGTTTAAAAAAATATCTTTATGTTTCTGTTATTATCTTCAATGTCAAACATTCTATTGGCATTAAAAATTATTCTTTTTAAATCTAATATCAATAAAATTATTATCTTTAATTAAAATCTTTAGTCAAGATCTTTTATTATTTTTTTATTTTAAAAAAAATAGGTTGGTTATTGATTGCATAAATTTAATTAACGAATACATGCCAAAATCAATTTAAAGTTTTTGCTAAACAATATCTGCTAGCCAATATAATAATTAATTAATACATCTGACTGAGTGTTTTCATCATATTGAATTCTAAAAAGTATTTTAAAATTACTGAAAAATATGTGTAAATGTTGAATGAACTTATTAAATATTTAGAAAAAAAATTGAAAATCTCAATCTTCTTTATGAAAGTTGATTAAGATTGTAAAAAGAAAATATATTTTCTATATAAAAGAAATATTTTTGATGTTTAATTCATAGTAACTTAAAATATTATTTTTTGATTAAATAGTAGAATCGATCTATTTAAGATATATTTAAATATCATTTCAAAAATACTTTTTTATAATATAAATTTGAGTATAAACTTAATTCCAAAAAAAAATTAAATAATTTAGTTTACAACAATAGGCTCATTAAATATGGAAGAAGAAGAAGAAAAATTTACTTTAAACGAGCTGATGGGAAAAAATAAAGCAGGCGGTTTAAGCCTTAAAAATAGTCAAAAGAAAAAATAAAATTAAAAAAAATAGTAAATCTAAATATGTAATTTGTAAAATAGTTTAAATGCTGAGTAGAATTAATAAATCTAAGATTCTAATAATGAATCACTAGATAGATACTTAAAAAGAGCATTTATTAAATGCAAAACTAAAAAGGAGAGGAAAGAAATGAAAAAATTGATAGAATAAGAAATAAAAAATGTTAGTTAGGTATCAAGTTTATCAGATTTTGAATGGGATAATAAGGAATTGCCACTTTTAAGCAGAGAAGATATTGAAAAAAGGCTATTTAATGATCCAAACGCAGTAAATTAGTTGATTAATCCATCAGAATAATAAATAAAAATAGTAGATGCTATAGTTAAGAAAATAAAAGAGGAGTTATTAGGTAATAGCATAATTAATTAATAATAGACAGTAAATGAATAAAATATTACAAATTTATAGGAATCTATCAATTTAAATCAATAGTAAAACATTCTTAAAAGCAACACTTGCACTTAAAATGAATAAAAAATTTCAAACAAATTAACAACAAATAATTTATAAAATGATATGGAAATCGAAGCTTATGAAAGCAATAAATATTTTGATGAAGATGATTTTGATGTTGAGAGAATGAAAGTGCCTATTATTGGAACAAGTACAAAGCTTGAAAAAGAATATCTTAGATTAACCAGCTATCCAAAAGCGTGTGATGTTCGTAGTCCAGAAACATTAGTCAAGAGTTTTGAGTTTATCACTAATAAATATGCTAATAAATCTGAAGATTATCATTATTTTTAAAGCCAATTTCGTTCAATTCGTTAAGATTTGCTTATTCAAAATATTAAAAATGACTTCACATTTTAGGTACTAGAAGTAAATGCAAGAATATGCTTAGAAAATTATGATATTCAAGAATATAGTCGATGCTTAGGCTAATTAATTTGGATGTATAAGGAGGTGGATGATTTAGCAAAAACTAATTACAAAGAATTTATTTATTATAGGTTAATATAATTTATATTTGAAGACAAGAAAGATAATCTTCTTGCCTGTCTTCAAGAAATAAATTAAGACGAATTGCTATTATCTAATGAATTTGAAACAGCTATGAAATTTTAGCATGCTATATCTATGGGAAATGTTAAAGGATTCTTTAATCTTTTTAACAGTACTAAAGATTATGGCAAATATATAATGAGTTTATATATTAAAAAATGGAAAATATGGGGCATTAGAATAGTATGCAAAACCTATGGCCCATAAGCCATTAGTTTGTCGCTTTTCTAAAGTGTTTTTGGGTTTGAATCAATCGAAAAAACAAAAGAAGAGCTTAAGAATCTCAACTGCGTTTTAGATTAAAATGAAGAAAAAATCCTTGTTAAAGACACAATAATTTAAATAGATTAATAAAAAATTTGACTTTTCAATTTAATTTAAACTATTAACTAAAAATATTAAATTACTATTTTACATTTAAGTGTTTTTTCTCATAATTATTTAAATAATCAAAGAAAGATACGTTAACGAACGTAGATAAATATTTTTTTTATTTTTCGGTATATATATTTTTATATGATGATTCCTACATATATTTAAATCTACAATATTTAAAGCTATATATAAATAATTAGCTATATTTAGCTTAAAAAATTTAATATGTTTAAAGAAGAGGTAAATATTTTATAATTTAAATGACAAGAGCGCAAGTGATATTTTCATTTAGTTATAATTGAAATCTCTTTTTTATTATTAAATAACTTTCAAGTGAACTTAATATTTATTTGATAAGTCAAATAAATAAAAATTCTTATTTGTGTATCTTTAATAAGCGATAAATATTATTGTAGATAAGACAAAATAAATGCAAGAAAACTCATAGATTTAAAATGATGTCGTTGACATTTAGTAGCTCAATAGTAAAATTAACAAATATGAGCGTGATATAATAAAGCTTAAGGAGAAAAATTAAGAATTAAAGACAAGTGTTAGCGATGTTAGTGAAAAGTATAAATCAGAAAAAAATAAAAATGACGAGTACGAGTTAGAAAAGAAACATTTTGCATTTTTATTATAGTAAAAAGATGAAGAACTCAATAGATTATAAGAACATAGCAAAACATAATAACTTGAATTACAATATTTTGAGAACATATTGTATTAGCATGCTGAGACTTAGTAGCAAGAGAAGCAAATAGTAGAAAAACAAATATAGCATTATAAATAAATATATAAGAAGTATGTTGACTTAGAAATATAGATTGAAAATGTTAATAAAGAAAATTTGCTGCTAAAAAGTGATTTAAAATTGGCTGAGTCTAAATTCCTAAACTAGAAATAATAATGTTAAGATATATAGCAAATATATAATAACCGTTTGATAGAGTTTTAACAACAATTTGAAAGTATGAACTCAACTATATCTATTCTTTAGAGACAAGTGGATGAAAATAAGTATTTTAAGGATTTTATGCAATCTTAAATATAACTCAATTAAGATATTGAAGCTAATATAGAGGAGTCTTCAATAGCATACAAAAATATTAATAGTCATGATGATTTTAATGAAAATGTAAATAGCAGACTTTCCTCTTAAAAAATGATTCCTGAGTATGACCAAAATTAAATAAATAATTTACTTGAAGAAAATATGCTCCTCTCTTAACAGCTTTCTGACTATGAAACAAAAATCACTCCTAAAATATTGTAAAAAGAATAGGAATTAAAAGTTTTGTAAGAGTAGCTTAAAGATTTGTAGAAATATAATTAGCAATTGAATAAGGAAAATGATTTAAACAAAAAAGAATTACAAGAAATAAAACAAAAGTAAATGGCATAAATGGAAAAGGAAGAACTTTAAAATATGCCTGCCTCTCAGTTTACTGAAAAAGATATTTAATAACTGCAAAAGGCTTACATAGAAGAAAAAGAGAAAAGAATAAGCTATTAATAAACTCTCAAGGAAATTTAAGAGGAAATGAAGCGTAAAAACCCAATAATTAGAAAATAAAATGAAAAATGGCTTAAATTGAATCAGGAATTCTTAAGATTTGAGTAGGAATATGGAGAAATGTAAAAATTGTTAGCCTAAAAAAATAAAAATGTAGATAGCTTATAAGATGAACTAGAAAGATCGTTAAACGAAAATGTGTAATTGTAATCGTAGATAAGCTTTTTAAAAGAAGAAATTTAGCGTCTAGCAGTATAAATAAACCACCTTCTAAAAATAAATTCTAAGTTCAAATAAAATATCAGTGCTAAATTTGGTAAGAATTAATTGGAAGAAATAATGTAGCAAATAAAGAAAGAAAAGAACCAACAATTCGGCATTAAAGATATAGATGAAATATATTAAACTAACTACTAATCAATATACAGTGATATCTAAGAAGTAATAGAGATGAATATGGCGCTCTCTAAAAAGCTTAGAGAAAGAAGTTGAAACAAAAGACTTAATAAAAATTTAAAGCATTTTCTTCATATTTTAGTTTATTTGCTACACTAACTAACTAACTAACAAAATAACTAGAAAAAATATTTAAATCAAATAGTAAACACTATATAAAATAATTTATACATAATTAGACTGTCAGTCAATCATGACATTTTTAAAAAATTAAGTTAACCATTTCAAATATGTAAATATAGGCTAAAACTAATGTATTTATATTCCTTTATTGAATAGCATTCAACTCTTATTACTCACTCTTAATTTAATATTTTTATATTTATTTGAAAATTATGTAAATAGAAAATATTTTAATTTATTTTGTAAAATATGTTCAATTTTTTCTGAAAAGTTTTTAAAATTTTTTCAACTCTTGAATAAAAAAAGATTAATGAAAATTATACATTTCTATTTTTTATTACCTTGCTTAAAATACACTAAAAGACTCATATTAAAATATCAAATATTTTAAATTAAAAACAAAAATTAGCTAACTATCATTGCAAATTATTTATTTAGAAAATAAATATTTTTAAAACTTTCATTTGATAAAGCAGACTAGAATGAATTAATAAAATAACACATAGATTTCCAACTTAGAATTATTTAAAGGAACTATTAGTGCAAGCAAAGAATTCTATTTAGAGAATATAAGTAGAAATAGTGAAAATTACCCAAGCGCTCACATTACTTTAAATGATTTAGAAAAGAATGAAAGAAAGAAAAAATACAAAGAAGCCGTCAAGAATATAAAAAAAGAACTGGATACCTTACTCAAAGAGAACACAGAATTATATAGATAACATAATTCAAAAGAATTCTACATTAAAAAAAGTGAATAGCTATAAGAATATATTTATTGCTAGGAAGATATGATCAAATAAATTAATAAATTAGATAAATAAGAAGAAAATATTATTCAAAAATGTGAAGATATAAATGAAAACTTACAACTAATTGACAGCATAAATAACATAACCAAAGAACAATAAAATTTAAAAGGAGTATTGAATTAAATTTAAAGAGAAAGTGAGAAATCTCTTTATCTTTTGAATAAAGAAAAAAATTGAGGCAACTTAATTTATACTAATTAATATTAATAGATATATAAATTAATTTATCGTGTTTGTTTAAGAATATTTTATTTTTAAGTTAATTTATAAATATTTTATTAAATCTATTATTACATTTATTTATTTATTTTTTAAGATCACAATTAAAACATTAGCAAACTTTTTCTCAAATAATTATAATATAATTTCGATAATGATACTATAAATAATAAAATAACTATAGCTATATTTACTAGATAATAGTTAGCTAAAATTAAATTATTAGCAGTGATCTATCTCTCAAAAAAATAATTACTTTTTGTCTCTAAGAAATATTCCTTAAAAATATTTAATAAAATAATTACTAAATTAAAATATAAACATTATAATTACTTTATTAATTTAATACTAATAAGCAAAAATTGTTAAATTTATAATTTATTATAATAGTAAATATGTTTATAATTATTTAAAAGGTAAAGTTAAACAATAAACTACCTCAGTATTTAACATCAACTTTTTTGCATAAAATTTTTATTTATATTTTTAATTTAGTAAATGTTGATAAATAAATATTCATAATAGTCATAATAAAAATAAATAATAAATTATTATCGTTTATTATTGCTTTAAAACTATTATTCCATTAAAAAAGAAATGAATGAATTTTTAAAAGCTTTTAATTTAATAATCTAAAGCAAATCACCAAAATTAAATTTATATTTTAAAATAAAAAGTAAAATTCTTTTTTTTTGATTTGAAATTAGATCAATTTAATTTTAAGTTTAAAATATAAAATAAATAAATAATTTTATTTTTAAATATAATTTTCCTTTTTTAATACACAACTTTAAAAGATTTTTATGTTAAATAATTTCCTTTTTTAATTTTTGTTAAAAATAATTACTTAAATAAAAATAAGAAAAAATAAATATTTTCCTTAAATTAAAAAAATTATTGTCAATGTTTGTTAATATTTAATTAAAATGTTTTTATATACTTTAGAATGTCATTTATTTTTTATTTGATTTTAAATTTTAAATAGAACATGCTTCAAAGAAAATACAATTATATATAAACTAAGAATTTAATTTTTTTAAGGTTTATTTTAAAGTTTAATAATGTAATTATTATTTATTCATAAAATGTGTTTGAAGAAAATCTTTATAATTAGATGTGATTTCATTTGCAACAATTAATTAATTAAGGGGAAATTTGCAATTATAAATAAAAATTTCTACATAAGTCAGTCATCTATCAATAACTTAAAAGTAGAAGAATTAAAAAGTTAGTAAACATTTGTTTAAATAAACGATAAATAAATAAATAATTAGTTAAAAATAGGCATAAATTTTCTAAGAATAAGAAGCTTCTTAAGGTAAATTTTAGATAGATAAGATAAAGCGAAATACCTTAGCTCTTGGCGATGAACAAATACACTTTATTGTTTAATAACCCTATTTAAGAGAACCAGTACAGGAGTTACATCACTATTGAAAGAGGCAAGTCGTTAAAAATGATAGTTACTTTACAAGCTTTTAATGAGTTGATAATATTTTCAACAGTATTTTATTATTTTTTAGCTGGTAAAAATAACTTTGGAGGAGCATTAGATTATGTGATTTATTAGTTTGTCGTCTTTATTTTAAATGCTCTTATTTCTATTATGATGCAGTATAAGTTCATTAGTTTTGGAATGAGTCTTTATGCCTTTATTTTCGTTCATACTATCAGAGTTACTGTAACGCTCTACATTCCTGGATTTTTTAATCACACACTTTAATTTTTCGGACAGTTTCAGTATGGATACAGCGTTTTTTTAATAATTATTGTTTTGACATTTTCTTTCCATTTTTTATTTAAGGCAGCTATCATTTTATCTTTGAATTCTGTTGTTTTTTTTCTTTACGAATATGAATATAATAACTTCTATACGATGACTTTTATATCTTCCGTTCTCTGCTACAAAGTATTTACTGACGAAAGAATTTTTAGAGAAGACTTTTTAATCAAATAAAAAATGGAAAAGTGGATGCTCATTATTGATAAAGTGATTCCTTCTTCTGTTTTTATTACAAAATTCAATCCAAGAGAAGAAACTATAGAACTCTCTTAGTCAAACTAAAAAGCAAAGAACTAATTCGAAGTTAAGAATAGCGAATAATTGTAAACCTTTATGGCTAAAACTTTTCTTGATAAAAATAGTGAAGCAACTTTAATTCTCAACAATTCGACTTAGCCCAACAATTTAAAAAAGAAGATAAGGACTCTCATTGAAAGAGAAAAGATAAATAACTAAAAAAAGCTTTATTAAAAAAGAATTTAAGACAATGTATAAAAAATGAAATCGATTGGCGATATCAATTCTCATAATAACAATAATAAGATTCTCTAACAGGCAAATACAATTACAAATATGCTTAACTTTAAGAATAGAAGTAGAATAGATAGCAAAAATTCTGTTTTCACTGATTAGCAAACACCTTACTCCCTTGAAAACTCAAGGAAAATTTCAAATAACGGAAATCAAAATATGAATAATATTCCATTACCATTTCGTAATCTGGTAATGAAGAACAAAAGAAATAAAGAAAGCTATGGAAATATAGATGAAGTAAATAAAAATAATAGTTTACCTCTTCTAGCTTAAAATCAAATAAACGAAAATCTAGAGTAAGAAAATCTAAATAACAGTTATACAAGTTAGCCTGTGCAAAGGAAAGGCAGGAGAATGAGAACAATTAGAAATAGGCAGTATATCATTAAAAACTAAGAAAACCCTTCTTAAAATAGCAATTAAATTTCTGAAAATATCAATAACAACAATTTTATTTTAGGTAAATATTCCAAATTAATTTATTATTTTAATATTTTTATTCTATTGGCATTCATTTTTTTAGTTATTTTTGAGAGAAAATGTTTTAAAATATGAAAAAATGTAGTAAAAATAAATTAAATTAAAGAAGTTAAGTTTATTTTTGTTACCAATTAATAAATAATTAGAAATTTTTATACTTAAATAATTTTTTTTGTCTTTTTTTCTTTATTAAAATAGTTTTTTTAACTTAAAATGTAAAATAAATATAGGATATTATCGAAAAGATGAATTATCGGAACAGTAGACTTTTTCTATAAAACTTTATAGCTATTATCTCGAGGAAATATACGTAATAGTTGTTATTGATGAGGAATCTTATGAATAGAAAATGATTAGAGAAAAGAATAAATTAAGAGAATTTTAGCTAAATTCTATAAGATTTGTCAATGAGCTAAGTTAACAAGCAAAGAATATGTTTGCTGAGCTAAGAAACTTGTAAATCTCTTATATCAATTTAGATAATTCCTAGAAAGAAAGTGTTGTTGAATTGAAAGAATAAAATTTGAAGGCAATCAACTATTGCTTTGCAATTATAAATAACATTGACAACCACATCATTAGTAACAGCTATATCCCTACAAATATAGTTGAAGAAGATATCAAAGAAATTGATTTAAACTAGCTGATAAGTAATTTATTGCAAGTATTGTAAATACATAAAGATGAAAAGAACCTAAAATGTGTAATATACAATATCTATAAAGAGAGGCTATAGTCGTCATCTAAATACTTGACTTAGCTCCTTTACAATATTTTAAATCTTAGTTTTCAAATTTGCGCTGACCAAGGACTTGTGCAAATAGAAATCAAAGAGGTCAACAAAACATTTTATACATCTTACATTGAATTTTGTATTAAACATACACTTAAAGATGATCTATTTAGCATATTCAATTTCAATGAAGATTAAAAACTCATCTTTGAAACATCTAAAAAGCTTCTTGAATTTATTAGTCCCTATAGCAAATTTTTCATTAAGCAAAGAAAAAATTTCTATGCCTAAATAAAATTCTATTTATATAAGGATTTAAATGAAATCAACGTATTTAATAGAACTAGATAGACTATGCTGTAATATACTCTCAAAGGAAACGAAGGAAATCACTTGATTGAATAAGAAGAATGTTTAAGTGAAGACTTGTCAATCGACTTTGATGATGTTTGTGCAAACAAGATGGGCTCACATAAAGAGACAAACAAGAATACAAGAAACGCTTTAAGGACCTATACTACCTAGAGATAAAACACAGATTAACAAACAAAATTAACTTAAGAATAAACAGATGAGGATATACGTCAAAGAAAAGATACTTATTTAAGTCAGTAGAGTAGATGTGCTCCACAAATTACTTCTAGTGTATTTGTTGAAGGAATCTCTGGGTATAAAATACCTTTTGGAAAATTATTTGCTGAATAACAAAAAGAGAATCAGTACTAAGTGAAATAGTAAATGCAATATCATCATAATGATGATTAAGAAGGAATTTCAGATGACTATGAATGTGATGAAGATCAAGAAGAGACATCAAAAGTTGAAGATTTTAACACAAACCGTTAAATTGAAACTAAAGTATACAGATAAAGAAATAGTAATAATAAAAAACTAGGTAAAATGCAAAGAGATTAAGATTCTAGTAAAGAATAAAGTGAAGAAAATAAGATAGAAAATGATGAATAATCTCAAAATGTATCAAAAAAGAGATTCTCTTCTCGCTTGGATACCAGGAATACTTCTCAGAGATCTCAATATAATATAAGATCAAAAAAGAATTCATGTTTCAATGAAAATAATAATGAAGCAAACTAGCTTTATTTCCATGAAAGATAAATTTCGTCTGCAATAAGAGAAGATGATGAAGAAATTACATTAACAAAATCAAATAATTCTAACTTTAATCAACTAAAAATTATATAAAACGATGACATGCAAAATAACAGTGAATTTGAAAACAAGCATAAAATGACACCTGAATAATTTAATTCTCCATCAACTTCTATTCATACAGACTTCATTCATGAAAACAAAGATGAGATAAAAGAAATTATTTAAATTTAAAATTCAAAACTAAAGTATAAAGAAAAATCCATTTTTTAAAGTAGATATAACAAAGATAATGAAGCCAAAAATTTATTATCAGAATAGTGACATAAATTACTATATATGATATTATTTTAAATAAGTTATAAATATAAACAAATAAACAAATAAACAAACAATAAACAAACAAACATTATTATTTCTTATTTATTGTCTCTTTATTTATATAATTTTATACATTACTAAAATATTTTATTGCCATAATTTAATTTTAAATATTGAGATATTATTAATATATTATATAAAATTATGACACACAATTTAACAGTGAACTACAAACAACCAAAAAATGATCCCTGAATAATTTAATTCTTCACAAAATATTATTTTTTGAGATTCCTTTGATAACAAAGATGAAATAAAAAAGAATTTATTCAATTTAAGATACAAAATAAAAGTATAAAGAAAATTAAACTAAAAATTTATTATCATACTATACATCAAACACTTTATACAATACTATTTTAAGTAAATTAAAAACATAACAAAAAATAAAAATTATTATTATTATTATTATTTAATCTGTCTTTGTATTAAATTAATTTTATACATAGCTAAAATATTTTTTTTCATCATAATTTTATTATAAAAATTGATCAAAGAAGAAACAAAAAGCTTGGAAAAAAAATACTTATTTTTACAATATGAGAAAACTGGTAAAAAATAATATTTCCTCAAAATATCTCACAAAATTTAAATTTACTAAAATTGATTAAGTGAGTTAAATGAATCTAAATATGTAAGAGTAATCAACTTAATATTTTGAATCGGAATCTGTAAAATAAAATAATCACCTGAATTTAAAGAAATTCTTTAATTGATGTTTACTAATTTCCTAAATAAATTAAAATAAATAGTTAATATCTTCTCAAAATAATAAGTTAGGAAAGAGGAATACTGAAATTTATCTATATGAAAAGACTAACATCTCTTTTAGTAATTCATTTTTTTATTTTAGTTTCAAAAGTGTTGTGCTAACAGCCTTCCAGCTAATGTGATCTACAAATTAATTAACTAATTCAAGGTATTCAAGGTCCTTTATGCTCTAGTTAAGGATATATTTCAAATTTTAAATTAGATATACTCAGTAAATAAAATTTTGTTAATTATGGATTTTCCTTTTGGATTAATCCACAATTAAATCCTACACCTTCAAGTAAAAATCAAATAATTGGGGTTGTGCATTCTGTCACAGATTTAAATTCTTTTAAAGACCCATATTTAGCTTTAAAGATAGACTAAAACACAATAATATCTGTTGTGTTTTTTTCAAATGGTAAAAAAATGATACTCATCAATTCAAGTTAATTAAGAAATAACTAATGGAATTATATATTAGTCACAGTTTCATAAATTGGCACTAACAACCTAAGAGTAGCAATTATTTATAATTCAATAAGTAATATTTAACAGTAGTAAGTGTCCTAAATCGATTTCTCAACTTCTGGATAACAATTAAGATTAACTCTACTTTCTCGCTTTGATAGTGATTGTTTATAAAGTAGTATTGGTGGATTCTTTTTTATTTAGAATATATAAACAAATGAATTAAATTGGGAATCCTCAATTTTTAATTACTTTTTGTAAGGTGGACTATTACCTTCTTAAATTGTTGCATGGTATTCCACTAAGTTCTAGGATAATACTTCTGTAATACCTGATCTTTCAGGAAATCTTAGATATCTAATTTCATAAGTAAATTGATTTTTTAAATTTTTATTTTAATAAAAGCTCAAATCAAATTAATTTTTTTATAATATCTATTAGCCTTCTCCATCAGCATAGTATTTACTTAATTACTCGATTGGATAATCATAGAGTAGTCTTATTACCTTTTAAGACTAATGGTGGTAATATAGTAAACAAGATTAAGATATATAAAATAATTTTATGATAAGCTTTTAGATTTAGCCAAATTCTTCAAAAGATACTTAATACTTAGTAATCTCTGCAATTAATGTTAATAACATTGTATTTGATTTATATTATATATTTAACTCAAAATTTCAATAATATTAACTTATACATAACAGTGGCTAATAAAATATTATTTATTCTTCTTCGATTATTAGTGATAGTAACTGGACTAGAATTTTAATAAAAATCTATTTCGATCCTACCCTGAATTAGCATGTAATATACGTTGAAGAAAATGACATATCTTAACCAGTGTAAAATAATGTAAATCCATTTTTCTAATTTACAGTTTTTAAATTAAATTTAAAATTTATTTAGAATTTCTCTTTTTAGAGTCTTTAGAATTAGAAAAACTCAACTGTCTATTATGTAGGATTCGGATATAATCCTTATTTTAAAAATTTTGTAATAACTTAAGGCGCTTTTACTTCTAGTTCAAATAATTCAGTTTTCAAACCTTAGAATTGCTAATATCTCAGCTAATGTTCAAGTATATTGAATTAATTCTCTAAATATTTTACAAAACGAATTTATTTTTATTAGGTATTTAAGGTATTTTAGGATCTTAAAATGAGTATTGTAAATCTTGTATTTATGGTAGTTATTTCGATGGAAGTAGCATGAAATGTATGAATACTTGTCCATCTAACAAATAACAATTAAATGGAGAATGCATTTCATCTATGTTTAACTGGTATTGTAAGGTAAAAAAAAAATTTATATAATACCTAAAAAGATAAAACTTTTGTTATTTTTAAGAATAAAAATTTATAATAACCATTATTTTATTTTTAAACATCATTTTATTGTTAATTGAGAAATAGTTTATGGAGCTTAATTTTATCTAAAAACTATTTTTTAAAAATTAAATTCAAGTATTTTAAAGTCTAAGAATTTATAGATTGGAATATTGATATTAATTAAATATATAAAAAAAGGAGTATGATTTATTAAAAAATAAATGCTTACAGTGTAATGAAGGTAGAATTTTTAATTCTGATTAGAGCTATTGTTAGTGCTAGCAAGGATTTTTCGATGATAGGTTACAAAGTATTTGTTAATAGCAATTTCGACATAAAAGTATTTATAAAGGGCAATTTAATTTTTTAGCAAATAAAAATAATTTAAGTGTTTGCAACTCATAAATTTATACAACTAATACGAAATATACTTGTACATTAAATAATTAATTTTCTCAAAAAGGATAAATAATAACTTCAGTAGTCGGTATTGATCTTAAGACATAAGATAAATCTTAAAGTATAATTTACTAAGTCAGTGGTTATTTTTAGCAGCAAAATTTTGTCATTCAAATTGTTATTAATGATTAATAGCTCATATTAAATGAATTTGTCATCGAATATATGATAATTTAAGATCAATATCTTTATTAAACAAATAATTTATCATTAGATTTCACAGTCTAAAAATATAAATCTTTTAACACTACTTTAACATTAAATCAAAATTTTATTGATCAGTACTCCATAGCAATATTTTTGTCTGGAGCTACAATTCTCCCAGCTCCTAATGGATAAACTGATGCAGCAAGCTCATAAATCAGCTCAAAATTTAATCATAATACAGTTTTATAATCAACACAGTAGATATTTAACTTAGAATTTACTGTTAGCTAAAGAATTTAAACACTTTAATACTAGATTCTTTATTTCCCTAATAAGCCAAATTATAACTATGAAATAGATTTAACTTAGCCTATGGATGCCGTGTTACAAACCTAAAATCAAGATATATCATATTCACCACTTTTTTAATATTAATATGTATTTTAATAACCATTTAGCTTTAATGATCTCTTTATTTTTGGTATAAGCACGTTCAACTTTTCATATCCAAAAAGTTATTAAACAAATATTAATTAATTTACATACTCTTTTTATAATACAAATTTTTAATTACAGCCTTTAAGTATCAGTAATTAAAATGGATAAGATTTATAATTGTATACTTAATAATAATAGATCACTTCAGTCAATATTAGCTTGACTACTAAAAATTCTAACTTTATTATTAGTAACTTTACTCTGAGTCTAGCTTCTTCTTTTACTAAATGCTCTAAAAATTGTCTTTCATGTTATGAAAGTCCTGAAATGTGCTCTTCATGTAGTAACCCATTGATGGATATTAGTTTTCCTTATTGCACTAAATGCCTACCAAATTATGTAAGCATTGGAGCTTTATAATGTAGATTTGGTTAAAAATGTGGATCTGTAAACTAATAAGTCATTTACAATTGCAAACAGTGCAATCCTTATTCTAGAGAGGCGCTATGCTAGTAATGTGTAGATGGATATGAGCCAAATTAATATTACTCTTCTTGTGTCAAAATTTAGTAAGGCTCCAATTAAACAAGTTGTCATGTTACATGCAAAACTTGTTTCGATTCGGATTTCAATAGCTGTTAAACTTGTTCTTCTTCTCAAAATAATATTTTGATTTCAGGAACATGTTATTGCAACTTCTTTTCTTACAGGTTTAAATTAACTCCAGCTTGTTCAGTAATAAATTTTTTAATATTTAAATTTCTTACCATTTTCTACCAATTATAATTATTAAAACAGGAAAGTAATATTTTAGAAATAGTGTTTAAATTTGAATATATTCTGATATCGCTTTTAGTTCTTTTTTCTATCACTTAGACAATTTTACAAGAGACTTATCATTTGTTATGGAAATATATCGAAATAACACAAATTATAAGTAGCTTTTTTTATTTCAATACATATGGACTTACTCTTCTAGACTTTGTATATAGGCTAGCTTATTTATACAATCTATCACCTATCTTCCCTAACCCATTCAACATATCTATCCTGAACAATCAAAATTTTGAAACTCTTTTAAATGCTTTTGGTTAAAACACTCCAAGTAGATTCATAGCTAACTATAAATCTTCCTAGATCACTTAAAATATCATTCCTACATTTCTTTTTTATGCATACTTATTATTTTTAGTAATGATTAAGTAATTTACATTATTTAGAACCCGCAAAAGTGCTTCCTTTTTTGAGGGATTTAAGGACAGGTAATTATTATTAATTAATTAAAATAAATATTTTTTTAAATTTAAATTAAAAAAAATAAGGATTTTAAATGTATTTTTTTTTGGCTTTTTCTTTTAAAGCTAAGAGTTGATGATGCTAATATTGATGAATTTTTCTAGGCTCTAAGAAAGCTAATCTCTTTCATATCAAGATTTAGTTTTAGCCTTAATCCTAATCGTTATATTACTATCAGTGCTTTTCTTATTTTTCTTTAAAATAAAAAGTATATTAATAAGAAAACCCATAATTGAATTTGTTGGAACAATAAATTAAATTAAAAAATATACTTTGTATTGGCCAGCTTTAAGAATAGTTTGCAAATTTGTTGGGTCGACTTTACTAATATTTTTATAGGCTAATCCTAAAGCATAAGCTAGTATAATCATAATATATGGATTAGAGTACGCCTATTTTTATATCACAAAACCATACAAAAATTAATAAACTTAAATACATATTTAAAGATATGAAATAATTTTGTTAGTGAATGTGCTACTGATGTGCTTGATTTTATTAATTGATAACTCCTCTTTTTCTTAAGTAGGATAAGTAATTTTGGTAATATTAACTATAGCTTAGCTTATACACATATAAATTCTATAGTTTTTATTAATCTTATATTAATTTAGTTCCAACTCATCAAAAGTGTGGAAAAAATGCTAATTATATTTGATAAAACTGAATATTCTCGAGTTGAACAATTAATAATAAAATCCTAACACAAACTTATCAGATTTATCAATGGAACTTTAGAATAATTTGAGCATAATAAATAATACAATTTTAGATGAGGATTTCAAATAATAAAACATCCAAGTACAATGGCAAGTGAACCCAATCAATGCATTCAATAAAAAACATATGACCAATAAAAATTAACAGTGATAAATTTGAATTACCTTAAAAAATTTCATTTTAAAAAATAAAAACATAAGAAATAATTATTTTTTATCAAAAATAAATTTACAAACAAACCATATTACTAAAAAATAAAATAAGACTTATAAACCCTACATTTTAAAGGATATCAAGCATTCTATAATCATAATAGCTTTATTCAAGAAAAATATATTTTTTTAAAATTATTATTAAATTTTAATGAGTTTATATATAATGAATGTGTGTCTAGTTATTCAAATTTTTATAAATTCTAAAAATAAAATTAATTTTAAAACAATAAATAACACACAATCTTTTATATGACTAGTCTACTTATTAATGATAATATACTTCACTATTTACAATTTATGCAAACTTCATTACTTTCTTCATTTTATTTACAATACAAGAAAAGACAATCTGAGCATACATAAGCTATATCGGAATCCATAGGTGTATTATGACAAGAACAGTTTACACGAAACTGTACTTTTTCATTAATAGCAGGACGAAAAACTGGATTTTTGGTTAATTATTATTCTGGTTTGGCTAACATATCACCACTAGTAAGCATTAGTATTGAAATGTAATTAAATAAGTCAAAGGGATTGATAGAAACTCTTGCACTGGAGCTACTTTAACTTTTTTTATCTTCCTTTTTATCATCTTTTTTTTAGTCTTTTCTATCATCCTTTTTCTCTTCTTTTTTTTCATCATTTATTTTTAAATAGAATCCTTATGTCAAAGAGCATAACTGTTTTAGATAATCCTATGTGTTATCAGATAAGTTAGCTTCAGGAATCTCAAACACAAATATCTTTACTTTATGTTTAATAGCTGTTTCTATTGCACTCATTAAGTTAATGTAAGAACTTGAATGAATTTCGGAAACAGTAAACATTAAAATGGAAGAATAATATTTTTCATTTTCAATTTAATTAGCAAGTTTTTTTTCTAACTAAATTCCAACTTTATTTATTTTGCAAAGTGATTGCGTTAATGCAGGGATGAGTCTTGAATAATTGATGTTATCAGCCATATTTTGCTGCATAAATTCAATGGTCCTCTTTTGAATTCTTGCTTGAATCTCTGAGTAATCTAGATTATCAATTCTATTTTAATCACTATCCTCATCCTTAGAAATATTAGAATTTATAGGAAAAATCATTTTTGACTCCCTTGAGTTTGTTAAGTAAATGTAGGCACTATTATATATACTTTTAATCAGATGTGAATTTAAAGTTTAAGAAACTAGAACGAGCAAACCCTCTATACCAAGCTGTTTTTTTTGTAACCAAAAACATGTATTCAAATCCACAATTAAATAGAGATTATTTCCTTTATACTATCTCATTTTTACATATGGATTATCTTAATCAGACTTATTAACAGATCCCCTTGAGCTCATTTTTAAGTTTCTACTTACTAAATTAGAATTAAAAATATTTTGTTAGACAAAGTATATTAATTAATTATGTATTTTTTTATAGTTTAGTTTGATAGAAATAATAAAAATAAATATCTAATTAGATAGCTAATTGTTTCTAGTAAATTTAATATAAATCATTTCAAAGAAATTCATAAATTGCGGTAAAACTATTTTTAATGTTTATGCCATTTTTCAAAAATTAAAAAACTATTTTAAAATTTTAATGAAATTTATTTGAATTGTTTAACAGTTAAACTGTTTTTATTAACATTAGAAATAAAAATAAATTCTATTTTTGATCAAATATTCTCAAGCTAAAAAAAAAAAAAATTAAATCTAGCAAAATATTTTTCTTAAATTATACTGGTTTTTTAAATAAAGAGATTGAAAAGCTTGTAAACATTTTTAACTGAAAAATGAGTTTCAAAATATTTCTACATTCGTTACTAACTAACATTTCCATATTATATTGAATTTTTAAAAATAAAATAATTATTAAATTATTTTCAAATCAAATAAAAACACATAATTTGTGCATAAATTTTATACTAATAAATAAATTTTTTCTTCATTTATTCTGAACAAAGAAGTAATATCCGATAGCTGCTAAGAGAAGAGCTAATATTATATGAACGACTGAAAAACCGCCTTCTTTATTTGATGTTTCTGGTTCTTAGGGTCCATATACAACACCAATTTGAAGATCTTCTCTTTCAACGTAAGCACTCTTTGGGTGCTTGGCTTCTTCGAAAGCTCTGGTAGCATCTTTACCTGCTCTAGCGAGAATAGGAGAAGGACCACCAGGATGTTTTTCGATGTAGGCGGATAAATCGTAAACTTTACCATCAATAACAACCCAACTATCACCTTGCTTGTTGTGCTACTTTACTTGAGCCCAAGTATACTTGTTATTTTACTTGGCAGTTTTTTATAACCATTCCTTATACTCTTATGGTTATTCACCTTATTCGATAACACCAATTAATCTTTAGTCTCTAAGTGAAACGGCATAATCTGTGTGATTAACATCTCTAAATTATTGAGTGCTATCTCTACCAGAGCACTTCAAGAGAATATCATCACCACCAGGATGTTCAGCTAAATAAGTAGTAACGTCAAAGACTTTATCATCTACCAAAATCCAGCAGTCATGCTTGGTGGTGTGCTTCATTAATTCTAACCAAGTAATAACTTTATTTTTATTGTCAGTCATTTTTCCTTTTAATTTTGAACCTTTTTTAATAATGAATTTATTATTGTTTTAAATATTATAAATAATTTTGATCAATATTCGTATCTTTATTTCCAAATGAAAAAAATGATCAAAACAAAAAAAAAAATATGTTTTGTTTGATTTTTTAATTTATAATTGTAAAGGAATCTATGATAGCATCATCACAAATTGTTTATTTAAAGCATTTAGACATAAATTCTAAGAAAACATCAATATATCTGAATTTTGTTAAAAAGCTCACTTAATTTATAATAAACCTTATATAAGAAATATCTTCCAAAAAAGATTTTACCATAATTCAAAATTTTTTGCGTCATTTATTATTATTACAATCGTCATCTAATAAATTACAAATACATATCACAGCATAAAGACCTGTAGAAATGAAAGCTAACTTGCTAGATTAGTTTTTTAACTTTTCTTTATATCAGACATATCCATTTTAAATTGTGTGCAGTTTTTTATCATATTAGTCTCAAAACTGAACTTCTAATTTTTTCGTATATTGCTATTATAAAAATAAATAAAAAATTACAGTTTATCATTAATTCCTTTTTTATGCAAAATAAATGAAATTTAGAAATGCTGAATCAAATTTTGAAATTTAATTAATTAACTCTTACAAATAAGAAATAAACTGCTTATATTTGCATTTCAAAAATAATAATAAAATTTCTAAATGAATATTATTTTATATACTGTAGACATTCAGTGATTAAGTTAAACCTTAGTTAGATAGTTTTTTAGGGGAAAAAAAATTATAATAATACAAATATATTTTTAAAATTAATTGATAGGCCTTAATTAATCAGAGTTTATGTTACACTTAAGTATGATTAAGTAGAACATTTCTTGATTACTATATTGCAATATAATCGTCATCTTTATAATATATAACTTAAGCTTGAATAACAAATATGATTAATTAACCCTTACAAGTTTTATGTTGAAAAACCTTACTTTATTTGTAATATGAAAATTAGAAAACTTAAATTTAAATAAAAAATATTAAAATAATTTTAAAATATTTAATTGATTTAAAAAAAATAATTTAGCATTTTTAAAAAATAAAATTTAATAAGATTAGATAAAAAGAATAATCAATCAAGCTTTTATTCAACCACAATTATTCTGATATATGTTATTTTTATACAATTTATGCAAAATTTATTATTTTTAGAATTTAAAATACTTGGTTGTTGTTATAAATTTTGAATCTTTAGTTTTCATTAATTTTTAGAGTTGAATTTGAACTTTATTAGATTAAAATGTTTTGAGAAGTTTTGGTTAGTGTTTTGTTGTTTATAAAAGATAAAATTTATAAAATAAATATACAAATAAATAATAATAAAAATTTAATATAAATTAAAATAAAATAATTATTAAACTAGATCAACATTTTGTTTGAATAATTTAAACTTTTAACAACCAAGTATCTTTTGTTTTTTTATTAAAAGTTCCTATTCAATACTTCAAGTAGGGAGGAGGGTTCTGCTTTTAATACTCAAGTTCTCTTTTAAGCTCCTCTTCCCACATTTACTATCTTTTTATTTTGTCTTGGATAAATTCTTGCTATTCTTGAATTCTTATATTTCTTTCTCTTTGTGCAATATCAGTATTTATTACCTAATTTTAATGCTCGAAGTATTTGTTTGGTATGAAATTTTGTTGCTATTTTTACTATTTATTTGCTAGCTATTTGTTTAGCATCATTCTTTGCACGTTAGCAGCTTTTGTAGTGATCACCTTGTTTTCATGTTTTAGATACTCATTTTCTTCTTAGGGTTCAGATTGGTTTGTTTCAATAACTTCTTCGGTTACACTTTCTTACTACAAAGGTTATTCTTTACTAATAGTTATCTAGCTATTTTATCTACCCACATTTCTTGATATAGGAACTTCTTTACTTTCTTAAGGGAGTTCTATATCTAAGTCTTCATAAGAAGATTTATGGTTTTATTTCTAAGAATGGTTTAAGTGGTAGTTACTTAGAGCTTATTCATTTTAACTAGCAATCTAATTATCTTTACCTTAAGAAGAAGCCTCATTCAAGTTTTTATATTTAGATTTCAAAAGAGTAAGTGATTTTTGTGATCTTCTGATCATTTCTGTTGTATCCATGTCATCTTCATCTTTGATATCAACTAAAGAGGATCTAAAAGGTTGCTATGGTTATTAACCTTTTTACTAGCTGTATGTATTTTATCTTGAGTTATTTCTTTACTGATTGAATTCGTTTTAATTATTTGCATGAATATCAGGCTATATTTTTAATTAACTATATGTATTCTATCTTGAGTTGCTTCTTAAAGGATTGAAGTCATTTTAATTATTTGAGTGAACATCGTGATCTTTATTTGAAAATTTGATTACATTACTTTCAACTTATGGTTTGAAAATGTATTAATCATATCCAGGGTTAACATTAGCTTGAACATATTCTTATTATCTCTTAACTTATTTTGCAATTTATAGAATTTCATCCTCAGCATTAATATTTTTATTAGTTTGTTAGTCAATTTTTCTTATTTAATTCTATTATTTATCATTCTATGTACTACTTTTATGTTCATTAGCAAATCTGTTGAGACTCTTTGTCCTTTCTTTTAGTTGATCAATCTGAGAATCTTAATATTCTTGATATTTTTACTAGTTCTTATACTAGTACTCTAAATAAGGATTTGGTTTATTTACTATCAAGGGCTAGGAAGAAGCATTTTGATTTGAAATAATTTGAGGTACTTTTATGCTTTAACTGCTATTACCTTTAATTAATGGCTGGCTTCCTTTATTTATCCTTGAGTATTCTTATTAAATATTTTACCCTTGCTGAATGCTTTAAATTTACTCTAGCAATTCCTCCTATGAAACTAAGCTATTTTAGCTTAAGGGTCTTCTAATTTTTTTTCTTAAAATGAAAGGTGTCTTCAATAGTTGAGAAGTTGTAAGTCTTTTTTTAGGATCAGTTTATAAACACCCTTCTAAAAACTCCTTACATTCAAATGATATCCCCTTTGGAAAATCTGGTAATACTATTTTAATTAATTAGTTATTTTAAATAATTAAAAAAAATTTGTTTCAAAAACATACCTCCAGATGCAATTTTAGTAAAAACTTCTTTGGCAGATAATCCAGGATAAGGAGGCTTTCCTGTAATCATTTCAATCACTATACATCCTATACTCCATATATCTGCAGAAGTTGTATGTCCAGTTCTTTCAATTACCTCTGGAGCCATCCAATTTGGTGTGCCTTTAAGAGACTTATTCATTTTAGCAATATCTTCTTCTTTGACTTAAGATTTTCTCAAATCAAATTCAATCTATTTAGCGGTTCCAAAGTCAGTTAGTTTGGCCCTACCTTCAGCATCCAGCAATAAATTTGCTCCTTTTAAATCTCTAAAAATAGCTAAATAATCATTAAAATGAGAAATCAAACTAACCTGTGAATGATATTGTTTTTATGCAAATAATCTAAACCTTCTAAAACTTGCTTAGTGTAAATAGCTGCTTTTGTTTCATCAAAACATCTTTATTTATTTAAGGCCATTCTTAAAGAACCGTTTGGAACGTACTCCAAAATGATATCAACACCTTTAAAAAAAATTTTTACTTTAATAATAGGCTAAGATAGTAAAAATAAATACCTGATTTATCATCGCTTATTTCAAAATCATAATATTTTACTATGTTTTGATGATTTAATTTTTTGAGTAAAACAATTTCCTTTTTCAAAGAGTTTATTTCCTTTTTTACTTCTTCAAATGTACCAGTTATTTCAATATATTTTATTGCAACAACTTGATTTGTTATTGTATCTATCCCTTTATAAACTTTACCATAAGCTCCTTTATCAATAAGCTCACATTTTTTATATCTTTTCAATTAAATATTCTAATTGTTTTGATTCTCATCTTCTTTTATATTATTGGCACTGCCATCTAAATTTTAATTAGCTAAAATATTTCCTTTGCTTGGAGAGAACTTGGATTCTATTTTAATAGTATAAATTATAAATATTAATTCCTTCAGTTAACTAACAACTATAGATAGATGCTTTGCTAAATTTCAATCAAAAACTCTGTATCAAAATATTTTTACTGAATTAAATTATTTCTTAAATTTTTTTGTACCTGTCCTAATGTCTTCTTATGCGTCTAAGTCTTATATAACAACATCTTCACTTTATTTATTTTTTTTATTTTTCTGCACTTAATTCTCTTTTTATTCTAAACCTTTTTTGTTACCCACAGGCTCTATTCAAATTTTACGAAATTGTTAAAATTATTAAATTGCATTTAAAAAAATAAATCTGCTACGAGGTTCAGCAACTTCGCCTTTGTGATTTGATGCGCCACAACCCATGAGTTTATCAAAATGAGTTTTTTTAATGTCTGATTTTAATCAACCTTCCTTTTAAGTATTAGCTTTTAGTATGCCCTGTATTAAGAATTATTATTATTATTTTTTTTTGCTATTTAAAAATCAATATTTGTTACAAATAATTAAATTATGTGGATTATAAACTCAGAAAATTAATAACTCTTAATTATAATAAATAAGATATTCTTATTAAAAGTAGAAATTTGGATAAATTGTATGCATGAAATTAGTTGACTGTATATATTTTCTAATTTATTAAATTAATACTAATTTAAGCAATATAAATAAGGTAGATCAAAATAAGACGCTTTATTTTATTTTTATAATAATTATTACTCATTTTGTGGAATATTTTACAAAGGCATAAAATAGTTAAAAATCTGGTTAATTTAGGGAATAAATCAATCATTTTATATTAAGATAGCGAACATTGAAACATAAAATTAATGGTTAGGTTTAAAAATAGATATCTTCTATGTGAAATCGTTTTCGATTAAGAAGAATGCTCAAATTCTGAGCAGGAATTATAATAGATTTTATAGCCAGTTTCAATTAAAAATGTAAAAATAATAAAACAATAAGATTTATTTCCTTAATATATACCCTTATTATATTAAATTAAACAAATGCTAATTTGTTTTTACTACTTATATAGGCTATTGCTGAAGCTATACTGTTAAATTATGGAGATTTTGGAGCAGCATAGACATAACTAAATTTATAAAGTATATTATAGTTAGTTAATTCAAATTTAGATTAATGAAAATTTGATTTGTTATTAAAATCTATAAATTTTTAAAAAGTAAAGTATGCAGACAGCACAACTAGGTTATTTATTGTTAGAATGGCTCGTGATAATTTAGATATTGTTTGGAATTCAATAAATTTCATTTAACTATTAGGCCTATACAGAGTTAAAATTAGAGTTCTACATAGTAGTGGCACAATAAAAAAATAAGAAATTATGGCGAAAAGGTATCTAAGTAGATGGATTCACAAAATGCTTAATAATAAAAATATTTTAGAAAGTGTAAAAACTAGTTTGTTGTAAAAATATTAATAAGCAAAGGCTGAATTGGAGTAATTAGATTAATGAAATAAGAAATAAACTGTTCATTTACAAATTCATTGAAAAAACTTAAGTAAATTATAAAATGAATAGTAGTGATTAATATAAAATGAAAATGGGAAGTAGTTAATTCTTATCAAAAAAGATAGATATATAGATGACTTGCTAATAAATGGAAATGAAGGAAGATTATCTAAATATCAATACAATAATAATATTAAATGTATTGATTATTAGTAGCATTATTAGTAACTTAAGAATTAATTTATATCATTGCAAATGTCAAAATAAATACTATAAAACAAAGCATTTAATTAATTAATTAATTATTTAGTAACTAACTTTGTTATATTAATTGTTAAAATAGAATTTAATTTTTTAAAATACTTAAATTGTTTGAAAGTTTACAACTTATCACTAATATTTAAGTGAATTAATATTTTTGTCAGATTGAGGTATGGAATTGTGTACTTTCATTATGGTTATTATAATTGCTATGCTTTTTACTAATCCATAACAACAAAAACTTCTGAAGATACCTACTTCTGCTATTTTATTACCTATTTTTACTTTTAGGTGATTTTTTCAATTTGTTCATTTAGTTGTTTCATCTAATTTAATTAAATTTCATTTAATTAATATAAGCATATTAAAAAAAGAAAGTATTTATTTATTTATTTACTGTCTGATTTATCTGTTTAACATATTTTAGTTTCTCTTTCTCAATTTCTTAATCATCTATTATTCTCTTGGTCCTTTTCTTTGGAATCCAGCTGATGTCATTTTTTTCTATCTTTTTATATATATACATTTCATCTCCGTTGTACATGACCTTGTCTTTCAATTATAAGTAAGCCATATAAAATATGTAATTCCACATGTAGTGTTCTTGCTAATTTAAAAAATAATAATTACACAATTTATTAAATTTAAAAAATTTACTCGAATATGATAGTAGAAACCTAGAATATCATCTCCCTTATCAAGAGTTTACCTATCAAAACCACATATAAAGCAATTCTTTTTTTCGTCTTATTGCTTTCTATTCTTTGCATCTTTAAGCTACCTGTACTTATCAATAATTATACCTAAAAAATATTGATAAATTTGATAATTCGTTAGAAATTTTTTTTATTTTTACCTCCGAAAATATAGATTATAACATGAGCAAGTACAATATTGAAAATATTATCATAGAAGAATCTTGAAAAATATTTATCTTTAAAGTTTTAATTCACTCCTAAATACTTAGATGTGTCTCCTCCAACTTCGCTAAGTGATTGAGGTTCATACAAAAAGTGGCCTATTTTTAATTAATTTTAATTCATAAACTTTTTTAACATTTTAAAGTTTTTAATAGATTTTGCTAATCTGTTTAAAAAATTTTACCTAACGCACCAACACTTTTAAAGGTGTAATCAAAATTTTTTAAGTAGCACTTCCAAAATGTTTCGCACTCTTCGTGTATATAATGGTTGTAAAATATTAGATATGCAAATATAGTAAAATAGTATTCAATTATTGCAAATAGAAGTAATGTCAAACCCAATTCCATCTTTGGGTCATATACAGCATGAAAAACATTACTTAGGACATTAAACCTAAGCATGTCGATTAATAGACCACAAAAATAAAAAGGATGCGCGAATAAACCAAGCATTACAAAAAAGAGCTAAAACAAATAATATATTATATCAAAATCTTACATCAGAAGGTAAATTGAATAAATTGATTTGAGGATAAAGAAAACAGATTTTTTCCAAATTGGTAAAGAGGAGCTTAAAAATCCATACCAAATACTACCTAAGATAAGAGGTGCTCTTTTTAAAATAAAAAAGGCAACTATCACACTAATTAAAATAGAGCTAATAGTTCCGAGAAGTATAATTAAGTTTCCAGTATTATCATAATAAGTATCGTAAAAAAATCTAGGCTATTGGCGACGTGCATATTATAAATTACTTTTATTTTTCTCAGCTGATAAATCGCTATTGTAAACAAAACTGGCATCGCTGTATGATGCTATTATTAATGCATTTATTGCTAGTGATAAATAAAATGATATTCTTTGCCATAGATGGTTGTACATAACAAAAATACCAACAAATTTGTATTCTTCAACAATCAGCCTTACATTTTCTTCATGAGTGATTTTATCAATAATATTGCCAGATTGGTCAATTAGGTAAGATAATTTTTCCTTATGCGAAGATCTATTTACATTAGTTTTAAAATCATCTTTTATTTCATCACTTAAAGTAAAACAAAGAGGCATTTTTGGAAAGCTTATTGTTTATAGACATCCATTTCTTACTATCTCTATACTACAAGTCTTGTTTTTAAAGAAAATCAAAGCCTTTTTATTATGATATAAATAAGTTACTTTTATTTTTTTTACAAAATATTATTCAAACAAATGATTAACTAAATACATTTTTAATTAGCTCCTTCTTTTCTAATCTTTATTTTTCCTGTTACTCACTTTTGTTAAGCTAGATGACACCAAACTTGTAAGCATTTTCTTTGATTTCCTATGAAAAATTAACTTTTAAACAACTATAAAATATTTTTAAAATTTACATTTATAGCATTCTTCCCTACAGTAATTAAATCCCTACCAAACTTCATCATGTTGCTAAAAATATTATCTTTCTCTTTTAACATTTCTGTGAAGATGTTTTCTTCTGATTTTTTGAATTCATTCAAAATTGAAGTCATATCTTCATCTTCCTCATCTGTTTCAATCAGAACTATTTTGTTTAAGAAAATTATGTTAATAAGATAAATGTTGATATAAAAAGAATGAATGAATCAATCAATACCATTATTTTAAATATACAACTAAATCAGCATGTAAACTAAAAACCCATTTTCAATAATGAACTCATAGTAATCAGGTGGTTTATTATAATCTATTTAAGCTTTCATTTATTTGAAGAGATAAATATTATAGTCTTGCTTTTTAAAGTGCTTTTTATAAAGCTAGTAAACTCTAGTCAAATTTTTAGTCAAGACAGAAACAGGTATAATTCTCATAATTTTTGAAATCAAGTCTTTTTTACTGTAGTTACACTCGAGAATGCTGATAATAGTGAGAAGACATTTGTATTTCAATCTTGCTAACTCTCCTAAATGTATCTAAAATTTTTGTTATCTTAAATATTCCTCATATTTTATAGTCTCTTCTTTTGATTATTTCTCTTCACTAGTTTGATCTATATCAACAGTTTATTATCTTAATAAATTTTTTTATTTATTTTTATTGGATTTCTATTGATTGTAGTCTTCAGTTTTTGAAAAGTCATATTCACGATGGGAATCTGTATTTATTTCAGGGTTTTTGGAGAGACCATTACTTGTGGTTGGTTAATCTGTTTGTTAAAAATGTATCTTTTTTGATTAATTTTTCTTTTATTTATTCATAGTTGCTTCAATATTTGTTTCATCATTTTAATTTAAACCATTTCTATTTGTTTCAAGCTTAATATTTGTTTACTCCTGTTTTTATTTTATTATTTACAAAAATTTTTTAATTGATGATTTGTAGAAAAAAATCTTAATAATTGCCAAAAAAAATAGCTTATTATAATAAAAAATATAATGCAGCTATTAATATCTTTCATTCATTTTAGGAAAAAGTTATCGAAAAGTTAAATTTTTACATTTTATAAAAGCAAAAGCTACCTTTATCTTTCATCTTACTAAACATCAGTTTTCAGAAACAGTTTTTCATCTTCAGAAAGTATTTAGAATGCATATTCTAAAAATTTAGTATTTGTTATTGTATCCTAATTTTCTGTACAAGGACCTTAAACAAACTCAGTCAGGGTATTAAAACATTATTTAATTGTTTTATAAGTTTCCTTAGAAACTCTATATGAAATAAGCAACTTAACTGTAGTAGAAACAAGATCATATGAATTTTTATTACTGATTTATTTTCGCATGTAATTTTGTAAGTCTTAATTATGATTCAAACACAGTAGTTAAAACAATTTCAGAATTTTGAGAATCATTTTTTCTGAGTTCTTCCTTCCAAACAAAGAGTTTTTAGTAATCTGAGCTTGAAAAATCCTGTTTACTTTGGCAAAAAATTTTTCGCTAGCTTAAGATCCTAAAAAATACTCATAGATAGTTTTTTGAACTGACACATTACCTCCTTTAAGCATCAAATTCATAAACTTAAAAAGAGAATTTCTAAATTAAAAATTTAATTTAATATTAAAATAAAATGTATTCTTTTAAATGACAAATTACAAATATTCAGCGTTATTTTCACACTCTTCCCATATCAACATGATTACAATTTTAGAAGAATTCAACCTGTCCAATTAGTCTTATCTTTCTTATCTAATTTTAGTTTGTTCATTTTTTTAGATTTTTTAACTACTTTATTTAAACACATCCATCAAATTTTCATCTTCTTCTTAAATAGAAAATGCATTTTTGATTATATAATTCATAATTTTCATCACGAAGATAACACTTTTCATAGGTACATTTTTTTATCTCCAAAATTCAATAAATTTAAGTATTTTAGAAAGAATGTCGTCAGAAGTTAAAATAATATCTCTCTTTCTTTATTGATTAGGAGTCTAAAACATATTTTAGATCTTCAATATGCTTTAGCAAAGAATTTTCTTTTCATCTTTTAAAATAGATTTAAATCGTACATCTTCTTACAATTTTTTTTTAAAATGAAGCCAATATTCTACCATATTTATATTTCTTACTGTTTAATCCTTTTACTTTTTACTTTTTGTTTCTTTTGGTTCTTCTTCATTTATCATCGTTTTAAAGCTCTTTTTCTTTAACCTATTCTTGTTAGGTAATAACTATAACTCATCATCATTTAACTCATAAAATTTATCTGAGTTGCTATCTAAATTATTTTTTTCGCCCATAATGTTAAAAGGGATTTAGAAATCGTAATGTTTAGATAAAACTCTTAATTGTTTTCCCCTATCATTTTCAAGTAGATCTTCTTATTTGAAATTCAAAACCCTAAAACACACAAATTAATTATTTATTAACATTTTTCTTATAAATTGAATATTTTACTTATCAAGAGAGTTTATAAAAGTATAGGCAAACTTATAGAGCTTCTTACGTTGATCTATTTCGTTTGAATTTTCAGAAAATAATAGATCTTTCAAATAATTTTCTGAATAATAATTTATTAATGGCAGTAAATTATCTATTAAATAGAATTTATATGATTCAGAATATGTCTAAGCTCTTTCTAGTTTCATAGTTTCAAACTCTACTATTTCAACAATCAATTTAGTGTTTTGTGGAAGGGTTTATGCAAACTCTTTCGAACTTGACAAGAAAAGAATCAAATCAATGATAGCCGCATTAACTTTGATGTTCTATTCAATCACTTGAATGTCTTTAATATTCATTTAACGGTAGCTAACAGTTCTTTCTCTTAAGTATTTCAATAGCTCTAAAGCTGGTATAAAATAACTCACTTTCATTATCTAGCTTTGCTCCATTTCGTCACTCATTAACCTAGAAATTAGCTTAAAAAATAATAATTAGTATAATTTGAACTATCAGTAAATTCAATTTTATTCAGCTATTTTGTTTAAAAAAATCAATTTAATTTAATTTAATTCTTACAATCGTAAATATTGATTTGTATTTCTGTTCGTCTATTTTATTGTCAAAAAAGTAATCAGTTTAAAAAAAACTAACTCCTGTTTCTTTCTTTGCAAATGGCTTTTTTAAATTAAATATTTGATTGAACTGCAAATAATTTATACTAAATGTTACCGATATTGTTTAAAAAATAATTTCATCGAAAAAGAGGTTCAGTAATAAGTTTTAAAGTACATAAAAATCCTATTTTTGCTCAACATTATTGAGTAATATTTAGAAGATTTCTAAGAATTGATGTTATTTTCCATGCAATTTAATCATTTAAATAAAATATTAAAGATCCTAAAATTAGACATTTATTGAGAGCTCATAATTATCTTTAAAAAGATCGTTAATAAATTCTATCTATCCTATGTTATGCTTCTTTTGTGAAATCAAATTTTTGAAAAATTTTTTGTACATAAACCTAATGATAATCAAATAAAAAGCTTAGTTTAAATGATTTAAATTCAATTAACTTTTACTCTTAATTCTCTTTGTTGTCTAAACAGTATGCACTTAGTGCCTAAAAAGAATTTTTTAGAATTGAAATTAGCTTTTCAAAAAGTTCTTAAGCATCCCATTGCTCATTTGTTTATAGGTAATCCAAATTTTAAATGTAAAACCCTGAATTCTCAATTACATTCAATCCTTTATCAATTAAATCAATTAAGCACTAGTGTCCTCCAATATGTTTGAAAATACTTTAAATCACTGCCAAATTTTCTCTAAAATAAAATTTTTTTTTGTATCAAAATAATAAAAGATTAAACAAATACTTATCTTGCTGGTTTTTAAATATTTTAACTGTTCTTACAATAAGATCTTCTGTTTTCACATAATTACAATCATCATCGTTTTCAAGATTTAGCCAGGTCTAACTATCAGAAACTATGTTTTTAAGTTCAATAAATATCTCATTCAAAATATTGTACAGTTCTTAATGTTGTTTAGAGAAAATTAATTCAAGCTTCAGCAAATTGTTAAAAACTTCATTTTTTTATGAAATGCACCTTTATATGAGTTCTATTATTTTATTTTCAAGTTCGCCACTCTGGGCAAAGTAAAAAGAAATCATTAAGCATTCCATAAATGGCCTGTCTATCACTTCATCAATAGATTAAATCCTATACCTTTAGGTATAAATCTTAACTTTTTCTGATTTTACTACATGGCCAACCTCAGTAAAATCATTGGGTAGTAACTCCAAAACATCATCTATTACTTTCCCTGTTTCTTCTTTCTTATACTCGCAGAATTTCTAATTAAAAGTTATAAATAAAAACAATATTAAAATAAATAAAAAGATTTACCTATTGAAAGTAAGAAATTATGTTGTCAATAAAAAAATCTTGCCTCATATCAAGTAAAAATGAAAAGAATTCGCATATTTTGATTTTAATCTGCTCTTCAATATCAACATTCTCACTCTTTTCTCTAACAGAAAATGTTTTATTTGTATATTAAAATAAGATTTTTTTGAGACCTTGAAATTTTTTAAAAATTGGATCTTTTATTATGTCTGATTCAAAGTCTAAATTGTTATTATAAAGTTTTTGCTTCTCTTTATCTTTACCATCATTTTTTGTTAAAATATTTGTTATCGTCTTTGTTTAGTTTAGAACTTTAGCATACACATTGTCTCGTTTAGCCCTTTAATGTTATACGTATTTACGCCTAACATGGAGAGAATCTAGTTCTTAGAAATAAGTTTCGTCATATTCTAATAAGACAGCTAACGAACTTATTATCCTCTCTAACTCAGATACTTCTTGTTTTTAATCTTATTTAAGAATCTAAAAGTATGCTAAAAAAGATAATTTATCTTTTTATTATTTTTGCTATTTCAATCCTGTTTTCTCATTTAATATTCCAAATTACAGCATAGTCGTTAAAGTATGTATAAGCTCAAGCATAAATGCATTATAGACTTAAGCTTTTTTCCCTTACTAGCTTTCATTTTTATTAGATTTTTCTTATATTTACAATATCTTAACTTGCTCTTCTAAATGTTTAAGCAGCTAATCTTTTAGCTTAGTCAACTGCTACTAGTATTAGAAATCTTGTTAGTTGCTTTATTGGGCACCATTTAAAAGGAATGGCTTATTTACATTATATTTTTCTTCAATGTTGTATTTAATACTCTTTTAGCGCATTCTGTTGTTGAAATGATAACTATGCTTTCTTCCATTTACATTATTTCTGATTGTAGAGCCAACATTCATTAAATTATTTACATTTCTTTTAGCATCAACAGAAATATCTGCATCAGCAACTGAATTATTTTGTATATTTGTAGTTGATTTTAAGGCTTCTAAATTAACTATTCTAACTAAATTTGGTCTAGTTTGCTTTTAATTAGGATATTTATCTATATAAATATTCATTATTATCTTTAGAAAACCAGCTAATAGTTAAATATTTTTATTCTTGTTTTAATCTACGATAAATTGAACGAGTATAGAGAGAGGAAATATCTATGAAAATTCATTACAAGCTTTAAAGTTTCTGTCTTTGCACAAATTAGCCATCAATATTAATTATTGCTAAAGGTAAATTATTTACTTTTCTATTTATTCATTATACTGATTTCATTAAACGAAAAGATTATTTTTTTAAATAATTTTATTTCAAATTTATAAATTTACTTAATCAAAGCTTATTAGCTTTACTAAGCTTTCCATATCTTGCTATATGTTGTCTTTGCTAATTGGGAGGATTTATATTTTCAAATCTTTCAAATCATCAGATTCTTTAGGCATCATTTCTATAGGGATCAGGCAATATCTTGTAAAATGCTTATCTGTAAAAATCTTTAAAACAAAAATAATAAATTTTATGAAAATCTATTTAAATTCATTTACTAAATTGAAAACATATTCTTGAATTATATAGAGTGCATTGTTATTTACTACACAAAAATTAGATAACAACTGGATTAACTCTGGCAGAATATAAGCTTCAAACATCGAGAATTTATCTACAATTTCTTTTAAGAAAGTCTTTTGTCCCTAAAATAAAGAGAGCCCATTTCTCTTCTCAAATGAATCTATTGATTTGTTAATTTCATTTCGTTATTTGAATTAATTACAAATATGAGAAATTAATTAAAAAAGTACTTTCATTGTCAGAAGAGGAGTTGTTCATTTTGTTTGCATTAAAAGACCTATTATTAGCAAGGAGATAATCATTTTACATACCTCCATACCCATAATTTCTGTAACTTCCCTAATTAGTTTATTCATTAGAATCTTCTATCCGCTTCTTAACCAAATCTTACAAGATTTAAGCATTTTAAAATATTTTTTATATTGATTAGCAAACAAAATCTCCATATCCTATATGAGAAACTATTATCTTGAAAAATCTTGTTAAATATTCTTAGTTAACAATATTATTTGAACAAACAGATTCTAGAAGCTTATAAACTTAAAACGATATTCTATATGACTTAGCAAATACTTCTTCTTCAAACTTTAATATACTCATTTATCTTTCTTTTTTATAGAATTTTTAAAAAATTAGATTACATCATAAAACAATAAAATTATTACATTTTTCTGTACTTAAATCATACTCCTTAATGATAGGCCAGTTTGTAGATTTATATATTTTTAGAAATTCCATTCTCTCATAATGTGAAGGAGCTATCTTATGGAATTCCTTATATTAAGGAAATATTATTTTTAGTATCCAACATAGCATGCCAATCATGTGCTGTTCTCTAATAATCTAAATTAGTATTGTAAATTTAAAAATTTATAATTGAGATTTGTTGAAGTTTTGCTTTTTTCAAATATTTTTTGAAGAAAAAAATGTTACTTTTTATCTTTTTGGACTAGGCTTGGAATATTCTTACTATACATCTATAAATGAAGTAATTTAGTTGTTAATATAACTATCTATTCCAATGATAGCATCATTAACTTCCTGTAATACTTACCTAAAAAAAACTCTATATTTCCATTTTTACTCTTCTGATTTATATTTCTAACATAAAAAAAATACTTTTGAGAATCAAATTTTAAGTGAATGAAATAAATTTATTTACCAACAAATTTAAATTTTTTAATTGATTCATTAGAAATTACATAGAGTATAAAATAAAGTTGGTTTCCCACATTTCTTCAAAATTAACTATCCTCATCTTAAAAATACTAATTTTTGATTCTAATTTTTTGATTTTAAAATTAACTTTAACACAAAATATTTTAAATAAATTACCATCTTACTCAAGGAAAGGAGTCCTTCTTTACTAAAACTATTCTATTTCACCTTCCTCAAAGGGCTCATCTTTGAATCCAATATAGAGTTTTGTTTATACATTTTACAGTCTATAAAAACTTTCTTTCATTACCATTTTAGATTGTTCATTATTTTTTTATTGTGAAATAGGAATAAATGAAAAATGGGCTCCTAAATCATCCTAATCTGTTAAATCCAAGTAAACAAATGTGTCAAATCCTTCACTAGGATTAGCTTTAGGTTACTATCAAAAAAAAAACAAATAATTCAGGTGATTATTAAAATGTATAATTAGATTACCTAAAATATTCTCACAGTAAGATATTTACCAGTAATAAAATGCTTTAAGCGATAAACTTCATTCCATTTTATATATCCCCCACAGTACATAAAAATAGGTTCAATTTTCCAGAATGCAAATAAGATGGATTATTCTTTAGATGATGATAAGGTCTGCTCGTTTATTGCTTGCTCGAAAAACACTTAATTCTCATTTTAAAGCTATTCTTTGATTTCTCGTAATTCCTATTCTTCTATCTCATATTATCTCTATTCTTCAAGAGATAGATTATAATTTATTTTCAAAAAATCATTTTGATTTCTTTCGTAGTTGGTTTCTATAGTTTATAAATTAGATACTCCTGGCTTGAGTTTTAAAGTATTTAATTATTGGTGATCATTAGAAACATCAAGCATTTAATTATGAAAAAATTATTAATTATTTGAAATTTGAAAATCTTCTATTTAACTAGCAGTATTTTGTTGAATCACCTTAACTGTTTGAATATTATGTTAACTAGGATAAACAGGTGTGTTGAATTCAGATGGGTCTTTTAAGTAATTTTAATTACTATTTTAGTTATTTTATACTACCAGAAAAGAGCTGCTATTATTTTTTATTACTCCTTTTCTTCTGGGATAAATTCCATGTTAAAAGCTATTACCATCTTTCAGTGCAAAACTTGCTCCTAATTAGTTATCGTAAGCAATTTATCTTTCTTTTTGCTAGCATAAATTTTCAAAGGGGTCACTTGCTTTACTTGCAGAGAGGCAAAACTTTTTAAAAACATTAATACTTTAGGATAATATTTTTTTATTTATAATGTTAATTTTACATTTCTATCAGACAAATCTAAAGAAATAACACTGCCAATCGAAATAAACGATTATTCTCCTTCTTATTCACATTGAGAATAGCTGTTTACACTATTTAAAAGAAATTTATTGTTAGTTAGTAATCAATTATACTCAAAATGTTTACACCCATCTGCAAGGGTTTTCTAAATTAGCATAGATTTTTAATTGCTAAACCTCAAATTCTTTCCCATTTTTCTTATTTGAGTAATTTGTATAAAGGTATCCTTTCCTGCTATGCACTAAACCTGTACAACAAACTTAAACTACATCCTTATTCATAACTATATTAGATCTCTACTTTTATAAACTTAGGCATGGTAAAAATTTAAACAGACTCTTCTCATTTGGGTAATCTGTCAATGTAAATCTGATTTACAATAAAAGAATTAAAATATTATAATTTCAGTACATTTACTTAAAGTTCAACTAAAGCGAGAGTGTGAAATTGCATTTAAAATATATTACAAATTTAAGCATGTAAAAACAAAAACAAATTTATTAATTTCTCACATGTAACTATCAGATTTGTCTTTGGTTAATGAAACGAATTTCATCGAGGCTAGATGAACAAGATGAAATGAAGAAGTTGAAAAAAGAACAGGAGTGCCATTTAATTTATTCTATGTACTCATGTTAGAATTTATTTCTCCATCTAAGTTTTGCTAAAGCTCCAAAATTAATGTTTTTCTTTAATTCAAGTCTATTTTTTTAAAAAAATTTATATCATTTTTAACTTATTTTGCGAAAATAATCATATATCTATATGAGAAAAGAGCTAGAATTCTAATTAACATTAAAAATAATTTCAAAGTTTTTTCATTTATCTTTCTGCTTAGGAGAACTTCTTGGAAATTAAATAAGATTAAAGTAATTTTACAAATATCTAAACAAAAAACTTACTCAGTTAATGAAATTTTTTTGCATCCAATACTTCTAGCAATTTTTATTAACTTTTATTGTCTATTGGAGGTAAAATCTTAAACACACAGTTTTAGAAATCATGCTGGCGGTTTCCTATAGCTCGTTTAAAATTTTTAAGTTCAAGTTTTGATTAAAGAAATCCATCTGATTATACAAAACAATGCTACATATCAGCGAGACTAAGAGTTAAGCAACTACCAAAAGTAATCTTTACACTTTTGAAACTTTCATCATAAAACTATTGTTCCATAATTTATTTATGCTTGATTACTTTTTTATATATTGTTCGCTTTTTGATAGGTTAGTAGCTCTCGTAAAATATATATTTGCAAATATTCTTTCTACTATAAAATATAATATAATATATCTTTATTATTTTGAATTAGTTAAAGAATTCTATCAATTTACTTTGTTTTTATTAATTAGTCATGAAAATTAAGATAAATTTAAAATAGCATTTTTCAATTTCAACAACCAAATAAACTGTAATAATTAATTATTCTAACGCTATTGAAAAATTATTTTTATATTGTGTTTACTTAAAAAAAAATGAATATGCCTATAATTCATGTCGCTTAATTTAATAAACAATTCCTTTAAGTATTTTGATAAAAACAGTCAAATTAAAATTTTTAAATTTTTTATAAAAATTTCTTTCAACTGATATAAGTGTTTATTAAAGGAAATTTTTATATTTGTTTATTTATTTCGAAATAAGGTTTTTTATTTATTTAAAAATATTTTATGTTTTAATTCGATTATTATTGATGGAATTTGATGAATCTTTTTTATTTTTCTTATTAATTCTTAAACATTAAAATTATTTTGAAAATATTAATTTTTTTGTTTGTTAATTTAGATGATTTATTAATTTTTTGGTTATTCTAAATTTATTAATTTTTAATAATATTAAGAGAAGAACCATATTAAATTAATGAAATTAAATTTATTAGATTATAATGATTTCATGTAAAGATAATTAAAGATGTATTTTGTAAATTTTTAATTAGCAACTTTAATTTAAAAAAGAAGTTGTTATTTATTTATAAAAAAAGAAATATCATTTAATTCGAAAACGAGAGTTGAACACATCTAACTATGGTTTGTTCTTAGTTACTTTCGATAAATAAACGAGTAAAAATTTCTTATGATGTTCGTGAGTGATTTCATCATGAGCGAACCTTTGTTCAAAGTTATTGAACAATTCTAAGAAATTTCCATACATTTTATATTTTTTGATATGCTTTAGAAGTTAAAATATAATTTTTTTATTTTAATTCTTAATTAAAAAAATATTTTAATTTTTATTTCATATTTCTTTGAAATTAAATTTATTTAAGTCAAATACTTTCCCCATCCATATTAAATCTGTTATCCTTCATTAATTTATTTATTTACTATTTTTATGGTTTTGCTTTTTTTAGAGATGAAAAACGTAAAATATACATTGTTTTTTAAATTCTTAAAGATTCAATTTAGTTTTTTTATAAATTTTAATTCAATATCAATTATTAATCAAAATTTGTAAAAGTAAATTTAGTAGAGATAACAAATTTTATTGATGAAAATCTTACTATTTTTTTAGCTATTTTTGATCATAAAACTAGCTTACTCAATAGATTTAGAAAGATTAAAGATGTATAAATAAAAGGATTAGGAATATATCTAAAAATAAACTACCCATAGGAATAACGAAAAGTAAGAATTGTAAGATATTTATAGAATAAAGGATACATTATAAAATGCAGAAGAAAATTATAAGAATTATATGAGCTAAATGAACTTTCCATAAGTAAATTATACATATAAGGATATACCTAGTGTATTTAATGACAAGCTCTTATAATTTACTGACACATAAAAATTTTTTGATGCTTTTAACAGCATGGTATAAAAAGAAATTTAATTTGAAATGGACATATAGAAAATGAAAAAGAGATAATATTAGTTAAGAGAAGTCAGCTAATAGATCATGGAGCATAATATCTTGATCCTTAAAAATTAATCAAATAAATTGGAATAAATAGTTAATAATTTTAAGAACCGTTTAGATTCTCATAAAAAATCTGCAAAAATGGAAACACAAAATTTACAAACCAACAATAAATATAAACTTATTAACTTAGAAGGTAAATTATTTTTATAGATCTAAATGCAAATTATTTTAAAAATTACTTACTTATTTACTCATTATTTTTTTTGTGATTTTAATAAAAAGATTTTATGGCAAGCATTTTTAAAGTATACAAGCACATATCTCATCAATAGGAAAAATATTTACATAAAAAGAAAGATCTTAAATAATAATAAATTGATTTTTCAAATATGTCTAAAATGCTTGTCGACTCTAGCTAAAAGAATTGCATCAAACTGACTCAACAAAAATTTATTGAAACAAAAAAAATAATCCAATAAAAAATAGATAGCGGATTATCTTGAAATAAATTGCTTTTTTTGATAGAATAAAAATGAATATTGTTAATATTTAAAGTTTCTTAGTATTGCTTCATTTTTTTTGATAAATAAAGTTAAAATTTACCATTAAATAATTAGTGCTTTGTTAAGAAATTAAATGATTTCTATGTTATAATTAAATTTTAAATTCGACTAACAAATTCTTTTAATTATTTTAAAAAGTAAAATTTTATATTTTAATTTTAAACTTAATTTTTAAAGAAATGAGTTTTTTAAAAAATTAAGATAAAAAAGAAAAATATTCAAATAATTTTATAAGTAAATTTTAAAAGTTAGCTCCTTATCTATTATCCTATTTCAATCATTTGTATTTGTTAAAAGTTATCTCTTATTCTATAACTTTTATTTTAGATATCAACGTATAGAAAGAAATATTTAAAATGTATTTAATGTAAGTTTTCAACCTTTTTTATCCAATTTGTTCTTTAATTTTACATTATTTAAAAAAATTAAAAAGAATTTTCGATTATGAATATTTATTTTTAGATGATAATTTAAGGAAATATTTTATTTGTTTAAAATTATTAATCATTTAATATAACTTATTGATATAGAAAGCTCTTAAATGAATTTATCTATTGAGTACTGGTCAAAATAAGCACCAAGTTTGCTCAAATAATAAATCCATCTTTTAATGATTTAGTGGTCAATTTTGTTAATTGTGAAAGCTGCCTTCACATCATAGCTGTTGAATGTAGGATATGAAGAAAAATAACTCGCTATTAAAAATTCAAACCATATGAGTTAATAATCTTTGATTATAGCAATTATTATTTAAGTATTATCTTCTTCTTAATTTTATTGAGATTAACTTGCATTAGTTTTCTGCTGTATTAGTGAAACATTATCAGATACACTGCATTTTGCTTTATAGTTATCCATAAAGTAAACAGAAGAAAAAATAAAAGAGAGCTACAAAATTTATATAAAACCACCCAGTTTTAATATTAACTTTGGCTCAAAGTTTAGTAGGGCTGATATTTATTATGAAGATATAAAAATATTTCTAATTTCTTCAATTGGTATTTTCTTTTTAAAAAGCAGCTTGCATAAATTATAAATTACTTAGTCATAGAAACTCTTTTGAAGCACTCTTAGATTTTTGTGCATCAGTATCTGCTTTTAAGGGTATATTCCTGCTAAAGAAAATATTAAATCCCCTATAAATAACTCCATTTCGTTGTGTAATTTAGTATCGCTTTGCATAAATTCAATCATCTCGTGTTGTACTTGCCATAAGAATTCTTCAATTAATTTTCTCATGCTTGATTTAGATGAGAAATCAATAATATATTCTTCATGCTTTTTTTATTCTTTTTTTTCATAGCCTGTTTCATCTTTTTACTCTTATGATTCATCACTCTACTTTTATTATTATTATTATTATTTTTATACTAAAAAACTATGCTAGATATTGCAAAGGGTATTCCTAAAAGCTTCGATATAAAAAATAGCCTTTTCGATTGTCTTAAAATTTGCTTGTATATCTTTCATCGTTTCATAAAGAAATAGCTTCAAGGAATAAAATTAAAGATAGTTTATTTAACATTGTAAGGCAATTTCTTTAATTGCTGTTAGAAGTTGCTATGAACGTTTATCATTTCCTTAATTATCAAGCACGTTTCTTTTATAAATAATATCTTCTTCAACTTCAAAAACAGCATGTAAAAATTTTGTTAAGCTAGCACTCTATTTCTGTTACAATTCCATTTTAGAAATAGTAGTTTATATGACTTTTTCATAAAGATTTGGTGGTATTTCTTATTTAACGCTGACCCCAAGTATACTTGTTGCCTTATTATATAAAGATCCGATATATTAATTTATTGATAAATTACTATATTAAAATTCAATTAAAATCTCCATAATTATTTCAATAAGCTGGTCAAATACATTTTATGTTAGTTTCAAATTGGTCCTTGAATAATTTTGGATATCGTTATACCCAATTTGCATATAATTATACAAAATATCTTCCTCCTTCTTCCTCTGTTCTAGCAATCTTTTATTTTAAGTTTGCTATTTAAAAATACTTTATTCTTCATATTAATTTTAATAATTTTGAAAAGATTATAAATTATTAATTTATGATTGAATAGACCTAGGACTATCTGAATTGTATTAACTCTTTTCTGGAATTTTTATATTTCTTTCACTTTAAATGTTTAATGTATTTTGTCTAGATAATTATGGTGACTTTGGTGAAAAATCTTATTTTTGCATATAAAGCTAAGAATTCATTTAAAACCTTTTCTAACTTAATCCTTTTGGAGAAGTGCATTAAAAAGAGCTTACTGAATTCTATCTGGATAAAACGTCTTGATCCTATTTATCTTTTTTATCTATTTCTTCGATATTTTTTTCAGAACTTTAAACAGATTAGTTTTCATTAGAATCTTGCAATTTGAGTTTATTTCTTTGGAAATTAATTCTATTATTTTAAACTGGTCTTTCCTATTTCAAGTGGTTTAAAGTCAATAAGCTAGACAAGATAATATTTATTATTTCTTGTACATTGCATTTTTATTTAAACAAGTTAAATTTTATAGACTTTCCAACCCCATCAAATAACATCGAAGTTCTTCTTATAGAATTTACCTATTAATTATTGTCATAAGATGTTTTTGATATAGAAGAAAATATAAAATTTTTTAAATTAATGAGAAATTATTCAAAGTCAAATATGTAACAGTCTTGCTTTATTTCATCGAATAATTTTGAGTTACTTAAAATTTTTTATTTCAATTTTTCAATAAATCTATCTATATTATACTCTAGTCCTTCAATCAACTTTTCATTTAATTGATAAATATTTTCATCGTGTTATTCCTAATCGCCATTAGTTTACAAATTACTTATTTAAGATGAAGTTTTAATGCTTTCATTTATTTCTTTTCTTACAAATGCAGGATATGGTTTTACAAATCTTTGTTTTGGAGCTTCTGAATTATTCTTAGAAGTTTTAACCCTTTGATTTAATGGAGTAATTGGTTTTTTTTCTACACCTTCTCTTTGACTAATAGCGCTACTTTAATTGTAAACTGAAACACTCTTTTAATGATAAATACTTGGTTTTCTTTTAATTCTAAAATGAGACTAATCCTAACTTTCTTCATTTTTAGCCGATTCGTTTTAATCTTCTTGCTAATTTAAGTTTAAAAAATCTGTTTTTTCTTTTTTATTGCCTTCTTTTAGTTTAAGGAGCTTATGATCAAATGAATCAAAGTGAATATCAAAGAATCTATTTCTCAAAAAGCTTTATCTTTAATTTTGATCATTTGCATTATATTTAGGATTATCAAAAGCATTTGCTTATCTATATAAAATATCTGGTATACGTTTAGGTTTAAAAGGAGATTATCTAGTTAGAGGAGAAGAAATTGCCCATTATCTCTAGAAAGGTATTTATTAAGAAGGACTTTACTGTAGGTAAGTTTAATAGCTTTCTGCATCTAATGTTTACTATAATTGCTTTAGATCTGAGTTACAAAATATATCAGAATATTTTTGAGTTTAATTTTAACTGCAACTAGGATAGTTCTATTTGATTTGGTCAAAGTTGCTAAAAAATTTATTTGTCTCTTCAGAGATTAAAGGACTGAAGCTGCTATATCTATCACTTTCCTAGCTTTGCTATTTTTGAAAACTTAGTCTTGTAAATTTAATTTAACTATTTGATAGAAATTATTAAGAAGAATTCATGTTGTTAATTACATAATCAAGAGAATTAGACCTTTGGTTTTGAGCTTGCATGTTTGATGTTTCATTTTGCATATTATTATAATTATTATTATTATCTTATGAAATTATTAATTTACCATAATTTTTTAATTTTATATAATCTTCTTCATTTGTAGGAAAATCTTTAATTCTATCATAAAAATTTTCATTTTATAGGCATTTAGCTTACATTTCTTTAAGTTTTTTCTTAAATAAATGATTTCTTAAATGGCTTTCTGCTAAATTTTCTTGTTTTTTGTCAGTTTTTTTTTCTAACTCTTTGTATTCGGCTGATAATTCACTGTTTTATTTACTGGTTTTAGGTGATTGAAGATAATTCAAATAGTTTAAAGAAGCTTTACTTGAAAGTAAAGATGATTGTTATTAAGATTTGTCAAACATAAAATATTCATTTTCATTTATTTTATTAGGATCCTCCAATATATTATTCAGTTTATCACAATACCTTGAAACTTTGATACCATATTTGCTCAGTTACTCTTATAAATCATTATAATAGAGAGAAAAATTAACTTTATTTGATGTTTGCTTGTTATTTTTCAACTAACTTTAATTAGCAACCTGTTCATTTATTAATGAACTTAATTTGGTGATTTTAAGATTATTACTACTTATTCTTGAAAAAGTACCTGGTTAAGAATAAGTCTACTTTGGAGAAGAAGCATTCGAATTTATTTACAAATTTGATTCGTTTCTATTCTTCAAACTATTATATTTTTCAATAATATATTTCTCAAAATCTATTTTCTGCTGGTTGAGCTTGATTTTACTTTCGTCATCATTGGCTTTCGCTTCATGAAAGCTCATATTATTAGTTGATAATTAAAAAAGTGAAAGTGAATTTACTCTTTTTGCTATTGAGTTGTTTATTATCAAAAATATTCACTATTATTTATTTATTTACTTAATCTTAATTCTACTAGATATCTATTAATAAAATTTGCTAAAAACTAGAAACACTTTATTTTATTAGATTAAATTTATAGAAAAAAAAAATTAATTTGTAAAAAGTTTATTTAAAAAAACTTAAAATAACTTAAAATCTAACCACAAAAAAGCTTAAAATACCATAAATTAAATAATGCTTTATATATTATTTAAATAGAATAAATGAAATTTCTATTCATTTTTAAACATATAAACAACATTAACGATTATGAATAAAAGATATAATAAGAAATTTGCTTGCGAATAAATATAATTTTTTAAAAATGAATTTTGTGAGTAATAATTTTAGTATTATTAAAATATTTACATTCAAATAATTTAAACTTGCTCAATGTAATTTTTAAGACGAGGAAGAAGCTTTTTTTACTTTATTATCTGTTGCAAGCCTTATATCCACATATTAAATGTCTTGTAATCTTATGCAATAAATTCTATTCTTCCTCCTTTATCTAGAACTATACAAAAGGCATAGTAAGAGATTTAATCAATGTTTTCTAATGCTGGCAAGTTTTAAATATTGATTTTATTTTATTATAAGCCTTGTTCAAAGCATTCCTTTTATTATCTAAGTTCTTTTTGAATTTTTAAAAGTTCTAAAGTTGTATTTGGTATAGTATAACGTAATATTTAATCAATATTTATTGTCGATTCAACTGTTCCTTATTTTAATGGGTGTCTTATCTCTATTTTGGTCAAATTTTTATGAAGATTTATAAGTCTCTATCCAAATCCACAGTTTTCTGGAGGCATTTAATCACAAGTAAACGGATTAAAAACATGTTGCTTCAAACTTTAATATTAAGAAAACTTCTTCATTATAACAGTTCCTTCCAGTAAATCTTTTATCTATTGAGAAATAAAAATATTATTTTGCTAATGATTAAATAAAATTTAAAAAAATAAATCCACTCAAAATATGTCAAACCAAAAGAATTATTTTTAAAAACAAAAATATGAAAAATATTTTTAAAAAATTAGAAAATTTTTCCCTCACTCATAAATATTTCTAATTAGTAAGCCTCCAAAAATTTGAATTTAACAAATAAAAAATTAATATTTTGAGTGAAAAATCAATTCAGTAATTTTTTTGTAAAAATAAATTACTTGTATCAAAAATTGAGCTTCTTTGTTTTACAATTGCTCAAGATGGAGTTTATAAATGAATTATTTTTAGTAGTTTTAGATCTATTAGCAATTTACAGAAGACAGAGATTAGATGTTTTTGTTTAATAATGATTCACCTTGCCCTTATACACTTTAACTTTTTGACCTTTGATTATTCTAATAGTTACAAAGTAATGGACCTTTTATATTAATGGTATTAGATTTTATTTATGGTTAAATTTAAGCGCTTGGTCCTTTCATTTCTTCAGATTTTGATCTACGTTTTTTTTTGTTTTAAGCCATAAATTAATACTTTTGAATATCTTAATCAAAATTTATAAGCTATTAATCAATTTATTGCTGTTGTAAAGAACTAAATGAAGTATTATCTTAATTTGAGAATTATTAAAGTTGACAATCTTACGATTAGTAAATAAGCTTAGGATCAAATGATAAATTCTAATGCTGGTTATAATTATTCTCAAAATATTAATTTTGAACTGGGTAGGCTTAAGAATTTTAATGTTTTGAAGACTGAGGTTGTATACATCTCACATCTAATGAGTAGTTATTAGAACACTTCTGAATGTCAACAGCACCTTGTTTAGGCTATTTACTTAGATTTTTCTGCTTGTTCAAGGAAGAGTTAAGGTAGCTATTAAATGATATTTATATATTTTAATTTGGTGTTTAAAACCAGTTTCCAGCTTCATTGATTGTGTAGTTATTCTGCTAAAGGCATAAAGAATTCGAAGTATGACTTAAGAGAGGCTGTATGTTTTTTTATTGTTACTTTGACATACCTAAATTAATAAATTATTAAGTTAATGGCTAGATAATGTTTGGACAAAGATTTTCTTATTAATTAATAGTACTAGCTAAAAACCCCTAAAGACAAACATTATTGTAGGTATTTTAATCTAAATTTAGTTATTTCAAAGAGGCATCCACTCTTTATTGCTTATTTTTTGACATTTCTTATATTTAATAGTTATTTTGAGTTTTACTGAATTAATTTTTTGGATTTTATTTTAAATTAGTTTTAACTTTGAAGTTTTCATGCAATAGCTTTGAGCTCTCTTTCGCATCACACATTAAGCTCTTCGCTCTGCTATTATTCTGAGTTTATTGAATATGAGTGCCATTATAATAATTAATATTTTGATTTGCTATCTTTTGATTAATAGTTAAAGATTCTATTTATTAATTTTTCTTTCTTTCTCTTAATGATTATGAATTTTCTTAGTAATTATTAGTCTATTCAGCCTTAACTTGCTGCTAAGAAAGATTAATATTCTTTGGTGTAATTTAATTACTGTAAGAATGGTATTATCCTAAATTTAACTTTGGCTATTTTGTTTTGCTATTTTAAAAGCTTTCATATTTTAAAGCCTATTCTCTTTCTTATTAATCCTTAATAAAATTGGGTTGGTAATTTAATTAGTCATTTTATGTAATCTAATGGATGTTTAGATATTACTGCATATAGTTTCGAGCGCTTTAACCTCTATTAGTACTGATTTATTCTTCTGTAATTGTCTATAAAGTTTGTCCCAAATCCTCATATTGCTAGTATTGTTATTAATTAAATTAATTTTGAATTATATCTTTGTTTTTTAATCCATTTTTCAAGCTTTAAGTATCTTCAATATTTTTGAATACTGCCTCATTTGTAAAATGGCTACTAAAATCTCTATTGCTCTCCATAGGATTTTATTATATAATATTATCTGATTGCATTGGTTAACTTTGAAAAATATTTTATTAGCATTAATTATTATTATTATTTTGTATTGCAATTTAATGATATTAATTGAGGATATTTCTTTATTTTTATAAATTCTTGCTGGTGGTATTTGCAATAATGATAGGGTCATCTTCGTGTTCTACAAATTGAATTTTATGATTTTAAATCAAGCCATAATGAGGCTCATTCAAGCTTGAAAAATATTCACCTTAATTTTCTAATTGATGATTACGAGTACCAAAAAGTTACTATTTGATTTTACATAAATCAGATTAATTATTCAAGTTACTATTCAATCTATAATCATTGCATTCAAATTCATCCTATTTAATACCTCTTAAATCAGAAGTTAAATCCTATTTTAATTCATGTTGATTTTATTTAAATTGTTCATTTGAAGAAATCTAAACATTTTAATTAACATTTTCAATCTTGTAAGTATGCTCAGAATGTTATGACAAACTTGAATTGAATTTTTACTTTTCATTCTTATATGAAGATATTTTTTTATTGCCAGAAATTTAATCTAAATCATTTTCCATTCCAAAATGGTATTGGCTTAAGTTTTCTATTGCTTTGATATTTTTATTTTCAAATTGCTTTTAATCTATCATTTAATCAGCAGTATTAAACATTTGATTACCACCCAACTAACTCCTTATCAAAAAAGATGAATTCTCATCAATTTAATTAAAAAGTATATTATTATTCTAAACTAATTTTTGTTATTTTCTAGAGTTAATTTCGCTCCCACTTCCGTTGAAGAAGGCAGGTTATTCATGGGATATTAATTCTTTTTTAAATTTATTCTAAGTATTAGGCTATTCATGATCTGTATTTGTACAGCTATTTTTGAGTGTTTTTGTATCTTCTTTCATTTTTTAATCAACTTAGGATTGTAGCTTGTTTGTATTTTCATAAGGGATTACTAGATTGCAAGATTTAAAATCAGAGTTATTTGCTGTGTTGATATTAAAGTTGATTTCTATCAATCTTGATTCTAAAGCAAGTCTTTGCATTTGTAGTTCTTCTAAATCTTTTTTTAATACGTTAGCATTAACGCTTTGATGGACTAAAAATTATCTTTCTCCTTCGTTTGGATTTTGGTTTTCTTTGTTTCTATCATAGGAGTCTTCAAATGTTTAAATATTTAATTTGTTGATTTACTCTTTTAAGGGTAGAGAATAAATATCTTGAGTTAGTAAGTTTTTAAGATTTTATTCGATTATCTTAATTTCGGATTCACAATCTTCTATCTCTTTCTATAGTTTAATTTTTCTTTTCTCGTAAGTAGACTAGCTTATATAATTACTGTTATCCTAGTATTTTTAAAAATAATTTATTATTTATTTATTATTTCAAAAAAAATGCTTTCTAAAAAATTACTTAGAGTATTTCAATCACCTTAACTTTTTTGGCTTGTAAGAGTGACTCAAGCTGTCTTTCAAATTCCTTTTCTTTTTCTAAAATTGTTTGATAATCAACTTACAATTAAGATTTTTTTTAAAATGAATCATCAATTTGTGCTTAGATTGCTCCTAGATCCTCAGATAAGTTAGTATCTACATATTTTATATTATCTTATATTTACTAGTTTAATTTTGTGATCTAAGCTTGAACCTCTTCGAATTTTTGCATCCTCTTTTCTTGATTCTGCTTCATAATCTCTCTGAATTATTTATGATGCCCAAGTTTTATTTGCTAAAGAGCTTTGCTTCCATATGTTTTTTATAGCCCTTCAAAAACCTCACTTTACTGCTCAATATAATCTTAGAAAGCTTAATCAGCCTATTACAGAAGTATATTTTCCATAATTATTCTTTTCGAATTAATTTCTTATTCTTTCTATTTAATGATGTTTATTATTTTTTAAACATCTTCATCATTTGTCAATATTTCCAATTATACTTATTCATTAGCTTCTTTCAATTCTTTAACTTTTTTCTCTACTTCTTCGATCTGTAAGCAATTCTCACTCTCTTCGTTTCTATTATCTATTACTATTGAATAATTTTTTTAAATAATTTAACAGAAATAATTCAAAAATGAAATTAATGTTAAAAAACTAAAAATGATAAGGTTTGATTATATTGATTCTAAACTTCTTCTTAAATTTATTGATTGAATTTGAGATGGGAAATAAGATGCGTTAGTATTTTTCTATTTACGATCAATTTCTGAATTTAATTTAAAATAACTGAAAAAAATACCAATTAATTTTTGCTACGAAAAGGCCTCAAAATATTGTTCATACAAATCAGCTAAAAAGTCAATTTCTGTTTACTCATAAGATATTTTAGTTGAATCCAAGTAAAATTAAATTAAATTTTTAATGTGTTATCTATCTATTTAATGGCCGTTATTTTAGAATTAAAGAGTATTTATTTAAATCTCAAGAGAAGATAAATATTCTTTTGCTTTTTCTTTCCACTTTCTCAGCATAGTGCTTCTGATAAGGAAAATCTCTTTTACCTTCTAGTGCTCAGACTTACATTAGCTAATATCATCTTAAGGATATTAATTAGCTGATAAGGTTTACTTAGAAATAGAATTACAATTATTCGAAGGTGAGCCAGTAACTTAATTATGGTTTTTTAATGACTAAGAAAAATTAGATTTCAAAGATCTTAGCGGTGAGGATTGTGGTGATGATTTTAATGAAATAGATGAGGTAGATGATTCTGAAGGGGAATATTAAGAAATTTAAACTCCTTATTCTAAGGCTTCTATTTATTCTAAATACTAATCATTTAGTTAGGTTTCTTCACTTTCTATTAACTAAATTTACTTTTCAAGAGCTTATTTTGAGAGAACCATAAATCTTTCATCAAAAATCTAAAGAAAAACATTTTATCCACTTTCAAATCCAAAATTTGAACATTTTTTGTTTATTTATTCTTCTATTGTTTCCATCTTATCATTATAAATTCTTAATTACTGCTATTTATAGTTTAATACTTCTTAAATAGCGCTGTATTTGTATTAAGCAAATTCATTTAACTCTTTAATTTGCTATTAGATTTATTCTAATAGACTCATTTTTTCCTTTTTACTGCTTACATAATCTTAGTGTTTTTTTTGCATAGTTTCTAAATCTTTTTTCAATTATAGTTATTAGAATAAATATTTTGCCTCAAGAGGAAACTTCTACTTGAAATCTTCTTATATTTCCTCAAAATCTTCCATCTACGCCACCATCTCTGCTCTTTGCATAAGTTTAGCTATTAGTTCTTCTTTACCAAGAGATTTCCTTTCTTATAACTATTTTTATTAAAAAATTGATATCAAAAGGATACATTTTTAGTACAAAATAGAATTTTTAATCAGTATATTAATTAATTAAAATCTTTTACGTTATGACCTAACTCTTCTTCAGATTACATTTCCCTCAATACTTCTGATTTAAGATTACTTATCTCTTTCAGCCCTTAATTCATCAAATCAATATCCTTTTAGAAATCCTTATCAACTTTCTTAATTATATCTCCTTCTAATTATTTCTACCTTTCTCGTTCACTTTCAAGCCTATTTTTTTTTCAAACAAACATAAATAATTCGTATTAAATGTTTTTTAAAGAAAGTAAAAAAAAATTATTTAAATCTTTTATGTCACACATAAATATTTTTACTTGATTAGATCCTTGTTAAGGCTTTTCAAGTGTTGCTGTCTTCCATTAAGCATTTCCTTCAAATGGGTAGGTTCTAAATCTTTGAAATTAGTGTTTATTCAAAATAAATGAATAATTAAATTCATTTAATTAAATAATTATCAAATGGAAAAGTTTGAATTACTTTTATTTCTATATTCGTCTATGTTTTTTAATCTGTCTTTAACTGTGAGGCTGTTGAAGTAAATTGCTTCATTCTAAAAGCCGTTTAAATTGTTTTGTTGAGTAGAAATTTGTTCTATCTTCTATTCAGTATCTTTTATAGCTTTGTTGAGTTAATTCAATTCATCAATCAATTTCATGTTCTACTCTGTATACTCTATATTAGCCATCAAAGCAGAAATATCTTAAAAGTCTTTTGTTGAATTAAATAGATTTTTTATTGTACTATTTTCAATTCTACTGCCTATTTCAACATTATTTGTATTCATAAACTGTTATTATCCAGTAGCATTCAGATTTGAAAATACTGTGAAATTAAATTTTTAATCATCAAAGTTGAGGATCTCATTCACTATTTTTACTTAAATATTTTCATCGTTGTTAGCTAACCCCATATTACCACTAAAATTACTAGCACATAAACTTCCTTTTCTATTATTTTATGGGTTATTATTGTTTATTAAAGGCTAATTGATAGCTAAATTTCTAGTATTGTTATTTGCTTGACCCTCATTCTTTTAACTAATTTTACTACTGCTAATTTGCTAGCATTCCCTAATTTTATCATAGCTATATTGTGTTTCTGAATCTTATTTAAATTAATTAGAATTAGAAATTTTTAAAGTATTTGTATTATCCTCATCTTATTAAGTAGAAAAAAAGCGAACTTAATCATCCAACTCTTCTTGTTATCCTTCTTAAAACTGTTTTTAACCTTCGAAATCGTAAATAAGCGATTTCTAAGAATATATATTTTATTGATTAGATGCAATAGTGTCTGCTTATATCTGCTATTAAAGCTTATGTATTTGATGAATACTCTACTAAGAATTCTTATGACTTTCAGAGTAAGGAATATCTTAACTAGAATTAGACAAATGATTTTAATGCATATTATTACAACTTTAATTGCTATCCATATTCTACTAATCTAAATTTTAGTTGTGATTTAATACATTTGTATGTGTTGTTAAAGTGCTCTATTAATATAAAATATTAGAAGAGTTAAAGCTTTTAAGAGTTTACATGCTTTGCTATTATTGAAAAAGTTATTCTTGCTATATATTTTTGCATTAGTTGTGCTTAGCAGAGCTCTTTCCATTTAAATCTTCCAACTTTAAAGTATTATCAATATGAGGGAGGAACTGCTAAGAAAGTGGTTTGTTTTAAGATGAGTTAAACGCTTCGTTTTTTTAGCTTAAGCTATACTATGAAGAGTATTATTGATTATTTTAAAGTACCTACTAGCTCAAGTTTTGATTACAAAGAGGATTTTAAATACAGTCAGAGCTATTATTTACACTGTTTTCAAATGAATCCATTTATTTTGTGGTTTTTCTTGCTTGTCTTGTAACAGATAATAAATTATGAGGTTACTTTTTGCGTTAGTAATCCTTTGAGTATATTTAATTGTTTTAATTCCCTATTTTTTGCTTCTTTTAATACTCTTAAAGCTGCTTCTCTTTGATATTTGAATTTATTTATAGCAATCTTTAATTAAATTGATAAACGCTATTCAAAATCAAAGAAATCTTAAATAATTTTTGTTTACGCTAAATAAATAACAATCAAATTTGAATTTTTATTTTTCAAACAAAGAAGCAAGAAACATACATGCAAATATTATATACCGCAAAAATATTAAATTGAAATTTAATATTTTTGAATTGTATTAAATAAAGCTGATTGATTGGTATTTAATTCATAAGTTCGTATCATATATTTCTTTTTTATTAACTAAATTAAATTAAATTAAAATAAAATAGATTAAAATAAATTCAAAATTTTATGTTTTTTTTAAACTCAAAAATTCTTAATCTATTTTAAAATATTGAAAGTAATAAATAAATAAATAAAATTAAGAGAATCACTAATTCTTTAAGAAATTTACTAGATATTGCTAAAAGCATTCAATAGTTTAATTTATTATTATGTTATAAGTTTTATATGAATAACTTAAAATCAAAGGATAGGGATATCTTATAAATTTAATATAAACAAATAAAATTAATATTTTATTTTTTATGTTATTTTGGAATGAAAAATATAACAAAATTAATTATAGCTAGTATTGCTACCATAATAGTATAATTAAGACTAGTAAGTAAATAAATAGAATAAAAATATTAAAATATGATTAAGAATCATAATTATTATAGCATTAAAATATAATTTTGTTGATTAAATCAATAAATTTGACTGATTATTTTATCTTTTGAAATAAAATAAAAACATAAATTTTACAATATTCTTAATTATTCTTAACAAAGAGTAATTTATAGGATCGAAATAAAGTTAATTTATCAAAATATAAAATAGAAAAATAACAAGTTCTAACTAAACCTTTAATAAACAACAAAATCGAACTAAATGAAATAGATTTAAGAAATGAAACTTGAAATTTTCTGATCATCATTAAGTAAGTATTTATCTATTACTTTTAACAGAGCTTATATTCTGACCTACTCTTATAGTTAAAAGACCTTAATAAAATGATGGTGAATAAATATTTGAAGGGGTATTATTTTAAAAAACTAATATGAATTAAGTCAATTGGTAGTATATTTATAAAAGCATAAAACTAAAAAAACCCCCCTCAATATTTTTAATAATACTACTTAAATAAAAGTATAACAGAAGCAAACATTTTTTGCTAGAACTAAGCAAGTTAATAATTTTTATTATGATGAGCTTGTATCCTTTTTGTTAAGTGATTCTGTATTTACTTAGTAAAAGTAGCTTTAAATAAATAAATATCTGTGTCTGTGATTTGATTAATTTTTTGAAAATTCTTCTATTTTTAAGATATGCAAATAAATTTAAAAGTTAATTATTTTTTGATTTGAAAAAATTTTTTTATAAATTTTGTAAATTGCTTTATAATTGAATTTTTGCAATAGAAAAATATTTTTAAATTTAAATTTTGAAATTACATTTTAATAAATTTAGATTTTTTTTCTTTTTCTGTACCTTACCTTACTTCTTCTTCCTTTATTTTGCCAGAGCTTACTTTAAAATTGTAAATTAATAAATAAATATTTGTTTATAGAACTTTAAAGATATTCATGTGTTTTTTACTAAAAATACTTGAAGATAGGACGATAATAGAACGTTTAATAACAAGATATATTTTTAATAAATACTAAAATAAATGATAGGAATTTAATTATGAATTTTAGGTAATATTAATCGGTATACTGCGAGATATTAAATAGTAATTTATTTTCAGTTTTTTTTATCATTTGACCACTAATAATCAAAGGTATAAAATATATAAAATGACACGCATTCATTTATTCATTCATTCTTACATACATATATACATATCTATACTTATATATAATATAAAAAAATTGGAGATTTATTTCTATTTGATAAAATCAAATATTCAATAATTAATCAGTGAATAGTTAATATTGTAGAAAAGTATCATTATTACTTGATGTATCTTCTTGTAATTTGTAATGACTAGAATAAATTGAAACATATAAAATACCATAACACGATGTATTTTTGCAAGCATATCTATGTTTTGTCATTTTTTCAATTAAAAGCTTAGCTTAAATCTATTTATATAAATATTTGGCATCAAACAACAAGCGTTGTAGTGTAATAAGAAGTAATTATTTTTTGGCGAAAAAAGAATATTCTTAGATTTTTATAAATATATCATTTTTGTTTGTTTATATAATATTTTACACTTATCAAAAAATATTAAATTTTTATCTTTAACGCTCATCTGAGAAAGGAAAGAGTGCGCTTTGATGCGTTAGGCTAGACATAAAAATAGAAAATAAATCTTTGTACATATATTTATGGTATTCACTTACTAATACTTTTCATTTTAGTTGAACTAAAATAGAATTATCTAGCAAATTATAATTTTAATTAAAAATAATTATTTCATTTCTAGCTATTATAAAAATTGTAAAGCTGTATGTTTTATTTGAATAAAATTTAAAATAATTTAAGACATGAGCTGACTAAGTTTTAAAAAATGGATCAAAAAAAAAGAAAAATAAAATTTGCATCCTTATAAATTTTAATAATTAATAAATAATTCATTATCTACTTACCCCCTTCTCCAAGTAAATAGATAAATTTGAATTATCAAAAGAAGTTCGATGATTTATTACTGATTGATCGAATAATTAATTAATTTATTTCTTTATTTACTTATTTAATTCCTTTGATTGATTTAATTAATAATAGGGTGATTGACTGACTGACTACCCCTTTTAATTAAAATAAGCGTTGCTTAGTTAGAAAGTTAAGGACTAGCAGCGAAAATTTCCTTTAAGTCGAAGTGACTCAATTTAATATAATAATTTAAAATACTGATTTAATTAATAAAGAAAAAAAAAATAGTTATTGCAAAAAGTAATTGATCGTTGTTTTTACATCGATTCAAATCAATCAAACAATCAATCAACCAATAAATACAATTTAATTCTTCGAATAATTTAGCTCTCTTAAGACCTTTTCACAAATATATTACATACTCACATATATTCATAAAATCATATAAAAAAACAAATAATTAATAATATGTCTTCATAAGCTTCATTAAGAGCAAGCGCTATCATGAGCTAAATGCAAGGTATTTCTATAATGAACCTCAGTCACAATCAACTTTCAATAATTTTTGATTCCCTTTAGTTGAGTGATATCTTAAAAATGAGACTTATAAATAAACAATTGAATGAATAAGTAAAACTCTACTTAGAAGAAGTTTACATTCCTCGCCACTTTTCTAACTTTAACTTAGAAGAGGAGAAAACTAATATTGAATAACTCTAAAAAAGATAACTCAATCTAAACTTCTCTACTCTCTTTAACTAAGAAGGAATTAAGTCTCTTTAGAACCTTAGTGCCTCTCACTAAGAGTTGGTATAAAATATCTATTCATGCTACAATATTTTATAAAATGGTATGTTTGCTTATGATAAAGGCACTAATTAATAAGTCTTCAACTAATAATTGTTCCAAGATTTCTCTTAAAACTTTGACATCAATAAGTTATCAATCGAAACCTTAGAGTAGCTCACTGAATAAGTTTAAAAAATAAGCATGTCAGTAATTACTCCTTAAATGAGACACATTGCCCTTATGGTTCGTACATTTTCATAACTTGTAATGAATTTCTAATTTTCAAACAAGCTTAAATCTACAAAACTAAGAGTGAGTTAATACCAAGTCGTTTAAAGCATAGTCAAAAAGTCATGCCAAATTTGAATATGACAGCAAACAATACAAAATAATAAACAAACAAGAAACCAACTCACCCTCTGTCATAATCTTCCATGTATGCTTACATACATAAATATAATATAATTGACAAGCCTTACGCTAACATTTTACAGACACAATAATTGTAAACAATTTTTCTTTCTAAATAGTTAACAAAAATAATATATAAAATCTTCATCTTTCTACTATATATTTACCTTAATAACAACAATCACTACCAAACCAAATCAACCAACCAAAAAACCAATAAATAAATAAACACACCCTATATAAAAAATCTCTCATTTAACATTCCTACTAACTTATTATTACTATAATTCTATAAAAAATAAAAAAAATCTTCCTCATATAATCTTTCTTTATTGTTTATATGCATATATATATTTTACTTATTTAAGTAAGCATATTTAAAACTTTACAAAAAGAATTGTAATTAATTAGCATATGTCTTCCTTTTAATTTTTCTTATATGATTTCTACTCTTACTTATTCATAAATTCCTCACATATTTATTTATTTTTTTTTTTGCAATAAATTAAATTTTGTCCACTCTTTCATTATCAAATCTAAGAAAATATATGGATATCTTAAATCGAATATTAATTAAACTCAAATATTTAAATTATTCAAATCACTTGTTTACACTCTCTTAAATTATTTAAATTGATGAACAAAAAAATCTTTTAGCACGACATCTAAAGGCATTCGCTTATTCACTCATTCTCTTTCTTACTAAAAAATACAAAGATAATTGTAATTTATTTATTGACTTGTAAATTTGGTTTAAATTGTTTTCATAAATCAGTTAAAAAATTATAATTTGTAATACAAAACAATTTTTCTGTAAGTAAAATGAGATAAATACATTACTTTAAATGATCTTCTAATGACTTATGTTGACAATTAGAAAATTAAAGTAATGTGTGGAAATTATTCAGTGCACAACGCACAAAGGCTTGCACCTAAAAACTCTGTTTTTTTATAACTTGATTTAAGTAAAAAAATAAATTGTATAGGTTTTTTTTGGCAAAAGTAAAACGATTTATACTCTTTTAGTTTTAACTAACTGATGCCAAAAGATACCTTAAAATAAAATAGCTTACTTAAGAAAAGATTCAAATTTATTGCTTATATTTTTCAAAATTAATCTATTTTGATATTTATTAAATGTTCTTTTCCTTCACTTAATTTGAGTCATCAACTTCTTATAAAAGAAATTTATGACACTTCTGTTTTATTCATTTACCAAGCTAGAATTTTTAATGAACTACAACTGTATTTAGCTTTAAAAAAATTAGATAAGTAAGTTAATTAAATCTCGAAGTTTTTAATTTATTCTTTTCTTGCTTAGATCATTTACCAAACATAAATGAGCTTATTTTAAACCAGAATTTATATCTTAGCATTATAATGTATATCCAATTTCTATAATAAATATATTTTCTATTTTATTATTATTTTTTCTAATTTAATGAAATGTGATTACATAAACTAAATTCAAGCTCTAATAATTCTAAATCTAATATAAAATTTTAGACTATCAGTTTTTTGAAAAAATTTTAAGTCTTAAAAATATCAAAATTCTTAAAATAATTTTAAATGAAAACAAAGTAAATATATAACTTTTTATTACATACATTAATTGATGAAATGGTTGGATGCTAACTAAATCATAAATGCTTTAAGTATGTAGTTTTTGGTTATTTTTATATACCAAATGATCTAAACATAAATGTTAAAAATCTTCACTAACATATTACATTTAAAATAAATTTTTTTTCCTATCAAAATAGATTTTTATATCTATTTTACCCTTACAGAACTCCTACCGTGTATTTTATAAATATTCTAAATATCAAAATACATTATATCTACTCTGCTTAAAAAAAATATTTGACTGTATAATTAGGGCCTTGCTTTTGAATTTAAATAGCATTAACTTAGTTAATCTATATAACTAAAATTAGTGTTATGATTTATTTCTGTGATAATAAATATATTTTTAGCCACAGCGTATATTATTATTATTACAATAAAGAATTTTTCTTTTTTAAACATTAATTAAATAATATTTAAAATTATTTACAATAGGAATCAAAACAAGGAAATTTTAAATTGATAAGTAATATTGTTAAATTTCCCCACATGTGGAATAAATATTTATTTATTGACTTGAATAATATATTTTTAATGTAAACATAAATTTTGATTTTAAAGCTAATAAAATTTACCTCCCTATTTTATCTAAAAGGTTACTTAAAGCTGGGCTATTTTTCAAAGAATGGAGGATTCAATAATAATTTAAGAATATTCATGAATAATACCTTAATAAATTATTTAAACAATTATCTAAACAGTTTTTAAATGGATTTAGTTGTTGGTACATAAATTATAAACGACATGATTAAGTGGTAATATTTAAGCCTCAAATATGTTATAAGTTGTGATTTTAAATTACTCTTTTGATTTAGTTGTTAACAGATATGTTCACGAATAAGATAATAATTACGAATAGTAATAAACATATATATGAAAAATTTAAATAAAGTTAGTGACTTACAAATTTAAAAAATTCAATATTATAGTAAGTATTGTAATTCTTATATCAATGAAATTGAGCATTCTTAGATCAATCGCCTGTTTTGTTGTAAAAGGATTTCTTTAATATTTGGTTAGGTATTCTAAAGTATTATGGATTGATCATATTCATGCATGCATACATTCTTGCTTACTTATTCTTTTAGCTTATGTATTGTTAAATGCTTACAAGCTTTGCAATAGACAGTGATAGTAATATTTAATAATAATAGCTAATAGAAATAGGATTTATTGATAAGATAGTAATCATTAATAAAATGTTAATACTTGTGGATTTTATTGATTTAATTTCAAATTTGTATGCCTTACTCAAGCTGTGCGTTCATGAATTTAGTTTTCACTCTTATTTTTATCTTTCTTTTAATTCTTTCTAAAGTTTCGACCAATCAAATTGGACTTCTTAAATTTCAGGATCAATAACACCACCCTTAGTTGCTTCACCAATCATGATATTTCTATAGGTTAATTCTTACATTCTATCCATAAAGCTTAACCATTGTTGAGGTTCTTCAACGTCTTTAATATAGGTATCTTGCTTAGCAATAAGTTCTTCAATGGTCTTCTTCAAATATGGGATCTTTTAATCAGGACTAATGGCTTCGAAATCCTTGTAAATGAGGTTAAATACTGCAAACTTGTGATTTTCGAGCAATTAAAGTTTTAAGCGATGGAGTGGTGTAGGTTTTCCGTTTGGAAGAGTTTGACGAGCACCCTATATCATAATAGCAACTCTTTGAGGCATAATTGCCCAATCAATAAGCAAAAGATTTTCAAAGTTGTCAAGACCAATAGAGTTGAACTCTAATCTGTTTTAAAGCAAAACACCAATTGATTTCCATTCTTTATTGTTTTCCATAATAGAATCTATTTATCTACTAGCATCCCAGGTAGCTTCAGCATCTTAGCAGGCAAGCTTGTAAATATCGAAATTCCACTTGGGGAAAATTGATTGCATGTAGTATCTAGCAAGCTTTATAGGATAGTAGTTTAAAACAGGCACAACATATTAATTCTTACAAATATTTTTCACAAATTTCTTCCATATTTCAGCATCTTTTTTATAAAATTTGTAAATATTTGATGAATAGTGTATTTGTATGAATGATGCATTAAATTTTAAATTTTGAGTAATCTGAATTATTTTTTCTATTACCAATTAGTTAAAATTAACTAATAATCTGTACAATTTTTAAAAGTATTAATTGCTCATACTTTTACATAGCCAATCACCCATATCTTTTACTACGATATCTGTTTGAATCCTTTTAAAATTTCAGATTCATTTCAAAAATTAACTAGCGTAATAATATGGGAAATAATCATTAGCCACACACCTTTAAAACCATACAAAAGAATATAGCAGTAACAATTAATTTAATTTTGAAAAAATTAATTATTTGTTACTTCTGTTCGTATGCAAGCATATCTCAATAATTAAAAAACCAGCTTCAATTAAATTATTGTAAATTTAAAAAAAGTTATAAGGCAAAATTTACTTGACTGTATTAAGTTTTGAAGTAATTAAAAATAGTAATTTATTGATTTACTTTTTTTTTAATATATTCTATATGTATTACTGATATTTTACTTGTATTAAAAATAAATAATTACTAGATTTGATTTAACAAAACCTAACCTCAATAAAAGCTAGTTTACATTTAATTTCTTAAATGACAAAAATTAATAATTCTATAACAATTACTATTTCTACTAAAAAATTAATACTAAATTTTCTTACAATTATTAATCAATTTGTGTGGAATTTATTTTTATCGACTTAAAGTATAGGCATTACATATATCTTAAAATTTTTGCTAAAAATAGAATTTAATGTTTTAATTTACCTTTATTTTGTTCAAACATTAATGAGAAAGCGACATAATGTAATTCTGAATGTGATAGGTTGGATTCTAAATTTTCATTGAGCCATGGTTAAATAAATTTCTTTCTGAAAACAGGATCTACCAAATCTTAAAAGGCAAAAGCGTAAAAGGTTCTGGCTTTATCAGCATTTGAGAATTATGACCAATGCTTTTCAGCAGCCTTTTAAAGTGCTTTATAGAGCTATTCAGATCCAAAACCAGCATTATTGTTTGCTTTAGAGAAACCGTATAAAGCATTTGAAGTCTAGAAAGCATCAAGAGTATCAATATTCTTAATAATATATCTTTCAATATGAGTTAAAACATCCTTGAAGGTAGTGAGTTATAAGTTATTCAAACCAATTAAAACTCTTACAAAATCATCACCCTAAATTTATTTAGCATTATTAGCTAAAGCATCAGCAAGGTGATCAACAATTTTATGCTTTTCTTTTAAATCTTAATCTTTTTCTCTAATCTCCTTTCTCTTGTAACTATATTTATTAAAAATATTTAGATTAATCTGAAAAGTCATTTTGCCCAATAAAATTTATAAAATTCTTATAAAACTTAAATATTTTTTTTGTTTCATCAAAAGTAAAATACAAATTTTCTGCATCTATCTTAATTCTAATTAAAACCTTTTGTCATGTATCAACAACGGTTTTAATTAAAATTAGCATTTAATCTAAAACTAATACAAAAATAAAAATGTTTTTATATTTACTTTGGGAAAAGGGAGTGAGAAAATACAAACAAAAGAGCTATAGCTTCTTAAAGGGTTTTAATAGGTCTTCTACAGATTTCATCGAGTATTAAATTATAATATTTAAGAGAGTTAATATGTCTAAATGCGAAAAGAAGGTGAGACAAATCTAATACAGAAGGAACATTATGGAGCTCAGTAAAAACAATATCATGGATAGCCTTTAAACAGTCACGAGAAAGTGATTTAGGGGACAAAGCACAAGAGGCATATCTCATTTTAACAAGTTCCATGACAGGATAGTGATGAATAGATTACATAAAATTTTATTCAATTTTCTCCCAAATTCCAAAAACATCTTTATTGTATCTAAGTTTAAAAGAAAGGACTAAGCATAAGTCAGGTAAAAGTCTATAATTCATGTTTGAAACTTTTTGCTTGATTTCTTCAAATAATTTTTTGCATTCTTCATTTTCAGAGTAGAAGTCATCTTCAATAATAAACTCTTAGTCAATACCAGCTCTTTTAAGAGGAGAACCTACAACAATAAAAAAACATTAAACTAAATTGCTTTCAAAAGTGATTTTAAAATAAATATTAAAGACGACTGACTGTCTTTTTAATATTAAAGATAAATTCAATTTTTTTTAGTAGAATTCAAAAAGAATTTTCTTTTTCAGATTTTTACTTAATTTCTAAATAAATGATTGATTTATATAATAACTTAAATATTTTTTAACAGTATCAATATCTATTCCTTGATGAATTATAGCTTTATTATAATCAATTACCTTCTGATTCAGTTGCAATTTTTAAAATAGTCTTCAATGTTTCAGCGAGTTCTGGTACCTTTTCAATTTAAGGAGTAAACTAATTTAAAAAACTTATTTTTCTGTCAGCTTATTCAAAAAAGTGTTTTCCATTTCTATGATGAAAATAGAGTTCCTTCTACAAAATACGATCATAGTATCTCTTAGGAGCTCCTTGTTCTCCAAAAATTTCATCCTTTTCAACTTTAACTACTTCTTCTTCAACATCAATTTTTTAACCTTCTAAGGTTTTTTAGGCTGCTTCTTCTAATTCAGTTTGATATGCTCTATATATATTTTCATAAAATAATCATTAATTAATTATCTTTAAAATAATTTAATATTTTATAGCTCTGAATTAATTTAATTTGATATTCAATAATTCATTTTATCATTGATCTATTAATAGAAATATATCTTTGCTTTTAATTAATTTATATAAATGCTATTTTCACATTTGAGTACTAAATTTGCATATATTATGTTAGCTAATTAACTAATTAATATGACTTATATTCATACTATCTTGAGGATGTTAATCTTTTTTAAATCTATTTATTCTCTGAAATATATCAACTCCTCTCATACCCAAAACAAAAATTCTAAATTTATTATTTTATATAATATATTAATCACCTGAAATCTGCAGTCTAAAATCTTTTTTTTGTCATAGCACCAACAGGAGCTTCATACCATTATCTATCTTGCTTAGTTTTTATCTTTTGTTATTTATCATAACCATATTTAAATGGCTTTTCAGGGAATACTTCAGCAGAAGTAGCCCAACGATTTTTGTCAAATCCTTTAAAACCTCTTCTAATCTATTAAAATAAGGAAGAGACGCTAGAAGTACCTTTATTAACAACTTATCCTATCATGCTAGCAATTTTTAAATTCGTATCCTTTCTGTATATAATAATTTCTAAGAATCAAATTAAATTATTCTTCTTGTATTTTCCTTAACTTTATTTTTATTACTTTGTGTTTTAGATAAGTATATCTTTAAAATCTTTCTTTTTCTTTCTTTTTGTTTGCAATTTTTGTTTGAGTTCTCTTCTTATAAACATAATCAATGAATTAATGAATGAATCAATGATTGATTGATTATTTATAAACTCTCTTAGCTTTTTATTATATATTATTAGAGTAGTTTATTAGGTTTAATTTTCTTAAAAATCATTTATTTTACTTTCTCTATTTTTTACCCTAACTTAAAATAATTAAAATTTTCATTTCAATCAAAAGAAAGTAATGTTTTTTAAATGATATTCCTCAAAAAAGGTACTATTTATATTTTTAATTTAAATTGTTTGTACACATAAAAATAAAAAACACACCAAAAACAAAAAATATTTTATATTTAATCATGTAAAAAATTAATTTTTTATCTTTTTCTTGATAAATTAATTCGAAAAAAAGTTTAGAAATTTAAAAGTAAATTTGTATATAAATTTAAAAAGAATTTTAATTAAAATTTATTTGATAAATGTTATTGTAATATTTTAATTTTTTTAAATTAGTTTAGCTGGTATTTTAATTATTTATTATTATTTTATTTTATCTATAAAATTTTTCTTTTTTTCTTTTTAGGATATTTTTTATTAGTTTAAACTTAATACTTTTAATTTTTATTTATTAATATTTATTTAAATAAAATATATTTTATGTATTTTTGTTATGATTTTCGTTTATTATGATAGAGTTAAACTTTTTCATTTTTTTATAAAGATAAGTAGTTTGTAGGTATTAATTTCATTTAAAGAGTATTTTAAGCTAAATTGGAAAGAGAATAGTCAGGATTTAAGGAAATGATGCGTGCGTACTTAGTAACCTATTAATAATTTTAAAGAAATTTTTAGCTAATAAAAAGCTATTTTATTTTTGACATTAGATTTTATATTAAATTCATTTTTGTAAAAAGCAGGGGTAACAGTAGTTTTGACAATCCATATTTTTTTATTCATTTAAAAATTAAAACTATAATGCTGCAAATTATTATTTGGTATGGCTTTCAGTTGATAGATTTAGATCGCTTAATGTTGAACTGTGAAACATTTAGGTCTGAAAGACTTGAAGCGATTTACTATCTAATAATTGTTTGAGTGTTCTCTTTTAAAAAATTAACGGGGCTGTTTTAAAAATTATTTTATTGCTTGATTATAGTTTACTTTTTTTTCACTTTTTTTCTTTTTAATTTTTTTATATTAATTTAATATATTCGTTAATAATTGAAAGATTCTAAAATATAAAATATATGGATACAATTTTATTAAATAGAAAGATTTGGTAACATCTAATCTTCTAACACTTTCATTATTTCCTAATATATTTAAGATTAAAAATATGAAAATATATATAAAAATAAATAAATAAATAAAATACAATTATTAAAAATTTAAAAAAAATTTTTTTGTACAAATAAAATAATTTCATAACAGAATCATTTATTAATTTTTTTCTTTGTAAAATATATAATCTGTCTACCTAAATATTTTTATTATTTTGGTAACTCCTATATTTTTAATAAAATTCCTTTTTGATTATGTATGATTGATTTAATTGATTTTAAAATAAATAGATGAAGAATTTTATTAAATGTATTCCATTTTTTTGAACAAAAAAGAAATATATACATTTGAAAAAATTAATGAAATAGTAGAATATGTAAAAATATATTGATTTTATAAAAATTCCATTGATAAGATATTCATTTTTATACTTTAGAAGTTAAAATTTTTTATAAAGTTTAAAATTATTTGCATTTAATTGAGTAAAAATTAAAATTAATTTATTTTGCATCAAATCAAAAATTAATTTGTTTTATTTCAAATAAAACATTTATTTTAATTTTATAATAGCAATAGATAATAAATAAGATTTTTTAATTTAATTTTTAAAAGTAATACACTTTAGTTGGTTAGGTTTTTTATTATGAAGTAGTTTGTTTTCTTTATTTGAGGAAAAACGTTGAAATTTTTTCTTAAAAATTAGAAATATTTCAAAATGAATGTCATAAATTTTCTTTATGTTTTTAAATAAAAATTTGAGTTTTTTTTTTTCTTTGTCAAAGTTTCAAAGAATTTGAAAAGCATTTTGGTTTAATATTTATTTGATGATCTTTAATTTTTATATAATTAATATTAAACGAAAAAAATTAATAAGATAAGCAGCACAACCCTTATAGTTATGTAAAATATTAATACGTAACGCTAGCTTATAATGGTGAGCGCCAAAAATAGACTAGTAGTAACTAGTGGACTGACTAGTCAGAGAGCTATATTATTTCTACGAATCAAAAGTTTTTCAATAAGCTCTCAAATATGATTAGGAAAAGATTCATCTATTGAAGTTTTTACCATTCGATGGGATAGTTTTTCACATTTTCGCATAAGTTTTTAAGGAGCACTCGTTTCTAGCAGGAAAATAAAAATTGATTTCACCTATTTACTGACATGCAATAAGTTTTTTAAATTTGGAAATACATTCATAAGCCCGGCCAATCTTTAGATGATTCCTAAAACTCTCTAAATAATTGATTCATTTAGAGGTTTGAATTTCTTAATCATACTTAAAGCTCACTCGGAAGTCGACGTTATCTCTTCCCGCTCTTCTATTACCCAGTCTTATTTCCTTAAAATTATATTTAATAGTCTTTCAAAATTAAGTAGATGAGATTGATTAATTTAAGATATATAAGCACACAAAATACAAAGAAATTAGAAGCAAACTAACACAATATTAAGAGAACACATTAGATAAATAGATTGAGATAAAAATATTTTAGAAGCAAAAAACTACACAAAAAATATAAGTTCTAATTTAAATAAAAGCACAAACTATACAAAAAATAAAATAATTTAAAATATAATTGAGATGGAGATTGATTAAAATAGAAACAAATAGATCGCATTATCATTTAAATATAAAAAAATATAAAAATTTAAACTTAAATAAAATAAATAAAAAAACATTAAAAAGAAAAAAATAAAAATAAAAATATAAAAATAAATAAATAAAATATAAAAAAAATGATATATTAAACAAACAAATTAAAATAAATAAAAAATAATTAAAAAAGAAATATCCAAAAAATATAAAATAAATAATTAACTAAAAAATAAACTAAATAAAACATAATATAAATAATCAAGTTATTAACACCTAAATAAATCACATTGCGCACACATTTTTATCATATTTAATTTCAATTTTTAGCTGATTATATTAAGCTGAAAAAAATTTTTTTAGTTAAATTTTCAATTAAAAAAAAATTAAAAAAGTTTGACAATCAGTTAAAGCTTTCCCATAAATTAAAATTTCCATTTGATGAAGATGTGATTACTTTATCATCAAAATTGCTTATAGCTCCATATACTATTTTTTATTGTTCAGTTGATAAACTCACTTTCTTCTGCAAAGTAGAGTCGTTTTTCTCAAACCAGATTTCTATCGCGTTGGATTAAGTATTGTATGTGGTCATAAAATACCCATGGAATTAATTTTATGGTGTAAGAATATTAGTTATCTGATTTTGAGCTTAAACAGAATATAGATTTTTTTAAGTATGATAATCCCATAGTTTTAAAGTGCCATCTTCATTACCACCGCCTGTAATAAAATGATTTGACTTTAAGTTGCTCCAGCTCAATGCTCTTACATTAAATATGTGCTATATAATAAAAACATATTTAATTTAAAAATAATAATTTATAAATTTACAGAGCTTTGCTAAGTGAAGATTGGAGCATTTTACTAAAGGCTACTCCAAACAGAAATTTCTTTGTTACTACCTGAATAAACAAAATCTTATTTATTAGCATTCCATCTTAAAGACAAAACTTCGTTGCTTTAGGATAACTTAAATTCTTAGCTAATATATTTTTTTTTTCTTATATCTAAGTTATATATCTTTTTTAATAAGTTAAATGAATAAATAATAAAATCAATTTATTAATAATGTTATTATTACAACGTTATTTTTGCCTGCTGCAGTAACAACAAAAGGAGATTGCCAATCTAAAACTCTTACACATTTATTTTGTTTCTACAATAAACCTATTTATTAAAGATTCACCAAGTCTAACAAAACAACAGCTCCCTCACTATCAGACACAGTAAACAAATTCTATTAATCCTCAGAAAATTTAATACAAGTATTGAAAATTGTAGATTTTGTTGAGTCATAATTTATTTTAATCTCATTCTTCCTACAAAAAAATATGTTTTTAAATTTTTTTTAATATTAAAAAAAGTATTTACTGCTTTTGGTTTATGTTATATAGAATAATATTTTTCTACTCTACTAGACCTACAAGATTATATTATCCATTGATATCTAGTGGATTTATTGACAAATCTTCTTTAAATGTAGATAAGTTAAATGCTTAGGAAGGTTTTTATTTTTTAATTGTATCTTGATGTCTTTAGTTTGAATAATCAAATTTAGTATTCTAGTTTAATTGCATTTTTTAGTTTTATTCACCAAATCTGCTGAAAAGAAACGAAACTAAGTACTCATCAGATTCATCTACCATAATATCACTCTATTTAATTGATCTAGAGTTAATACATTTAAAAATATTATATTTTTCAATAGCATTTTGTAAATTAGACAATTCTATTTAACATTTCTAAGTGTTTTCTTATGCCTATTTAGTAAGTGCTTGGTCGCTTTTATTGCACACATTTGATTTTGGTTAGACCTTATTATTTGTTGAATTTAACTTATTTTGTGTTTGTAAATTTTACTCATTATTAATATTGTCTTTTCTGATAGAATGTAACTGATTTATTTTTTATTAGGTTTGCAATAAAACTTCCATTTTTAGTTTTCAAAGAAAAATTTTGTTATAATTGAAATTATAAATTGATTATAAAATTTTTAGAGAAAACATCAGTTTAATAAGCTTTACTAATGTTTAGCTACGACTAAGCTAACACATATTAAATTGTGATTCTATTTATTCTAAAAAAAATAAGCTAACTTGCTTAGAAAATGCAAGTAAATAATGAACTGAATTAAATGTCCTTATACTTTATATTTTGAAATGACCAGATTCGTTGAAATTATAAATTATTCATAATATAAATTGAGATATGGAGGATTTATATACTATTTGCATTTTTTAGTATTTAATTAAAGGATTGGTAAATTTTTAACTTAATTAACAAAACAAGAGTTTCCTAAATAACATATAAATTAAGAAATTAACCAAATCAACTTGACAAGTTAACAAATCTAACAAAAAAGTATTAAAAACTAGCAAAACCTCATTATTTGTTATTTTTTGTTGAAATATGAATGGAAGTTAAAGATATGATTATTTAGGACCAACAAATATTTTTTTGAGAAACAAGTAAAATAATTTGCTTTTATTGGGGATATCTGTTTAAAGGTGATTAATATTTTATAAAAGGGAATATGAAAGACATTAAAAAAAATTAGAGGAGATAAAAAGTATTAAAACCAAGGGTACATATTATAATAAATAGCACATTGAAGGCATTAGAGTTTACAACAACATTAAAGTCAACAACAACAAATTCAAGGATAGAATAAAGAATGATGAGCTTCAAATCAATAATAATAAAATTTTGAAAAAAATAATAGATATAAGTAGGCATGATAATGGTTTGAGCAAGACTCATGTAAAATAGATTTAAGATATATAAATTTTGAAAGAAATTTAAAATAATAGTTTTCATAATTATCTCCAAGAAGGGCTAATATAGAAGAGGTTGACAAAATAATCAGAGAAAATTAAATTTTGTCAAACAAAATCAATAACGTGTATTTATTTATTCATTTGCAAAATTAGCCTCTTATTGATTATTAAATTATTTAAGAGATTCATAGCTAAACAACAAAAAGTTTGCTAGTCATTATTAGCTACTTTATGAGTGCAAAAAGCGAATTCAAAGGTTTGAAGTTATTGATTATGAAAAAAACCAAGTTAAGCTAAAGTAAAAATTGCTTTTATTTATTGATTTATTTTTAGAAAAATGTATTTTCTTTGCAAAAAGGGCTTATGATCTTGCTAATTCAACATTTAATGGAGGTCTTACACAAGCTCATAGTCGTTTAAGTTAAAGAAAACAAGTAAATTTAAATATTATTTCAATAAATTAAGTCATAAAAAATTAAACTTATAATTACAGTCTCTTAACTTAAATAGCAATGGCAATCAAGATGAATTTTATGAAAATAATGATCATTACAATTAATAAGAATAAAATAATTCATTAGGGGATACTTAAAACCATCACCAAAAGAGCCAATTATCGAATTATAAATAAATTCAGATTACAACAAGTTAAAACAGCCCAAGAGAAAATCAATTTGATTCTGGAAGAGCTAAAAGCTGTGAAAGAGATAGAATTTCTGTTTAAAGAAAAAATCAGTAATTTTAAGGGTAGAATTAAGGATATTTCAATTAAAAAGAAAATTATGACAACTAAACTTAAAGTATTTTAATTATATATACATTCTTTAAAAATTATTTCATTATTATTCCTCAAACTAAAAATTAGATGTGAAACCTTAGAGATAAATTGGTACATCAGAATAAGCCAGGTATAGAAGCGTTAGCAGAGGACGTGGAGCAAGTACTAGAAGTTCTTACGAACCTTCAAAAAATCCTAGTGACAGCTAGCTACCTGCTCATAGGTATTTTAGAAACTTTAAAAGGGCCAATCCTGAAAGGCAAAGTCTAAATTTAACTTCTAACTCTATTGGAAATTAAAAATTGAATGTTTCTGATGAATAAAACCTAAATAAAACTGGAGAATCCAACTACAAAAACTCTAGCAACAAAAGTGGAATTTCTTCAAAGCAAACTAATGAAGGTGATTTCTACAACGAAGATGGTTATGGGTATGGTTAAGAAGAAGAAAACTCAACTTATTATAAAAAAGTACCTAAAAGGCTCAATTAAAATTATATTTAAAAAGGTGAGGATACATAGTCTAGTGATAATAAACAAAGCGTTGAAACAAATAAAATTGCTTAATAAGAAAAATAAAATAATATTATACAAATAAAAAATAACTCTAGAGCATATTCTGCTAAGGGAAGTTAAAAAGATAAACTAAGATCTACAACTCCTAACAAAAATATGATAAATAATACATCGAATTAATAAAGCTAATTTAAAGAAGAATAGGGTTCCTCTAAAAATACTCCAAGAGGTTTAGTATAAATCGAATAAGTAGATAGATCATAAATTCAATCAAGATAAAATGATAAAAACAATAGAAGATAGTTTAACTAGCACTCAGATAAACTTTAAGGTGATAATAGTAAAAAAATGAATAATAGTTAATAATAGAGTAAAATAATATAAGAGAGTAACTATACAAAAGAATCTTTTGATATAGAAGAAAATATAACATCTTAAAGTAAGTAATTGAATGGTTAAAAAGATTCTAAAGAAGATTTGAACGAAGAATACAACTTTGAAGATGAAGATTTTGTGTAGTAAGAAGAAAGTTACTAAATTGATGATGACACTAAGAAAAAATTCATGAACAATAGTAAAAATTTTTACAAAGATAAAAAAAAGGAATAATACCAAATTGCAGAATAAGAAGAATATGAAGAAGACTTTGAATCTCAGCTAATTAAGTCTTCTAATTAACAAAATAAAAATTAATAAGACTCTTAGAAAATGAAAGTTTCAAATAATTAAAATACAAGCAAGATTTAAAAAAAATAAGAACATGATTCGAATAAATTTGATGATTTAGAATCAAGTAAATTGAATTCTAGCCATAATGTTTCTGAAGTAAAAACTGACAAATCTAAGTTAATTTCTTCTTAGCTTAAAAATGAAATAAAAAATTAATAAAATTAAGATGCAAAATAAGTAAGTAAAAATAAAAGCAATAAAAAGATAGCTAACAAAGATTAAGAAGATAGTATTAATAAATATGAAGAAGAAAATTTTGAATTAGAAGAGTGAGGAAAATTTGATATAGAAGAATCAATAAAACATATTTAAAATATAAAAACTTTATAATAATTAGAACTATTAGAAAAACTATGTACATACTAATATTTATTTATCAATTGAATTTGTCTTTTATATAACATCCTAATTTAATCTTATTCTAATTAATTTAGAAGAGAATAAATATATTTATTAATCTAATAAACATATTTTTGAAGTTTTTTTCTTTAAATTTTTATACTTTTTTAATAATTTTTTTGTTTTTATTGTATAGAAATGTATAATAATTAAGTGAATGATTGGATGGTATATTCTTATTTTATTTGGCTAAAATTTTAAAGTATGGTTTTGAAGATATCCTTAAACAAATTTAGTTGTTAGATTTTGAAATTTATATTTATCAACTTGAATATAATTGATAAAAAAAAGGGAAGTTAAAAAATCAAAAAATAGTTGTATTTTATGGTATTTATTTTTAATTGGATACACAGAAAGTGGATATTAATATCAAATTATGAGATTTTATAAATAAAATATAAATATTATAGATGATATTTGAAATTTAGAACTTTTTGTTATAATCACTGTTAAAATTGAATTGATTGCATTTGATAAAATCAAAAATTAATAAATAAAAGCTTTTGATGGTTATTTATCATCACAAAAACTTCAAACAAATTTAAAGTAAAAAAAGAATTTGCAATTTTTTATATTAAATTAAATTACAAACTATTTAGAGGAAGATAAGATTTATATTACTTGTAAAGTAAATTATAAACAATAATAGTATTAGGAAGACATAAAAAACAATAATTCCTGCTTAAACAACAGTGTAAAAATTTAGCAAGCAGACAAACAAATAGGCTTCCTAGATCTTCATTTTAGTTTTAATTTTAAATTATAAATAAATCAAAAAAATAATTAAATGCTTGCATCAAAAAGAGAATCATCATTATAACCACCATTTACAGCAATAGGAGTATCGAAAATTTTTGAATCATGTGTTCAAAAGTAAGTTATTTAAATAAAAGTATCATTTAAGCAAATATTTATTGTTATTGAAATAGAAATTTTTCATTAAATGATAGTCCTTTTAAATAAGCTTTATTAAACGTAAGTTCGTATGGTAAAACTTGGAATGCTCTTGTGAAGTAATTATTTTTATTGATCTAACATAATTATTGTTGATTTTTAATTGAATTTAAATGTTTTATTGAGCAATCAATGATTTTATTCATGGTAAAATAAAGATGGGTGAAGACTTAGATTGAATCAGATAAAAATGTGTTAATACCACAATTCGGTATGAACTTTATTTAGAAAAATTAGAAAAAGTTAGATATCTTTAATAAATAATAGGTTAAATTAAAGGAAAGTTAATAGAAGGAGCTGATTAAAAATCAGTGGTATTCTCACTGAATGATAGCTTTTTAATTTAAAATAACTTGAAATATAAAGTAATTATTTTAAAAAATTAATTTGTAAGTAACTCAGTGGTAATATGATAAAAAATTAGAATGAATATGATGATTTAACCTTCCCATAAGTTAATATCTAGTATAGCCAAATAGCTAAATTTGTAGAAATGGATAAGACTGTTGTTCAATATATTATTAACTCTATCTTCACAGAAATAATGAGTGTAAAAGCAATTATTATTAAACAGATAAATCTAAATATTTATTTTATTATATTTAGATTTTAGTTAATCAGAAGAAAATCAGTCTTAACTTAGGGTTGCTTGGTATTTTTAAGGTAGATTAATCAAAAAATGTAGTATTTATGCCACAATCTCAAGCTTAGGACTCTGTTATTATAAAGAGATAAGCTATAAGAAGTTTACATTAAATAACTTCTGCTAAACCCTAACGTTTACCTAAATTATTTAAGGACGATGATAGAAGTGAACTTCTTAATTAATCTATAAGGGACCAAGTAATTAATTATTCAACTTGTAAAAATTTTAATGTTTAAAATATTTTTTTTTATCTCATACATAGACTGATCTAAATGATTCTTTCCTCAACAAGACAATGTTAACTTACAAGAAAGCTCAAAGCTAAGATTTTAGTCAAATGAATCTTTCTTTTAATTAATCTTCACTAAATAATATAAATAACAATATGACTTTTAATGTATGACTTCTAAAAAATTTTGAATTAATATTTTAATCAACTTTTATTAAAAAAGGCTTTGAATCAAACAGGATACTCACCTTCTAATCCAAAAATTCATAGACCAGCTCCATTATAAAATAGAAGAAATTTTCGTTTTATGTAAAAAAGCGTCCTTCCAGATGATATAAATAGCGGAATGTCTTTTCATTAACAAAAAATATAAAGCTAAATGAAACATATTTTAAGAGAGCTTACTCCAAAAAAAGAATTAAGTAATTTATTTAGTAAACTAATCATAAAAGTTAATGCTATTTATTATTTAAATTATATAGAGACTGTAGATGAAACAGAATCCCCAACAAGGAGATACATAAAACCTGATATTTCATTAATAAATTAAGATTTGCTTGGGGCAGGCACAGATCCTTTGGCAAGAGAAAGTGACTTTTCAGCTTTAGCATAAAATGCCTCATCTTTAATTAATGCCCACTTTGTAAAGCCATAGGTTGCTAGAATAAGATTTCCACCTGTTTTGGACAGATCATCTAGAACTATCGCTGCTCCAGTCTCAGCTACTATGCTTAATCTTAGTCCTTCATAAAGAATAGGAACAAACTATACATACACAGCAAGATTTTTATATTTAGACTAGGATGATAAATGTGTTAAAACATTAAGGAACAGTAATAATAGTATTTAATTTTAAGCTAACAAAGAATACTTATAACCCACAGCTTCTTTAGAAGAAGAGTTACTCCATTATGTAGATAGAGTTCAACATCCAGAATTAGAAGCTAAGATACGCTCAAAAAAAACTTGTTACGAAAGATACTAACTATATATTCAAGAATAAATCTCAAAAGATCAAGTAGCACCAATGAGGTAATTGAGAAAAGCAAAAAACTAAAGTATAATTTTTTTAAAAAATAAATAGATAGTATTGGGTTGATGCTATATTCGAACTTATTCCTGGTTAATTTGACCTTTTGGATAAAGAGTATATTGGAAAGCTAATTGATAGAATGTTAATAGAAATTAGCTTAGATTATTATAATGCAATTAGAAAATCTATTTTAGATTATGTTTTAATCAACGAAGAAGAAAGATAAAGAGTTGGAATAATGTAAACTTTCTTCCCTATAGTGATATATGGCGATGGATATTATCAAGGTATTTTCTTTTAGAAATTATAATATTTAAATATTTACTAGAAATATCTAACAAAAATTATTAGGAATAGAACCTGATGATGATTGGAAAAATAATTTAATGGCAGCAAAAGATGAATTACTTGATAAAATGGTTATATATAATAGAGCTACTCTACAAATTAGCTTTGAATGGAATACAGAATTTAAGCCTAAAATGAAACTACTTCATATTAGAGAAAAAAACGAGGGTAAATTATAAAATTAATAATTATTTCTAATTTATTTATTTTTTGTAAATAGAATTAGAAACAATAAATAACTTTAGAAGCTAAATGAAGTATTTGAGGGATTAGGCTTTCTAAATTATTAAAAAAGATTGGAATGAATCATTAGTTAGTATTTATAGAAGTATATTACTTGAAATTGAAGATAATGATGAAGAGTCTGAGAAATTTTTTGATTCTACTGCTATTTTACTTAGCAACCTAATTAGATAACACATTACTGAGTAGGTTGATAATTATTGCAATTTTTTCAAAAGATTTGATGTTTATCCTCGTTCACCATAAGAAATTTTAGCTGATGATAAAAGAGATTTTATTCATTCCACTCATTATGATGTTTTTTTGAAAATAATACTTGTTGCTGATGATAATTAAAACGAGATCAAATTCGAAAATGAAATTGCTCAAATAGAAAAAGATCTTATTGATATATTAGAAGATATGATTAGACTTTCTCATAACATCGCAAGGCCAGAGCATTCCTTAGTTAGAAGCGAAAAACATTATCTTTTTAAAATTTAAATTGATGATAGCTCAGATGAAACCTCGAATGATTATCATCTTAAAAGCAATAAAAGAAGTAATTCTAATAATTCCACCGATGAGCTCTATATAAACTCAAAGAGAATGATTGAAAGAATTATTTCAAAAAATCTAGACAAAGTTGAAGAAGTTTTACCTATTTACAATGAGTTTAGCTTCTTGTTAGATCCTATAGACAAATTTGTAATTAAAAAATAAAAAAAATAAAATAATTTTAACATTTTTATCTTTTTATATAAATAGATAAATGAATTTTTAGACTCTACACCAACAAGAGAAGACTACATTAAAAAATTTAAGGAATTTTAATAAATACAACTTAATATTGAATAAAACCTTCCTCCTTTTATCAGAATGAATATGATTCTCGTAGATGGGTGCTAAGTAAAGAGAGAATATGTTAAAATTTGCTCATAAATAATGTAAGAATTTTTTTTTTTTAAATTATTTTATTAATAAAATTTTAAATTTAGGGAAAAGCTTGCTGATAGTATTGGAGAAACAATAAAATAAAAAAGCTTGCAAATGGATGCAGACATTACCAAGCTGCTTTAAAACATATCAAAGAACGTAGATAGTACTTAAACTTTGGTTCATTTAGAATAAGAAATAGAAAGGATTAGAATGAAAGAAGAAAGAAGAATCACATTAGAATATAAAGATTTGTGTGAATGGATGTCATTTTAAATAGGAAAACCTCGTAGAATTGACTAATCTGAATTTTTGAAGTTGTATGGTACTTCTCAAAATGTTTATTAGATGATGGATTAAGTAAATTGCCTTATGAATTTCAAATTTTAAAACTATAATTCCCCTAAATAAAGGTTGACAAAGAAGAAGAAAGAATTAAAGAACAAAGAGAACAAATAGAAGAAAACTTAAGAGTTTAGAAAAATAATTTCTAAAAAAAAATAGAAGAATTTCAAATTAAAATATAAAAACTTAGAGAATATAGCTCACCAATAATGTCAGAAGATGTTAATAGATTAATTTCCGAATATAATACTACATTAAATTAGATGATTGAAGAAAAAGCTTAAATTAATCAAGATGAAGAGCTTTTAGGTATTATTATTATTTATATTTCATAATTAATTTCAAAATTTTATAATCAGGATAAACTTAAACTGAGTTTCCACAATTAGAAGAAGCTTTATAAAACTTAAAACCTTATGATGACCTTTGGTCCTTAGTTGCAAATTTAAATAATAATCTCAATTCATGGTCTAAAGAAGGATCCATTTTCAGATTAGATCCTGAAACTATAGAAAGAGAAACAAAAATGATGTTTTAGACTTCTATGAAATTAAATTTCTTATTTAACCCTCACCTTGCAGTAATTCTTTTAAATTATATATTTGTCCTCTTTTTAAAAATTATTCATATTATAAAGACTGGATCTGCACCTCCTAAGAATTAGACTGGACCTGGCAAACTTATTAGCTAGTTAGTTGAATAAATTAAAGAATTTTAAACCCAAGTACCAATTGTAAGAGCTTTATGCAATCCTGGTTTTAAATAAAGACATTGGGAAGAAATTACAAATGTGGTTGGTTTTGTGATTTCAATTGAAAAAGAATACACTTTAAAAAGATTAGTAGATTTAGAAATTATTGATCACCTTCCTAAATTAGAGGAAATATCTGAAGCAGCTAGCAAAGAATTTGCTATTGAAAAGATACTTATTAAAATGAGAGAAGACTGGGATTAAGTTTAAGTTGAGCTTAAGGGCTGGAAAGATACAGGGACTTATATTGTTTCTGGTAAAAACCTATAAAAATAAAGATATTTTTTTATAAAGAAATAATCATTTTTAAAAATATTTGATTAATTTACTTTATTTTTATTTTTTGAAATGATGTCTTCTTTGCAATAAAAATATTGACTTTATTCAAATTGATATTTAGGTAGCTCGATAGATGAAATGTAATAAATTTTGGATGATTAAATTGTTAAAACATAAACTATGAAGAGTTCCCCCTACGCTAAGATTTTTGAAAAGAAAATTAATGATTGGGAAAGTTGGTTAACATTTACATTTGATTTTTCTGAGTATTGGGTAAAGGTTCAATCAGTTTGGATTTATTTAGAGCCTATCTTTTCTTCACCAGATATTTTAAAAAGACTACCTTATGAAGGTAATTAATTAATTTACTATATTTTCTAAATTTTTGAGATTTATAAGTTGATGGTTTATATTTATAAAAGGTTCTATTTTTAGAGAAGTAGATTAAAATTGGAGAGTTATTATGAAAGATATTCATGATAAATTAAAAGTATTAGAATTCACTAGGAATAGACATTTACTTGAAATTTTAAAAGAATGCAATAATAAATTAGAAATTGTTTAAAAAGGTTTAAATGCTTATCTTGAAGGAAAGAGAGCTTCATTCCCTCGTTTTTATTTCTTATCAAATGATGAATTGCTTGAAATTCTCTCAGAAACTAAAGATCCTTTACGTGTTTAGCCACATCTTAAAAAATGCTTTGAAGGCATATAAAAATTAAATTTCGACTTGAACAAAAAAGTACACGGTATGTACTCTTCCGAAGAGGAATATGTTGAATTCTTAACCTAAGTTGACACAGCCAGTGCTTAAGGTAACGTTGATGAATGGCTTTTGTAAGTTGAAGGTAGTATGATAGAAGCAGTTAAGTATGCAATAGAAAAATCTTTTGAAGATTACTAGAAAATAAAAAGATCTTAATGGGTTTAGGACAGATGTGGATAAAGTGTCTTAAATATGAGTATGACTTACTGGACATACGAAACAGAAAAAGCAATTGGATTAGGACCAAAGGGTATTCAGAAACATCTTGATTATTTAACCTAATCAGTAATGAGAATTTGCGATACTAAAAAATTAAAAATTTTTTATTTATTTAATAGATTGAAGACATTGTATCTTTAGTTAGATAGAATATATCAAAGCTTAATAGATGTACTATTGAAGCTTTAATTGTCCTCGATGTGCATAATTAGGATGTAGTTAGTGCATTAGTTAAGGAAGGAATATCTAAAAAAGAAGAATTCGCTTGGTAATCGTAATTGAGATATTATTGGGAAGAAGCCAATACTGTAGTTAAGATCATAAATGCAGTTGTTGAATATAATTATGAATATTTAGGTAACTCCCCAAGATTAGTTATCACGCCTTTGACAGATAGATGTTACAGAACATTGTGTGGTGCTATACATCTTAATTACGGAGGAGCTCCAGAAGGTCCTGCAGGTAACAAAAAAAAAAAAACAATTATATTTTTTATTGAAAAAATTTAATTTTATAATAGGTACTGGTAAAACTGAAACAGTCAAAGATTTAGCAAAGGCTCTCGCCCGTTAATGTGTAGTATTTAATTGTTCTGATGGTTTGGATTACAAAGCAATGGGTAAATTCTTTAAAGGTTTAGCAAGTAGTGGTGCATGGAGTTGCTTTGATGAGTTTAATCGTATAGACCTTGAAGTGCTTTCTGTCGTTGCTCAATAAATATTAACTATTCAACTAGCCAGAGGTAAAGGTGTTGATAAATTTGTTTTCGAAGACACTTTGATTCCTTTGAAACCTACTTGTAATGTATTTATTACTATGAATCCTGGTTACGCAGGTCGTTCTGAACTCCCAGACAACTTAAAGGCTCTTTTCAGAGCAGTAGCGATGATGGTTCCTGATTATGCCTTAATTGCTGAAATAGTACTTTATTCCTTTGGTTTTTCTGATGCAAGAAACTTGGCAAGAAAGATCGTTACAACTTATAAATTATGTTCAGAGTAATTATCATCTTAAGATCACTACGATTATGGTATGAGAGCAGTCAAATCAGTCTTAACTGCAGCTGGTAACTTAAAAAGAAAATATGTAAATGAAAACGAAAGTGTATTGATGCTTAGAGCTATTAGTGATGTCAACCTAGCAAAATTCTTAGCTTTCGATCTTCCTCTTTTCAAAGGTATAACAAAAGATCTCTTCCCTGGTGTTGAACTTCCAGAAATTGATTACTCAAATATGTTTGAGTGCATAGATGAATCTCTGAGAGAAGAGAATTTGTAAAAGGTTCCATATTTTGTTGAAAAAATTATTTAATTATATGAAATGATTCTTGTAAGACACGGTTTGATGGTTGTTGGACTTCCTTTTTCAGGTAATTAGCGTTTTGAATTTATGTTTAAAATAAATTTCTACTTAAAAATAGGTAAAACATCTGCTATTAAAATACTATAGAAGGCTTTAACAAAATTAAACGAAAGAAAATAAATGGATGAGAACAAGGTATAAATTACAGTTATTAATCCTAAGTCTATCCCAATGAAATTTTTGTATGGTTTTAATGATGAAATTTCTCATGAATGGACTGATGGTATTCTTGCAGTAAAATACAGAGCATTTGCTAAAGCTGAGGATGATGATCGTAAATGGCTCATTTTTGATGGACCAGTTGATGCAGTTTGGATTGAAAATATGAATACAGTACTTGATGATAACAAAAAACTATGTTTAAATAGTGGTGAAATTATCGCAATGTCTAAATCTATGAATTTAATTTTTGAACCTATGGATTTGTAGGCTGCTTCTCCTGCTACTGTAAACTTTAATTTATTTTTCAATAATTATATAAATTAAATGTCTGAACTTTTTTCTTTTAATTTAAAAGGTATCTCGTTGTGGTATGATTTATATGGAACCATCAAGTATGGGATGGTAGCCACTCTATTAAAGTTGGAAGAAGCACTTACCTAAAACATTTAAATAAGAGGACTTTGATGAGCTTGATTTACTGTTTGGATTTATGGTAGATGCAGGTTTGAATTGGATTAGACACAAAGGTGTAGAAGTTTCATCAACTTTAGATTAAAATCTAGTTCTTACTTTAATGAGATTACTAAAGAATTTACTAAAAGATTTTGAAGATGAAAAATTCTATAGTGGTTTTTCAGACTCTAAAATAAAAATGCAAACTATTGACAATAAATTTATGTTTGCTTTTGTTTGGGGTATAGGTGGTTCTCTGACTACTGAATATAGAAAATAGTTTGATGTCTTTGTAAAGAGATTAGCTAATGGAGATATTCCACTTGATAATGATAAAATACCGAGAAAGAAAATGTCACTTCCTGAGCGTGCAAATCTTTATGAGTACTGCTTAGTTAATAAGGTATTAATTAATAATAAATCTAATTTTTCTTTTTAATTATTGAATTTTGAATTTAGGAATCAGTAGGAGGTGGTGGTAAGAAATAAGTTGTAAGTGAATGGGTATTGTGGGTTGATGAAATAAAGAAAGAAGAAATATCAAATAAAATTTAGCCTTAAGAAATATTAATTTAAACAACAGACACTTCTAGATATTCTTATATGATAAATGTAGCAATTCAAGATGAATTCCCTGTTCTTCTTTGCGGTCCTACTGGTACAGGAAAATCTACTTACATAAAGAATATTCTTAATAATCACTTAGATGCTGTTAAATATATAACAATTGAAATTGGTTTTAGTGCTTAGACATCTTGCACATAAACACAAGAAATTATTGATTCTAAGTTGGACAGAATTTCAAAAGGAGTTTATGGGCCAAGAAATAAGAGATTAGTAGTTTTTATTGATGATTTAAATATGCCTGCTAAAGAGTAATGGGGAGCACAACCTCCTATTGAAATTCTTAGATAAAAATTAGATTAAGGTGGTTGGTATGACAATAAAGATAAAGAGAAATAGTTCAAATAAATCATAGATACGTAACTTATTAGTGCTATGGGTCCACCTGGAGGAGGCAGAACTTTCATAACTCCTCGTATTTTAAGACATTTTAGTTTAATTAGTTTAGCTAATTTCGATGATGAAAACCTACACAGAATTTTTGGAACTATTTTAGAATGGTATTTGAAAAAGGGATAATTTGCTGTAGAAGTTTAGAAATTTGCTTCTAAAATAATAACTGGTAAGTTTATAAAAAACATAAATACTCGCAATTTTTTATGCAAACAAAAACAACTAATATTGATTTGTTCATTTTAAAATATAGGTACTCTTGATATATATAAACAGGCTATTTCTGAATTACTCCCAACACCTGCAAAATCACATTATTTGTTTAATTTAAGAGATTTCGCAAAGGTAATTTTTGGTATTTGTATGAGTGATAAAGATAAAGTACAAAATCCTGAACACATAACGAGGTTGTTTGTCCATGAAATATGGAGAGTGTTTGGTGATCGTTTGATTAATGATGGTAATATATTTGTATAATCTAAACATCTTAATTATTAATTTTTTGTATTATTAGATGATAGATTATATCTTCTTGAAGAAATTAGAAAAGTTGTTGCTAGATTCAGTATGAATTTTGATAATATATTTGCTCATTTAGATAAGCCTGATTTAAAGAATAGAGGCTAAAAAGATGGTAAAGTTAATACTGTAGAAGAAATGAGAGGTCTTATATGGACAGATGTTATGAATCCTATGGGTGCACAAAAAAGATATTATGAGGAAGTATTAGATTACGATAGATTATAAAATGCAGTTGAGTAGGGATTATCTAACTATAATATGATGACAGATAAGCCAATGGATTTAGTCTTATTTAATTTTGCTATTGAGCATCTTTTAATCATCTCACGTATCTTGAAAAGTCCTGGAGGAAATGCCTTATTAGTTGGTGTAGGTGGTTCAGGTAGATAAAGTTTAACAAGGCTTGCTGCTTCAATTAGTGACTATAATGTTTGCTAAATAGAAATCTCTAAGCAATACGGAAAAGTTGAATTCCATGAAGATCTTAAAGTAATTATGAGGAGTGCAGGTTCACTTGGAAAACCTACTGTTTTCTTATTTACAGATTCTTAAATTAAGCAAGTAAAAAAATTTATTTAAGTAATTTCAACAAAAAATTCATTCTTTTTTTTTTATACCAGGAATCATTCGTTGAAGATATTAATAGTTTACTTAATACCTTTGAAGTACCAAACTTGTTTGCTCCTGATGAAAAAGCAGATGCCCTCGAAAAAATGAGAGTTGCCACAAAATAAGAAGGAAAATAAAAAGAAGGAACTCCAACATAAATGTATGCATACTTTATAGAAAGAGTAAAGAAAAATCTCCATATCGTACTTTGTTTCTCACCTATTGGTGATGCATTTAGAACTCGTGTTAGAATGTTCCCTTCTCTAGTAAATTGTTGCACTATTGATTGGTTTTAAGAGTGGCCTTAAGATGCCCTGTTGAGTGTTGCTAACAAATTTACTTAAAATATTCCTATGGATAAAAATATTAAAAAAAGTTGCATAGAATTGCTCTAATATTTCCACTAATCAACAATCAACTGGTCAAAAACATTCTTTTCTAAACTGAGAAGGTATTTACTTATTCAACAATAATAAATTTTATTAATTTTAAATGATACTTAATAAAAAGAAAATATTATGTTACTCCTACTTCATATATTGAAATGATCTAAAGCTTTAATAGTCTCCTAGAAGAAAAAAGAAAAAAACTACAGGCTGACTAATTCAAGTATGAAAATGGTTATGAGTAGATTATTTAAACTGAAAAAAATATTGGTAAAATGTAAGAAGATTTAGAAGCTTTGCAGCCTTAGCTCAAGCAAGCAGCTATAGACACTGAAAAAAAAGAATTAGAAGTTACTGAATAGGCTAAAGAAGCCGATAAATTAAAGAAAGTCATTTCAGAAGAAGAAGCAGTAGTTTAAGTTGCTGTTAATGAAGCAAATGAAATTAAAGCAGAATGTGAAAAAGATTTAAAAGAGGCTTTACCAGCTTTGTAAGCAGCAGAAGATGCCTTGAGAGTTTTAGATAGAAAAGATATCGATCAGTTAAAGGCAATGAAAAATCCTCCCCTGCCTGTAAAAACAGTTATGTAAGCTCTGTGCCTTATTTTATATCCTAATCCTTCAGAAAAAAAGAAAAACAATGAAACATTAAGAATCGAAATTGACTGGTGGGCTGCTTCTTTAAAGCTGCTAAACAACACTGGTTTACTTTAAACACTTGTGCAATTTGATAGAGATAATGTTGAAGAAGGAATTATAGTTAATCTTGGAAAATTCTTGAAAGACCCAGCAAATGAAAGAAACCTCGATATAAGTGTAGTCTAAAATGCTTCTACTGCTTGTAAGTGTATTATTATGTGGATCAATGGTATTTATAGCTATTATTTTGTTTACAAGAAAGGTAAATAATTAGTTTAAGATTACAAGTATTTTATTAATTTACATTTTAAATAAAATATAAAGTTAAACCAAAAAAAATTGCTTTGAGATAAGCTGAAGAAAAGGTAGGTGGTTTAAATGCTACTCTTTCTAAAAAGTAAAAAGAACTAAAAGAAGCAAATGATAAAGTTCAAAGACTTAATGATGAATTGACCTTTACTCAAAATAATAAAATAAGACTTTAGTAGAGGTATCAGGAGTGCTAGTTACAATTAGAACGTGCTACCTAGCTAATTGAATCATTAGGTGGTGAGAAGGGAAGATGGAAAGAATTAGGTAATTAAATAAAACATATAGATTATTAATTAAATAAAAATATTATAAAATATAGCTGAATAATTAAAATCTGAATATGATAAGCTTACTGGTGATGTTCTTATTTCATCAGGTGTAATAGCATATTTAGGAGCCTTCACTTCTGCATTCAGGTAAGAAATTATTACTGAATGGACTAAGCTTTCAAAAGAGAGAAATATACCCTCAAGTGAAAATTTCAGCTTAAGCCATGTGCTAGGTGATCCTGTTAAGATAAGATCGTGGAATTTAGATGGTTTACCAAGCGATAACTTCTCTATAGATAATGGTATAGTTATTTTTAAGGCAAGAAGATGGCCATTGTGTATTGATCCTTAAAATCAAGCAAACAAATGGATTAAGAAGATGGAACAACAAAAAGGCCTTTACATTATAAAACTAAGTGACAGTGATTACTTGAGAACCTTAGAAAATGCTATATAATTTGGAAAACCTGTCTTACTTGAAAATGTAGGTGAGGATCTAGATCCTTCACTATCTCCTATCCTTCTAAAATAAACTTTTGTTAAAGGTAACTCTGTTTTCTTAAAACTTGGTGATCAAACTCTTGAATATTCTAAGGATTTCCGCTTTTATATCACTACCAAATTGAGAAACCCTCATTATCTGCCTGAAATTTCAACTAAAGTTACTTTGATTAACTTCATGATTACTTATGAAGGTCTTAATGATTAATTACTTGGTATTTTGGTCAAGAAGGAGCGTCCTGACTTAGAAGAGGAAAAAGAAAGACTTATTATTGAAGGTGCTTAAAATAAAGCTCAATTATTTGAAATTGAAGAAAAAATTTTATAGGTTCTTTCCAGTGATAAAAATATCCTAACAGATGAAGAAGCTATTAAGGTTTTGACAGCTTCAAAAGAAAAATCCAACGAAATCAATGAAAAATAAGCAAATGCTGAAATTACTGAAAAAAGTATTGATGCTGCTCGTCAGGAGTATCAAGAAGTTTCTTAAGAAGGTAAAAACTACATTAATTTATTAATTTTTTAATATTTAAATCTTTATTTTTTTTAATTAAAGCCTCCCATTTGTTCTTTGCCATCTCAGATCTAGTGAGCATAGATCCTATGTATTAGTATTCTTTGGTTTACTATATTGACTTGTTCTCTCAATCAATTCTGAAGTCAGAAAAATCAGCTAATGTAGCTGTAAGACTTGACAATTTAAAAACATATTTCTTATATTCGCTATATTCAAACATTTGCCGTTCACTATTCGAAAAAGATAAATTGCTACTTTCATTCGTATTATGCGAGCGTTTATTAGAATTTAAAGGCTAAATATTAAATGATCATTTTAGATTCTTGTTGACAGGAGGTCTAGCTGTAAGCGAAAAACTTCCTGATTTACCCATTGACTGCTAGTGGTTGTCTAACAAAAGCTGGGGTGAAATAAATAGGTAAATTAATATTCTCAAAACCACTTAAAAAATTTTTAATATAATAAAAATATTAGATTGAGTGCTCTACCAAATTTTGAAGAATTTTACATGACATTCTATGACTACAGCAAATAATGGAAAGATATATATGACTCTCCTGAACCACATAAAAAGCCATTACCTAAGGATATTGCTAGTAAGTTTGACTCATTCCATAGACTTCTTATACTAAGAACTTTAAGACCAGATAAAATGATACCTGCTATTATGGATTTCATTACAGAGAGACTAGGTAAAAAGTTTATAGAACCTCCTCCATTTGATCTAGCTGCCACTTATTTAGATTCAACATGCTTTACTCCACTTATTTTTATTTTATCTCCTGGTTCTGATCCTTTTGCATCTTTAAATAGTTTTTCAGAGCAAAAGAAGAAAAATATAACAGCTATTTCTTTAGGTTAAGGATAAGGTAAATTTTAGATTTTTACTTATATTATTTAAATTAAAATTTAATTAAAGGGCCTGCTGCACAAAAAATGATCTAAGATGGTCAAAAGTCAGGTAATTGGGTTGTTCTGTAGAATTGTCACTTAGCTGTCAGCTGGATGCCTACTTTAGAAAAAATTATTGAAGAATTCAACACAGGCAATACTGATCCTGATTTTAGATTATGGTTGACTTCTTATCCCTCTGAGAAATTCCCAACTGCTATACTTTAAGGTGGTGTTAAAATGACTACTGAAGCTCCTAAGGGTCTCAAATCTAATCTTTTGGGTAGTTATTTAACGGATCCTATTTCAAGAGAAGATTTCTTTAACAGTTGCTAAAATTCAAGAGCATTTAAAAATTTACTATTTGGGCTTTGCTTCTTCCATGCGGTAATTCAAGAAAGAAGAAAATATGGTCCTCTTGGTTGGAATATTCCTTATGAATTCAATGAATCTGATTTACGTATCAGTGTGAGATAGCTATAAATGTTCTTATTAGAATGTCCAAGTAAATATAAATAATAAATTAAATTATTCTTTTATATAAAATTAATAAATTTTATTTATCATAGATAACAGTTCTATTCCTTTTGCAGCACTTAAGTATTTAACTTCTGAATGCAATTATGGTGGTAGAGTTACTGATGATAAAGACAGAAGATTAATTACGACACTATTAGGTGATTATTACAATTTGAAAGTGATTGAAGATCCATTATATAAAGTAATTATTTATCTATTATTTTAATTGGCATTAAAAATCAAATAAAATTAAAGTTTGCTCCCGATCCAAACTATAGAATTCCAGATAATGATTCTTATGAAGGAGCCTTACAGTTTATAAAAGATCTTCCTATATATACAAAACCCGAAGTTTTTGGCTTCCACTCTAATGCAGATATTACCAAAGATATAAATGAAACAACTCTATTCTTAGATTCTCTTTTGTTATGCTCTAGTGAAGGAGGATCATCTGAAGGTAGTTCTCATGATGATACTTTGAAGAAGCTGATAGAATCAATTATGGGTGATTTCCCAAAAGAATTTGATGTGGAATAAGCAATTATAAAATATCCTGTAAACTACAACGAATCCATGAACACAGTGCTTACTCAAGAATTAAATCGTTTCAATAAGCTAATTTCAATTATTCGTTCTTCACTTAAAGATATTAATTTAGCATTATAAGGTACTTGTTATTCATTTAAATATATTTACATAATTTTAATAATTTTTTAATTAGGTAAAATTCTCTTAAGTCAAAGCTTAGAAAGGGCATGTAAATAAATTATTGATGGCAAAGTACCTCAGCTCTGGATGGAAAAATCGTATCCATCCTTAAAACCATTAGGTGCTTATGTTAATGATTTGAGAATGAGATTAAAATTCTTTTAGGATTGGATAGATAATGGAGCACCAGTAAACTTTTGGATTTCTGGATTTTACTTCACTCAATCTTTCCTTACAGGTGTTCTTTAAAATTTCGCAAGAAAGTATGTAATTCCTATCGATGAGATTGAGTTTGACTTTAAAGTAAATTTTAACTTAACTAGAATATGAATTTAATTCAGCTTACATATTTTTACATTAATATAGGTTATGCATAAGTCAGAAGAAGTTAAGCCAGAAGATGGTGCTTATGTATTTGGTCTTTTCATAGAAGGTTCAAAGTGGAATCCTATACAAATGGAGTTGGATGAATCTGATCCAAAAGTAAATCATACATTTTTAATTATCATTATTAATTTTCTTATTAAATAGGTTTTATTTGTTTAATGTCCTACTCTCCTTCTTAAGCCATCCCAATCAAAAAAATTAAGCAATTTCCCTCATTATAACTCTCCTGTATATAAAACATCAGCAAGAAGAGGAACTCTTTCTACAACGGGTCACTCAACAAATTTCGTAATGTGGATTAGACTACCAAGCTCTAGACCTGAAAAGCATTGGATTAAGAGAGGTGTAGCATTATTGACACAATTGGATGATTGAGAAAAAAACTTAAATAATTATAAAAAATTTACTAAGAATTACTATAAAATGTTTAAATTTGTAAATAAATAAATATATTGTAAGTATCGAACATTTTTAAGTATTTTGAATATTTTCATTAATAAATAAAAATACGCAATTGCAAAGTATGTACAATATGGAAAAAAATAGTTATTATATTTATCTTTAAAATTTAACTTTAATTTAGTTTTTTGGGTAACCTTTAAACATGATTAAATTGAATCTATAATTATATTTATTTAAAAATAAAGAAAAAAATAATTTGGGGAAGTATGTATCATTTTTTTATATCATAGAATTATTATAAAATCACTTGAAAACTAATAGCTTGAAGTAAGAAATAATTATTTTCCTTATGAAAGCAATAAAAACCAATTTCCTTAAATATGAATCTTATTCATATGAAAATCATCTAATAATCATTTCTAGAGACTGAAGAAAGGAATTTGTTTATTTTTAAATATCAATTAATTATTTGCTTAAGCTGGAATAAAAATATAAATATCAGGATTTACTTTTTATTTAAGGGGATCACTAAAAAAGTTTACAATGTATGAATTTGAATAGATTAATTCTTTTATAAAAAACAGTGACTTACTTAATTTTAGTATGACGAAAATAAATAAGTCATTAAAATTGATTAAATTCATCTTTAAATACCAAAGTAAAAGAATAATTTTTTAGTAGCAAAAATAATTCAATCTTTAATTTACATGTACATTTTGAATCCATAGACTTTAACTCTTAAATTACGTATTAATTTGATATTTAATGAATATTTAAATCTTTATTTAGGTTTGATTGATTTTGATTATTTAGTTTATTATTTACTATTCGAAAAATCAAAACAAATTTTGAAGTAATTAAGATCGTAATTAATAATTTATTTTTCAAATTCATTGCTTTAAATCTATGTAAATTAATTTAATTATTTTTTTAACATAATTCAATTTAAATCATAAACATGAAAAAAATAACTTTACAATTATTTTACTTTTCTCGTGCTAAAATATTTATTTAGTTTAATAAATAAAATTTATGAAAAAAATTCAATCATTTTATAAAAATTTAATTAAGTATACTTTTATAAATTTATAATATACTTTTGAATAATACGAATATTGAATAATCAATTCATGACAAGATATATTACTATTCAATCATTTATTTAAAATGCCCATGTTTTGTTACAATAATTTAATTATTACAAAATATTAGCTAATTATGTGTAAGTTAAAAAATTAAATATTAATAATCATTAAAGTGCTTAATCCTTACATTAAAAAAAAAAATTTCATCCTAACTTTTTTTAGTTTTTGACTTTTTTTACACTAATTTTTCCCACAAAAATTGCGAGCTCAAGAGGAAGGTTAGTATAAAGTTGTTTATTATTAAGAGTGTGGAGAATAGCATGAAAAATTAAATTTGATTACTATGAATTAATTTTACTAATCAAATTTACTCTAAAATAAATATAAATTCAGAAAAAGATGCAAATTAATTATTTGTAATCTGATAATTTCTTAATTAATTGCAAACATTTATTTACTTATGATTAAGAAATAAATAAAGAAAGTATAAGAAAAAACTATAAACAGTAAGAAAGTGATTTAGATAACAAACAGTTAAAGTAAAAAACATCGAAAATTATATAATTTTTTTAATCCAATAATTTTTTATTTAAAATAAGATTTGAATGAAATATAGCTTACTTTTTTAAAACTTTTTTATAGTATTTCTATATCTTTTAGAGGTTAAATTTGCTTCATACACATATGAATATTAATTTCCTTGCATATCTTGTTTAAGCGAATGTAAAAAAATTAGTGATCCTAGTTGTAATACATATGTTTATAACTCTACTAATTGCTGCTATAATATTGATAGTTGCTTCGATTTAAATTCTTAAAATTATGACGGAGGTTTTTATGGAGGATTTATAGCTGGTAGGTGTATGAGGGATAATGATACAATTCTTTGCTCATTAATCAGTAAAAATTATTTGATCTAAATCCATACATTTAAAAATTTTATCAAATTACAATTTTTATTTCTATAAAATTTTCAAATATTTTTTTATTCATTTTATTAATCATTTTAAATAGCTTCTGGTTAATTTTAAACAACTAAAAAAAATATCTGCTTTTAAGATTAAGGAAATAGTTTATGTACTTTAAGAGTTATTTAAAATGATTCTAATATTATTGGAGCAAATAGTAGCTAAAACTGTGTCTATACATAGACTAATAATCATAGTATGACATTTTGCAATAATGGCTATTGTTTATATAATGGTTATTGCTTAACATATTCTAACAATTAACAATAGATTTACCAAGATAAATAAATTTATGGTGTAGATTTTAATAATGTTTGCATAAATAGCAACACTAATACTCGTGCTTAGTACTGCTCAAATAATATAGATAGTATATGTTCTTCTATTGAAGGTTATTGTTTTAAAATAAACTCTAGCTACCCAATAGTAAATTTTCTTAAAAATAATAATAAATTAATATTTTTTATTAAATGCGTTATGTAGGGAAAGTTGAGTAACACTAATTAATGCATCTAGGCTAATTAAATTTACAATTAACCAATTTATAACTGTTACAGATAAACTGATACTTTAGTTTGTTTATATCAAAATAACAATTAATATGGTTGCTTTTTGTTTGGATCACCTTATTCTAATTCATAAAATATAGTTGGAATAGGTTAGAACGAATCAAACTATTATTATACTTGTTATTAATAATAATAAGGAACACCATTTTAGTATAACTTAAATAAGATATCAATTAATCAATTAAATTTATTTTAAATATCAATAGATGTATTTCTGGTTACTGCATAGATGACAAAACTAATAATTGCTATTAATTTGATAAGACTTAGAATAGGATAGGAACTTAATAAGGAACTTATCTCTGCTTACCTTATAACCCTGGTGTAAATTAAAATCCTATAGAATGCATTTCTAATTATTGCTTACTGAAAAAAGCAAGTATCTCTTATTGCTAAAGTTTAGGCTAAGATTATGTTTATTGTAAATCAGCTTCCTAAGTATGTCTTGCAGATGGATAATTTTCTAGTTCACCTATCATTTAATCAAGTTTAGAATATTGCTCATATTAATTTACTATTTTTTCTAATTATTACTGCTAGCTAACAGATAAAAATAATAGTTCGCGTCAGGCAAAAGCGCAAGATGGCTCATGTTAATCTTTTAGCTCATGTAAATTTCTAATAAAATTATTTTCACTAAAATTTTCCTAATAATAATTAGCTAATTCAATATATTGTGCATTTGGAAATTATTGCCTTTATTAAAGTAAGTGTATAGATCTTGATTATGCTTACTAAACTTACAATTTACCTGCTAGGCTTAAAGATTCTACATGTAGTAGCGAAGGAGTCACAGTCAGCACATACTGTGCTTCTAAATATTGTATTTATGCTTAACGTTGTGTCTAATTAAATCCATATTAATTGATTGGAAAAGAAATAAATACAACTAATTGCTTATTAGAAGGGTAAACAAGTTAATATGGAGCAGCATTCTGTTATGAAGGGTAAATAATTATATTTAAATAAATATAATTAAAAATTTTTATTTTTTTTGTAGATATTGTAAAAGAGTAAATCCCTTCACAAGTATTATTGAATGCATTAAAATTTAAGATGAAGCAACCTGGGCCATTGATACAAATGGAATGTGTTTATCGAAGGTTTAGGCTTAATCAGCTACAAACATAGTACGTTGTTTATTTATTAAATAATTTTTGTTGTATTTAATATTTTATTTCAGTAATATTGCATTCCTAATAGATATTGCTTAGATCCAAGTGGATATTGTAGACTAACATAGCCTAATGAATGCATTGATTAAAATTACAGATGTGCAAATTAATTAAGCACAACTTAATGCAGACAATGTAATTTATCTTAATGCCTTATTCCATAAACACACACATGTATTTAAGTTACACCTGAATATTGTATCGGCTATGATAGTATAAATTTAATTTAATTTAACTGATTTTTATATGAAAATAATATATTTAAGATTAGTGCCAACTTATTGATCCAATTAAGCCTGTGATGTGTAAAGCTTGTGCAAGAAATGCATGCTATTTCTCTGCCTCAAGTAATTCAAATTCATTAAAAACTCAAGATTTTATTATTCATATTTAATCAAAGAAACTTGTTCATCATTTTAGAGCATTTATCTTTAAAAAACTTATTGTATTAAATGGAATGACTATGATTAAAACTGTACTTTTTAAAATATGGATAATCAAAATGATATGTGTGGAGCTTAGGATGGCTAATGCATTAGCATGAGTACTAATAAATGTCTAAAGTGCAATAGCTACACAGTATAAATTGGAGATTTAAAGTGCTACACTGCTGATTAAATTACTATAATTAAATAATAAAGCTAATAAAACAGCGGAAATACTCCTGTTGTTCGTTTATTTTAATAAATTATTAATTATGTTAAAGAAGATGTGTATTTTGATCAAAATAACTAAACTCAAATATGCTCAAATGGGTAATATTAAATAAAGAATTGATAATTTAGAAATATCTCACAATTTTTTTATTTTAAAGATGTGCTGCATGCAATTCTGGAAATAACTGCACTAGGTGTTCATAAGATTATTTTTTATTTAAAAATATCTAATCGTAATAACAGATATGTTTAAGCTGCAACGTACCTTCATTTTAATATAATGATTACCCTGAATATAGTTATATTTAACTCATGCAAAATTCTGCAATTGGATAATTCTACTAATTAAGTAATTATTACTCAAACATCATAGGCAAGTGCTCATAGTGTAACACAAATTTAAACTAATGGTAAGATTAATTTCCAAAATTTTATTAAATAAAAATTTTTTTTGCTAAAAGGTATATGCCCTAGCTCAATAACTTACTTTAGTGTAGTAGTTATGATATGTAGTATGGATAGCTTTAAAGATTTACCACTTTACCAAATATTCCTTCTTATTTTAAAGTAGTATAGGCAAACAATAATTAATTTTAGCTCATATAGTCTTCACCCCCTGCTAGTAAATGTAAGAGAGCTTATTAAAATAGTGTTAGTTTTAATTTCTTTTTGATCAAAATTAACAAGGTAAAAAATCAAATTGTCAGACATGCAGTTTTGATAATTCAGGATTAGAAACGTGTTTAAATTGTGAAAAATTTTACACCTTAAACTTAAACAATTAGTGCATTTCATGTCCAATAAACTGCACATCTTGTTTTTATGGAGGATTTTTAAATGGATAAAGTATGAATTGGAATTAAAATACTGATTATTATGACTGGCTAAAAAAGTAAACTCTCACTCCTTAGTTATATAATCTCTATTGTTATGAGTGTAATCAAGGTTTTACTTTAAGTAAAGATTACAAGTCATGTTAAACATGTAGTTCAAACTGCCTTTAGTGTGTTTATAGTAAATATTAAACTTTAAGACTCCAAGTAATAATTATTTTTTTAATATAGCAAATGGCTTGATTTCATTAATAAATAGATTCAATTTGTTAGATTAAAATGATTCAACTATAACATTAAAGTGTTCTTTGTGTTAATCCAACTACTTATTAAGCTATGATGGTAATTTATTTATACTTTAACAAGAAGAATGAGCTTAAACAATATTAAAAATTAAAAATATTGTTAACTTTTATTGATAATATATTATTTATTAAAAAGGGTAATCATGCTAATAATAGTAATCATAATGTATTGATATGTAGTATGGTGATGATGCTTCAAGAATATCATTTAGCTTAAATTATTATTTCTTACCTAGAACTTAGGCAAGTACTTTTTTTCATTGTTTTAAATGCATGAACACTCCAAGTTCTCGTTTAGTGGCTATTATTAATTCAGATAAAACTTCAAGTTGTGATGCTAGTAAGGCATAAATAATTGGATGCACTTATGAAGTATAATATTAAATTTCAGGAATCAAAAAGATTTATTGTCTACAGTGTGATAATAATATGGTATTTCACTACGAAGATTCTCTTTAGTGTTATGGTTTTTGTAATCTTTAAGTATGATTTATTAATTTCATTTAATTTTTAAATTTATCCTTCTTTAATTTATAGATTCTAGGGTGTTAAAGTTGTTATTCTTACTAAGCATAAGATTCAAAAAGTCTAATTTACTAATGCACTTAGTGTAACTAGGGAATGCATCCAACTTTTACAGGATGCTAATACTGTCCAACAGGGTGCAGCACATGTTATGAAAGTAATTTATAAAAAATAAAAATAAATTTTTTTATTAATGATTTATTATTAAATGCTATATTTTTAGTCTCATCATAAGCAGACACCAATAAAGAGATAGAAAATTTAACAAATCAAATTATCTACTATAATATACAAAATACCGTTTAAGATAGATTAAATTATAACAAAAATAATTCATATAGAACAATATGCACAACTTGCTAATAAGGGTATATATTAGATACAGAAACAAATTTGTGTAAAAAAAGTAGCTGTGGAGATAATTGTGGTTGGTGCTAGCTTATCAATTAGCAACCAATATGTATTTATTGTAATACTGCATTAATGAATTAAATCTTTTAATTATAGCAGTATATAGTTTCATTATACTAATTGAGCGCCCTTAAGTAAGATGACATAGTTAATTTTAGCAACCAAAAAGACAACTGCTACCTTTGTCCTTTTGCGTAATAATTAAACAATTTTTTATTTGATGAATTTTCATTATTTTTTAATTTCCATTTAATTAGTCGAAAATAAAAACCAATAAAAATTTAAATAAAATGAGAATTTTAAAATTAGAATACATTAACCATGAAAACTAACTTAAATTAGTATAAAAATAAATAATTTTAGTTTTAATTCAAAATTTTAACACAATCAGTATCAAAATTATAAAAATTTTTTAAGTTCTTACCTACTTTTTTGAGAGAGATTTAAAAGTTAATTTTTTTAAAAAAGATGTAAAACATGTAATACTACAGATACTTCCTAGTAAAGTACTAATTTGTATAACACATAATGCTTTTCATGTAAAGATATTAACAAAATTAATACTCCTCTTAAACAGGATTATGAATTTAGATATGATAATGAGAGATAGAGATGCACTTTGTGTAAAAGAAATGATCAAAGCTGTTATTACACTAAAAACACAACTATCTACGCTTAATGTAAAAACCTTAATAGCTAAATTGGAGATGGAACAATAAATAATCCAATCAATTTATTAAGAACTTAAGAAGTTAAATGGGATTAAGTTATACTCAATGAAGACAACTATTTAAAGTCTGTTGTTTATTTAAATGAGCTTTCGATAAAAGAGTTATATGTTAATATTATCCTTTTGGGGGATTAGTGTGAGGTTGATGATGATATTTTAATTAAAACCACACTTATGCAATAATTTTAAAGCTTAAGAGTTTTAAATATCACGATATTAAATTCTTAGAGGGTTTAAACTGGCAATATTTTTTAACCTTTTTATAAATTAAAAATATATAACTAAATATTGATATCTGGATTTTCTCATGTTACATTTAAGAATGTGAATATTATTTAGCATATTCTAACATATAGTTCAAATACAGTTAAAATTTAAGGTTGGAAAAATATCCAAAGTGTTGAATTCATTTAAGTTAACATTATTTCAAATGTAGTTGAACAAATTTAGCAAAAATTCTAAAATATGTATTATGCATCTTTCTAAATTTAACTAGTTGATTTATAGTAAAGTCTAAAACTTAGTGAATTTTAAATGCTAGCTTTCTAATTATAAAAAAGCACTTTTTTCAAACTAACCAATTAATAGAGCAATCCAAAAAATATAACTTTAGATTTCAACTAAGTTCAAATTCAGCAAGTAAATTATTTAATAATATATTTTTTTTACAAATATTTAAATTTAAAAAAGAATAAATTGATTAACTCAGTATTTCTAGAAGTTTAATCTGAAATTGTCAATTTTATAAATAAAAATTTTCTATTGATAAACAATTAATTAACGAATTCCTCTCAACTATTTAATTTCAATGCTTAATCAAGTTTAAGCTATGTTAATTCTTAGCAAAGCTAAATAAATATTGTAAACAATACTGTTTAAAACCTATCTTGCTTCTTTTTAAATCCCAATTATATCTAAAATAATATCTATGATATAGTTATTGAAAATAATATGTTTGCTAATATTTTACAATCTCATGGAGTTTACAATTTCAACTTAATTTAGATTGTGAAAATGTCAATCAAAAATAACATATTTAAAAACTAAATTCTATTTTAAAGTTTATAACAATCTTCTTAGTTGACTTAGTAGTAGTATTCATAGTAAGTGTCTACTTTTTTATTTAGTAATTTAAATATTTTACTCAATTAAGTTCAAAACCAAGAAATTATGATAGTAAAAATTGTTGGAAGTTAAGGCTTGTCTTAACAGATAAATATTAGAGATGTTTTGATTAATTAGTAAGTTAGTAATGTTTAACAAATGAGTTGTTTTATCTTTTCTATAAGTAATTTAAATACAGCGATTATTTAAGATTTATAATATCTTAATTCTAACTACCCTAGCATTATTTCTACAAATGGAATTAATCATTTAGTTATAAAAAATATTGTATTATTTTATGATACATCTTTCATTAATTCAATAAATTAATATTTGCTATACTTAAGTAACACTGCTTAAAATTTGCTAGTAAAGAATGTCAAAGCAAATAATTTGAAATCAACTAATAGCATAATCATGATTGATAACTAATTATTAGATACTTAACTACCCTTTAATTCATAAAGCTAAGTGAGGATATAGGATTTAATTTTTGATAATAATTCTTTAAATGTTGTTAATGTAATTTCTACTATAGCTGCTGTTAGGATTTTTTCTATTTAACAACAAGTTATTTTTATTGATAACATCCTTTTCTAAAAAAATTCTATTTATCTTTCAAAAGATACTGTAAAATTTATTTAAATTTAATATGAAGTAATTTTTTTACTAATTTTTATAAAAGATTTACTTAGGAACAGAATCTGGTTCAGGACTGAGTATAAATGCTTCAAGAAGCACAATATATATCACGAAATCACTATTCTAAGATTAATTTAGCTAAATATCAAGAAATACTCTAGTTGTTGAGGCTCTAAATTTGAATATAGTTTCAACAAAATTTTAAAATACAGCTAACATTGATAGTTATCAATTAAGTAATACTCAGGGATGTTTTCTTTTTGCTTCAGTGTGTAATTTATAAATTTCAAAATCTATTTTTACCAGAGGATTTGCTTAAAGCGGAGGAGCTATTTATTTGTAGCCAATAAAATAAGCTCTCCATTATTTAAATGATGTTGAGATTGATGGAAATATTTCTTCATTCAATTAAGTATAGAGCCAAGGCGGAGGAGTATTTTTAGATACTTCGAAGTGTGAATCTATTGATTTGTATATCAAAGATTCTATAATATAAAATAATTACTCTCTTTAATCAGGTGGAGCATTGTATGTTATTAACTCTCTCACTAAAATTTTTATTTCTATTTCTTCATGCATTTTTATGAATAACTTTTCAGGAGCGGATGGATCTTCATTAAGTGCAATATTTCCAAATCAATCAAAGGGAAATCTTTTGATTGAAAATTCAAGCTTTCTATATAATTAATAAGAATTAGATCAAAATTTATTCAGACAAGCTATAAAATACTTTAATTCTAATAGCTTCTTGTAATCCAGCATTTTAAATTTAGGAAATTTTGTGAATGTGGTGATTTAGAATAACATTTTTAGAAATATTCAATCATATTAATTAAGCAAGAGGAGCTTGAAAGCTAATAACTAAAATATTGTTTGTATGGGAACAATCGTAATAAATTAATGTCTAAGCTTATTAGATAAATAAAATTCTTACCAAAATATTTAATAGTGCTAGTCAGCTATTAGTATAAACTGTTAGATCATTTCTATAGATAGCTCAAATTATCGCTAGATCCAAGACTTTTAAATCTCAACTACTTAAAATATGCCAAATAGTTAAGATATGAATTATCTTATTTTGTATTCAGCTCAGTTCTTAATTGATATCAGATTTGCAAATTTTGAAAATATAATTTGTTAGTATTGTCAAAGAAGCTCATTGATCTTATCTTCAAAAACTGTCAAAATAACTTCTTCTACTTTCACAAATAATACTTCGAATAATGGTGGAGCTTTATTATTTAATGACTATTAAAACAATTAGTAATTTATGACCATAAAAAGTTAAAATTTATAAACATCTAATTAATTATATATTTAAAATTCTACCTTTAAAAATAACTTTTGTTAAAATGATGGAGGCTCCATTTATTTAAATGCCACTAATAACTTAGTTGCATCAATTGCTAATAGTATATTTAGTAATAATACATCAAAAAATAATGGGGGAGCTATTTATAGTAATCAACTTCTTCCTTAAACATAGTCAACTATTTCTATTATTTCATCTTTAATACTAAACAATTAAGCAAATAAAGGAGCTGTATACTACTCCTTGAGCAACCCAATAAATTTGTAAGATCCATCGAATTATATATAAAATAATAAAGCATTAGAGTTTGGAGCTGAAGATGTTTTTATACCATCAAGTTTTTTATTGATATATGATAAAGGATAATTTAATAATTTATACGCAATAAACCTAACATCGCAAACACTTGATGTAAAAAATAAATATTTTTTATTAAATTAAAATTAAATTTTCGAATATAAAATAGGTAAATTTTTATGGAGTGTTTTTGACTAATCATAGAGAATAATTCAAAGAAATAAAAGATGATATTTATTTAAATTTAGTTTACGATAGTAGTGTCTTGAGTATTACTCCTTAAAATATTCCTTTTTAAAATGGAGTGTTCAATTTAACCAAAGAACTGACTATTTATGGAAAATTAGGGATGAAAATTTAAGTTTAGCTGAAATTAATCTATTCAAATTAAAAATATTCAAATGTTTTCAATTAAATAAATAATTATCTTGAAAATCAAAAAATAACATTTTAACTGCAATAATACTGCTATCCTGGCTAATAGATAGTGTAAGTAAAAGGTAAATATGACACTTGCACTTAGTGTTAATATCAATTTTATAGCTTAGAATAAAATAGCAAATATTGCTCCAAGTGCAATATTGATGCAGCTGTTTGCTATTAAGACTAAATTTTACTAAAAAATGGTTATTGGAGAGAAAATAACAAATCTGATATAATTCTTTCATGCTCTGATAATAATTAAAATTGCATAGGTGATCTTAACCCATATGATGAGTCAAGATAGTCATAAAAAAAATTTAATTCTACTTAAAATTATTATTGCAAAGTTGGTAAATTAACATAAGCAAATTTCTTTTTAATTTTAAAGGTCTTATTTATAAATTAGGTCACATAGGAGCTTTGTGCTAAGATTGCGATTTGATGGCACAATATTGGAAAGATTCATTTATGTAATACGGTAATAAACAATGCATCAAGTAATTTTAATTAAAATTTAGATTTTTTGTTTTAATTAATTTTGTTGTATTAGTTGTAAGAATACATAGAATATCCTCATAATATTTTTGGTGATACTAGCTTTTTTTGTAGTTTTTGCCTTGATTCAGATATACTAAATAATAAAATCCACATATAATCAGATCCTTATTAAATATTGCAAACTAATTGGATTGGACACAAAGCAAGTTATTACTAAAACTGATGACACTGCAATTTATATAAAGATTTTAGTAAATTATTTATAAATTCTGTCAATCATTATTGATGCGGATATAGGTATACCTTTTTAAGTAGCTAGGATTATCAAATCAATAGCTAATCCCTTACAAAGTGCTTTAGAAACATAAGACTGTTTATTAAAAGAAATTTACCAAAATCTACAATTTTAATTTAACTTTATTTATTTTAGAGTAGTCGCTTCTTAAGTATTTTTATTGCTTGTAATACTTTGTATTTTGTTATTAATAACGACATGGAGCTTGCTTTTACGTAAAACACACTATCTTAAATCATACTTCAAAGTTGCTATATTATACTTCTTAATCGCTAATTAACCTGGAGTACTAAATATCATTTTAGGAACAGTAATTTAATTAAAAATAATTTGAATTAATTTAAGAATTTAATTTTTATATAGGCATCTTGCAACTAAATTGGAAGCAAATATTATATAAAATAATACTCTTCTATTGAATGCAATTAAAATCACATGGTTTATTCCCTAACTCTTTTGTTCCCAATTTTACTAGTTTGGACTTTAATATTTTAAGCCCTGCTATTTTTCTTGTTAAGAACAAAAAGATTTGACTTAGATAAAATAAAAGTTAGAATTGGCTTTGGATATCTCTATCAGGAATATACTCTAAAGACATATTAATGGGAATAAATTAAAATATTTTAGAAGACATTTTTAATCTTTTCATCTAATTTATTATTCTCTAACTCTATTTTAAATCTTGCGTGCTAATTATTAATAAATCTTATTTATAAACTCCTTTCAAACCATAGTAAAATTGATAAATTAAATAAATATAATTTAACATAAATAAATTTTAAAATAGTTAAACCATATTAATCTGCAAAGCTTAATAAACTCGACAATTAATGTAGTAATATTGGTTGTATATCTTTAGGATTAGGAATAATTATGACCTAATCAAAATAAATTTACCTAGAATTAGCAGCTCTTTTTTTGCTAGCAATTATTAACTTTTTTGGCTTAACCTTAATCTTTTTAAGGGTTTTTGAACAAAAAATAGACAAATTAAAACAATTATTTGAATCTATATATCCCTTTTTATTAAGATCTCAATTCTTCAAAAAGCATTTTATGCATAAAATTCATTTTATTCCAAGAAAAAAAATAACAGATCTATGGGGTTTTTTGAGAAAATTACTAACTAAATAAAAACTAAAGTATACCAAACTTTAAAGAAAAGAAGAATTCTATTTGATTAAAATGAAAAGATATTATAACCATTCTCAAAGTATTTTATTTAATATTGTTCATGTACAATACATTTATTAATTAATTAATTATCAAATAGATATGCTCACTCAAGTCACCTTAGAAAAGCACAAAATATAAAAAATTTTAAAAAAGAATCTTGAAAAAATTTAAGCTAGAACTTCAACATCTAATTTAGAAATAAGCCAAGTAAATTATCTAAATGCATCTATTGAATTTGCTCAAAATAGGAGTTTTGATGTGCTAGAAGAGCTTGATTAATAAGAAAAAAAATCAAAACTCTAATGAATGATCAAAAATAAATCCAAATAAATTTTAGCAAAAGGATCAAACAAATTAATTTTACAGAATAAATACCTATAAATAAAAATAAAATAATTTTTTTTGTTTTACTTTGAAATATCGACTTACTTTAAAATTTTAATTTATAAGATACTCATGATGTTAATTAGAAGCTTAATTTTTAGTTATTATGTTAAAAACACTACTTCACTCTATATACTATAAAATTATTTAAATAAAATAATAATTGATTATTTTTACTTCAATTTATACTATGTTGCTTATTTAAAATCTAATATTGAATAAATACCTAAAAATAAAATATTTAAAAAATTATTTTTATGTTAAAATAAGATACAGTGCTGTATTTCAATTTAATTATTTTAAAAAACTCAATTATTGTAAGTTTAACTAAAATGTTTAAAAGAAAACATAATTTAACTCATTAAATTTTAAAAATATTTTAAATAAATTATGGAAATTTTCAATTTCATTTTATGTTTGAAATTTTATTTTAAGACATCTTTAATAAATAAGGAAAACATTATTTATAAAATGAATAGCTACTTTTTTAATATGAATTATACAATATAAATAAATAATAATAATATTGATTGATACCAAATCAGAATTTTTAAATTTATTAAATCAAATGGTGTCCTCATTGGATATAGATTCTTTATATTCTTTTAAAAGTTTACTTTCGTACTATTAACTACTCAGCTACTTATAAAAAATTTTACTTGCTTCTAATTCATTTTTATTAGAAGGAGAGTATTTTTATTTGAAAGTACTCAAAAAACTATTAAATTAATCTTTTGTTAATGTACTTCTAAATTTATAATTTTCATTAAAGTTTTATTTATTTTCAGTCGTGCTAATAAACGGCTACAAGTTATCGAAGCTATGCTGAATTTATATTTGTTAATCGAATTATTTTTCCTAGAATGAAGTGTTAACCTTTTGGTAGTAATTTGAAGATGATCCCAGATTTAAAGATAAGTTTAGCTTTTTTTATGTGTTTTAGTTTATTAAGTTTGGCAATTAATTATTTTATTCTATTTTATTTGTAAGTATCTTACTAGGTTTAGGGATTTAAACTTAAATTCCATTAAATGTATAGAATGGTTTAGAAGAGGTGATTTAATTTTTTTAATTGTTAGAATTTAATTATGTCTAATAGATTGAATAAAACTTTTATTTTGTTTGGCTATGTATTTTATTATTAGTATTCTCGTTTCGATCATAATCTTAAGATGAAGTATATTAATTTGCTTTTGGTTAATTTTTATTAGAAGAATTTGATCTTATTTCATTAAATATTTCATTAAATTGTTATTATTCATTTTTTTATGAAATTTAAATTTTAGGTAAATAGTTTTGCTTTGAACTGCTAAATTAAGGTCCATGCTAACTGATTTAAGGTAAATTTTGTATTCCATACTTTACACTAAGTGGTGATTTGCTCTGCTAAACGTTCTACCTATTAAAATCTTCGTTTTTATCTAATAAAATTTCTGAAACCCTGTTGTTACAATTTTACTTGATTTCAGTCTTTTTATTTTTCTTTTATATAATTAATATTCAAATAAAATTTATTTTAAATAAATTATTTTACTCCATGCTAATTTTAGTTATGTTGATTGTATCTATTGTTCTCGTTGCATTTACCAACAACAAAATTTTCTTTATTGAATTACAAATTTTTAGTAGAAATTTGTATTTTATCTAATGACAGTTCAGTTAAAGAATTTAAATTATTATTTTAATTAGACTAGGAAGGACCATAAAATTGTGATATATTCTTTTTATTATCTTTATGATCATCAGAAATTTCAGTTAAATATTTTGACACTATAAATTTTTTATCTTCGCTGTTATCTTATGATTCACTTTTGGAATTATTGTTATACATTAACTATGAGCTTGAGCACTTAATCTCTTAAGACTTATTTTAATCTAAGTATTTAATATTTTTCTCTGACTTCTTTGGGTGATTTTTATTTTTTTACATCTATATAAATAAGGTAAATATTATGACATTATTATTTTTATAAGAAAATGTTCAAAAAAGATATTATTTTAAATTATTATTAAGGGCACATTTTATTGAATAAAGATTTACCTTTTTAAAAATTTTTAATTTATTGCCATTGAAAAAATCTTTTAAGAATTTATCTTAAAGAGGATCATATTCTTAATATGCTTGTTACTTTGAGTTTCCATCTACTTTGAAAGGCTATTCCTATATAAATAACCTAAACCTAAAAAAAATCTCTTTACTTTAGTATCAAACACAAATATTGAATAATATACTTTTTTTTTTTATTTTTAGGAGCTTTAAAGTTAATAGGAGGCTAATTGTATGATGCCTAAATACTATTTTTAACTGGAGTTTAAGATTAAGATTAAGACTTAGATTGCTTAAAGGTTTAAAGATTATTTAGTACCATTTTATTACTATACTTAAAATCTGATTCAGTCATTTCAGCTTCAAGTAAGTTATTAAGTCCTTCTTTAAACTTACTAGAGATAGGAGATTGAAGCTCAGCCGTTTTGGCAATCATAAAATCTTCATTTATTCTCCTATCTATTGCAATACAATCATCTTTACTCATTTTATTTTGTTAATCTTTATCACTCAAATCATGATTCTCTTAATATTCATAAATTTGTTTTTTTAAAGGCTCAAAATCAAAATCAGTTACTACGCAAGAATTATTAGGTAGTTGATTTGTTCTTGCTGATTATGGTTTAGACATTTCTTCTGTGATTGGAGAAAAATTGATTCCATCATATTTGTTAAATTACATTTAAAAATGAATTTTGTGAATGTAGTGTTGCTTATATTACAGTGCAGATATATTTGATTATGAATTAATTCAATATTAAATAATTAATTTGCTAAAAGTTTTAACTATTAAATGAATATCAAATATTTTAACAGAAAAAAAAATAAAATAAAATTTTATAATATGATTTTTAAAAATAAAATAAAAGCATTTTAAATTATTTAATTAAGTAAAATCGCAAAAATAAATTTAATTTCTCCAAAATAAATTCTAATTTTAATTCTGAAATAGTAGATTTAAATAATATCATTTAACTATATTATGAAATATATTAATAAAATTCTTAAATATACTATTCAGTTCATTTGATAATAGGTAGGCAATTCAATTATCAAACGTAAAAGAAAAATATTGTTAAAAAATTGTTAAATTTTTTAATTACAATTAATACACTAAATAATTAATAAATTCTATTAATTAAGCTTAATTTATTAGTATAAAACTCAAGTAGAATTAAATTTTATGGATTAATAACAAAACTTAGAGATATATGATAGCAATGTTAAATAATCATATAATTTGAAGAATGCTTGTTAAGTAAGCTAAAGAATGTCAAATTTTAGTAGTATGCATTTTCTTTATTTTCTATAAAACTTTAATATTTTTAAAATAAAATTGTTGGCATTTAGATTGTAGATTAAAATCGAATGATTTTATTTACAAACTAGGATAAGATTTTATATTTACAAAACATAGAATATAATGAGATGTAAGGGTTAGATTCAGGCAAGTCTCTTTACTAAAAAAAAGAAGAATCTTAGTTATTCACTCAGACAAATGAAAATCCAGATATCATAAATTCTAAGTAGTTTAAAGTAAGTAGGTTTAATAGCTTAAATAAATAAAACAGCATAATTAGAAAAAAGTATGAAAAAATTTATTTATTTGTAGAAAGTATTTTAAATATTTTTTTAAAGAACAATAAGCTAAGTAAATGAAATAGATGAATAAAAGTTACAAAACGGATTTCATTCTCCTTTTACAAATTATGTAAGTAATTTAGAGGAGTAACAGCAAAAAGATAGTATCATCAAGACTAATAGCTTTTGCATTTAGAATGAGTTTTAATCAGAAAATGAAGGTTCTCCATCATCTCAAAAAAGCAGAGGGAGAGCTATCTAACGTTATTCTTTTAAAGATTTTGATACTTTGAATAGCAATCCTGGTTTAAAAATTAACGTAGAAGATGTTTTTAGCTATGAGTATCTATAGTTTATAAATGATAACTCGTACATACCTTCGGATGGTTTTTATTAAAAGTAAAAGCAAAAGTTGAAAAAAATTTAGTAATAGAAAAGCTAAAAAAAAGTAAATAATTTTTAAATTTATTATCAACAAAAATATAAATATTTTTATTTTAAGGTGAGAGAGAGTATCCTTTCCAAATTTTTTAGGTATAGGAAAATTAATTAAGTAGCTGATAATGAAATTGAAAATAAAGGTAGTTAATTTATCTATCCATTAATTAGTTTTTAAAATATGATTTTACTTACTTAACTAATGTTATAATTTAAAGATTACATTGGAAAAAGAACATAATATTAGGTGAAAAAAAGGAAATATGATTTCATAATCTCTCCTGATTCTCCATTTAGAATAACATGGGATATTTCTATTATGATGCTGATCATTTATGCGATAGTAATTGACTGCATTCACATTTTTTTTTTTTTTATTTATTTATTACTCTTTATTTGCAATAAATTGTTAATTGTTGCTGTAAATGTTTGTATTAAATATAGATACTAATCCCTTTTAGAGTTTCATTTGATCCAAATGATTAGTTTAGTATGTTGGTACAGTTAGATAATATATTTGATTTTGTTTTTTTAGGAGATATTCTTCTAAATTTCAATACTGCAATCTATAGAAAAGGTAATTTGATAAGAAAAAGAAAGTAAATTGCTATTGAATATCTAAAAATATGGTTTTGGATAGATTTATTTAGTTCTTTTCCTTATGATATGGTAGTTTAATCAGTTATTAATAAAGAAGAATAATAACTACAGACATATGATACCCAAGCTTAAGCAAATACCAGTTCAAATTAGTCGAATTAATCTTCTTCTTCTTCTGCATAATTTTCCTTACAAAAAGCATAATAAATTATTAGAATTCTAAAAATATTTAAAATAATGAAAGTATTAAAGCTATTAAGAGTAGTAAAACTCAAGTTCATAATTGAAAAGCTGGTTGAATATCTTAAACTTTCAAAATCTATGTTAGGAATACTAGGATTTTTAAAACTCTCCTCTATAATATTATTTATTGCTCACTGGGTTGCATGCATGTGGTTTTATGTAGGAAGTTAATTTCCTGATAATGGATGGATTGTTTCATAAGATTTGTAAAATGAAACTTGGTAGTTTTAATATGTAACTTCAATATATTGGGTAATAAATTAAATTTAAAATTCAAAAAATAAAAAATGATATATGTATTATTTAATAGGCAATAACTACTATGGTGACTGTTGGATATGGAGATATTGTTCCAAAAAATTTAGAAGAGAGGCTGTTTGTCATATTTGTCATGCTTATGGCTTGCGGTATTTTTGCATATACAATGAATACAATGGGATCTGTGCTTTCATAGATAGAGAGCTTTTCTTCAGAATACAAAAAGGAAATTTAGCAAGTGAACATATACTTAGACAATAAAAAAATTAAATTAGAATTGAAAATTAGAATAAGAAAATATTTAGAATATATTTATGAAAGCAAGCAGAAGAACTAGATTGATGAAACAAACCTCTTTTCTAAGCTTTCCTCATCTCTAAGAAATGAGCTTATACATTAAATAAATGAAAAAATTATAAATGATTGTCATTTATTCACAAAGCTATTTAATTAATAAAATATGGAGTAGTTTCTATTCTAGATTTCAATTAATCTATTAGAAAAAATCACTATTCCAGAAGAAATAATTATCAACTAAGTAAAATTATTGTATTATCTTTAATAAATAGACAAAGTATTTTATTTATCTAATTAGGAAGAGAGTGGAGGTGACGATGACTAAAGCATGTATTTTATTTAGGATGGAGAGGTAGAAATATTTTATTAGCACTCTAATTCTAAGACTATTCTAAAGAAACTTGGAGTAAAATATAATAAAATTTATTCATTTTTATAATATTTAAAAAATTTTATTAGGCTGGGAGTTACTTTGGGGAAATAAGTTTTTTTACTAATTTGTAAAGAACGGCATCAGTATAGAGTGTTAATTTTGCCAGTCTATATTATTTAAAGAGATCAGAGTTTATTAAAATTCTTTAAAAGTTTCCAAATTAAAAGGTAAAAACATGATTTAAATAAAATAAATTAATTAATCAAATTTTAAATTTTATAATTTAAGGAAATATTCTACGAAATTTCGGATAAGATAAAAAATTATAACAATTTTAATTGCCTTAATATTTAATGCTTTTCTTGCTAGCAATTAGGACATATTTCAAAAAATTGCCCAAACTTGTCTTTTTATTTTTTCAAAGACTAATTCATTGAAAAAATGCTTTAAAATAGAAAGAAAAAGGGAACAGATTTTTAAAGAAGAAATAATTTAAAATTAGCAACTATAAGAGATATAGACATAATAAAACATTCATAACAGAAATTAGAATAAACACCTTTAATTCTATCTTATATTAGAGTACATGATCTTGATAAAGAAATTAAAGAAGACTAAGAATTTGTATTTTAAAACTTAAATGATAAATTATTTAAACTTTTTTTTTTTCAGTTATAAACAGGAAATAAATTAGTAAACACACTCAAAAAAGCAATTTTAAATTCATAAAAAATAAATACATCCCATAAAAACTAGAAAAAGGCTTAATAAATATTTAGTAATTAACAGAAAAATGAATTAAATTTGTAAATGGTAAGCTATAAAAATTAATTTAAATTTATTCAAAAATTTATTTATTTTATTATCATTTATTAATAATTTTAAAACTAATTTTTTAATTCCTTCTAAAATATTTTTAATCTTAGGCATATTGGACAAAAATAGATGAGTTTGATAAAGTAAAAATATATGATCACTACTTTATACATAATAATGTTGAATAAGCAGATGAAAATGATTAATTTATTTAAAATGGTCATCTTTTAAAGTCTTCAAAATTTTCTTTTGACAAAATTTCTGAAAAAACTCCATAAAATCCTTTATTGATTCATAAAAGAAGAAAATTTGTTAATGCTTAAGGCACTATTGATAAAATTATACCATTTGTAAGTTTAGACTAAGAATTTAAATAATAATCTTCTTAAATATAGTAATTTTAAGAAGATCAATCTGAATCTTCAGAATCTTCAGTAAGTAAAAACCAATCTTATGAAATTAGCTAATCACAATAAATTAATAAACAACCAGTATAAAATATTTAAGAAAAACAGGAAAGCGAAAATGATAAAAATAATGATGACTTTGGTTCATAAGCTTAAACCATAAAAAATTCATAAAAATTAATTTTTTTTGATTAAATGGAATAAAACTATGTAGAAAATATTTAAGATTATGAAGATTATAATTTATAGATATCAGATAATTAAATTAATTATTATAATTAGTGCATTTAAAATTAAATAGATAAAAAGCAAATAAATTAATTAAACCAATCTAAATCATTATAAATAGATTAAATGTGATGAAAGAAACCTTATTAAAACTCTCAAGATAGATAAATATAACTTATTATCAACGAAATAATTTATAGCAAAATGTAATTAAAAACTATTTTTAATTAATTTAAAAAACATTGAAAAAAAATTATATTAAATATTCTGATTATTCTTAAAAAAAAATTATTTGAAATACTCAAAGGTTTTATACTTTTTTACTTTCTATGTCTATATTTATATATTTATTTATTCGAAAAGATTAAATAATTTAAAGATTTATCTTTTTTCTATTGATAAATAAATTTTTTGTAAATTTGTTTTTCCCCTCATTTTTAAAAATTGATAGTAAAATGATAGAAATAATTATGTATTTTCGGATCTACTAAATATAGATTATGTTTACTTCTAACTTGTGGTTTAAAATTACTTTTTCTTAGAAAAAAGTTTGTAGATTAATGCTCTAATCACTTATTTTTATACCTCTGATGTTATAAAAGAAAATATTATTAAAAAATTTGGAAAAGAAGGATTTTGATATAATGTAATGTAAAAGAAATCATTTAATTATGAAAAAATAGAAGAAATTTATTATTAATATTTTAGAATCAATCTTATAATGATTAATTAATTTAAATATTTATATATAGAAAGTAGAAAGTATTAATATTATTAAATTAAAAAACAAGCAATATTTTATACATATATAATAAGCAAGCGCAATCAATCATCATGACAGAATAAAAAGGAATAATTGATCTTTCTAATAAAAAATTAAACTCTATCAATGAAATATTTATAAAAGATAAAACTTAAATCTACCATTTAGATTTGTCCTACAACAATCTTAAAAGAGTAAATGGACTAGAAAGCTTTACAAATCTTAAGACCTTAATTATAGATCATAATCAATACTCAAGTCTGATTCATTTTCCTGTCCTTTAAAATTTAGATACTTTTTCAGCTATAGCAAATTAATTTAACGATCTTAATGAATTTTTGATTTTGTGTGTATCTAAGTTTCCTAAGCTTACCAATCTTAGCATCTAAAAAAATCCTATGGTTCCTAGCTTAATTAACGCAAAAGAATATTTTTCGTACAGATCAAAAGTATTATAAGAAAGACCAGAAATATAAATACTAGATAGCATGCCTTTAGAGCCTGTAGATATGACTATTTTTGATAACATTCCATAGTAATCCGAGTAAGAAGAAGAACCTAAAACCATATAAAAAGCACGTCTTATTCTTCCTGATTCTAATGGTATAGTTGAGTGTGACCCTAGATATGCTATTGATAAAAAGAAAAAATTCTCTTCCAGATCTGAAGGTAATCGCTTCTTAAAAAACAAGGACTTATGAAAAATAAACAAATCAGTATAGATAAAAAGTATTTAAAATATAATATTTGTAAATAAATATTTTTAATTCAAGTTAGTTATATGTTTGTTTGTTATATATATAATACAATTTTTTGACTCTTTTTTGCAAATGTTAAGAAATAAATCTTTTTATTAAATTTAATAGAAAAATCAAATATAAGCTTAAAAAATAAAAAATAAATTTATTTTATTCATTTTTATTTATAAATAATATTTTTAGTTAAAATTAAAATCTCTATACTGAGCTTAATTACTAAAAAATATTTAGATTTATTAAATATAATTGCTAAAAAGGACTAAAAGCGTATAAAATTTAATATAAGAAATGGATAGCTATTGGTCAAAAAATAAATTAGTGTTATATTACTAACTAAATCTATAATTTGGATAAAAATAACCATACATAAAAATTAATTTTAGAGTTATTAAAAAAATTATTTTTAAATAAACAGGCTTTGACCAATTACAAATTAAATATGCTATTATTTTTATTATATTAATAAGGTCAATTATTAATTTATTTGTCAGAGGAACTTTATTAATTTTAAGTTATTTGGATTTGTTGCTAGCTTAAAATTGAATTTCTTTTTTCTTAATGATTTTGTTATCTTTGTGATAGAAGTTCTTGCTAATTAGAGCTTGATATGAATCTACTATCATCAACAGTTTAACTAGATGGGATCTAATTTGATTTAGAAGCAATAGATATTTTATGCTATTATTAGTACTGATAAGCACTTTCAGAAATAAATTAAGGTATAGTAAACTGATTTTATTGATTGAACATATCTGGTGAATTAATTTCAAAATGTTCTTCTTTATTAAATTAACGATTTGAATCAATATTATCTTATCTCTACTGTGCTTGAGTTGACTTCTTTTTAATCAAGTTAAGAATCTGGTTAAATTGCATCTAATCTGATTTGCTTTAATATTACATTTAGTTTTATATTATTTATTTGTTCGTTTAACTTTATGGTGACTATTCGAAGCAAACGTCTGAATAAATTTAATTTGATTAAAGTTAGTTAGGAGTTTGTGAAGGACTTACAATTGATCTCCTTTATCTCCTTCTTTTTTCTATCTGATTATTGGTTTCTTATTAATGATTATCCTATAAACTTTTACTTTTTATTTTTTCTTAATCTTCTATTTAAGCTATGTCTTATTGATAATTTTATTCTTCATTTTCTTCGTTTTAATATTATAGAAATAGTTTATCAAAATCTATTTTATTTACTATTGGTGGTAATGATGGTAGTAATTATGTAGCTTATCTCTTCTCTTAAGGAGAACAGTTTTACTAAGATGATTTGCCATAATCTTACATTTCTAGATTCTTCTCAACATCTTCATTGATCTTGCTTTTTCCAGGTTTTTTAGATTACTAAGAAATTTTGCTATTTTTCTAGCTATTTAGCACATAGGGAGGAGAAGGTGAGCGTTCCTCCACAAAATTCTTTTATTATTTGTTTCTCTAACTTTCTTGATATTCTGAAATTTGAAATTTTTAATTTCTCCAGCTATTTTATGGTCTTTCTTTAAGATTTTTATGAGAATTTAAGTTTATCGATACATTTTTAGATTTATCTCTTGCAAAATCATAATGAATACTATTTTCAGCTTCGTTGTATTATTCGTTATTAGCTTCTTATTGGCCAGGGAGGGTATTAATTTCTTCTGGTTTTTTAGTTTTATTTTGTGCTTATTCAATGTAATCATATTCCACAGCTTACCCTAAATTACTCTATCGTTCTTAAATCTCAATATTTATATTATCATCAACCATTGTAACCTTGCTTCTCTTCTTAAATTTGATTCTTTTACCAACACCTTCTTCATCAGTGGATTATAATTTTCTAATACCATCTGAAATATTATCTTATTCTATAGATCTCTTTGCCATGTTTTATATTTGGTATCCTTTTGCATCTAAATAATGATCATTATTTTTTTACTAGTTCTCATCGTTATCATCCTCAGCATCTTAATCTTTGTTATCTTAAATAAAAATATCCTGATTTTAATCATCTTCTTCATCACTATCAGTGTATTTTGCCTCATATTTATACTTTTGCATTTTTGAGAATATTCTCATGTGATAAGTGATAAACAAAGTAATAAAGCATAAAATAAATAACCCAAGTGCTAGAATAACCCAAAAAGTTACTGTAATTACTTTTAAAGAATCTCTTAGTGATGAAGGCTTACCATTAATTTCATAGTATGCTTGATTAAGATAATATGTTTAATAATCTATTGTTTAATTTAGGCAACCATTATCACAATTTAAGAGATTAGTTAAATCAGAATCAGAAATTACGCTATTTTGATTATTTTCAATATAAGTTATGCAATAGTTGTAGCAATATATTTAAATCTAAGTTACATTGTAATTACTAATAGCCGTTTAGCAGGCTAACTAGTTTGTATAACAAGTTAGGAATATTTACCTATAAATTTAAAAGTTTTACTGATTAGCATTTTCTATAATCATATTGCTACAATTAACCTAATAACACTTTAAATAATACTAATAAAAAGGATAATTAACTGTTTGGTTTTCATTAGTATATATAACTTTCCGTTAAACAGTTGATAAGCATTGACTTTAGCATTTTATGTAATTATTAAAATTTTAGCTGACAAATTTAGCTGTAACATTATAGTAGCAAGTATCTAAGCACAAGTCATAATAAATTTAGAAATCTGCAACCTAAGAGCAGGAATAAGTACTTGATGTGCAAGAGTAAAAGTATTGATAATCCTATAAATATTGTGTATCGTTTACTTGATATTGTGAGCATACTTATGAAGAACAATATTGAAATTAATAATAGGCAGTATTGTTTTCAATTTATAATTAGAAATTAGTTAAAGCCAATTATTCAAAGCTAAAAATTGCTTTTTCAACTAATATTGCAAAGCATAAAATTATTTTATTCAAGATAATTTTATTTTTGGTTGACATATGCTTTGTTATTACTAAATTTCTATCAAATAATTTCTATTTTTTATATCAAAGTAGAAATATAAAATAATAATTTATATATCAAACCTATTTCTGATATTTACTTTTTGATTTTAATTATTAAATGAATCCAAAATCAATATTTAATATAAAGAAATTTTAATCATCGCATTTTTCTTTAATCAATATCTTAACAAATTAATTAATTGATGGATTTTTATATTAAATTTTGCAGACTTGATATTAGATTTTTAGGATTTATTAATCAGGTTCATAATAAAAAAAATTTATTTATAATAAAATTAATTCTAAATTTTAAAAATGTTCAAATTTAATAGTAAAACTATATAAAATACACTGTTGTATAAAAGTAAAAATAATTTTCTACTTTAATTTCTAAATAGTTTTGTAAATTTTTAAATTCTTTTAGTAAATGAGCCTAAAAGAAAAGAAATTTTTATCTAACATTTATTAGACATTAATTAATTGAATTTAGATATAATGTAAAACATTTTCAATAATCTCACTAAAACTTTTGTTTTAATTATTTTTACATTATTAAATCTTAATAAATAAGTATTAGCTAGTTTATAAGCTTAAAATAATTATGTTTTCTAAATTTATTCTAAAATAAATTTTGCAAATTTTGAATTTATTTTTAATAAATAAAACTAAAAAAAAAAAATATTTTTTCTCATAATATGAAATTAATTAATTGATGATGTATGTATTTAAAGATACAATAAATATTTCAACAAATTAATTTATATTTCTATTTTAGCAATTTCTTAACTATCTTCATTATTTAAAAATTTTTTTAATTTATTCTCAAGAACGTTTCATTAAATCTTGAAAATGTTCTAAATAAAAAAATCTATTAAAAATCAATTTTTTATTTAAAATTTTTTTAGCCTAAAATAATTTAAGTAATTTATGTATTTATTTATTTAAAAATACTATAAACAGTTTCTATAAAATAGTATATAAAACAAATTAATTAATTAATATCTACAACTTTTAGTTTAATAATTTATGATATTATAAAATCGTATAAAAATAATTTTTAACTATTTTTATAAATTTAAAATAAATACATTTATTGATTGATTTGACCTCAAAATTCATAAGTCTACTTTTTATTTCCAATAGCCTACTTTTCAAATTATAAAATTTTTTCATCCTTTACTTTTCTTTCTAAAGATAATCTATTTAGCATTTCTTTTGTCCTTGAAGATTAGGTCCCTTTAGGTGTATGCTTAAATTTATTCATCCTAAATAATGATATTTTTAAATATTTAATTATATATCTATAAAATAAGGATTACTCTTAGGCTATATTAATATTTGGTTGCTCATAAACTTTGGATTTTTACTCAATAGTGCCAATTATTTTGTCTCTTTTTTAGCTTTCTTCTCTTATCCTCTTTTCTATTTCTAAATTAAAGAAAAAACATTTACTAAATGATAAAAGATAATATTCTATTTACCTTCATCTATTTTTCTCTTTTTCTCTTCAATTATGGCAAATGATTTATTTATGTGGTCTATATTATTAGTTGGTGTGAAAGAGGTTGAGAGGTAATTTATTTGATTAAATTATTCAGGATTTAAACTTATATTTGTCTAAGAAGTATCAGTACATTTTTAATTAAATGCACTTATAGGTGGCTTTAAAGACTACCTTTTTTATCCTAAATTCGGACTTGAATTATCATTTTATGATAACATTGTATTTAATGCTTAGTTTGAAGATACATTTGTGCTGCTATATCTATTACTTTTTGTGCTATTATTTTCAAAGTAGTAATCATATTTGATAAACTACTTACTAGATAAAGGATTTTCAATCTCTATATTTTTCTATCCATTTGATGCAAAAATATTTTCATGCATTGAGTTACTTCTTCCAGATCTCTTAGATTCGAATTCTTCATTAAGATTTTTTCTTGAATTTTAAAAAAATTTAAACTAAATCTAAATAAACTAATTTAAATTATGCTACTTTATAGATGAAATGCAAGTTGAATTATTAAGTAAAGCGTTAGATGGTTAAGTCTAAGAAGAAGATGATGAAGAAGATTATTAAATTGAATACAGCTTACTTTAAGATTTTTTATTTCCATTCAATAACTACTGCTACTAAATATTATAACTGCTTGAATTAGCCATACTATTATTTATTTACTCACTTCCATGGTTTGATGAAAGTCGTTGAGATTAAGGAATTTGCTATTATTAAGGTGTCTTTGGCTATGAATTCAAAAATTTTTGAGATAAAGGTAAAGTTTGTTGTGCATTATTGTTTTGTGTTTATATTTATAAAGGTTATTATTTTTTATTTAAAGGAGAAGTATTTGATGAAGCAAAATTTGGAGAGTTATTATAGGATATTAGATGCTTTTCTTAGCTCTCTTCCTACTGCATAAGTTTTTCTCCTAATTTTTTACTTGAACTTTAATCTACAAAAAATTTTCTATTAGTATCTTAAAATGTTGGCAAAGGTTTTTCGTTTTCATCTGCTCCTCCTTAACCAGTTAATCTGCTCATTTTTTTATTTTGTGTAGGAGTATTTCCATTCACCTAACCTTTAAATAAAAATAATTTCTAAATCAAAAAACTTTTTTCTATTCAAATAAAATATTGTCAGACATAATTTAAAAATTTTTACTTGCAAAGGGCTGACTATCAAGCTATTTTTTTATTTAGGAAACTTAAGAATTCAAATTATTGAAATTCGAATTACATTTCTTTACAATACTATACAACGAGTTGATTTCTGATGCTATTTATTCTGAAAAATGTTAACTTGGGTTATGTAATTACAAGCCAGCAATAGACCCATTAAGCTTTAAAGACTTTATCATTGGTTCCTAAATAGATATTTTATCGTCTAAATTCTAAATATTCTAGATCATATTGTTGCAATTAACTTAAATTAGCTAAATCTCCTGGTCTAATTTCTGAAATTTGAATTTTTTAATAAAGGTAAATCTAATGAAAAAACTAATATACTCCTTATATGGCTTCATACTTTTCCAACCTATTCATGATTGCCTTAAATTTTTCTTCTTAACTTAAAAATTTTTTCTCAAATTGTATTTTTAAATCAAGCATTTTATCTTCAAATTTCTTTATATTTTAAACTAAATTGCTTGTATTTAATAAGTTTCCATTTGTTGGGCTTTTCTCATCCTACGTGATTATTTTTTAATATAATTACAATAATTTTATATTATCAAACAAAGTTACTGTAATATTAGTTCTAGAGGGAGAATTTTTTGAGTTTGAAGGTGTTTATTAAAGGCTTGGCTTCCTTTTAGTGGCTGCTTCAATTTTACTTATCTTTTCTTCAAACTTATTTTAAGTTTATATTATTATAATTAAGCTGGATTGAATATCATATAAATTCAAATATACTTTAGAAAACAGAGAGTCATATAATTCAAATCTCTTTCTAATTGGATCTGCATCAGACTATTCTGTGCGAGATGATTATTGCTGCTAAGCAAATTTAGCTGTTTATTTCATAACCCTAAAATCTAAATAATACTTAAGCTATATTTGTCTAAATTACTTTTAAAGATTTTGTTGATTTAATATTAAGTTATTGTAAAGGTTTCTTGAAGTGTATTTAATTTTTTGAGATTTACTTTGTTTTTAAATTTTAAGAGTCAAATTTTGCTGTATATTAAATATTAAGTACATTAATATTGTATAAATCAAATGAAATAAATAAATAAATTAAAGGGGATTTAACATACTCAATTCAAATTATTGGTGGTATATTCAAAAATTTATTCGTTTGAAACGACCACTAAATTAAATCTTATTAATTTATTTTCCTTTTTGTCTTAACTATAAATTTAATACTCATATTTGAATTTCAGTTGATAGATTAAATTTATATTAATTCAATCCATATCTTTTGCATATTTTAATTATGCTAAATAACTGTATAAAAATTTGTAACATAAATTTAATTTAAAATAAAATTTTTTTTACTGTTAAAATCAGAAAATTAAGTATATTAATATGAATTAAAAGTTAAAACAACAAATAAAAAGTAATATGTAAATAAAAATACTAAATAGAATTATTTAATCTAAATTTTTGATAAAATAATTTCGATTTTTCAAAATTTCTTCTTTTTCTCTGTGGTGGAATAATTATTCAAACTGTTTGATAAAATATTTTTATATGTTTATTTTAAAAATAAAATGAATGTAATTTACTTGGAATTTTCTTAATTTATTTTCTAAGCTGAAAATTGGTAATAGCTTTTTGAGTTGGATTGAGACCTAATTAAATTTTAATTTTCCCTTTAGAGAGTTTGATATTGTTAAACTAAAATTTCATAGTTAAATGCTTATCTGGATAATTCATCGCTGGTTTGCTATTTTAATTTATCTATATATGTCTTTTATTCAGATAGTTTTTCTTCTAGTAAATTAACCCTATTTATTAACGTTTAATTACATGCCAATAGCTCACCATACCCCGTTTAAGTTATTTTTTTAAACATCTCAGAAATTTCATTCTCTGTATCAGATAGTTGCTTCTACAATTTTTCAATTTATACCCTAAAATCTTAATTTTCTCTCTCTAGCATGTATACTTGTCTTTTATAAAGAAGTTCTTTTTCTTAATTATTCTTTCAATAAAATAATTTTTAGAAAGTATAATTTAAAAAAAATAAATTTACTTATTAGATATTTTCCATTTCTATTTAAATAGCATTGTTTTTGACAAGCATTTCTTCGTAATCCTTATTTAAATTGAGTTTCTATAAATCATTTGAAATAAGCTATTATATTTCTTAATTTAGCTTCTCTATTTAGTTTACATACATACTTTTAACCTATCTTAGCATAGTAACCTCAGAGTTAAGTTCTTCATTTAAAAGCTTTTCCTAATAATCTAAATAAATGTTAATATCCCAAAATAAACAAATAGATTTTTACAAGACTGCTTGAGTTCTTCAAATATGATTTTTATCTATTTGACACTATCTTCCATTTAATCAATTATTTTAATTTATTACATTATAAGCTATCATACACTAAATATCTAATTTTTATTTAATTATTCGGAGTAAAATTCAGTAAATAAAAAATATAATTTAAATTATTTTTCATAAATTCATTCCAGAAAAAAAAAAATTAGCAAAAAAAACTATAAATACAAACAATTAATTAATTTTCAAAGAAAAAACAGTAATCAAAAATATAATCCTTTTAAATGAGTTTTTTGAAAAATAAAATATTTTTTTAATTTTTCATTTTATTAAAAACAAAATTAATTGTGAATAAAATCTTTATAAATTTTTTATAATTTAATAAAAATAACTTATTTTATTGTAAGAAGATTTATTATTATTATTAATATGAAAGAGAATAGATATTTATAAATATATTAACTAAATTTTAGTAAATAAATATACTTATTAATATTATTTTTATTTAAATAACTAACTAATTTTTAACTAATAAATCAATTAAGAGGTTTTATTTTATTTCAATCAGATGTAGCTTAAAAAAAGTCAGTCCCTCTAATTACCCTTCTTATTGCTCTTTTTAAGCATGACTTTACTACTTGTTTTTGTTTTTTTAATTAACTTATTTATTTTTAATGATTAAGCTTTCTTTCTTTACACACCACTAGCTATTCTTTCATCTCCTTTTGAATTTATGGATGATTGTGACTAAGATTATGAATTTGATGAAGAGTTTTAAGAAGTGTAACTCTTAACTGAATTTTCCTATTGAATATTATTTTCTTCATCATCATCATCATTTTTTTATTTTTTATTTTTCTTTTTGAAAAGTTTGTTAATTTGAATCATTTTTATTTTATTACTGCTATTTTTTGTTAAGTTTTTGCCTATTATTTAGTTGTTTTTTTGAAAGTTATCTAATTTTTAATTAAAGATTAAATTTATTTTTTTAGATAAAATTATTTTTACTTATTGTATTTATAACTAGTTCATTTTGGAAAGGTAATAAGTCTGCAATAAATTCTTGTGTATTCAAATTATTTATGTCAACTATGGGGAATTCTTTATCAGTGTGAGTTTTATACTTTTCTCTAAATATATCTATATTCTATTTCAGCATTTCAAATTTATATTTTTCTCTTTTATTCACTTATTGACATAATTACTTTAATCTCTCAACTTCAACTATTTTTTATGTGTGTTCATCTTTTAATTTTAATCCTTTTACTGAATTTTTTATACCTCTGCTATTCATGTTTAATTGCTACTCTTAATATTCTCTTTACTAAAAAAAAGTTAAATAAAATAATTAAAATGTTAAAAATACTCTTTGCTAGGACATCTGCTGAGAATAATATTCAAACACAGATTCTCTTTGAATTAAATTAATATCTCCTCCTAATAAAATATAAATTCCTTTGTATTTCATGAGTAATTCATTTCGAAGACATCTAGTACAATAACAATTTCCCTTTTGAAATATATTTTTAATTCATGCTTTTCTTAAAATACTATTTTAATTTTACTTAGCAGAAAGGGCAAAGCCAATCTTACTTATCTTTAATTTCTGAAAGAATTAAATCGTAATTTTATTTTAGACAAGATCTACAGTACATTCTTTTGCAAACCAAATCTCCATCTACTTTTTAGAACATAGTATAGCAGTTTCTTTTTTTGTTGACTTGAGGCTTCTTACTGTTTGTATTGTCAGATTCAACTAAATTAAATAAAATTTCTTTCAAAGCTATTAAAAAAATAATTGTTTACTAAATTAAAATAAGAAGGGATCAGTAACAATATAATTATGGACAGGTATTCCCATAGTAGATGCTTTATACTTGCATTAAAAAAGAATACTCTTTTTAAACAAATGTTTACAGTGATGACATATTTCATACTAATTCATTTTATTTCCAGGTTATTCTTTTTAAGTTATCAAATCCTTAATATTTTTTAGCTTCAATTAGTTTGGCTTATCTCTGTTTTTTTATATATAATTCCATCCTAAAAACTTTATAAAATTATATATATTTTTATTGTTTTTATTTTATAATTTATCTATTTTACGTTGTTTGCTATATGAGAATACAGCGTTTTTTAAGGAATGTTATAAAAAGAAAATAAATTTTAATCTCTTAAAGAGTTCAACTCATCTAATAACTACTCACTTATCCATTCTGCTGAATCATTATAAGCTGACTCAAACCTTAATTCAAATTATGGCTAATTGTATTTGTTTGTGTATCCAGTAATGCATGAAATAGTTTCCGAAAGCTATTTCTTCTCCAATCTTAAAATAGTTTAATGTAAAAATGAAGCCTACAAATTCATATTCTCCATTTTAGCAAAGTGTTTCTCAAGCAAAAGGTGCTTTTGTTCCTCATTATAATCTTTTTGTATGTGAATATTTTCATTTTTAGACTTTGAAAGAATATAATCTGTTTCCAAATATATCATTTGCTACTTACAAAATTCCATTTTAAGTTGCTGCTCTAATCTGAATAAATTATTTTTAAATAAAAAACTTTAATGCCATTTTCTGATATGTGTATTTTTTGATTTTACCTTTAAATATTCTTATGATTTTGTTGATTTATTTATTTTAATTCTTCTTTTAATTTTACAGTTTCCTCCAACAGTTGATCTTCTTCTTCTTGTATTTCTTTGTATAATTATGAGTTTTAAGCAATATTCTAGATAATCTATAGCAATTAGTTTTTTTCATTTTGAAATGCTTCAAGTTAGCTTTAATAACTAGATGAATTTTTAGGAATTTATTTCTTTTTGGTTTGCAATATTTTTTATATGAGAGATTTATCCTTAATATATTGATTAGCAATAAGAAAAGTAATTCTCATATGAAGTAGCAGATTTTCATAGTTTAGATTAGATAAGTCATCATCTTAATACTACCTTTGGACAGATTCATCTAAGATATATTAAACAGCTAGCTAAGCTCTCCAATCGTCCCATTCTAACTCCTAATTGTCAGCTTTTATGAATTTAAAATGAAAAATTATAAAATTTTGTAATTGTTAATTTTTATAAAACAAAATAATTCTAATAAATTCATAAATCAAAAATAATTAGATATATATGAAATAAAAATCCTAAAATTTGATTGGATAATCTTATTTGAGCTCAGATTTTTCATAAAAAATTATATATATCGTTGTTATCTTGATAAATAGAAAAGATAAAGCAAATTTCCCTATTTAGTTTATAAGAAGTGCTCATTAATGTTATGCAATTATTAATGAAACATTAAATTTTTATTATTATTTAAATAAATATTTACGCTCAATAGGAGTATTGAATAAATTTTTTAAATACTCAAGCTTATTTTCATCCTAACTTTGCACTCTCCTTAAATATGTGCTATTGACATGTCTCCAAAATTATCTCATTTAATGATCTGTTTAAGACAATCCTTGTATTTACTAATAATTTATCTAGTAATTAACACTTCGAACTTTCAGAAAATTGCTATTAATTCCAAAAATAAAAGTTAACAAAATAATTTTTCCCATTTTCCATTTTTTTGATTTTTAATATCTTAATAATGCTTAAAATAAACTCTAATACTTTGTAAGTGGATCATATAAATCAAAGTTACTATTTTTTTTATCAAGTTTAATTATTTTTTCGAGTGCATTACGAGAATCATCATCATCCTTTCCTTTTTGATCCTTTTTTTTCTATTATTCTGCATTTGTTTCCTTCACATTTTGTAATTTTGTAATTTCTCCTTTCTCTTTTTTAATATGATTCTTTTTTTTTTATTACTATTGGAGCAATCTTTTTTCTAGTAATTTCTGCTTTAAACGACCCATTTTTTACTTAAAGACTAACGATTGATACGAAACCTAATCTTTGAGCTGTTTTTTGCTATATAACTTATATTTTGTGTAAAAAAGCTTAAAACCTTTTATTATTTACTTATTTTTTTGTTAATTTTAATTTCTAAATGTGTTTGTTTATGTATTTTTTTACTTCAAATTAAAAAGAGATTCTACCTATCTTCAATTATTAATTTATTGTATTAACAATAACATTAATAATACTTTTGATTCCAATTTAAAGCAAGTTCCCTCTATTAAACTTATTTTCAAATTATTTCATGATTTAAACATTTGTAAATACCATAATTTTAAATCTATCAATTCAGTAAATAACTTAAAACCTTATAATTATGATTTAGAATTATTTTGAAAGAGTAAAAGTTATAAATTTAAATACTTTTAATAATTTTATTTGAACAAAAAGACAAAAAGAAAAAACATTTTAAGTCTGTTTTCTTAACAGATTCATTTCTAAATAATTAATTTAAAAGTATGAATTTTTGATCAAATATTTAGCAGGATTAAAATCAAATACTAAAAAAATATCAAAAATTTTATTTTATCTAAATCATTTTTAAAACTATTAAATTTTTTATTTTCATAAATTTTAAATATATTTTTTTTGACTTATTGAAATTTATGAAATAAAAATTTTAATTTTTTTTTCAATATTAAATATTTTAAATAATCTTTTTTGTTTAATATTAAATTTATTTTAGTTAAATGAAATTTGATTATTATATTTTTTATTTTATTCATTGTATATTATAAATTTAAAATTTAATATTTTGAGAGAAATAATTATTTTTATTTTATCATAAGAAACATTAATTGTTACTTTTAATGTAACAAAAATTTTATGAGATCATATTGCATTAGTTAAAAAAGACTTTTACAAGTTTAATAAATATTAAAATAGATTATGAATAAAACTAAAGTCGTCAAAAGAAAAATAGAAAGAATTTAACTTTCTAGAAAAAAAATTTAATTGGTTTCTTACATAAAAAATTTTAAAGATTACAAAAAAAATATAAAAAATAATAAAAATAGATTACACCTAGTTATCCTTAAAACAGGTAGAAATAACACTCAATTCTTTTTATGTATTTAAATAAGTTAAAATATAAAATTTATATATAATATTTTATATTTTTGAGAATTAGTAGTTCAGTGTATGTATTTAAGAATAGAATTAGAGTTTCAATAGCTCGTTTTATGATATTTTTTGAGTTTTATTTACTAACCTACAATTTAAATTCTTTTTTCTATTCTTTCATTTTCAAAATTCTGATCACAAAAATCTGGAAATTTTCTAAAATTTCAAATAATATTAATTTAAGAGTAGGTAAAGTAGTTAATATAAAACTTATTTAGAAATAACAAATAAAATAATAAATAACATTTTGTTTTATATATTCACAATTTAAGCTTGCACAATAGTTGCATATTTTTTAAAAAGCGTATGTTTGAAAAAAACAGAAAAATAGATCTCATATAAAACTCAAGCAATATACAATACATCAAAATGCGTAATCAAAGTGATTAAGATAGATATTCTACAATTAGCTAAAGTACCAATGAAAATACTTTAGAACTTCCAATATAAGGATAAGATGATGATTCATATACCACAGAAAAAGCAAATTAAAAAGAACTAGATTAAGATATATTAAAACATGACAAAAAAGACAAAGAACCACCTAAGAGAGTCAACATATTTGCTTAAAAACATCGCAAAAATCTAATGAGATTTCTTTAGTATTCATGGGAGAACAAAAAATTTTTAATATTTGGAAATATAGGGTTGGTTGTTACATCTGCCTGCTAAATATCTCTACCTTATTTAACAGGTAGAATGGTTGATGTCATAAGCACTGATAAATCTTCTGAAGATCTAACGTAAGCAATTTTAATTTACTATATTATTTAAATAAATATATAGCTATTTTTAACCATTTTATCTTAAATAAATTAAAGAAAATGGGATTTAAATATAATTTATTCAATTTAATAATTTTTTAATAATTCATTTCAATAATTTTCATAAATTAATTAAATAAATAAATAGATGGTTGGCTTTAGCTTTTGTTACTCTAGGAGTGTTTTCAGCTATATTTTCTTTTGTTAGAGGATATTCGTTTAATATACTAGGAGAAAAAGTTATGTTAAAGTTGAGAAGTGAACTTTTTGATAAATTTGTTTAAAAAGATGTTGAATTCTATGATGTAAACAAAAGTGGTGAATTGATGAGTAGAATAACAAGTGACACAGCTATTGTTTAAAGTGCTGCAAGTGACAGCTTATCAATTCTACTTAGAAATATTATTTAGTTTATAGGTAGTTTTATTATACTTTGGATAATTTCTTATGAGTTGACTATGATACTCTTTATAATAGTGCCTCCACTTATAATAGGAATAGCTGTATTTATCAGGTTATTCAAAAAATACTCAAAATTATATCAAGATAAACTTGCTTTGGGTAATTCTTTTGCTAACGAAGCATTTGGTAACATCAGAGTAGTAAAGAGTTTTGCAAGAGAACAGAAAGAGTCTTAAAATTTCTACAAATACATGTAAGATGCTTATGTCTATGGAGAAAAAAAATCACTTCTACATGGATCCTTCTTAGGAATAGTTACTCTTTTAGGAGAAGGAGCAATTTTATGTGTATTATGGTATGGAGGTAAGTTAGTCTTAGAAGGAAAATTAACAACTGGATAACTATCCTCTTTTATCCTTTACACTATTACTCTCTCTACAGGTCTCTTAGCAGTTGGTGGAATTTCTAATTAGATAATTACTGCAGTTGGAGTTTCTGAGAAGTTATTTGAAATGATGGATGTTGAAATATCAATTAAATCAGGAGTAAAAACAAAAAATAGCTTGGAAGGTAATATCTCTTTTGAGAACGTAACCTTCGAGTATCCAACTAAAAAGAATGTTGATGTAAATTAAATTAAACTATAATATTTTCTTATTAATAATTTTTAAAATTAGGTTTTGAAAAATGTAAACTTTGAAGTAAAATAAGGACAAGTAGTTGCTTTAGTAGGAAGTTCTGGGAGCGGTAAATCTAGTACTGTTAGCTTGATTTAAAGATTTTACGATGTTAAATAAGGATTAATTAAATTGGATAATATTGACATTAAATAATACAATATAAATTGGGTTAGAGAATAAATAGGCTATGTTTCTCAAGAGCCTACTTTATTTTCTGGTACACTAAAAGAAAATATAGTTTATGGAGTTAATTCTTATACATAGCAAGATATTGATAAAGCCCTTGAAATGGCCAATGCAAAATAATTTGTTTATGATACTACCATTTTCCCTGATGGTCTTAACACACTAGTAGGAGAAAGAGGTGTCAAGCTATCGGGAGGATAAAAATAAAGAATAGCTATAGCAAGAGCTTTAATTAAAAATCCTAGAATTTTAATATTTGATGAAGCAACTAGCGCTTTAGATGCTGAAAGCGAATACCAAGTATAAAAAGCTATAGACAATCTCATGGTTCATGGCTAAAAGACTATAATTGTAATAGCACATAGATTAAGTACTATTAAAACTGCAGATACAATAATAGTTATATAAGATGGAGAAGTAAAAGAAATAGGAAACCACAAATAGCTGCTATCAATAAAAGATGGATTTTATACTAAACTAATTCAAAGATAAATTTCAGGTGCTGATGAATTAGACTTGCAGTGAGTGAATTTGGAATTTTATATAAATATTTATCTTATAGAAAATAAATAAATAAAAATAAGAAATATCATTTTATTATAAAAAATTGATTAAAAAATAAAAATAAAAATTAACAAATTTAATAAATAATATTAAATTAATTTGATATATTCAAACTATTAATTTTTACATGTCAATATCATAATTTATAGAGGATCTATTAATTATTCATATTTGTATTTCAATTATTTCATTTTTGAAAATAATAATTAAAAATTTATTTTATTTTTAAAATTAACTCATTAGAATATCATGTAATATAATTTCACTTTTTTTAAAGTATTACTTAATTTTTTATTTAATTTAACAATTAGAGTTGAAATAATCAAAATTTATATTCTGATTAAAAATTTTTTTAATGCTAAATAATAAGGATTTGATGTATACTTTAATATTTGTAGATTTTTTTAATTTCTATGTACAGAAATTAAAGTAAAAAAATATATTATATATACGATATTTAATTTTTTATCTTTTTTTAGTTTTTTGCATCTGATTTTAAATAGTTAAGTATTGTGTAGAAGTATTTATTTTCATATTTTTATAATTAGATCTTCTTAAAAATATTTTTAATATGTTAGAAGAAATTCCTTTAAAGTAAAATTAATTTTGAATTTAATTACTAACAAATATTTTATTTTATTTTTATAAAATCAAGTCATAAAAATTATTAAATTAATATTACAGCCATGAAAAATTTATCAATATCTATAAGCTCCTTCGTATTAATTTTTTGATGATATTCAATTGTTAGAAAATTAGACACAAAAATTTATATTAAAAATATATTTTGAAATAATTACAAAAAGAAAAAATTTTAAGATAGCTCATTTCTTAAATTATGGGAAGAAGTAGTAGTAGAAGTAGCAGTAGAGAAGAGAAAAAGAAAAGAAAGAGAGAAAAAGATGATAAAAAAAAGAAGAAATCGAGAAGCAGGTCTAACAAGAAGGATAGCAAAAGAAAAAGGTCAGCTTCAAGAGATAAGAAAAAGAAACGCAGTAGTGAATCAATAGATCATAAAAAAAAGAAAAGCCGTTCTCGAGATAGGAAGAAAAGAAGTCACTCAAAAGATAAAAAGAGAAGACATGATAGGTCAAATAGCAGAAAAAGATAAAAATCAAAAGAAAAAAGCTCTTCTTCTGACAGGGAAAAAAAGGAAAAGCCCGTAGAATTGACCGAAGAATAAAAATTATTGTAAAAGCAAAGAGAAAGACTTGCAAAAATGAAGATGCTAAAATATTTAAATGATGATGAGTCTGAAGATGATGAAAATGATTAACCTATTTAATCAAATAAAAATTTTTAAGCCTAAAGTAATATTGAACAAACGAAGCAAGTAGAATTAGAATAATAATAATAAATCTAATAGGAAACAAATATTAATTCGCAAGTAATATAGCCAATTTAAGATTAATAAAATGATTCTCCCAGAATTTAATTAGAATAGGATCCAATTATGATTTAAATTTAGCAATAAATAGAAGCTTAGGCTAAGAAATAAAGTAACTAAAGCTAAAACAAATAAAATTTAGAAAGCCCAAGTTAACCTTCGATAGAAAATGAAGCAAATAGAGAGCTAGTTGAAAACTAAAATGAATTTGAAGAGGAAATGATTTTAGAAAAAGATACTTCCAAATTTAACAAATAGAAAAATAATTATGTTGAGGATTACTTAAATGAAAATTCTGATAGTGAGGATAATATGTATGGTGAAGAATTTTTTTAAAATGATGCAAAAGAAGAAGAAGAAGAAGTTGGTAATTAAATTTAAAATGACTCTGATGATCTCAAATTTGATAATAGTGATGAAGAAGTAAATAATCTAAGATAAAATGGAAGTTTGAATGGAAATACTAAATTTTATTCTGAAAAATTATAAAAATTATAAATGATGAATCAGCAATAAAATGATGCAGCAGATGACGATGATGTTTTTTTAAGTTTTAATAAATAATAAAATTTAAATCAAGCTAATAGCCAGAAATCAAATGGTAACTTAAATACTAATTAAAGTACCTTAAGTGCCAACAATAACAGCACAATTAAAATATAGACTCTTGATACCTCATAATCAAGTATGAATAAATCTAATTTCACAAACAACAAAACAATCAATTAATAGTAGTTAGTTGAAGAAGAATAAGAATAAGAATCAGATGAAAGTGATCTAGATTTGTATATGAAATAGCTTGAAGGTAATATAAACACTTTTTAGTTATTTTTATTTTATGTTTTATAATATATTATTTTAATATATAGAAGAAGAAAATGCCGCTAAAGGAATATAGACATCATAAAAAAATAGCTCTAGCTAAAATAATACTAAGCCAAAGCAAACTTACATTACCATGGAAGATATTTTCGGTAAATCAAACATTTTTAATTTTAGAAAGTATAAAAATAAATTGAGAAAAAGAAGTCATGCACTGTTATTTTCATAAATAGGTAAAAAGAAATTCAAAGAAGATATTGAAGAAGAAGAAAATGAAGAAGGATAGTCTAATAATGAAGATTTTGGAAATTAGGACAGCAAAAATAAAGTTTATTTTAACGGAGACTCTACTTTTAATTAGCAAAAAATTTAAGAAGAAGAGGAAGAGGGAGATTAGGATGAGGATGATGAGGAATAAGATAAATTTTACTAAGCTTTCAAGGAATAATTGCTTAAAACAAAGCAAGAAAAGCTCAAAGATAATAAAGGAGCCTTAATGATGGATGAAGAATAAGAGAAAGAAGAGGAGAGAGAGGCCTTTTTTGATCCAGAAAACGGTGAGAGCAAAGAAGACTACATGGAAAGACTTAAAAAGGAAGCTTAAAAAAAGGAATTAAAGCCTATTGATTATAATGAAGATGAATTAGAACATTTCTAGAAGAATTTTTATATTGAAAGCAAAGAAATTTCTCAGATGACTGAGGATGAAGTAAAAATTTATAGAGAAAACTTAGGTGAGATCCAAGTTAAAGGATAAGAAGTTCCTCGTCCTATAAAATCATGGCTTTAATCTGGTTTAAGTGATAGAATATTAGAAGTTCTAATTGAAAAGAAAAAGTATGATAAACCTTTTCCTATTTAATGCTAAAGTCTACCTGTAATTATGAGTGGAAGAGATATGATAGGTAATTAATTAATTTATTTATTTATTCATTTTTGCTAATTTTTATAAGTAATAGCAGTAGTATAATAGAATCAAGCTTTAAATTAAAAAACAAACATACTACTTAATTAATTGCTATCAACACCTTTTTTAAATATTTTGTTTTTATTTTTCTGATTGAATTTTTTATTTTTCAGATTTTCTACGTGAGTAGGCCAAGTCTAAAGATAGTAGATCTCATAATAATTAAACAATATGATCGATATACAAGAAAGAAAAAGCGTATTGAAATAAATATAAGCATAAGGATTTGTTTTTGTTTGGCAGAATCATTTATTTGTTTCATTAAAAATGTCTTTTTCATTATATCCTTAATTTTATATTTTTATATTATTCTAATAGGTATTGCAGAAACAGGTAGTGGTAAAACACTCGCCTATTTACTTCCTATGATTCGTCACGTATCTGCCCAAAGACCTCTATAAGAAGGTGATGGACCTATAGGGTTAATTCTTGTTCCAACAAGAGAGTTAGCTACTTAGATATATCTTGAAGCTAAACCTTTCTTAAAAGCTTATAAATATGAGATAGTTGCTGTTTTTGGAGGAACTGGCATTAAAGGATAACTTTCTGAATTAAAAAGAGGTTGTGAAATCGTAGTTGCTACTCCTGGTAGACTTATAGATGTACTCACTACTTCAAATGGCAAAATAACTAACTTGAAAAGAATAACAATGGTAGTCATTGATGAGGCAGATAGAATGTTTGATTTAGGTTTTGAACCTTAAATTGCAAAGATTCTAGCAACAACTCGTCCTGATAAGTAAACTGTGCTATTTTCTGCAACTTTCCCAAAAAATGTAGAGAATTTAGCCAAAAAATTAATGAGACACAAGCCAGTAGAAGTTGTTGTAGGTGCAAGAGGATAGGCTTGCACAAATATTACTTAATTAATAGAAATAAGAGATGAATCTACACGTTTGTTTAGATTATTAGAACTATTAGGTATTTATACTGAATAGGGTTAAGTTATAATTTTCGTTGATAAATAAATCGAAGTTGATTTTTTGTATCAAGAATTACGTTCTAGATATTACATTCCTACAATTTTGCATGCAGGTAATAGATCAATTTACTTAACAGATCAATTTAATAAACATTTTATTTATTTATATTTAAATAGGTGTTGATGCTGAAGATAGAGTGAATAATTTACTTGATTTCAGAAAAGGAATTTACAAAATACTTATAGCAACCTCTTTAAGTAGCAGGTAATTAATTAGGTTTTTTTGTTACTTATTAATTTAAAACTATTTTATTAACTAATAGAGGGTTGGATGTAAAAAATGTAGTTTTGGTAGTAAACTACAAATGTCCTAACCATATAGAAGATTACATCCATAGAATTGGAAGAACTGGTAGAGCAGGAAATAAGGGTACTGCTGTAACTTTCATAGGTCCTGAGGAGGTATTTCATTTTTTAAAAATTAATTTTGACTATTAATTCAATTAACTTTCAATTATTTAATTTAAGTAAAATTGATTTTTATGTTTCATTTTTATTTTTTAAATAATATAGGACAAATATAGCTTAGATCTTATTAAGGCTTTAAAGAGAAGTGACCAAAAAGTTCCTGAGGAGCTTTTGAGAATGGGAGAGGAATTTAAGAAAAAAGTGAAAATGGGTGAGGCTAAGATTTATAATAATGCAAATATGTAAGGTAAAGGCTTTAATTTTGATGAAGAAGAAAGAGATAAAATGAATTAGATGAAGTATGAATAAAAGAAATTCTTAGCACTCTAAATGGGTCTCGATATAGAAGAAAGAGATGACGATTTTGTTTTTAAGAAAGCTTAAGAAGAAAGTGCAAAAGATAAAAAGGATAAGGATGAATTAACCTTCTAACAAAAGCTTCATATTGTAAAAACTCAAGATGAGTATAAAGATATTAGGGAAGAACTATTTTCTAAAGCAAGTGAAATTGCAAATTAGAAAAAGCTTCTAGGATGCGGCGATGATGAAATTAAAAAGGCAATAGAAGATGTTTTCAAAAAAGGTTTAGAAAATTTCATACCAAGTACTAAGAATATAGATTAAGGTAAGATCAAAATTGCAAAAATGCTTTAAGAATTCGAAAAGTCTAATGATATTGCCAATAATATTTGTTTTGAAGAGATCGAAATTAACGATTACCCAGAAAATGCAAGAAAAGCTGTAACTAAAAGAGATTTCCAAGATAGAATCTATCTCCAAACAGGCTGCCTTGTCGTTTAAAAGGGTATTTATGTTGAAATAGGCAAGAAAGTTTAACCAGGTTTCTAGAAACTATATTTAAGAATTGAAGGAGATTCCGAATACTAAGTACGTATGGCTTATAGGGATATCAAAGCAGAGTTAGAAGAAAAATCTATCAAAATACACGAAAGAGGAGGTGCACAGCAAGGAAGATTCACAATCCCATGAGATAATCAATCCATCTTGCCCTCTTTTTTTATTTCTTTTAATAACCTAAATACTCAATTAAAAAATAAATATTTCATTTAAAAAATTTGTTTTAATTGCATAATCCATCCATTTTTAATTAACAAAATTCTATTGTTTTGAAACAATTAATGTAAAATTATTATATTCTATATTCAATAAAAAAAAAATATTTTTGTTTTATGATTAAATTTTTTATTTGTTTCAATAAAAAATACTTTAAAATTATTAAATAAAAAGATCATCAATCATTTTAATATTTACATAATCAATTAATAGAAAAAATTATTTTTTTAATATAATTTTTCCTATTTTAAATTGCTTGTAATAGTTAGATGTAAGTAAGATTTCCTTATTATAAAATGCTTTTAAGGAAGGAGTTTTGTGTTAAAAAGTAGAATCAAAATATATTTACTGAATTGTTCTAAAATTATATTTTAATTATTTTAATAGTCTGAATAACTAATAATTGGTTCAGTGAAAAAAATAAGGTAAGATACTAAATGAATAATAACATTTAATTAATCATATAAGAAGCTTTATACATGACTGTACTAACATAATTAATAATTAAAAAAAAAACATAAACTAATTTTTATATTAAAAAAAAAGATATATATGAGCTTAAACCATATAGATATAAAAAACCTTAGCCCAGTTAAGTAAAATAAATATTATTTAAGACAGAATGGCTCTCTTGCAAACTTGAGGACTAACTTACAAAGTACTTCTATACTTAAAAAGTAATAAGTTAAAGATAATTCCATTTTGAGCTCAGCTTATGATGAATCATTAAATAAATTAAATTATAATCCTTCTTCTACAAGTCTTAGATCAATATCTTAAAATCCTCGCTCCTTCTTAGTGACTGACGCTCCTTCTAATCCTAATTTATCAAACTAAAATAAAAGTTCAACAAAGTTTAGATTTCCAAGTGAGATAGAAATTAACATGGATAAACTAAATTCTGATACTATCCATAAAAAGAGCTATGCAGATTTGGTTAGGAAATAACCTAAAGAGAAAATAACTAAAGCTGTATAAGATTTTGAGCGCTATATGATGACACCAATAAGTGGTACACCAAAATGCTATGGCGATTTCGAAAGTGGATCTAAACTAAAGAATACTCTACAAGCATTGAAGTTACCACCTTTAGTTAATCATAGCTAAAAGATTGAAGCGACTGTAGATAACATTAATGATGAGCTTTAAAAGTATAAGTATTTAAATAAAATTGTTGAGGTAGACGGATTTTATGACAAAAGCCATGACCTCAAAGTATCTATGCTTTCATATACCATGCGTTCCCCTCATACACTGCCCAGAAGTTTGGGAATTAATAAATCACTCATCAATGACAAAAGAAAAGTAAAATATTCTTCATTTTTGTTCTATTTTTTTTTTGAAAATATCTACTTTGATATATCTTTGAAATTTGCTATATGCTAAAAGTAGATTTTCATAAAATTTACTGGAATCAAAAAAGACTCCTCCCCACCAACTAGATTTTAATTAATTATAATATTTAAATCTTTTTTTAGTTTAAACTATAAAACTCATATTGAAGAAATCTTATTTATTTATTTTGAATGAAATAGCTTTTATGTTAATTTTTTTAATCATTCATAATTTTAACAAAATGATAATTATAGATTAATATTTCAAGTCAATTTATTGGCGATAAATACAGTGAGATGGCAAGTGAAGCTTTAAGACATGAGGATCTAGAAAAAGTTGAGAGTGTAAAGCTAAAAGATAATAATCTTACTTCTTCATCCTTATCTAAGATAGTTCAGAGTCTTCCAAGAAACATCTAAAAATTGAATTTGGCAGAAAATTTTAAACTTGGTAAAGAAGGTATTTTGCACTTAGCTCCTGCTTTACAGCAAAAGAAATATATATATCTCAGTGTCGTAAATTTAGAAAATACAAATTTATAAGATGAAGGTGCATAATTAATTGTTTAATCTTTAATTAATTCAACAAACGTGTAAGTTTTAAACCTATCAAGAAATTCTATTACAGATGCTATAGGTCCTGCTTTAAAGCAATTTTTAGAGGTATCTGACTCTCTATCTGAGCTTTACATGCATTGGAATAAGTTAACCTCAATAGCTGGTTGTTAGATTGCAGATGCACTGAAAATAAATGATAATCTTATGGTAAAAATAATTTGCTTTTTTAATAATATTTTAAATTAAAACATATTATCTAATTCACAAAGGTATTGGATCTTTCTTTCAATGGTTTAGGGAGTCATTTTGGATTGAATTCTAAAATGTGTGGCAAAAAGCTAATAGAAAGCTTAAATAGATAAAAAAGTAATATGAGGCATTTAGATATATCTTATAATAATTTTACTGTCGAAGAAGGAAGAATAATTTAAGAAGCAATTAAAGGAAATGATGGTATTATAGGATTTCATTTTGAAGGAAATTGTAATGATATGTTTTATGTTGATTCTAGAGGTTTTTTAATCGAAAGAAAATTAGGCGAAGAAATCAAAGAATAGCTTCATTTAAAGAAAAAGCGTATTTAAGGGGTTAAATTTTTAGGTTAAAATAAAATTTAAAACGATTTAATGAATGTTGTGGATAATTGTTGGATTTGTGATGGATGGACAGAATTATAGTTTGCTGTAGAAGGAGTTGGAGAATGTACTTTTTTGCATTTTGATTTTGAAGGTTATAGACCAATATGCATGGATAAATAATCTGACGGTAAGTTTACCCTAATCAAGATGTGTCCTCCTCGTAAGAAAATAAGATTCTTTTTTACTGATCCAACATCACTTGTTGCATTTACAACGGAAGGTTACTAAAAGGAGAAATAATTAAATATTCATAATAATGCTGTTGCTTTTAAAACTTACTAGTAAACTCTTGAGGGTTCTTTAGCTAATATTCCTAACGTTGAAGAAGATAATGAATAAGAACTCAAAAAATCTAAAGTTTTAAATAACTCTAGTTCTTAAAAAAAGATTCCAACTAGTACTTCTATTGCAAATAATGAAAGAAGCACCAGCAAATCAAGATTTGGGTAAAGTAGCTAAAAGAAAATTTAATAAAAGGATACAAAGCCTAAAAACGATAACAAAAAAGAATTTTCTGATACGATGAATCAGCTTGTTTACAATGAAAAAACAGGAAAATATACAATAACTTATTAAGATGGCACTCCTGTAGATTATGAAATGCCAATTTACTTTAATGTTTATAAAACTGATATAAATAAATCTGTTTTTTCTAAGTATAAAGATGTCCAGATATTATCATATCCACGTGTTCCAGAAAAAGTAGTTCAATTAAGTGCAAAAAGTGAATGGGTAGTAGAGAAAAGTATATTTAAAGATTATATAAAAGATAATGAAGACTTAATTGATAAGTGCTTTGAATTTGACTTTAGTTAATCTCGTATTGCTAAAGTTGTCACAGATAAAGATGATCTAGCAAAAGTAAAATCAATATTAAAGGAAAATTATAGAAAAATTAAAAGGAACTACAAGCTCTATTCGTCCTATGCTTCTGGTGAAATTTTTTGTATTGCTTAAAATATATTATCTTAATTTGCTATTAAGTGTGGTATTATCGATAACAAATTCTCTTTTGCTGATTTAGATTACAATATCATAGCTACATCATCTGTTTAAAAGACAAATAATTACCTTAATCCTGATAAAGTATTGATTAGATACAAGTTCATGGAAATATTTGTAAGAATAGCAGGAGATAAATATATTAAATATGGAAAGTGTAAGAAATACTCTGAAGCCTTGATAGAACTTTTTAGTGATTCAGTACTACAAGAATAGTTAGACCAAGCAGACGATGCACAGGAATGGAGATATACTAAGTAATTTATATTCAAAAAATTTTTATTTAATACTAAATTTCATTAATAAATAGATTTTGGAATGAAGGATGCGACATCATCTTCAAACAAAATATGGATTTAATAAAATCTCTTTGGAATCAATTTGCTGATTCTCGTAAAACAGAAAAGAGAAGCTTTATGAATTATAAAACTATGAATATCTCTGAATTTAGAGATTTTATAAATCACTTTGAATTTATTGACACTTCTTTTAACGAGAGAGATATCAACATGGTTTTTAACATGTCTATGCAGACTTGCATAGATGAAATTAGTAGTGATAAGCACTTATTAATGAATTTCAATGAATTTTTAGAATCTATTGCAAGAATTGCAGAAATAAGAGTTTTCAAAGAAGAAGAAAAAGAAGATGCAAATAATTAGTCAGAAGAAGAAGAAGAAGAAGAAAACAATGATGATGAAGATGAAAGAAACAGCAACTAAATTAGTGAAGAAGGAGATAATAATGAAGATTTTGAAAATAGTAATAATAATTAATCTGAAAAAGATTCCTCTAGGTATAACTCAAAAAGAAATTCATTTGAATAGCCACAACAACAATAACAAAGCTCATTAGCATATATACAAGATAATACTTCTGAAAATGAAGACAACCAAGAAGAAGAAGAACAGCCTAAGTAAGGAAAATCTGTTATGTTTTTTAAGTAGAAAACTATTGATATAGATTAAGTTAAAAAATCTATGACAAAATTAAATTAAGTGAATAGTTCTTCTAGACAAAATACTCCAAGCAAGCAAAGAGATAATAAATATAAAAGCTCAAATTCTTTGAGAGGGTCTCAAATTGATTTAGACAATCAAGAAAATAATGATGATGAAGAAGAAACTTAAACAAAGACTAAAACTAAAATAAGATTTAAGGATAGTCAAGTAGAATTAAATTCTAAAACAAATAATATAGATCTTGATTTTTAGAGAAGACAGGAAAGAAAATTGATAAAATAAGTGCCTTTAAAATTTAAACTATTTTAACTCATAAGTTATATCCTTAAAAAATAAGCAGAAAGAGCTAAGGTATTCAAATTAGTTATTTCATAATTAAAATTTTTATATTTTTTACATTATATTTAGAAAGGAGATAAAAAGAGCTAAATCTATAAGAAATAATAAAGCTTAATAGATCTAAAGAATTCAATTATATCTGTAGAAAGAAGTAAGGATGGTAATGGATATATAAGAAGAATAGAAGGTAATAGACTCTTTTAAAGAGCAACAGATAAGCTGCAAGTAGAAGATTAACAAACAAAAAAATGAATTAAATTATCAAGCTATATTAATAAAAATTATCTACTTAAAAAATAAATATTTCATTTATAATTTGTAACTAAAGCAAATAATATTTTCAATTTATAAAAATATAAAATCTTTATTAAGTTTAATCAAAAAAAAAGTAATTAATAATTTAATTTAAATATATAAAATAATATTTTAAAATCAATTTTTTTGTTTGGAGAGAATGTTAAATTTTGGATTAAAAAATTAGCAAAAAAATGAATACCAAAAAGTATTTATTTATTTGGGATACTTATTTACTAAATATACAGCATGTAATTATATATACTTTAAAATCTTAATTAATTAATATTAATTATAAATAATGTTTTCATTATTTTGATGTGAAATTTTTTAATTTAGTTAAGTTATAAATACAAATCAAATTTTTTTGACTTTAATTCATTTTTTTTTCAAAAATTTCCATGTAAAGTGTGTCTTTTGTTCAAATTAGTTGTGGAAGAAGGAATCATTCCAAAATCTAAAGCTTTCTGGGGAGTCTAAGAGTCCTTCATAGATGATTTCTGTGATTTAGAAACATTAGTTGAAAGTAAAGACTGCTTTTTACTTTATGATGTTATGTCTTCAAAATATTTAATAAAATTGTTTTTAGCAGAGTATAAGTTATCATTTATTGACAATTTTTTGTGTTAAGGTTCTAATGATTTTCTGCTGTTTTAATTTGATTTTTACTTATTGTGAGTTTTTTTAGTCGCTGATTTAATCATGTTTGGATTAATTCTTTGCAAAGATTACTGGTTGTTAGAGCCAGAAGACATCATATTTAAATCAGAAGTAAGGTAATGCTAGAGCATAGAATTAGACTAAATTTATTATTATGAAGACATTATTGAAGGGATATTCAAATTTGAAGATTGTCCTAGAGATTGATATGGACCACTAGATGATTCTGATGAAGACACATTGTTTCTATGAAGATTGGTTGTTGTTATACTAGTGGTTATGCTACCTCCTAAAGAGCTTGAAGGCAACAAAAGAGAAGATTGAGCCACCTTTGCCAAGTTAGTTGAAGAGAGACCTGTCATGTTCCCACAGCTATTCTTTTTCTTTTAGATAGCCCCACCTATTTAATAATTATTTTCTTTATTATTGATTGAGTGGATGTTGTGATTATTACTAATTTTACTGCTCATAGCAGCTGAAGGAGTCGTAGTTGTTGTTGTAGCATAAATATTTTTCGACTAAAAAGATAGAGATTTTGCAGCAGCATTAGAGATAGATTTTTAATTATTGTTGTTAGAATTAGTTTAAGAATTTGTTGTAGTATTAGCTGTGTTTGTACTGTTCATATTGTTTGAATATGAGCTTGTTGCACTATTTGGGGGATAAGATAGAAGATGGGATTAAAGCTAATTAGATTAATTCTATCCAATAGTACTGCTAATTGGCTACAAATCATTTTACAAAGAATTACTGCAATAAGTATTATCATTACGTACACTGTTGGAGGCAGGATGTATGATCGAAAGAGAGTCTTCTCTCTTTTCTAATGGGGCTTTCTTTTTAGCATTAGCATTAGATGCAGTAACTGGTCTTTTTGCCTCCAACATCTGATAATTCTTAGGGGAATAGCAAGGAGACATATATCTCTTTTTATCTTAAGAAGAAGAAACTGCGTGATGGGCAGCAGTTGAATTTGTTGTGGTTCCACCATATTGATTCATTTGAGCTTAATTTTATGCTAGTTAGTTAATTTGATGGTAATTCAGATGATGAGAGTTAGGTGCATTAGAATTTACACCTGTCCCACTATTATTTTTTAAGCTTTTTGTAGAAAAGCTCATCTAACCCTTCAGGAAACTCTTAATAAGAGCTGCAGAATCAACAGACTTGTCCTTAATTTAAGTCTGTACATTATTATAACCATTTTTCAAAATATCTAAATCTAAAAATTTATTTTAAGGTTTAAGCATAGCTGCTGCAACTGCAATATTACCATTTAAAGTATTTGACATATTCATTCCTAAGTGAGCATTTTAGTTGCTCATGTTATGATTATTTGTTCCATAAACAGAACCACCTATGCTATTATTAGCTATAAAGCTAGGTTTGTTAGAAGTGCTTTTCTTAGCTGTATTTTACTAACTGCTAGCCTAATTACGCGAAGCACTATTTTCTGTATTTGTGCGCTTCTATGATGTAAACTGTTAGATAAATTAATTATTTGCATTTGTCGTTGTTGTGGATGTAGAATTCGAATAGCTTTGATTTGAAATTCCATTTGATAATTTAATTGGAACACTATTTCTTGAAGAGCTAGGGCACTGCTCATTTTAGTTAATACCAATTTGACTTTGCCCGTTTCCATAAGAAATATTGTTAATATTTGTATTTAAACCGCTATTAACATTAGTAGTATTTGTAAAGTAATAGCTATTGTTATTGTTGTTATTGCTATTTATGCCTGCATTAATATTATATACCCCACTTTGAGAAACACCTACACAGTTACTTTTATTATTTTAACTAGTATCTTAAATATTAAAAGAATTTTGTTGGTGATGTATTGCACCTTGTTATCTTGAATAGCTTGGAGCTGCTGATGTCTGATGAGATTGCATTGAATTGTGCATTTTCTTTTATTAAGATCTTTTATCATTCTGTAATGTACTTTGAGAGTGATTATTTTATGTAGTCATTGGGAAGCTTTCTCTTCCTTAAGTGTTCACTTGAGTATTATTTGGTTCTTTCTCTATTTCTATTTCCAAAAGGTTTTGTCTGCTATAATTTTTAAAAATTTAATATATAATTTTAAAAGGATTGATTGTCTTTATTTTTAAAGAATATATCAGAAAATATTAATACCTTAACAATTTTACGGAGGTAGGATTTACGTAATAAAAAAAGCTGAAAAGAGATTCTTTGTTATTTTTACGAGAGGTGATGTTTGGTACTTGTATTTCTCTAAATTCAGAGTGTATATATGATTGATTTATGTCTATTTGTATAGGAGGCTAAATCTTTAAGTTTAGAATATCCTTCCAATTCACATCACTAAACCATTTGCATGACTTAATGTCTTCAAATGATTTTATTCTATGATTTGGTCTCTTATCAAGCAACTAGTAGAGTAACTCTCTTAGATGAGGATTTAAATAATCTGGAACTTCGAGTTCTTCATTTGCAATATTTTTCAATATAGTTTCAGTATTGTTAGCATAGAATGGAGGCAATCCAGTAACTAACTCATATAAAAAGGCACCAAGTGTATAGAAGTCAACTGAATAGTTGTAGCCTTAACGCAACAAGACTTCAGGTGCCATATATTCGGGAGAACCGCAGAATGAATCAGTCATCTCTTCTCTATGCATTCCAATTTTAGAAAGACCAAAGTCTGTCAATCTAACATGACCATCCATATCCAATACAATATTTTCAGGCTAATTTTTAAAAAAAATTATCAATTAATAAACCTAATAGCATAAATAAATACATAATTTTTAATTTTATTTAAAGAATTATCTGTTAGAAAATTATCTTCAAAATTAATAAAAAAAATTATTAATTTATATGTTTACTTTCAAATCTCTGTAAAGAATCTTATTCGAGTGAAGATACTCAAAGCAAATCAAAATTTCTACAAAGTAAAATTTTGATTCATTTTCTGTTAATTTACGATTTTAAAGGTGAAAGAAGAGCTCTCCTCCACAATAGAATTCTAAAAGGAAATTCAGGTGATACTCAGATTCAAAGCATGCATGAAGACTTGCAATGAATGGTGCTTTTGCAGCGTCAATTAAAATTTTTCTTTCACGCAATAACTACTCTAATCTTTTATATTCACTCAAATGAGTTTTGGGAATCATTTTGAGGGCAAATAATTTACAAGATTCTCTATGTCTAACTGTTTTAAAGAATAATAATTTTATTTACATTTTCAATTAGTAGCATTTTCAAAAATATTTTTAAATTAGCTTGATGAAAGTTCAAATATTTTCATTTGTTTAGTAATTTTTGAATTTATCTCCCTAAAATATTAATTATTTGCTTGATTATTTAGTTAGTTAGATTGATTGATTGATATATAGATAGATAGATTGTTAGATATTTAATACAAAGCATACCAATTTGAAAATAAGCATTCAACTTTGTAATTTTCTTTGATTATGTTAAAAATTAATTAGTAGGTTTTAAATTTTTTGAATATTTTTAGAGATAATTCAATCCCATAATTTGCTTAATAATAGCTGATTAAATAATAATTTTGAGAAGCTTTATTAAAAAGCAAACACATTTATTTTTTCATGAGGATATTTAAAATTAAGCAAGATAGAAATGAAAGATAAAATTGAATAATTACCTAAAAACACATCAGATGTACCTCCCTTTCCCAAGCACTTTAAGAAAGTGAAGTCATGAATATTTAATTCTTATTCTTTTTGGTTAGCCTTATCGCTTTTTTATGCATAAACTGGCTTAAGAAGGATGTTTTCTCTTATCTGATTAACTTTTTTATTAGGCTGAGTTAAATAGTAATCTATAACTTCATTTTCACCAACAGTTTCCAAGCAGACTATATTTTCATAGTTTGGAAAGAGAATTTGTTAGGCCAAAGCTTTGACTCTCTAAGTTAATCTGGCTACAGAGCTATCTTTGGGTACTCTTACTTCGATGCTATTATCTTCATCTAAGTAAATTATGTAAACCAATTAATTTAATTCATCTTTATATTCTCTGCTCATTTATCCGTTAATGAATTAAGAAGAGCTATTTGGGGTTTTATTTCTACTCATTTTTGCTGGTGACAAACTTTTAACTCTTTATAGCATTACTTCCTTCTCTCAAGAATAAATTCTAATTTTTGCTATTTAAACCTATTTTTTTTAAGTCTTTATCCTTGTATTTCTAATTGGTTTTGTTAACAAAAATATTATTTCTTAACTATACTTTCTATCTTAACAATTTATTATTTGTTTCTTATTTTCTTAATATTATTAATCTTTACTTTTTGATTTTTAAAAAGAAATTAAATACAAAAGTGTTTATGAGTGTATGAATGAATGAATTAGTTAATTTATTAGCACATATTATTTAGAATTTTTTCCATAATTTTGAATTACGTTGAAGAACTCATTTAAGTATCATTATTTTTTTTACATTAAAATATATTAGAAATTATTCTTTATTTTTTAAACTGATTCAATTTAATTCATAGTCAATAAAGCTGGTTAGTGATACTATTTATTATTTTATTGAAATGCGCTTACTGAATTTATTAGATCATAAAAATATGTGGTAAATAATTTTTTTATTTGAAATGTTAAAAGGAAATTTAATATAGTTCTAAGTACAAAATAGAATATAAACATTTAAAAATTATCTAATAATTTTTTACTAAATTCAGATAAAATCATTTTCCATATCATAAAATTAATAATTATGTATCTTTAAAATAGAAAATTATATAAACATATTACTAGTTTTGCATAATTGTGAAACATATCTTTACTGCAAATTTTACCTGGTTCGAATTAATTACAAAATAATTGTTGAATTTTTAATAAGAAACAAAAATAGTCTACAATAAATTCAAACAAAAAAAAGCAAATCTTATTTATCAGTTTAATTTCTGTAAAAATAAAAATATAATATTTTTATATAATAAATTTTTTGTGTTAATTATTAGCTACATTTATTTAAAATTAAAATTAAAGTAATTATTACTATTAACCTATTCTTATATTCTAAAAAAGGAAATATTCTGTTAATAAATAGATAATTGCCATTAAATTTTATTATCTCCTTTCTTAAAATAAAATTCACTTATTTTAATTAAAGTATGAAAAAATATTTATTTTTTTTCTTAAATAAATTATAATTAAATGAGGTAGCAAATCTTACTTTTAACTTATTTATAATTACCAAACTTGTTAATAGGATTATAGGCAGTGTTCACAGGGTTAAAATTTTTTTGTAAATACCTAAAGTTTTTTTTAATTTAAAAATTTTATATATTGCTTACCATTTTATAAAAGTTGGAGATATTTCAAACAGCCTATATATTTTAATATTTAATTTAATAAATTCATTTACAAGATTTATAAGAAAAAAATATGAATTTTATTTACTATGAAAAAAACTTTTTATTTAAACTTTTATTTTTATTAATAAAATAAATTACACCAAATTATTTTAAATATTGTAGCAAATTTAATAATTTCATCATATTGATTGTTACTTTAATGATTACATTTTGAAAGTTTGACGTGTTATTATAATAATAAGTAAATATATTAGAGATAGGCATAAGAAATATTTTATTTACTAAAGTAGAGCAATAAAAAGAAAAAATTATCATTTTTGAGACTCTATGATGAAATAATATTTTAAATGATTGATTATTTTAAATATTTTAATAAAATATATAAATTACGTTTTAAATATTGGTTAGCTATCTTATCTTAGTTTAATAATATAATAAATATTATTTGGGCGTGTAATTTAAATTTTACAGAATATTTACTAATTTAATTAATCAATTCATTTTTACATATTAATTAGGTTTTAATTTTTTTACATAAGTAGGAATTAGTTTTTGGCAGTATATTAGATTAAACATAATTGATAAACTTTAATTGCTGAAAGACATATTAACTATAAAGAATGAGTCAAATTTATATTAAGTTAGAGTCATAGTAATGTTTTACAGAATAGTTGTGACTTTAGATTTTAAATTTTTTTGTTCTATTATTAGAGAGAACACAAAGCTAATATTAAGAACCATTTCCAATTTCAAATTAATTAATACAATAACTTTGGAAGTAGAAGCTATCTCTTTTTTTAATACAATACCACCTGAATTTTCTGATTTATATCATATTAAAGTTCTAGAGATGAGATTTATTTCGTAATTTTTTTTTGCATTAGAGGTTATTTTATCTGAAAAATAAAATCAAATTGATTTTAAATATATAGTAATTGTTTTTCACTGGAAGATGAATACAAAGGATTATTATAATTTAAAGAGCTGCTAGCTAAATTTTATCAACTAGAAGAACTTATCTTGATATTTTAAAAGTAACAAATTTTTTTAAAATGGTTTTATATTTTAGCAATTTTAATTTAAACAGCTGCTAATCAGTAAAAATTCTATCTTTATTTTAGAAATAATGCACATAGAAAAGCGTGTAAATACATATAATTAGTGATTTACTTTCCTAATCAATATATTATTTCAATTAAATACTTCTAATAGAAATGAAATGATCAGTTAAAATGAATCCTTTTTGTAGAATCTTAAAAAACTTAGCATTTAGCAAATAAAGTATTTTTATTTCAAAGCAAATTTAAAATACTTATATCTTATGTATAAATAAGCTCTTTCATGGACATTTCTAATGAAGAAATAGCAGATATAAATTAGAATGATTTAATATTTGAAAATATTAATGAGAGTAATTCTTTTCCTAACTAATTTTCTTAAACCTATTTTTAATATTTTAAAAAAAGTCAGAATTATAGTCTAATTATGCTTTTTTGATTCGGATCTAATGCTGAAATTTCTATAAAAAATATTCAAAAACCAAAAAATCATCAAGATTTAGCTGGACGAAATAACCATTTAATATAATTATTATTTAAAATCCTTAACGTATTAGACAAAACAAAAGGAAGTTGATAATATAGTGAGAGATGTGATAATCTAATTTCTAAAAACATACTAAGTAGAAATTGATGAAATTAATTTTGAAATACTCTCAGATTTAGAGTTAGATGACTCGATTTAAACTATTACAGACATTTATTAATAGAAATTATAAAGTATTAGCATATTCATGTAAAATTATTTATTTATTACTTTAACAAATTTAACAAAATTCTTTTAATTTTTAGGAAAGAGATAAATATTGTAAGAAGCTTAAAGGAAATATTTGAAAACATTCAATTTTAAGTTATTAAGCTCCATTTAATGTAACTTATTAAATATTAATAAAAAAATTATGTAATCTTATTTAAAATTAACTTAAAAAATAAATAGGAATTGTTATCTAACTGATGAAGTTATGTAGTAATTAATCCTAGGTTTATCTTTATAAAAACTTGCTAAGATTATTCTTATTGATGTCTCTTTAAATATTTGTAACAAGTCAAACACATTAAGCATGAAAAACTCTAAGGTGAGGAGCAAATTATTTTTTTAAGAAGATGTTTATTCTCTATAAACTACATATGAATTTTTGATTTAAATGCAATCAAAATAGCTTAAAAATATATGTTTAACAACGCCTTGCTTCGACCTTAAATTAGAACAATAAATTCTCTATTTTACTTTAAAATAAGGAAATATACAGAAATATGAGTTAGATTTTTTTAATTTGATGATTTCTTCTGATCGAGAAAGCATTACAGAACTAATTTTAAGTTATGATTGGTATATTTATCTGTTTATTTTAAATTCAATTTTCTAATTAATTATTAAATAAGCTAAAAGGCTAATGTAAATAAACTCTTACACCTTTGGAAGAGTTTTTCAACCCTTTAATATTTAAAATCTTTCAGTGGATTTTTCAGGTAAACTTTATTTATTATAATATAAATCCTTATTAATTTTTATTTCATTTCAAACTCTAAAATATTTTAAGTTTGAATTTCAAAAATCTAATTAATGTGTTTAATTGTTAGTTATTTAATTAGTTAGTTAATTAATTAATGAGGATTTATAGTATTTTAATTTACAATTATAAATTATATTTTAAAAATAGTACCTAAAGTTAGCTGGATGACTAATAAACAAAATAATTTTTTGGAATTTTAAATTAATTAAAGTAATTAGAAACGCTTGAGCTTACTGGACCAAAGTAAATTAAAACTAGTATGTTAAATAATAAGAATTATTTATTTATAAAAGTTTGCTTACTGAAAAGAAATAGGAAGAATATTTAGAAGTTGCTTTAAAAAATTAAATTAATTTGAAAGTGCTAAATATAAAACTAAAATTTTTATAGTAAGATTAATTTTTTGACATTTGAATTTTAAATTTCTTTTAATAAAGAAATGTCAAGATTTGTAACATATGCTAATCAATAAGCTAAGGGCTATAGTATTAAACAAATTTAATAAGCCTGACAATTGTTGTTTTTTCGTAAATAATCTTTAAATTATCCTTAAATTTAATTCTAATTTATTTTATTCAATAGGGATAATATTAATTTATAAGATGGAGATTCTCTATTTAATTGTTTAAAATATTTACTAAAATTAGAATACCTAAAAATTGTCTTTAAAAAGTATTTTATTGCTTTGGTAGAAGAAAAAATAATTTTTTATTAATTAAAATTAAAAGTATCATGGCTTCTCTCAATATAAAGGTAAAGGAGAATTACAAGTTGCAAGAAAATCTTTTTTCAAATCTAAAATATTTAAAGTTTTTGAAACAACTAGAAATAAATTTTCAGTAAATTATCTAAAAATTAAATTAGTTTTTCAAAAGTTTTTTAATAAATATACAGACTAAACTCATCTTTTGATTGTGATTAAATCATTCTTGACAGCTGTAAGCTACCTTCAATTTAAAATTTAAGGCTAAATCTAGGGTAAATTAAATATTCCTTTCCTTTTTTAATAAATTATAAAGAGAATAGCATTATACTTAGAACTCATATTCAATTAAATAGTCTTTACAAAGCATTTTAACTGGCGAAAATGTAAAAATAATTAAAAGTAAATGCAAATATAATAATTTTTATTATATTTTATTAAGTAAGACAATAAAAATCTGAGTATTTATATTGATGTGAACAACCTCACTTTTTATTTTTTGAGAGAAAATTATGAAATTTTATTAAATGCAGGTGATTGCTTGTATAAAAATAGTCAACTTTTCAAAAATAATTTTGAATAAGATATTTAATTTTAAAATAATGTGCTTTAAAGTTTGATATAATATGACAATCTCAAAGATTAGATGAAAATCTTTAATTTCTAAATGATGTAAATATCATTTTAAAAATCTAATTAAATTCATTATAAATTTAAAAAAGTAATATCAATCTCAATGAACAAGATAAATTTATCAACTAATATTATGAATTATCAAATTTTTTGTAAAAATACAATCAATTACAATACGTCAGTTTAAGCTTTAAGATGTAATTCATTCAAAATTTATGAAAATTATTTGATAAAAAATTTAATGATTTAAAAGGATTAATCTTGACTTGCTAGTTGCTATTTTAGAAACCTGTTCTGCTATGAAAAATTTAGTTTAATTTAAGATAAATACTTCATTCCTTTTTGAATAAAATAGCAGTTAAACAGATGAAAACATTTAAAAAATAAAAAATTATGTGAGCTCAATTTATCAAAATTGCAAAACACTAAATTATCTCGAATTTTAAAATCAATCAAATTTAATAGAAAACAATTTTTGCCAGACTACTAAAATTAAAATGAAGTTAGATTTATTGCATAGTTTTTTTGAAATTAAAGTACTTATCTGCTTCTTACCATAGTTAAGCTTGATAGACTCTTTAAAGCTAGATATATACCCGTAAGATTCATTATTTTATAAATTTAAAAATTAACTTGTTATTTTAATGAATAATTTTTAAAAATATTTTTTAGATAAAATTAAACATCTAGTATTTTGTTAGATTCAGTTAATTTGATAAGTCCTTTAATTAATTCAATGTCTAAATTAGCATTCTTTCACACCAAATTAATATCTACTTTTAATGCTAATTTACAGATCCCCGCTTCTTTCTTACAATTTTTAAAAGTAAATAACTGCTTTTTTAATTTGAATTTCAAATGATATTTTATTATAATAGATATAAAGCTGCCTAAATTAATACAGTTTGTCTTTCCCTCAGGTTGAATTTAAATTCTTGTAAGATTAGCCCATTAAATAAGGATGTATTCAAATATTACTATATGACTGTAGTTCAATTGTAATAGTTAATGAATTCCTGAAAACTAACCAAAACTATATCTTTGTAAAATTATTTTTATCAATTTTGATAGTATTTTTTAAAATAGAATGATAAATCAATCAATCATTCATTAAATCAATTTAATTTTAAACAATAGGAAATAAGCTTAATTTTGAAATGTAAAAAGCTTTAAGAAAAAGTGGGAATCGGTGAATTTATTAAATAGTTAAGCACTATGAAAATGCTACAGAAATTTATTATTCAAAGCGATTCTAAAATTTTCAGATATAATAGAACTTTTAATTATCTTTTTGTGTTTTCTCTCTTTATATGTTACAGATAATTTTGTAGGTAGAAACTGTTGAACTAATCTATCGCATTTAAAAAGCTCAACTAGTTTTATAGATCAGAAATATACTATGACATGATAAAGCTTGGGCTAACTCCTCAGCTCCCACAGATAGACATTCAATATAATGATTTTATAGAGAGCTTTGTTGGTGGATAAATAGGTTTCGAGAATGTTGGAGAAGAAGATTTTCTTGATGTAAATAGGTTTATAATTTATACTGAACCTATAAGCATAGATCAAGGGTAAATATAATTTATTATTTTAGGCTTAAATTAGAAAAAAATATAATTTTTTTTAACATATTAATAAAGAAATGACTCATTTGCATTTTAGTTTTTAAACGCTTCAGATAAAAATGTGCAGCTTGATGAATTTTTTATGTGATATTGAATGAATTTTAAAATATTTAAGATATCTACTTTTTTACTTTTGAGAAAGTAAGGAGTAGAAAAATAAAATCTAGCTTTAATTAATATTTTTACTTTTGTAATTTTAAGAATGTATAAGACTATTTATTCATAAATTTAAAAAAAATACTTTTGGGTGATAGTAAAACAAAATTATTTGCATTTACTAAGTGTCTCATTCTGATAATTTCATTTTTTAGTTCTATGAGTAAAGTTACTTAACATATTGTTAGGCAAATGGTAGGAGTTTTATTTAACGGCCTAGAAAAATTTTAACTTTAGACTTAAATTTTTGAAAAACATATTTAGTCTATTTCAAAAGTATATTTACTAGCGTAAAATAAACAATTTATTCTATTCTATAATTGATTTCTGAGACATTAATTTATTTGTTAAATTTAAACTATGAGTCTTAGAGGGTAGATATCTAGAATCAACATTTATTGTTTTTGTTTGCAGAAAACAATTGATACCTTTTACATGAACCTATTTATATGGTTATTTTCTCGATAACAAATGGAAATTAAAAATAATAACAATTTTTTTGATATATTTGATTAAATTTTGCGAACGAACGGACTTTTGCATTAGTATATCATTACGAGCAGAATCAATAGATTTTTCTCGATTAAGATATAATTAAAATGCATTATTTTATCTAGAAAACAACAACAACTATTAAAGGTTTTCTCCCCAAATAATTTTTTAACAATTTTTAAAAAAGCAAACCTATTTCAAATATTTTTTTTCAAGAGATTTTCCGCTTTCTTTTTATTTTTTTATTTATTAATCAATCAATTAATTGATTGATTGATAGAACTGATACTCCAAAGCAAATTAATACCTCTTTAAAATTTTTTGAATTTTTTTTTCTTAAATGACTTTTTATTTGGAAGTAATCAATAGGTCTAGATTAGAAGTCTATCAACCAATATTGATGGATTTTATTTTTATTTATTATCTAAATTGATGAGAGAAAAGATTTTGAAGAGAAAGAAAAGAAAGTGTTTGTTAAAAAAAGATATAATTTATATTAATTTTATTTGGATTTAAGAAAGGAATTGATTGTTATTTGATAATAATTATTATAATCAGTATAAAAATAAATATTAAAGAAAAAAGTAATAGCATTTATTACCTTTTTAAAAGAATAGTATCTTTAGGTTATTTAGGTTAAAGACTACATAAATGTTTTGGGATAAGGACTTCTTCCCTAACACTTCTTACAAAATGAAGTGTTAGTTCTACGTTATGTGCTTAATTTGGGCTTTCTAAGGTCCTGTTATGAATAGTATTCCATTCTTGTTCTAAAATCCTCAAGATATGGAGTGTGAAATTGATGGCACCTACACCCCTTGTACTGTAGAACAAATGTGTGCAAATAAATACAAATATAGATATCCTGACGAAATCCACATTTAAAGTATTACTTAATAATTCGATTTTGTTTGTGACAAGCAACTCACTGTCGCCTCTATCCTTGGTTTAGCTATGGGCGGTTAAATTTTGGGTTATATTTTAATCATGCTCTACGATTTCCCCAAGAAAATCAAGTCTCGTATGATTCTCTACACCGTCCTCGCTGAAGTTATTGTTCTTTTCTCAGTCAATTATTCTGATTTGAACATAATTTCTATTTCTGCCATTCTCTTTGCTTGGAATTTCCTCTTTGCTTTCTATTTTGGCCAATAGTACGCTTACATTTGCGATATCTACTCTGCTGACATCAACAACTGGGCTCCAGTTATTCTTGGATGTATGATGCCCCTCTTCGGTATTGTTTACATTGGTTTTGCTTATGTCTCTAGCGATTGGAGAAATCATTTAACTAAATTCACTGCTATTCCTCTTCTTATCCTTGTTCTCGTTTTTTACAACATGTACGACTACAGAGATGACGAAACTGTTGACCAAACCGTTGAAAAATCTAAGAACTCTCGTATTGAAGGTCTTGATTTAATTTCTACCTTCCTTTCTCACTTGAAGGAATTACTCTCTTCTGAAAGATGGATGATGAATAGTATCGTTTACTTCCTCTGTTGGGTAGGCAGTAACTGTGCTTATACTACTACTTTCTTGGTATTCAATGATATCACTGTTGGTACTTTTTATAAGAATTTGTTTGTTACTGCTATTTTTGATTTCGGTTCAGCTTTTGTTGCATTCTTCTTAGCTGTCTACTGCCGTAACAACAACCGTGTCAAAGATTTAATGTTCTGGACTGCTATTGTTACAGCAATTATTCAAATCTCTTCTGCATTCTTCCCTCACAACACTACTTCAACTCGTACAAGCTACTTCTTGACTATGGCTCCTATCCTCATTTCCAAGGCTTACAGCAAGATCTTCGTTTCTTGTTTGCTTATTGATATGCCTAACTAGGTCCCATTCAAGTTCTTACTCATCCTCTTCTCTCTTTCCAACATTTGCTCTCTCATTTTCGGTAGTATGATGCCCTTGTACTACGTATTCATGAATCAAATGGGTGTCTCCGTCTTCATCACCTTCGGTATTGTCACATTAATTACAGCAATATACGTTTCAAAGATGACCTATATGTCAGACTTTGAAAAGAAGCAAAGCGAAATTGAATAGGGTGATCAATAGCTCCCCCCTCAAATGGCCATGGTCCAAACTCATGTTAAGAGAAATAGCCAATAAGAAAATCAAGAATCTACCTAGTAACCCCTCATTCAAATGGATACTAGAGAGTGATTTGTTGATTGATTTATATAATAACTAGCAATAAAATAAGTAGAAAATAAATTAGTACAAAGAAAAACTTCTATTTTCTAATTTAATATGCAATATATAATTTAATATTTTTTAGTTAATTAATTAGCAGCAAGCATGTCATCAAATTTTATGTTTTTTTATCATAAATCCAACTCATTCAACTTTTAAACATTTTATTCAATTAATCATATAAATCTTAATTTGATAATATTATTTATTTCTCCTTAATAATCTTATTATTTAAAGTATTTCAAGTCTAGCCTTACTATAACTAAAATTAGTTTAATTCAAAATTATTTAATAAATGTTCCTTTGATAATACAAATAAAAAAGGGATGCATAAATCCTTTGTCTAATTATAAATAATTTTTTTCTTTTAAATTTAATAGATTTTAAGTTCTAGCATAAAAGCAAACATTTTTAATATATAAATATGATAAGAAAATTATATCTGAAAGTAGAAAATTGAAAATATATTCTATTAAATGTGAAATTAAATTCTTTTAATTAAATATGTTATCTAATTTATTCGCATTATAATGTTCTGAATATAGAAAATCAACTCATTATTATTGAATTAATCAGCCTATAAATTGGTATTTTCTTTAAAATAGAAACCTGTCAAAGATGAATTTTAACAAAAGTTTTGAACTTAAAATTATGAAAAAAGATAAACAAATGAATATAAAATCTATTTCTATTTTATAAAATTTCACATTTTTAAAAATAAACCAATATAATCAATTAAACAAATAAATTTAGTTAAGGATAAAAAAATCATAATTTTTACAAAAAACTTTAGGCTTTCCTTTAAGTTTAAAATAATATTTATGAGAATAATTAATAATACTTATTTTTTAAAGATAGAAAATAAAAATTCATATAAAAATATTTTTTCTCTTTATAAAGAATTTAATTATTTGTAAATTTTTAATTTAATTTCCAAATTATATTATTTAATATTTTTAATGAGAGTTTCTTAAAAAGTAAGAATTACTTTTTTATTAACCATTATGAATAAAAGTGATGTCAATTGTTATTTTTTAGCAATCTTAATTAATTAATTTAAATGATTTTTGATCAAAAATTTATACTTTTTATATTAATACAAATCTATATTAGTTTTAAACAGAATTTTTAGTTGTATTTTTCATTAAATTGCTGACTTGCTCCTTTATTAAGTAAGGTGCTAACCGAGTACATAATTTTGAATTATTAGTAAGTACTTAATAGCACAAAGAGCAAGTGATTTTATTTATTTATTTATAATTTTAGTATTTCAGCTAATTACTATTCCTTTTCTTACTGGAGGCTTTCTATTTTATTTATTATTTTTATCATTTTCAAATATATTACTATTAAAAAGTTCAGGATAGAATTTCTCCAAGAATAACTCAGAATACATTTGATATTCTACTGAAAATGGAGCTTAAACTGAATTTTATTCTAAATCTAAATTGTTTTAGCTTGTTCTAATGTCTAAAATAGCTTTTATTTATTGAACACTTATATCGAAACGAATTATTAGACCATATAAATCGTACTTTTCTATCCAACTTGGCCTATCATCAAAAGTTACTTGCTATAAAACTACCTTGCAGTTTATAACAATCCCATCATATGTTCTTAGAATAAATGGTTATGGTTCTGTTTCTTTTATTTCATTGTTTAGGGCTTACATAACTAGTAAAAAAAATTTCAAGCGAAAATCCCCTGTTTTTTCGTTATAGTAGTTTTAACCACGATATACTAAATTTTCTATTTAGTTGATTTCAATGCCTAGCAAACTACATAGAGAGAAGCTAAATCCAGATTTAAATAATTCAATTTCACCTGTTATGTAGTTAGTTCTGTAAAGTTCATAATCATAAAATGCTGAAGGATCTAAATTATCCTTAATCCATTACTTAAAATATTTAACAAATTGCTCTTACAACTACGCAAAATCCTCTTTCTTTTTGGCACTCTTTATCATTTTAGCCTTCTAAATAGATATTTGAGGTAACAAATAACTTTTTACTATATATTAATATACTGTTAACTCTTAAGCAAGCTCAAGATAGTCTTAATTTTACATCTTAATGAACCTATCAATTAGAAATTAAAAATCCACAATACCGCAAGAGGATAAAGGGTTTAAAACTATATCAACAACTGATAATTAGAAATCTTTAACCACATATATAGGGCTATGCATTCTTTCAACATATAAAATTAAATTATCATGAAAAGGATCCTCATAGTCTTTATAGTAGGTCTCTACTTCTAAGCATCCATATAAAGTGATTAAATGATCTTAACTAATCTCTTTAAATAATGGCTAATAAGGTACTATCATTAACTACTTTTTAGTGAATCTTTTTGACTGCGATTTGCTTAATTTAGCGATAGTTTTTTTTATTCTTAGATTGTGAATAACCCTCAAAGCTCCATCATTTCTCTCAATATTATTATCATGGAGTAAGTTTTCATTTGAGTCATTTGCAAGACTGTTTTTGCTCTCAGTAATTTAGTTAGCATTTTACAAATCAGACTAACAATAAGATTATTCTTCAATATCAGTGGCAATTTTTTCATCTGATTCTAACATTAATTCTTGCCTGATCATTTTAATATTTCAAATGTTTTTAAATGGAGTATAAAGATTAGTAATTATCTATTTTATCTTTGATTAAAAGTATTGACTATTTTTTATAATTTTCTAATAGAAAAATAGGAAATACTGCCTTTAATATATGCAATTTAGAAATTTAATTTATTATTGCGATGCATATTTCATTAAGATTGTTGTAGATTAAATATATTGGTTTATTTAGATTATATCCTTTTAGAATTCATAAAAGAAATTGTAAGAACTAGTTCAAATACATTAAAAAATGACTAATAAGAATAAATTTCACCTTTTTTTAGATTAATTCAGGTATAAAATAATTGAACTTACTTTATTAGCTGGATTACAAATATTTAAAAGGCTTAATTTACACTTAAACAGTATTTATAAAATAAGTTTATAATAATTAAATTAATTCTAATGACTTTCACCTTCAAAATTTAGTATTTCAAACTTTAGAATAATTATATATTTTAAATTTATTAAAATATAAAAATGAATAAAAAATAAATACATATCCTAGAAAAAAGTAATAAAAAATAAATCAATTATCAATAAAATAATTTATTTTTAATTTATACTTCTATCATCAATTTTTTAGAAAGAAATCTTTGATATCTAGAGACAATCTTCAATATAAAACCTAAATAATAAATATTTAATATTAAAAAATAATAAATTAAATATATAAATACCAAATAATTTTTAATCTTTTTTGAATGCATTTGTAAACTATAAATACTCCTTAGACTGTGGTATTATAATTTTATAAATTGAAAAATCTAAGATAATTAATTTAATTTAATAAAATCTAAACTTCAAAATAAATCTTTTAATAATTCATTAATGATAAAATTTTTTAAATTCTTAAATGCTAAAAATTTGATAAATAAAAAGTTATTTTAATCAATTGATTTCATGGGAATATTAAGGAAAATGCCTTTTTTTACCCCCCATGCCCATAAACGCTCCGATTGTAAATTCTCTTTTATTTCTATCATAGAATGAAGAAGAAAAAAAATACTTTATCAATTAGAAATCTATTTTTTGATGGATAAATTCTTTTATAATTTTTTTAAAAGTGAATTTTAAAACTGATTTAAATTATACAATTTTATTTTTTACCTATTGATTTCAAGAATCAATTCTAATCAAAAATGAGTAAAATGTAAATCCTACTATAAATCAATGATTATGATACTATATTTTTATTATAAAGACTTTTTTTAATTTAAAATGTATATTATTTTTATTATTTTAAAGAATTTTTATAAAATAAAATATTTTTTCTTAAAAATAATATACCAAAAATTTGAAATTGCGTAAAAAGAGTTAAGAGCAGTGAGGATCTAACTAATTAAATAAATGTATTTTTTTTACTTAATTTTGAGACATTTATTAGAATAGGGTAATGGCTAGTAAAATTTAAAGATAGAAAATGAGATAAAAATATTTTTTTTTAAACTTTTATTATTTGTACCTTAAATAGATATTTATCTATTCTCAAGGTTGCTATTAGAATATAAAGTGATGATAGTTTAGAATTTTCAATCAATATACTAAAAGAGAAAACAAGAGAAAAATAAAATTTTTTTATTTTTTGATTCGCATTAAAATAAGAAAATAAATAGTTCAAAAAGAGGAAAAGAAAAAATTATTGATTAATTTTATTAATTAATTTTTCGAAAAAAATACAAAAAATAAAAATAATAACTAAAAAAAGAAGAAATGAATGAAATTTACAACTAACACGATGAATTTGAAAGCCAGTTCAGTTAACCTTATAAAAAATGTAATTATTTTATTTATCTTTGGTATTTACTTAAAAATTTCATTAAAAGTTAAAAGCAATAATCAAAGTGAAAATAACCATTTGCATTCTGACCAATACTAGGAAGATGAAACTTATTAAATTCTCACCAACCCATTCTAATATTAAATATAAATGAGCAGCTAAAATTATTAAAATTATAACAATAACCCTTCTTATCAGCCTCTCTAAATAGAATATGCTAATTAGAATTATGATTACTAACTAGAATCATTGTAAAATTTTTTTGAATATTAAATAAATTCTAATTTATTCAATAAAGCTAACAGGATTGTAATATGACAAATTATTTTTAAACTGAGTAAGATAAGTAAATATATTTATTTAAATTTTATTTAAAATATTTATTTTTTTTATTTTTCTATTAGCAGGAATTAACATTCTCAAGATCAATTCAGAAATGATTTTAAAAATTAAAATTATTTTGAACCAAACTAATGCGATGTTGATAATTAAGAATTTAAATTTTAAGTAGATCGTCTTTAATCCTCTGGTGAATTTTTTAAATGCTTAGATTTCCTTGCCATAAAAAATTATGATAAATTCTAAGATTAATATCAATATTTAGGCGCCTTGTAAACGACATTATCTACTGATTTGAAAAAATTCGATTTTATTAACCCTAATTAAGTCTACTAAGGAAAGATATAACCTGGAAAGATTTTAAAAATTTCTTGGTAGAATTACTCATCAAAAAAATATCTTGATTTTTATGAACTCCACGAAGAAATGAACACACTTGTTTTACATAATAACTAATACGTAATTTATATTTTAATTTTTTAACATTTTTAAAATAATTTATAAATATATTTAGATTGGGTATATTGATCATACATATTCTTTCATTTGGGGTTACTTGCTAAATAATAAAATTGTTAACATTTATCCTTATTTTTTCTCGAAAGAAGGCAACAAGATTCACATACTTTTGGAAGTTTACATTAATCCAAAATTTTTAAAGGCTCCTTTTGACTAAAATAATAACTAATAATACAGTTTTAATAAATGTATTAAATATATTGATCAAGTCGCTCTTAAAATCTTATTAAATATTTTGAGACTATAAATAACATCTCCCTCTTTAATTGAAAGAGATTTATAAAAATATTTTTAAAAATTCAATATATTAAGAAATCAAGTATTTCCAAAAGTATTGATTTCTTGCAAAAAAACATTTAACTATTATAAAACCTAATTACAAAATTTTCCAAATCATTTTGTTGATTTTTATTCACAAGTCAATAAAGAAATTGAGATGCTCAAATCTTAAAAGCATTTTAAATAAATACATTTCACAGAGCCAATATAAGCTAATATTAACTATCCTAGTAAAATGCAAAATATATACTATTGTAAGAAATAAAACCAAAAAGATTTCATAAAAAATATCAATAATGTAGTAATTATTTCAGCAGAAAAAAGTAGTTAAGAAGATTCCATAGATAATGAAAATTCTTATAGGTTTTATTAGTAAGCTTAATAACCTTCAGATGTCGTTTCGAATCTTCATCCCTATCAACTTTAAGGTCTTTAATGGCTTCTTTACAGAGAAAGGAGAGTTGATAATTTATATATTCCTACTATGAGAAATTAATTATAAGATTAGAAAACCAAAATCGATATAGATTATGAAGAGATTGAATTAGTTGGTGGTTAAAAGATTTACAGAAATATTATAAATAACAAATTCTAATATGAATTTCCTGAAGTAAATATTTTTTTAATAATTAATATAAAACTTAAACACTCATTTTTCAAAGTAATAAGATATATTTGGAGGTATTTTGGCAGATGAAATGGGATTAGGAAAAACCCTTACAATTATTTCTTTAATTCACGAAACAAAAAAAGAAAGAACTTCTAAATACGGAACCTTAATTATTACACCATCAAATCTAGTGAATTAATGGGAAAATTAATTTAAAAATCATTCTAAAGCAGATTCAATTTCTATTCTGAACTTGCAATAAAAAAATAACAGATCTAAAAGTTTTGAAGATTATGATGTAGTTATTTGTTCATATAACATTATTTGTATGTTATTTGAGAGCTATGATTTAAGTGATAAAATATTCAATTAATAATGGGAGAGAATTATCCTAGACGAAGCCCAAAAAATTAAAAATAAACAATCTAAAGTTTCTGAAGCATGTTTCGAAATTTAATCAAAATACAAATGGTGCTTAACAGGTACTCCTCTAGAAAACAGCATAGATGTAAAAATATAATTAAAAATATTTAAATTTTTTTGATCTGTAAAATTTATTTTATTAAAAAATATTTTTGCAAATAAAAATAGGATATTTATAGCTTGATCCGTTTTTTAAACATACCTAAATACAGTGACTGGAATTGGTGGCGCTAAAATGTAAAAAATACTAAAAATTAAGAGTAAAAGAGCAACTCTTTCAAAATTATTAACCAAATAATTGAAAATTTAACTTTGAGAAGGACTAAAAAAAGTTAGTATGCTAACGGTGAAAGTATAACTTCAATACCTGAAAAGCAAATTTAAAATATTTATATTGATCTTTTTGACAATGAGAAAAACATCTACGATAAAATCTTCTAAAAAACTTAGCAAGTCTATAAATTCTTTAAATAAAATTCAAACAAAAAAGATAAAAATTATATGCATGTCTTTGAAGTTCTAACTAAGTTGAGAAGGTTCTGTGTTCACCCTAGTCTTACTTTTAAAATAGAAGAAGAGGCCATTTAAGTAAGCGAAAATAGCACTAATGATATTATTTCTAAAATCAACTCATTCTTGAATGAAATTTAATCAAAAATTTAATAATAAAATAAAAATAATAAAGAATCTAATTAAAATAATGATGAAAAAAACTAAGAACCATAAAATAATATATCTTAATATTAAAAAGAAGTCATTCAGCAAATAAAAGATGGATAATTTTAAGTTTGTAGTGTTTGCCTTGAAGATATAAAATATCACTCTATAAGTTCTTGTCTTCACGTATTTTGCTCATCATGCTTAGAATAAAGTATCCAAACTAATCATAAGTGCCCTCTTTGCCGTAAACATTTAAGTATGAGCGATATGCTGGATTTTGTTGATGAAGGAGCAGTAATTCATTAATAATTGAGTCATTATTTAAATGATGAAATTATCAGTGGATCTAAGATTTAAAAGACTGTTGAAATCATAGAAGAAATCCATAAAAAGGGAGAAAAAGTTATAGTATTTTCATAATGGATAGACACTTTGAATTTATTAGAGAAGCATCTCTAAAAAAAGCAAATTTCTTTTATGGTAATTATTTAAATGATATATTTTTAGATAACCTTTTAATAACTTTTTTTATTTTTTATATTAGAGATTCGAAGGTAAATTAACTAAATCTCAAAAGTAAAAGTCTCTATATCATTTTGAAAATCAAACAACTAATGCTGACTTGTTACAAGCATCTACTTTAAAAGAAGATAGTAGCTAACAAGAATAAACCATGGGATAAGAAGAATAATATGATAATTCTAATTAAAATTAAGAGAATACATCATAAACTCCTACTGTACTTTTAGCTTCGCTTATGAGTGGATATGTTGGACTTAACTTGACAGGAGCTAACAATTTAATATTATGTGATAGCTGGTGGAATCCTGCTGTTGAAGACTAAGCAATAAATAGAATTCATAGGTTAGGCTAATAGAAGCAAACTTATATCTATAAAATGATTTGTAAAGATACAATAGAAGAAAAGATTTAACAAATCAATGATTAAAAAAGAGATATTTTCCAAACAATTTTCAATTCTTCTGAACAAAATAAAAATAAAAAAGCAAAAGAATTCTTATAACAGATATTGAATTGAAAAATTGTAACTAATTCCTATTTATAAATTATAATTTAAATAATTTCAATAATAATTTTATATTTAACCTAAAATGTTAATAATTACTTTTATAAATAAATGTATAAAAAATTTTTTATTTATATTCTTAAAAAATAAGTTTTACATAAATCAAAAATTAATAAATATTATGAAATAGTTATAGTAAATAGTATATATTTTATTTTTTTAAATTTATAAAATTATTAATGAGGTTTACTAAAAGATGTTAAAATAAATAAATCATAAAAAATCAGCAACGAATAAATAATAATACAATTTAAAATAAATAATATGTTAAAATATAGCTTAAAATTCTTGAACCACACATTTTTTAACAACCTAATTTATAATAAAGATTAAATACCTCAGCATGTTTGTAAGATGATTAATTATATTTTATCAGCTAAGTTTTAAATAATTTTATAATACTTTATTTATTTTGCATTTATTCGATTTATTTAAAGTAAATCATTATTTTTTTAAAAAGTTAAAAAATTTTTAATTACAAAAAATTAGATAGTAATTTATATAATAAAAAATTTATTTTGTAGAAATTTAATTGAAATTTACAATTAAATGAATTTTCTTGATTTATTGCGAAGCAAAACATAAAATAATAGCTTATTTAGTAAATAAAATATAATATTTGATTAACATACTAAGACATTTAAAGTTGAATAAGGATTCGCTGGAAATAGAATACTTTTTGTGTAAAAATTAATAATAATATTGATTTATTATCAATAAGATTTTATTTTTTTATTAGATAATCATTATCGCATAATGATCTGTAAAGTTTCTTAACCAACTATATTACATCAATAAAAAATAAATTCAAGCACATAGAAATTAGGTAAATTATTAACAATGAATGTCTAATTTTTATATCATTTTAAGCTTATAAAAATTTCCTAATGATGGAAGTCAAATTTTAGTAGATGTTGCAAGTTACTTAACTTAGTAAAATTTGAATCTTAAATTAGATTCTTTAGATGTTAAATTCATGTAAGTAAATTTATTATAATATCTTTAAATGTTAATTAGTTTGATTAAATTAAGTTAAATGAATTGGAAAGATAGCCACAGCTAAATAATTTCTGATTTTTTAAAGTTTGTAAATCCAGACATAAACAGGTTGTCTATTGATATTCAGTAATATTTAATACAGTATTTCTGAAAAATTACTCAATTTTGTTTAAATAGATAAAATCTCTTTACTTTAGAAGGATTATCAAGCATTTTAGTGAGATTGTGCATGCTATTTAGTAATTTAAAATAACTAGAGATAAATTTTTAGTAACAAATATATTTTAATAAATAATTTTTTGTTTCAATATTTTAAAACGTTTAACTAAAAGAAACAATTAAATGAAAAATCAAATATCGAATGAGCAAATCTGTAAAAATATTTTTATTATTTAATTCTAATTCAGTTCAACTATAAAAAAAAGGTTTAGGATTACAAAGTGTTTTTAATCTTAAATACTTGACAGATTTAACTCTTGATTTATCGTAGATTATAAATTGTATCACCTATTTATTCTAATTAAATAAAAATTAACTTTAGTTAAAACCACATTTTTTATGAGTTCTTTGAAGGCATTAGAGCTTAATAAAAATTCCAACCAAATTCAACTTTAAAGCGTCTGAAGCTGATCATCAAGTAATTAAATCAATAATTTAAATTTTCTAATTATATTTGCAAACAATTATTACAATTTGCTTTTATTAATCATAAAATAATTAAAAGAAAAATAAATTTGGCTTTAAATGTATTAATTTACTGGTTTTTTTTTGGCTAATCATAAAAAATGCCAAAGAGTCTTTATTTTTAAAGTTAAAACATACATTTAGAGTTATTGATTGAGATGATTTTAAAAATGTGAGCCAAAATATTTTTTTAACATTTGTATAAAAATAAATATTAATAAACAAAATAGTACTAATTATTCTAATATTATTAAAGACACTAAGAAAAAGTACTAGATATATCAAGCTTATCACACATCTTTAAAGGAACATAAAATTTGACCAAATTTTAATTGATTTTAATCAACACGTGCTTTTAAAATACATAATAATTTATGGAAGCTCTTTCCATTTCAAAGCTAATTACTTTTTAGCTTGATGTATCTATGTAAAATACTTATAAAAATAAGATTAAAGATCATAATCTCCTTTTTTTTTATTTAAAGTTTAGCCAATTCTACATTTGAAACTCTTTAATAACCAACAAGGAATTAGTAAAACAAAAATTTTTGAATAAATTAAAATTAAATTTTTCATTTCAAATAGCGAACCTTTTCTTTAAGAGCAAATTCTTAAACTTTTCTCTTATTTAGTATAATGTAAGCATTTGATGGAAATTGATTTTACCTTCAAGTAAATTCTAAAACAATTAAAATAAATATTATTTATTTTATTTTTTATAAATTAAGAAATCACAAGTTTAATGATCAATACATCTTGCTTTTATCAAAAATCTTAAATCAATCTAATCAATTGCACAAAATATCTCTTGATTTTCAGTAAAATTTGTAAGAATACCTTTGTATTTTAATATATTTTAAAAAAAATAATTTAAAACAATAAAAAATTAAGAAAGTAAAAAAACATTATTTATTTAATTAATTATTTATATATTTATTTATTTTATCTTTTGAAAGAAGGTTTTGTGATTTTTTATTTTAAATAATAAATAATATTTAAAATACTAGTTTAAATAGAAGCTATACTTATGAAAGTATCATGTAATTGTAAACTTCTTTGTTGAGTAGGGAAATATTATCTCAAGGTCTTATTTACACTAATCAAGAAACAATTTAAAATAAAAATATGTTATCAAATTAATATTCATTAGAAATATAATAAATTTTAGTAAAATATATTGTTTTTTCAAAGCTTACTGAAAAATACAATTTATTTAATCCAAAATTTGCTTTTTAGGATTTTTATTTTTGATAAAGAAGTAAGCTAGAAATAATTACTGAAAAATAATTAGGTCATTAAATAAATTAAAATAGCACTTTTAATTCAAGCTTTTATTTCATAATATATATTCACTGGCTATTCTTCTTCTAGTAAATAAAATTAAATAAATTTTAAATGCTGTTATTTCTATTTAATTTTTACCTTAAAATTTATTAATTTAAATAAAATAAAAATTTGTAATACTTTTTACAACTTGGCTATTACATACTATATTATCTTAAAAAATAAATTTTAAATATAAAAACTCTGCAACACGAGCTTAAGCTTATCAACAAGAATTTAATATATTCTGAGTTAATAAAATTAAGTATTAAATTAAGAATATTTATAATATTTGTAAGTAATATGTAAGCAAATACAATTTATTAATATAAATTCTTTTTCAATTACTACATAGGTATAATAAAATAAAATATATGATTTTTAAGATTTCTCTTACTGTTTAATCAAATACTAGAAACAAATAAACATTTAATTAATAATTCATGTTCATAATTGTAATAAGTCTTTGTCACAAAGAATTTTTTTTCTTCTACTAATTATTATTATTTAATTTCAAGGATTAATTATTTTTACTTAAAAAACAAATAGCTTACTAGATTATTAATTTTATTTACTATCAATCAATCAGTCAATTAGTTTTATCAATTTTTACTTTGTGTTTATTATTATTTTTTTGAGTTATTAAATGGAATATTTTCTAAATATTTTCTCAAGATAATATGGTATTTCTATAATGATCAAAGAAGAAATAAATATAAAATATTTTTAAAAATGTATTTTTAACTCAAAAATAGTATGCTGATTTTTTGTACTACTTACTATATTTTTAATTACTATTTTATTACAGATTACATAGGTGATGAGTAAATACAGTTTTCTACTTTTTGTTACTAAATTAAATTACAATTAATTTAAAAATTAATGAATTCTGATCCTGTTACAGAGTTGATTAATATTGATATGCTAATTAAGAATAAATTTTCAGTTCAAATTATTTAGGACTGTAAAGCTGAATCCAATTTATTGAAGAAAGTAACTTTGTTTCCATTTTTAATGGAAAATATTTTTTTGTAAAAAAAACTTAAAATAAATATGGTATGAATCAAAAATTATTTTATTTTATTTAAAAAATATTAAGAAATTATATTTTATTTATATTTTTGCCAAACCTATTTTAAAATAAAAATTGCGCATAGTAAAAAATTCTCAATTCATTTAACTTTAATACAGAAAAAAATGTTTGTAAACTTGAAATAAAATTTAGAAAATTGATGAATTAGAAAGTGTGTCAATAAACAAAATTTTCCTCTAAGAATATTAGTCTTTTTCGTCTATAATTCTTAGTATTTTCAAGATTAGATCAATTTAGTAATAAAATAGCAATCAAAAAAATTTTAGTTCAAGAAAAGTGATTGATTAAACAAAAATTTTCTCCTTAATTTACAAAATATAATATCTAAATTTCTTTACTAATTAGTAGGTATTGAAAATATTTATATTTCGTTTAGAGAATGCTATAGATAAATGCTAATTTAATGTAAAATCAAAATAACTTTTGAAGGATTATTTATCTTTGACTCCGCATTTAGTTACCAAGAGTATTAATGCAATTAATTATTCTATCTTTGACATATATAAGTATTGTAAATAAGTATAATTTTTTAACTCACCTTTAATATTAAAAATAATACATTAAAAATATTAATTTCCTTTTAATTTAAAAACAGTTTTTTTATTCACTAAAAATATAAAAAAAATGCATCCAGTGATGAAGTAAGTGATTTTTAAGTTATTTAATAAATAATTTAACATTTAAAATAAAGTTTTAATTATAGTTACTGGATTTATTTATTTATATATATATATTAGTATTAGCTTTTAGTTATTTATTTAGGAGTAGTTTTTTTATTTAATTTTTGGTTTCACTAGGATGGAGTAGTTGGATAAAATTTATTGAAGAATAAGTCTCTGGTCATACAGTATTCTATATTGTCTTAGCAGCTGTATTCGGCTTATATGCTTGACTATTTTCTGAGTTCATTTGTTTGCTATAAAAGCTCATCACATATAGAAAAGCTCCAAATCTATGCGCATACGTCCTCTTTTCCCATCCATGATGGGACTTGATCTGGATAGATATAATGTATATTTGCTGAGCAGTACAAGTCTAAAAAGTCTAAAGACTGCAAAATTATTTTAATATCTTTGACATCTTCATCATAGTTGTTCATAGCTTCTAGTATTTTAATTTATGTATCTATTCTTTGTTCTCCATTATATTGCTTAGTTATTTAGATTAAGCTATTGTAAAATGAAAGAGGAAAATTTTCATTTCTATCTTCGTTAAGTCCTAAAACACTTAGTAAATCGTAGGAAATTCCTATTTACGTGAAATCATTTGATTTGGATTAATAATTTACTCTTTATATTTTATATAAGTAAAAACATTAATTGCTCTTACTATTTTAATTCAGTTTTTAGCAATACTATTTAACTTTTTCTCTAACATTGGAATAAATAGCGTTTGATTAATCCAAAACTTCTTAGTAATAGCTTTCTTCTTTTTAAATTTATTTTTATATACTGTGAAGTCTGCAATACATAGAAGTAACAGTCATTTAATATTTTTACAAAGATTAATAGAGACTTTAATACTAAGGTTCAGGGATTTTACGAAAGTGGTCAATCAAAAATTTAAATGTATATTACTTGTTATCTAATTAGCTGCAAAGATTCATTTCTAGTATTCTTTATGTATTGTTTTTGCAGATAGAGGAAACTCTGTTGATTTCTTGTGAGAGATCATATATTTAATATGGTTCTTAATCTTCATAGTATGTTTCTATTTGTAATTCATTAAAAAGTACTAACTTGTTGGAGACTTGAATATCTGAAACATTAGATGAGACACCAACTAATTTCTTACGTTTCCAATATTTAGATTTTATAAAAATACAATTCATTTTCTGTTCTTTAGGTTTTAATGTTTGATGAACCTTAAAATTTTTAAATGATTATTTGCGACTTTCATGTATATAATGATTCTTTATGTTGGTTTTATTCTTTTAAATTTATTTATTTATCTTTGTTTAATTAGTTTAAGAGCTTAGCTAGCATGATTCTTCTCCTTTAACTTCAGATGTTGTACTAAGTAATTCCATTTTCTAGTAAATTTATTTTAATTTTTAAATGTCAAAAGATTTTTGGTAGTGTTTTTAGTATTTTGATGAATTAATAATTATATTTATATTTTATTTTTTTATTTGAAATTAATTATTTTTTATTAATTATGGATTTATTTTGTTGATATTTTTAGAATATAAAATAAGAAAATTTTGTTATAATTTTGGTTTAATAAGATTAAAATATTGTTAAAAATGGTTTACTGCATAAGAAAAATTTAAGGTAAAGGTAAAGCTTCATTAATTTTTGAATATAAATTTGGTACTAATCCTTTTATAACTTAATTTATTTTGAAATTGACAATCAGCTCTAGAAATTGTAATCTCAATGCCAATATTTATTAAAAAACAAGTAAAATTAGTAAATTTACTTTGTATATAAATTTAGTATAACAAACTAACAACTGAAAGCTGGTTCATTTAATACCATATTTAAAAAAGAAAAATTAAATTAATAATATATGCAATTGTAAAATAAAATATAAATCACCCAATATCACTATAATTTGTAAACTCAAAATCTCCCAGCAAAATAAGAATACATTCATCTATTTTATTAAATATTATTTCTAGTTATTTGTTGTCAGTATTATTTTAAAGTATTAAAGTGACATACATACACATCAGAGCATGCTAAAATATATGTAATCACTCTATAAAATTAAATTATATTAATATAAAATTTTTCTTTCACTCTCATTATTTAATTGCGCTTGTATCTATAACTGTAAATGTAATATAGACTAAATTAATAATTAATGTAAAATAATTTTTATTTTAAGTATTTAAGATATATAATTAATAATTCATTATATTTTTAAGATTAGGTAAACACACATAATACCTTAAGTATTTATTATAAATAACTTAAGGCTTTTAATACGATAAATTGGTTAAGCTTTATAAATAAATGTATTTTTTTAACCCTTGTTATTGAATTTGAATGCTTTATTAGTAAATAAGCAAATAGAACAAATGCACAATATTTTATTTATTTCAAAAAAAAAACTAATTAAAGTATTGTAATATAATTGCTATTCTTTATCTATAATTTAGAAATATTTTTGATAGATGCAACCTAATTTATGAATGGTATTCCTAGACTCGAATCAAACAATCTAATATTAAATCAGAATTTTAAAAATTAAATTAATTTCAGGACTAGCTATTATATCTAAATTAAACGAAAGTCTATAGAATAATAGTAAAATGTAAGTATTTTTCAATAAAATGATTTACTTATCAAATATAAATGATTTAATCGAGATATTTATTTAAAATTACTTGCTAGTATCTCTTACTCTTCACTTTATTTTATCTACCTGTTGTGATTGCTATTTTTTTAAAAAAAGTTTACTCTTTTTATAAAATTTAATCTGTTTGCTTGAATTTCAAAAATAATACTTCGATACTATTACCTAAAGATTGTTCGCCAATTAGTTGACACAAGTTTTATGTCAGAATGTTAAATTTTTTCCTAAATTTTTTTAAATGTAAATGAAAAAACTTTTAAAATGTTAAAATAAAATACATTATTATCAGATAAAATATCTTTAAACAAGTGAGCTCTTTTAAAATCTAACTCAAATTGTTAAAATATTATCCCATTAATTAAATTATAAGTGCGTGTTAACATAGTTTTAAATTATTAGAATTTAAGTCTATCCTCTTGCTATTAATTCACTAAATTAATACTTTCGGAAATTTAGCTCTAATCCTATTAAATATCTTAATTGTACCAGCATCTGATATAGCTCCATATAAAAATATTCACTAATTTAATTTGGATTTCTATTATTTTAGGGAATTAAAATTTTTTTTTATCCTTTAGATTTATTTTGAATAGTACTTACACTATCATTATGTATTATGTGAAGGTTTGTTTTTCAATTTCGTGAGATTTTATAAATAATCCAAAAATCTAAATAACTATTCTTATATCTTCAAATTAAAAATTTAATAAATTTTTCAATTCAGTAAGTAAAAAGTATACTCTTGATATACTAAGATTCAATTTATCTAAGCATGCTAAAGCTCCTAAATATGTTGTAATGTTTTTAATTCTATTTTTGGTAAAGCAAATAAAATTTCTAAATAAAAAACAATTAATTATACTCAAATATGGTATTTTTTATTTACTTAAGGTTAATTTTTAAGTATTTTTGATTTTTTAATTATTCTAGAAAATATTAATTAAAATAATTAAGAATGACTTACCTAATGATCTAAGAAAAGAAAAGAAAAGTAAATATAAATATTAATTCAATTTTTTAATTGATAAATGCTTTTTTTACACAAAATGTAAATAAATCTAGGTTAAAAGATAAAATCAATTTATTCTCTCCCTTCAATAGGCCCAAATTTATAACTCTGATTTTTTATTTTTAAAATTCAATATTTAAAATATAAAATTTAGTTACCTATTATCTATTTTAGTCAATCGTATTTTTCATATAAAGAAGTTACTTTCATTTTAATAGATAACTAATTAAAATAATTGTTTTCTATTTATTTATCTATGATTATATATAAAAAAAAGTAAAGCAGCGTTATAATAAAATTATTTATTTATTTAATTCATATTTTGAATGAGTTTTATACTCAAACACTAATCTAATTGTTATATTCATTTAAATTCTGCTCTTTTCCTCAGCCAAATAGTGAAATTGTAATTTGTTAAAGCGCCTATATTAATTTGTTATTTAAAAACTTTTTTGCACACATTTATTTATTTTTTTCATTAGTAAAGTCAATATACTTTGCTGCTAAAAAAAAATTAGACCATTAATTTAACTTTATATAGAATTTATAATTTGAGTTTTTATTTTATAATTTGTTCTGCTTGTTTGTTGTTTTTTGAGTAAATAAAATTGAACATTTTTAAATTGTGTGATATTTTATTTTTGTTAAATCTTTTTCTTTCGCTAAATTTAAATAAACAAAAATCAAATTCATAATATTGAATTTTCGCTTCTTTATTTATTTTTAAATTAATAATAATATAAATTTTATATAGTAAAAATCTATTACAACATCTTTAACCTTCCAAAAAATTTTTAACATAAAGAGAATTTAAAAATTATTTTTAAACTATGCGTATTCATAGTGATTTTAAGTAATATTTAAAGATCTTACATTCCATTTTTGTAAACTAGATTAGAAGTAGTAAATAAGAAATTTGATAATTAAATCCAAATTGACGTTTAAAATTAATTACAATTTTGAAGTAATAGCAAATCTATCTATAATGAATTTTATTGATTGAGTTGCTTTTTTTTAAAAAAGTTAATTTTTGTTTGTTATAGTAATTGTTATTATAAAATCAAAGAAATAACAAATTTTTTTTCAATTGTAAATTATGTTTTTTTTTTTGATTTTATATATTTGTATATTTTTACAAGATAATATGGTATTTCTTCATTTTTCGAAGATTTAATAAATATTTCCTTCGAACAACAAATTTTCATTATTTTTCTATTTAATTTTCCTTGAAATTTGAATAAAAAAAATTTTAACATTAATTAAAAAGAAAAAAAACATTAAAGAAGCTTGCTCAATAATTTTTAAATTATTTGATTTACAAATTTACTATAAAAATAAATTAGCATTAACTGGAATTATAAGTATATATTATTTATTATTATAATAGTTTATTTATTTATTTATTTATTATTTATTTATTCATATTAGTTTTTTTCTTCATTTTCATTCAAATCAAATTGATGGATAAAATTTACTTAAGAATAAATCTCTAGTCATACAGTATTCTATATTGTATGAGAAGTTGAATTCGGTTTATATGCTTGATTGTTTTCTGAGTTCTTATGCTTTTTGTAGAAGCTCATCGCATATAGAAAAACTCCAAATCTAAGCGCATACATCTTCTTTTCCCATCCAATATGGAATTTTAGAGGGATAAATAAAATGTATATTTGCTGAGCAATACAAATCTAAAAAATCCAAAGATTGTAAAATTATTTTAATGTCATTAACATCTTCTTCATAATTGTTCATAGCTTCCATCAATTTGATTTAGGTATTTATTCTATGCTCTCCATTATACTGCTTAGTTATTTAAATTAAGCTGTTGTATAATTAAAGTGGAAAATTTTCACTTTTGTCTTCGCTAAGTCCTAAAAAATTTAGTAAATCAAAGGAAATGCCTATTTATGTGAGATCGTTGGACTTAGATTAATAATTTACTCTTTATATTTTGTATAAATAAAAAAATTATTTGCTCTTACTGTTTGAATTCAATTTTTAGCAATATTATTTAACTTATTCTTTAACTTCAAAGTAAACAGCGTTTGATTAATCTAAAACTTTTTAGTAAAAGCTTTCTTCTTTTTTAATTTATTTTTATATGTTTTTGAGTCTGTGATACATAGAACTAACAGTTACCTAATACTTTTTCAAAGATTGATATAATCTTTAATATTGAGGTTCAAGGATTTTACGGAAGTGGTCAATCAAAAATTTAAAGACATATTACTTGTTTTGTAACTAGCAGCAGAGATTCAATTCTAGTATTCTTTAAGTATTGTTTTTGCAGATTGAGGAAACTCTGTTGATTTCTTGCTAGAGATCATGTATTTAATATGGTTCTAAATCATCATAATATGCTTCAATTTGCTATTCATTAAAAAGTATTAGTTTGCTCTAAACTTCAATAACCTAGGCATTAGCTGTGATGGCAATATATTTTTTGCGTTTCCAGTATTTAGATTTTATAAAAATGCAATTTATTTTCTGTTCTTTAGGTTTTAATGTTTGATGAACCTTGAAATTTTTAAATGTTTATTTGCGAGTTTCATAGTCAGAATGATTTTTGATGTTGGTTTTATTTTTTTAAATTTATTTATTTATTTTTATCTAAGGAGTTTAAGAGCTTAGCTAGGATGAATCTTCTCCCTTACCCTCTGGTGCTGTACTTAATTATTCCATTTTTTAAAGTTAATATTTGTATTATTTTTTAAATA